TGTAAGCCATGTGACTATGTTATCTAACAGAGAAAGAATTGAAGACAATCCACTCACGTCAGATGAACCGCAAGCCAAGGAAAGATCTTCCTGCTGGTTCAGCTAGTGCATAGCCTCTGTGCTAATTTTTTCTGCTAAATAAAGCAACATCTAACTATTCTCATTCTACAGTCACAAAGAATCTTTTGGCATTTAGCTCTCATACTCTGTACACAGAAATATTCTTGGGCTATCCTAAGCTAGATTATTATTTTGGCATCCAAGAGTGCACTCTTCTCCTACTTCTTTCTTTCTCTTATTATTTTTATTTTATGGCAGGACTGTGCTTAGTTCTCATTTCAGAGCGCACGTCTGTGTACTCTTTTATCGATGGGATACTAACGGACCCAAATGACTCCATTCTTCTGATCGATTTTGAGTGTGAATACAACATATCCAATAATAGGAGCATCGATGTGCTGCACACTGAGACCATAGCAGAGGACTATCCGCAGAACATCATAGTAGTGAACAGGATTAACTCTCTTGTGCACTCTCCCGTTGAAATGCAAATTAGGCTGAACATTCTCTCTGAATTGGTCTACAACGATAAAACGGTCTACATGATAACGAGCTACAAATACTCGCACACACAAAAAGTAGTGCCGTACATGAAGTACATAGAAAGAATGGTGGACATAAAGAGCACGATCAGCGCATAGAACTGTACACACTGCTAGACAGAACACACAGCTTATTACTTCTTCTTGAGCGAGCTGTAGCAGAACAAGAATATATACCCACTTCTTATCTATTCTACTGCTTATCAGTATCTCTCAGCCTTCCAGTTATTGGCAATTATTAGCTATCTACTATCACTTATTACCACTCTACTCTTACTGCTCTTCTCTGTACAGCTCAACTGTTCTACTCAGTGAATATTAAGTTGACTCTCCAAAAATAAAGTAAATATTAAACTGTAAGCAAATGCTGATTTATTCTCTGCTCTGCTGACTTTTATTTTCGTTCTGGAAATTCTCAGAGGCTAAATGTGCTAAATCTTTTGGCGTGCAATTATTTTATTTTATGGGACAAATGCAATGCTCTGAAACAAAAACTGTTCTTGTCCTGCGGCTGAGAGGAGGCCCCAGGAAGAAAAGAGTCACTTTTACAAGCGATACAGTGGACAACGAGTGCTTAAACAGGAAAAAGTCCAAAAAGTGCTGCATATTCCACGAAAAAAGCGAATGCGAGAATATTCTTCAGTGAGTTTCGTAAAATTTTTTAAATGCAACTTTCGGTCGGAGACGTGTTCAAATCAAAGAATGAAGCGCAAAATGCGATAAGAATGTACGCGATAGACAACAGTTTTAATTTTGAAACAACAGATAGTACTCCAAAAAAGTACACGATACAATGCAAAGAAAGAAGGACGCACGGGTGCGACGCCGTCATAACAGCTGCGCTGCGCAAGAAAGATAACATGTTCGTGATCAAGAAGCTCAAGAACGCCCACAACTGCCCGCAGCAGTCTTCCCTGAGCGTCCAGTCGTCTGGCAGATACATCGCAGACGAAATAAGAGAAATGCAGGACGTGGAAGATACGAGAATCGGCCAGATAATTAACAGAATTTCATCGCGCCGCGGGATAAAGATAGGATACTACGCAGCATGGAAAGCCAAGAAAAACGTGCTAAACGACGAGATAGACGAAGAGGCAGCACAGGAAGAGTGTCTGCAGTCGGTCGTTGAAGAAAACAGCCACATCAACCCAGACGACACGCTTTCCGTGCTCAACATGAAAAAAGAAATAGAAAAGTGGAGATCCCTCAAGACACAGAGCGAAGAGACAGGGTGCATCAGACAGGTCATACGAGCAATTGGGCCACTAGACACAGCAGGCAGCAGGCTAGACACTCTCTTCTACGCGAGCAATCTTTCCCTCCACGTGTACTCGAACAGCAGACAGGTAATAGACCTCACAGTGCACGAAAGGTGCAACGAGCTGAGAGAGCACGCAGGATATGCCTATATAGCCACGGGATATGATGCATTTGACACACCGTACATCCTCGCGATGTGCTATGTCCCTGAGTACTGCCCCAAAAAAGAGGGATGGATAGTTTTTATGCGAGAAATGCTGAAGGTGATCGACTCAGGCGTATTTATGATGGACTGGGAGGGATGCCATGCAACCATAGAAGAGATAGAAGAGCTCATCAGGGATAAAAATAGCAGCATTAATAGCACAGCTGCATCTGGGTCTTTGAGCAGCTACAGCGATGCTTCACCGCTCTACTCGATGGGCATCCATGGGGAGAATCCCTGGAAGGGACACTTTGACATCGAGGAAGCCATCAGGGCAGGGGATGTGGGAGGCCCGGGATCAGGGCGAGGGAGCAAAGTGCGGTTATTCTTGCGCACTAGATCCCTGTGCAAGGCGATCTTTGCCACACATCCCGTCTCATCCGCTATTTCTCTTGTCTGGTCCCTGTGCAACAGCCCAGACCTTCCTACGTTCCAAGTGTACTACAAGAAAGTGAAGGCCCTGGGAGTTCCCTCGCTTCTTTCTCTGCTTTCTTCCCTGCCCACGCACCTCTGGGCCAAGTACCTGTGCGAGTACCCAATATACGGGAAAAACAACTCAGTTCCTGTGGAGATTGATGGAGTGCTGGGAATGCTCACTCTGTCTCCGATTGATGCGCTCTGCATGGTCATCAAGATCATCTCAGATAATGCGCTGAAAAAGAAGGAAATAGTGGCGCATGCTGAGCTGTCGACCAAAAAGGCAACAGACAGAGCAAGATTTGGAGAGAGCGTAAACAGGGCAGTGGACATAAACATCCTTAAGTCGCAGTCGTACGATGCAGACATTGGGAGGGCACCAGGCGAGCTCTGCAGATCTTCGTGGATCGATCCAAGACGGCTGAATGACGAAGAGGAGCACAAGCAGGGCATAGTATATTCTGGCAACCTGAAGTTCTACGTTGATCTGCGTCTCCGCGTGTGCTCATGCATGAAGTTCCAGGACATGAACTACCCATGCTCGCATGCGTGTGCGCTGATTACGAAGGTGGGCGGGCACTGCAATGCGTACATCGATGAAATGTACTCAATTGATGCGTTGATGGCGATGTATAAGCCGTACACCACAAGATGCATAGTAGCAGAGCCAATCAAGGGAACAGAAGAAAGAAGGAGGCCCTGTGCTACTAGCCAGATAAGCCTGCTGCAGTCGAATAAGGCTGTGTGTGTGGGAAAGAGAGTATTAGGATATGACACAGAAGAGTTTGCAGAAGTACAAGAGCACAAAGAGAATCTCGTGAGATAGGACAACAAAAATAAACACAGTAATTGAAATATGAAAGATTATTTATTTATCACTTTGTTGCTATGCTATTGTGCTATTAGCTGATACTAGTTACTATTTTTCTTTTTCATCACTTGACTATTGTCAATGTTATTATTGCCATCACTATTGCTCTAATCTACTTTGCTATCTCTTTGGTCATTTTTATCACTATACACCATCCTCTATACAACTCTAGGATAACTATACTACTCCATTTTGTATGGCTACTTTCTTATTGATTTACTTCAGAATATAATTGTATGCTACTGTGCTTAAGATAAACCATAGACCTATTTATTATTTATTCTGATTTAAAGTGGTATCTTCACCCTGCGCTGCTTTGTTCTGTGATATTTTTGGGATCAGTTTGGTTATCCGAAAGTCGATTTCTGCATCTTTTTTCTGCTCTTTTTTCAGTATTTCTGCTATTTGGTTTACTGTTCTCTCTGGCAGCTCCATATACTCTTTGGCGGCTGTTTCGCTTGGCTTGGAGACATTTTCTGTTGGAAGGTAGAGAATGTTCTCCAGATACGACAGGAAGCATGCAAACACTCTCGTGTCTGCTGAGTGCGACAGCACTTCTATTGATAGATCTATCACACTGGGGTCTAGCCTGTGCGTATTTGACACAATGGCTGCATTGGACAGGACTAGTAGTATATCACTGCACAGCTTGGGCAATAATTTTACTTCTTTTTTGTTCTCTCTGATTATTTCCTTTATTGTTTCATTGATTATCAGCACCTCTGCGAGTATTTGCTCTATCAAATCAGAAGAGTCATCTAGACAGTCAGTGTTTGACAGAATGTTCTTCAGTATTCCTATGAAGTGCATCTTCTCTTTTATCCCTCCCTCTGTGCCTCTTATTTCTGCTATGGGCAGCTCAGTGACCAGGGATTTTATCAGATCAGGCGAGCACTCGAACAGAAGAGAGCACAAAAATTTTAGCGAGTTTTCTGCAAAGCTTTCAACGGACAGATACTTCACTATCTCTGGAACTACCGACTGTACTGCAGTCTGTTTCCACTCTTTGTTGAAAATGACCAGGTTTCCCATCAGCAGGAAGTATTCATTGATCGACAGAACAATTTCATCGTACCCTTCTTCTCTGTAGTGCTTGTGTGCTGTTTTTGCCATCTTTTCGAGTAGGTTTGTTATTCTGTACGTGGTCAAGTAGTTTGCTGTTACTTTCGCGTCTCGTGCAAATATTTTCAAGACACAGAAGGATGAAACTGTTTCTGCTGTGAATATTTCCTTTTTCATATTGTTCTCGATCGCGTCTACTATTGCATCTATGAGCCCAGCCTCGGCTAGAGACGTCACTATCTTCTTGGACTTAGGCAGGATTGGGATTAGAAAGTGGTTGATTCGCAGAATGTTTCTCTCTTTCTCAGGCCCCTTTGTGTACTCTTCTTTTATGGCTTTGACGATTGCGGGTGAAGACTCAAGATACTTCAGCGCACCTTTGCTCGTTTCAGCTAAGAATCCTATCAGAGGAAGCACCAAGGGAGAATGCATGTGTTTTAGAAGGGATATGAATATGTCCCCAAGAATGCAGTTGGAGAACTGGGTGTGCACTTTCTGTCCTTCCAAGGACGCATCTTCTGGTATATTCGGAAGCGATCTTTGTCTGTACCCTTCGGCATATCCTAGCAGCACTAGCACATTTGTGTGGATTATTCCCGTTGTCATTTGCAGTAATGACGAGTTAAAAAGAGAGTCATCGAGGTACGAAAACAGCTCCTGGTTGATCAGCCTGATGAGAATAAGCACAGACTTATACGGGCACACGCGATAGACAGCCTGGACCGCCAGGAACACATTAGGAGACTGCAACATCTTCAGAGCGTCTGGTGAGTTGATTGAGAAGTGTATGCATGCGCTCAGCAGCTCGTTGATCCATGCAGGAGAGTTAGAGTCCACTGTGAGCTCGCGGATCAGAAGGAGAGAAAAATCAGAGGGCACAGAAAAAGAATAAAAAGTGTACACTTTTAAAACAATCATCCGGGAGACAAGAGAAATAGACCTATCGAAAATCAAGGGAAATAGGTGAGCGCTCAGCTCTTCGGGAGAAGAAGAAGAGAGAAAGTCAGGCGGCATAGAAGTGTTTCTGGCGAGCACCTCATGCAGCGATCGCATAAGAGCCTCGGGCACAGCCATATTAGTGCTATTATAAGATGAATTGTCCATAGAAAACAAACAAACAAGAAAATATTCAAATATCAATAAACAATGGCAAAACAATAAGAATGGGAGACGAATGGCTAAGCGATGTGCAGCCAATAGATAAGAAGGCAGAAAGAAATAAAAGTCTGTCCAGCTATTAATTGCAAGAGTTATTTTTGTTTAATTATTTCTGTTTATTTTTACAAATACTTTGTCTCTACTGCTTGTGCAAGAAAGTAAAATAAATATGTACAGAAATAAAATTTTATCTCCGAGTTATTTTACAAATTATTTTCATCTTCTAAGAGCCAAGAAAAACATGAGCGAGCCAAATATACTGTGACCTAGCTATCATCTCAGTGGCACCATTTTGTTCTTCTACCTTAAATATGTACTTTAATGGCACTCCACTGCTCTTACATCATTGCCATTGCAGCATTACTGCCATCCCACATCCTAACTCTAATACACTGAGTAATCCAGCAGTCTACTTGTCTATTGCTATTGCTCATTATTAAGCATTGAGCACTTTGGTATATCTCATTACACATCACACTGATCACTGTTTTATCTTTATATTTTTAATTTTTTATCTGCGCATGTTTTACCCTGACATTTTTATATCTAGAAACAGTCTGCTGTACAGGATGTATGTCCATGCATGCATGAAGAGCCATAGCACAGCTGTTCCTCTTTCTTCCTTGGCCGATTGCTTAGACAGTGTGTTCAATAACAGCCTGTCGCTAAGACTGCACTCTAAGCTGATGCTATCTATTGCACACTCTCTGCTTTTGCATTATAAGAGCACTTTATCATCGACGACAAAAGCACTCTCCATCAATGTTCTTCCATCTCAGAGGACAGGCAGTAGCAGAGTGTCTGACAATATAACATATAGCTATAATTTGGACATTTTATGCGATGCAATTAGCAAGAGAGTTGCCGAAGTGAATGATGAAGTAGAATGCGCGAGAGGAGCTTCATCCAGTATGTCACTGTGTGATGCCATGAACAACAGCGCACTAGCAGGTGCCTCTGGATTGTGTCTGAATAATTCTATGAATGCAAGCAATATTGACGTAGTAAGTGTAAACAGCAGAGAAAATGCCAATGAAGTGGAAAGTGCCAAAAGAGTAAGAGTAGATAGGACAATTGACTTAGCAAGAGAGAGTATAATGAAAAGTGCGATGTGTGTTGAAAAATGGTACAAAAGAATAGTAGACAGTCTGCTCGCAAACGAGTACACAGAGATAGTTGGAGATATTTCATCAATCGAAGCCGTCAGAAGGTATTCATCCGATAGGGCAATGGATGAGATAGCGGTAATAGATAGGATCAGTGATGGCTTGGGTACACATGAGTACAACTACGAGGTAAACTACAAATTGGTTGATTTTATAAGTCTTTTGCAAGAGATAACTGATGGAAAAGTGTCAGCTATCCAAACAGTGCCATATGGCAGAATAATAAGGATATAGCAAGGTAGTTGATCGATTAGTAGTTTATTGATGACAGTGAAGTATAGTAGGCTCTTTCAAGTCCTAAAAGATATTCTTGAGCTGACAACACTCTTCTCAAGATTCATTGCCAACATCACTGTTTTGGTAATTTATTCAATCATATTTTGTTGCGTAAACAGGTGCTAAACTAAATAAATCAGTTTGCAAGTTGCAAGAGACTATGCTGCAATAGCTATCAAATATTTTTTATTTTTATACAAATTGCATGAAGACTTTATTTTCAGACTAACCTACTGCACTATATCAGTCTAATTTGCATGGTTTGGCACAAATTTACTTCTTCGTATATTTCCAACATTCTCGGGCTACTCTGTGTGGTTTTCAGAAATCCGCAGAAGTCGAAATACAAACTGTAGTGATAGCCAATGTTTTCTATTTGGCTGAACATAATGTGAATTTTTGGAGAAAACCACACTTTGATGCAGTCTTTCATGTCTTCTGACCTTTTTAAGACATCGTAGCATTGGCTTATTCTGCATGGCCTGATAATAGCCACATCATCCACTATTTCTATAAACGGTTTCTCGTTCTGTATGTATTCTGTTTTAAACATTTGTCTAATATACCTGCAGCGCCTGCATAGATACCACATGGAATGGATGTATGACAAATCAAAATGCATTTCTTCCCCCAGTGCATCTCTAGAAACAACATCTTTTGCGTCTTGAGCGCATATATCAATTTCATACATCCATTTGAAAGATCTGAACTCTGTCTGGATTTGTTTTATTCTTGAAAGAGTAATATCGTTCTCTTCACAAAAGTTTTCAAGTTCTGTACAAGCATTTGGTGTGTCATAATCGTAGCTTTCCCAAAGAACAGATAGAGGCTGAGTATTTTGTTCTGTTTTTCTCTTGCAACCACAGCACTTCTAATGATATCCGTGTCAATCTCACACTTTTTTATAAATATTCTCTCTATTATTCTTCCTACTTTAAAGAACAGAGCGTTGTTTTTGCAATTTAAAAGACAGCCTTCCAGTAGATGTTCTATCATTATTATTTTCATAATCTGCACGGGCGCAATATCTATATACTGCCCTATCTCGATGTCTAATTGGTCTGTTTCCACTAGATTTAGATATATATTCATTATATCTCTATTGTTTTTAGATCTATGCAGTCTGTGATATGTTGAAAAATTGCATGTATCAGCTAGTTCCAGTAGATATTGCCTGTGCTCTGGTACATTCTTTCGCATATATGATACGTAGTTGGCTATGCTGTTTTTATGAAAGGAGTATATTTTAATTCTAGTGCCATCCTCATTTTTAACCCCACAGAAATAAATTTTCTCTTTCAGAAATAGGTCTGTGTTAAACAAAGAGAGGATTATACTGGCAGGCATAATCTTTTTATTCTTTGCCAGTCTAAAAAGGAACAGCTTGGACATTCTATCACTTTTGCACTTTTTTTTAATGTACTCTTCTATTACTCCTACCATGTGCGCATCGAACCTGTTTATTTCTTCAATTAGCAAAGTGTTGCTCTTAAAGGCTTCCAGAAGCACTCTATCTAGTTTAACCAGTTTATCTTTAATCTTCGACAGATATTTGCTATTTTTAACGCTATTTAACTTGTCATCAGCAATGACTGGCACTAACGAATCTACTATTTTTACTATTGTATCTGTGCATTTCTTAAGCTGTTTTAGCGCACTCTTTATCTTGGATAGGTTCTTATTTCCTATCCGTATCTCCTTCTTTAGGTCTAGAGGATCGCCAGCCTCCAAAGACAGCATGCTGGAATCAAGAGGGTAGATTTTTTTAAAGAAGTTACTGCGTATATTCACTTCTTCTTCGATATAATAGATCTTAGTGGTCCAGTACTCATGCACTGTCTTTATGTCATTCAGCTGCACTATACACCCTGCTTTTAGCAAGCAAAACAGTATAGTTGTGCCCAGCACTCTTATCTTTCTTATTTTTTGTTTTAGCTCCATAGACAAGTAAAAATATTTTTATTTCTATCTTACTTTCAGAGATCATTGATAGCAATGTATTAATGCGCAATCATTCTGATGCCTGTATGCTATATTGCTATGGTAGAAAATCTTCTTAAGCATCTACATTTCAGTAAACAAATATATTCTTTTTCTCTCAGGAAAAATAGCTGCAACAGCTGCAATAGAATGTTCTCAACTGATCAGTGTTTAATTTAGATTTATTTTAATAATTTTGATGATAAAGCTAGCTGAAAGAAAAATGCCAGCATGCTTTACCTCTATCGCTTCTGTTTATGTTGTGTGTCTTTTTACTGTTGCTCTTGTAAGCGTGGTGAGCTCCTGGTACTCTCCGGACGCCTTCCACTCTGAGATAATCTTCTTCCCGTATTGGTACCCGTGCGCCACTATTTCATCAAACTGTCTGAAGTTCATTGTCTTGTATCCTGCTAGGTCTGGCCGTATGTACTTTATGCTTACGTCTGACTTCAGCGATCTTTCTTTGTGCATACTTGTCAGGTATGCCAGCCTGTACTGAATTTCCGTTAGAGACAAGAACTTTTTCGTGCTGAATATTTTCTGGAACAGAATGTAGAAGCCGTTTATGCTGTCCCCGTACTCTGAGAAAGTCGTCTCCACCTCACTCCCCACATCCACTGCAATGATATTTCTGATACCCATTGATCTCATTGCATCAGCTGGCACGTTATTCATGTATCCACCGTCTAGCAAAAACGATCCATTGTCGCACAGCGGAGGAAGGTATCCCGATAGACTCATGCTTGCCCTGACATACCTCCAGAGTATTCCCTGTTTATGCTGTTTTTCTTCAAACAAAGATATGTCTGTTGTAATGCAGTAGTAGGGCAGCCACAAGTCTTCGATTCTTTTGTTTTTAAATATCATCCTAAGCCCCCAATTGAATCCTTTGCCTGTGAACATAGAACATATCGGGTACGTGAGGTCAAGAATTATCCTCCACACGCTGCCTATGAGATGCGACAGTCTTTTGGCCCTAATGAACACCTGTTTATTGTTCGTGCCCTCTGCATACAGCGCTCCCACGAATGCGCCCATTGAGGTGCCTCCTATGGCATCGATGGGTATACCTGCTTCTTCCAGGGCTTCTATTATCCCTATATGCGCTATTCCTCTGGCGCCTCCACCTCCTAGCACAAGCCCTACGTTCGTTCCCTTGAGGGTTCTTATGAATCTGTGCATGTCATTCAGCGGAAAGTACGGAATAATGTTGTTGTTGTGCTCTGTGAATGTGCAGTGGTTCTTTCTTGTGTAGTTTAGGGACTCTCGTGTTTTTATTATTGATAGCGGCACATCTATCACAGGAAATTCTAGATTGTGTTTCTGTCCGTAGTACTTGCCACGGGACACCTGCATCTTGTTGTCTCTGTGGAGAACAAGCGTGTCTATTTTGCAGAATATGTCAGTGCCCATGTTGATGCTCCTTGTGTCCCCGTTAGTTATCACGTAGAATATTATCTCAGACAAAAGCACTCCATTTATGCCTGTTGCACCAGCTTTCTTTTTATTTTTTCTGTTGGATTTACTTTTGCCATTAGAGCTGCTGCTAAGATTAGCGCCGGAGCTAGTGCTAGAACTACTGTCATTAGGCATATCATTCAGCTTTTCACTTTCATCTTTAATTCCACTATTCACTTCACTGGCTTTACTTACTTTGCTATTGTTTTTATCATTTATTCTAATGCTTTCCTTATTAGTGCTATCTGTTTCATTTTTATCCTTATCTATGATGCATATTTCACTCTCTTCTTTATTCCCTGTTTCTTTTTCATCATCGCTTGCAGATGTGCTGCTGTCATCACCATTGTCCGCTGGTCTTTCTATGCACACTGGGCCCACTATTGGGATAAGAATGTACGAGTATTCCTTCTGCAGGTCGCTTATGTAGTTTAGCAGAGAGAGCACAACTGTTTTCGATTGTGAATTTTTTTTAAACTTTGATTCTATCTCCGCTGACGACAAAATAAAACACGAATCACTTTTTATCATCTCTGCCCTCAGGAAATGTGTGAATATCTCCAGCTGTGTCTCCTTTGGGTCGTTTGGGATGAATGTGATGATGGAGGGCTGCTCCAGCTCCTGCTCCACTCCTGTTCTGCTGAGTATTCTCTTGTACAGCTCGAGTGAGCTTGACTGAAACTGCGCTGTTATTATGCTTATGTACTCCTTTGGTATTTCTATGACCTCTGAGAGCCTGGTGGATACGAGCTGGAAGGGCGACTCAAGGTCCAGGAGCACCTCTTTTTCAAACAGCGTGTTCTTGCTCGATATTCCAAAGTACTTCACATCTCCTTCTTTCAGAAAGTAGCCGTTTGTGATGATTTTGATTGATTTTGACGGAGCATCAGCCGAGAGTCTTTCTCCTGGCTGGAACATTTTCCAGTTTATCATTGCGTCTGTTATCTCCAGCTGTGTTTTATTTTTTACTCTCTCCAGTATCTCGCTTCCCGCTGCCTCCAGAGGCTGTGCGTCTGTTTCCACCGTTGGCTCCAGTTTTATTTTCACTGCAACTATTTTTGGCGATCTTTTTCTAACTATCCTGTTCATTTTCAGTGCTGTAACACACTCTAGGCATCCGACTAAGTCGTTTTCTCTAACTTCCAAGGTGCTTCTTCTGTTGTATTCTACTGCGCCTTCTCCTTCTATTATGTAGAGGAGAGTGTTGGGAGGCACTGTGTACTCTTCTGTTTCTACTGTTATTTCTTCAATTTTTCCTACTTTTTTTATCAGAGTTACTTCTTTCGATATATTCTCTATTAGCTCCTGGTGGTTTTTATTTGTCTTTATGCTCCTTACATCGAGCTCCAGCTCGTCTTCCAAATAGTTCACCAGGGTGTAGACAGTTCCTTTGAACAGCCGGTTCAGAAGAAGATACTTGGCAGTTGAGTTCTCTGCATCTATTTTGTACAGCAAACTGTCTTTTTTTATTTTGTACGTAACTGATGTCTTATGGTGCACATTGTACAGCCAGAAAATAGAGTACACAAAGTAATCCTGCTGCTTGACCATTACGACTGCATTGTCAAACAGCACTTCTACCTCTCCTTCAATTAGATAGTAGAAAACGCCTCCATTAACTATCTCTATGTCTTCTGTTGTCTTCAAAGGGGTGCTGAACAGCTCGCTATCTGTTAGCAGAGAGTAAAGAAAACCTTGAGAAGGCTTTATGGGCACGGGCTGTGTCTCTGTTCTTTCGACCTCTATTTCGTGGTGTTTTTTAAACACTCTTCTTCCTGCTAATATTGCAAGTAGTGTTGCAATAACTGCTATTATTAGAAATAAGATGGAATGTGTGGCCATTCTTTGTAAATAAAAAATGTACAATTTTTATTAATAAAATTAATTCACTTCTCATTTGCTCCTACTTCTTTTCTGCGCTCTCCCTTTTGATCTCTTCCTGCCCCCGCAATAAACATCCATTAAATCTACTCTATCTCTCTCTTTAACATACACTTCTATCTTTACCTGTACTTTAATATTTATTTATTTTTATCTCTACAGCTCCCTAACGCTTTTGCACACTACTGCAGACTCTGCCACGGCTTCATTTCCTCTGTCTCTTTTGCGTAGTAGTCCATTGGATACTCTTTCAGCTCTCTGCTGAAGTACTCAAAGGGCGTAATGATGGGAATGGAGAAAGTGCTTCCCCAGTCAATCGCTATCCTTGGGCATGCTATTTCTATGACGGTTATGTCTTTCAGCGCTTCTACGAATACCTCGTCTATTTCTGACAGATACACAACGTAGTAGCTTTTTTTTCTTTTTTTCAAGTCTTCGACTATTTTTTCCAGTATGCCCGTGCTTCCCTGTCTCCCGAGTGTTCCAAATACGATCAGATAGCGTGGGGTGTCTAGGGACTTTTTCTTTATCTCTCTTCGTATCTCCAGAAATCTGTCGTAGTTGTGCGTTTCAACTGTCATTGCCTTCGAGGACGGGCAGTACTTGTAGAAAACTTTTCCTGGGTTCTGGATCATGAGTGACTCCAGATGAAAACGGCCTTCTGATATAAATAGCACAGCGCCTGTTGAAACCTTCGGCGATGTACACCCCAGCACTTCTCCAGGACTCAGGGGCTGCACGCGGGGTATAGTGCACACGCTGCTGCTCTCTTCTGTTTCTCCTGCACTCTTGCTATCTGCTATCTTCAGTATCTTCTCTCTTTCTATCTCCTTCTTTATCTTTCTTATTGTGCTGTTGTACTGTATTGTTCCCAAAATGGAAAGATCGTCTGTGTTTATGTGTTTATTCACCAGCTTCATGCAGTGCGCAATGTCAAACTGTATCTCTACAAATATGTACATCACCTGTATCAGCGACTTCGTCACTTCAAATAGGCACGAGTGCCCGTAGTGGATCAGCAGGTCGCAGTCTATCAGATGCGCAGAGACATCGTCAATGCAGCACGCCCCATACACCACATCAGAGAGGATAAAAACCGACTCAACGTTCGTATTAGATCTAATTATATCAGAGATAATTGTAGACAGGTGTATTATGCCCTCTGGGAACTGTATGGCCACTCTCTTGCTCTTTCTTCTCTCGATCTGTCTTATCGTTTTCTGCAGCTCGAATTTATAATTATCCGGTAAGTATTCAGACCCAATAATATTCATAAAAATAAAAAAGATTTCTTCCATTTATTCTAAAAAAGCACGCTTTGTTTTCTGCACCAACAAGTAGCAAGTTCAGAAAGAAAAAGAAAATTAGCGTGTTTTCCATTGTTCTCGATGAGAATAACTAGAACAAAAGTGAATTGACTCATAATAATCTAAGTGGCGACGGGAAGAGAGTGAATCAATTAACATATAGATAACACACTTAAAACAATCAACAAACAGTTTGTAAATGAATGAAATGAAAACATTTGCAGAAAGAGTAAAATGAGTGAGAAATAAATGGAGATATAATCAGTTAATATTTATTCACTTCTTTTTTCCGTGTTTATGCGTAGATGGCTTATAGCAGTTTCAAGTTTCCTGTTATGCTGTCTATTTCATCTTCATACCACGGGCCTAGGAATGAAACTGTGTGCGTATTGGGCTCTACCTGTGTTCTTCCTGCGTCTGTTATGGAAATAGTTGGGACTTTGCATTTTCTGGCTTTTTCTATTATCACGTCCAGCTCTTCTTTGGATGGAACGCTAAGCGATACCTTCTTGAACCCGTTGCTCTTCCACTGCTCGCTCACTGTGTTTGGCTTTCTGGCTGCTTCGTATGCCGCGTGCATTGCCTGTGCTACTATTTTCCCCTTCCCCATTTTCAGGTCACTTCGCACCAGGAGCACGCCTTTAACCGGTCTGTTATCATGTGCAGACGCACTTACTGCATGTTTCTGCGCGTTTTTCTGCTTTCTTGTGGCTAGTAAGTACACAATCACCCCAGCCTGCGCCAATAAAAGAGTAACAAGAAGATTCATAAAATATTTTATGCTCATTTTATTATAAATATGCGTACTCTCTCAGCACTATTGAGCTCTCCATTGTTATTTGCACTTTTCTTCTACATATCCGCTGAATGAGAAGTATAACTATTCGCTGAGCATGGAAGATTTGCTATTTACGGATTAGAATAAGAATGAAAGTGTAAGCATAAGATCAGTACAATTTTTATTTATTTTGTATCTTGTTTTATATTTTGAAGTGTGTGCTTGTTATACTTTCCAGAGACAGTTCTGTTTCTTTGTGGATCTCTTCAATGTGTTCGCTTAGATAGTCATCGTAAGTGTATGCATATTCAACATCACCATCACTTTCATTCCCAGAAGAGCCTTTAAGAAAAGCATCGAAGTTCTCATCTGACTTATTGGATGTTTTCTTGTCTATCGCTAGCTCTTCAATGCCTCTATGTCTTTTATTCCTTGAAACATTCCTCTTTTCAGCGCTTTTGTCTATGCTTCTTTTTCTTTTTTCTTTTCCAAAGTCTTCTCTTAAGCCTGTTTCCTCGTCTGTCTCTTCTGCCTCCTCATTCTCTATTCTACTCTCTAGTGTCTTCTCTTTTGTATTCTCTTCTTTTGTGCTCTTTATCTCTATTTCTTCTTCTTTTGTGCTTATCGCACTCGTATTTACTCTGTTTGTTTTGTCGTTCAGTGGCCTGTGTTGTCCCATTCCTCTGTTTATTTTTTACTTCAAAAGAAGTTTTCTTTTGGGACTATGTACTCAGTGCCTGTGGATGTTCTCACAGAGTAGTACGAGCCTATGGGCTTTAGGAGCTCTACAGTCTCGCCCTTTCTAATGTACACAGCTCCGTTGAATACAAAGTCGTTTTTGGCTCTCAGGTGCTTGACTTCTGTGCTGACGCTGATGGGCGGCATTTTTATCTCGCCATTTCCGTATCTTCGTCTGATTAGCGGCCTGTTTTTAAACTCTTTTCTTTTTTTGCTTCTTGTGTGCCATTTCCAGAAGTAGAGCGAAGTCTCAAAAAGAGAGGCAAGAAGATATGCGATGACAAACAGGCCTGTGAATATTTTGAAAGAATTGCAGGACAAGTACATGGCAAACAGAGTTACGCTTATGGCCAGCGATGTTGAGTAGATGGAGCCGTTTAAAATTCTGCGTATTCTCGCAGGCGTAGAAATAAAGAACGGGATGAAGAACGGGAGAATGTGGAGAGCAGTGGAGAGCAAGGGAAGGACAATGTGGATAACTTTTCTGTGTAGGTTCTCTCTGTCCGTGTACAGTTTTATGCTTGCGAGGATGCTCACAAACCCAACTAATAGTGAAACATTTGCTTCTTTGAAGTACATTCTGCTGATTCTTAGGGGAATTTAAATTTTTAATTTATTTATTGGATGATTGGTTATTCAGCTCGCGTATAAATCTGGTTGGTATTATTCTGTCAATTGCCATCATAACGGCGTTTCCCTCTTCTATTGGGAGCTTCCTTCTGATTTCATCTTTCAGAGACTGCTGCAGGTTATTGGATACTGCTTTTATCTCCTCTGATAGATTTTTGTTTTTGTAAATAAGCTTGGAAACTTCCTTCATTCTTCGCAGGATGTCCATGGGCACTCCTATTCTCCGGAGAGGAAGCACCGTCTCCACTCTTATCACGGGCGGGTGCAGCACTGGCCTTTCTATCTTTTTTGCAGCTTCTGGCGTGTTTTTGATGTTTTTTGAATTTAAAAATTTTTCGTTCAGCAGCCGCACTAGCTCAGGGTTTATTAAATGCTCTTTCTTTATTGTCTTTGGCTTCTGTTTTATCTCTTCTGTTTCTTCTGCTGTGTCCTGGAGGATCATCGACCGAACATTCACCCTTTCAATCGAGGAGACAGGCCTGTTGAGTATTCTGAATATCTCTGTGTCTACTTCGTTCTCCTCTGAGCCCATCATCAAATATCCGCTGTAGAAGTAGTTCACAAACGATAAGAACGAAATGTTCATGTTAAAATACGCAGAGAGTGTTATCTTGTTCGAAATAACAAACTTGGCTCTTCCGCTGCTGGAGGTCTGCTCTATTTTTGTGCTCTCTTCCTTCTTTACTGTTTTTAGAAGCAGCTCTCCAAATATCTTGTAGAATATTTTGTGTTCTGATTGGTTGATGTTTTTGTACGTCTTTTGCAGCTGTATGTTCTTCTTCACTGCCTCTGTTATTTCTTCTTTGCTTATCATTCTTTTTCCTTTTATTGTTTCCTGCACTATTTCCAGATCTGCTCTCTCTAACCCGCTGACCACCAGACTCGTTTTATCCTCCAGCGTGATAAGCAGCGAGTCCTTCTGTATTTCTGCTGCTCCTATCTTATCCAGCTCCACTACTTCCTTGTCTCTGACTATTTTCAAGTATTTGCGGCTTACACCCACCAGCCCTCTCTCTCCGTTGACTTTACACTCATACACCCGCATAAAAAAATAGCACAATTCTCTTCTGTTTACTTATTTTTATTTTTATTTATTCTCTATTCTGAGTATTTTATCAGCCACAGGCTCGCCTGTTTCTAACTCTATTTTCAGCTTAGAGCGCTCCTTGTTTATTTTTGAAACTTTTAGGTTGTTGTCCACGGTGAAGGCGTAGCTTCCTTCAATGTTTGACTCTTCTGTGCTGGTTTTAGTCTGTTTTTTGTACTTTATAGTCACTATGTTCTTGTTCTGCTGTATTTCTATGTTGTCGCTATTTAGCCCAGCAGGCATAGTTATTTCGTACTCATTGCTATTTATCTTATTGATGCCCCCATTCCCTGAGATAGAAGCGCACTCGCAGTTGTTGTTGTCTATTTTGTAGAGATCCATAGGACTAAAATACCGCAGTAATATATAACACAGCCAGCCAGTGAAACAGCAGACAGAACAACCAATCACAGCACAATAAGTAATGCCACTGGACAGACCAATTGCACTGTACAATAAAGTGCAGACCGGCCAACCAATTAGACAGCAAAGAATAAGACTGTAGAAGAAATAATAGCAGAAGAAATAAATATAAATACAAAGTCACCATCTATCTGCAGATAATTAATGGACAAGTAGAATGAATGAAGGAGTAATTATGAAGTAAGAAGTTAAAGCAAAAAGGGATACACGCATATCCCACATCCTATGATGATCAGCCAATCAGACCAGGATGATTTACAGTGGACACTTGCATCGCGGACCTTTCTCGCTAGTAGCAGACAGCAGGGATGAGTGATCACACAGGCAGACCTGTTATGAAAGTATATGCTGTGGAGTCTCTTTTCCTACCCGCATTTGGGGAATTGCGCGCGTATTTATAGACCACAGATTTCCTTAAAAGGAAACAGAGCAAATACTTCCAAATAAAGCGAGAGAATTCCTTCTGGATTCTTCCATTGGCGCACAGATGAGGAATACTTTACATAGCTTGCCGTATATGGTAGGAGACAGAGCCCCTGCTGCAGAGTTTTCAGGGGAGAATATTTGGAGAAAGGTGCTCACGAAAGAAGCTAGCAATGGACAAAAAGAGACAGTGGAAGACGAGACAAAGTGTACACACACCTAGCACAGTGCACACAAAGAGAGCACAAAAGGACAGAACAAGAGACACGCTCTGTCTCATTAGCCTGTTTCTACCTATACAAGCTAGCAATAAAGAGTATTATACGGGAATAGACTAGCAGCTGCCTCCATTGCCAGCGATGCTTCATCGATAGAGGCAAATATTGGCTGTTTAGGAGCAGCTACTAACACTAGCAAGAAATTAAAATATAAAGTATAGCAGAAGAGAAAAAAGCAGAGAAAGAAATACAAGAACGTAGTTGTAGCTACTAGTTGGCTAGCAGCATAGTGGTTAGTAAGCTAGCCTAGTGTCTCTTATTTACTAGACTAGAGGCAGGATTAGAAGACATATTCTGTGGTAAGCATTAGTAAGTGAAGAAGGTGTATATTTGCTATGGGTTATATTTATTCTGCTGTGTTGAGCATTACTTTTATAGCTAGTACTGCTATGCATATGGCTGTCTGTATAATCATGTAGTATGTAAATAGAGTGTTCTCTTTCATTGGCCCTTTGATGACTAGCACTATATTTAAGATGGTAAAGTTGCTAATGGTATAGCTGTCTTTATCTTCAGCGCAGGAAATAATCCTCAGCTTAGTAAAAAGATAAACTATGTTCCTTCTTACTGCGCTCCCTAGGATATACTTTTTACTAACAGTAAAAACAGAGGGAACTAGAAGAATTTCATTGGTGCTAGTATTCATCACATCCATTGCACTATTTAGATTGTTTTGGTCTTTAGTAACTTCATTATCGTCTTTTCTTTTTTTCTCGATCATTCTATTTATTCTGCTCTTTTCCTCTACTTCTATTTCTTGTGTTATCTCTTGATCCATTTCCTTATTCTCTTCTGGTTCAGTGCCTGATAGCTCTATGATGCCAGGCATTCTGTGTCTGGGGCATGGCAATATTTTTATGAGCTGTGGCATGCTAATAAGGAAGTTAATGAACTGCGGAGTGCAGAATAGGAAAATAGTCTTAAGAAAGCCTCCCAGCAGGCCTATGCACAGGAACGAGCACCCACTGAAGTAGCAGAAAGTATCACCAACAAAACACCTAGAAGGAAACCTGTTCCAAATGAACAAGCCAAGAGTGCTAGAAAACAAAGACAGACACAAAAGAATGCTCAGCGCATTATCTGAGTCCGAGAATATGCACCTATCCACAGCCATCATCATGCTGATTACCAGCACCTGTCCTGTTTCTATCCCATTTATTCCGCTGAGAATGTTGATTGCATTGGTAAAGTATATGCTTAAGCAGACGAGACAGAAGTAGAAAAATTGCCCTAGGTCATAAACACCACTGAAAGGAATAGAAATAGACCTGCTCCCTGAATATGTTACTATCATGGGAATAATAGAGAGAATGGGAAAGAGCAGCTTGCATGACCACGGGAGCTCCATCGTGTCGTCTACATAGCCCAGTAGAATATTGAGTATTATGCTGTTGGTGAATATAAGGAGATACTCTTTTTTATCTGTGAAGAATATGCTGCTTATGAAAATGCTGAACACAAAGGAAATGCCAGCAGATAGGCCAATTGACTCTGGGATTTTTATCTTGTTCTTTTTGTGGTAGTCGATTCCAAAAGATTTGCTCATTTTCATGAGATACCTGGAGAGTTTGTATGAGATGTAGCCAGCCATCAGAGGGATAAAAAAAAGAAGCAGCTTGGTGGATGAGGTATAAAGATCAGCTGAGAGATGGCTATTTTTAGTGCTACCTGTCGTATAGCTCTCAATTGGCTTGTAATTATTATTTGAATTGAAATTATTTACACGGCTTCTACTGCAATTATTGCTAATTAACTTATCATTTTCACTCCTTTCCTTATAATCACTGTTTATCATCTTGCACACGCTGTTCTTGCTACTGCTCAGATTTATATCTATTCTGCTACTTTCTACTCTCTTGCTCCAGGGCGAATTGCTGAGATGTTTGTGCTCCTTTATTTCCTGCGCGGTGGTGAATGAACTTTTTAAGAGTTGGCCAAACATTGCGGTACTTCAAAAGCCAATAATTAAATATTTTTATTTTATTTGGTTTTAATAGAAGTTAGTTGTTATTTTTCTTATCTATGGAGTCTATCGAGAAGAAAGGGCTCTTTAAAGAGCTTAACGCTGTCATATCCAGAGATGGGGCTGAGGAGCTGCTGAGAGCATTCAAGATAGATAGCTATATCTGGGTCAGTGGATACTTTATATCTCCTTTCTCTCTGGTAAGCATAAAAAGAGGCCTAAAACAGTTTCTTGTTTCCTGGGAGATGTCGGACACAGGATGGCGGTTCAATTTTGAAAACGATGCGTATGTCCATTTTAGAGGCACATTTTCAAGCCAAATAAAAGATGGAAAGATCCTTTACATAAAAATAAATACCGCAAAGGTAGACCACAACTCAGAAGTGCACTACTCCATACTCACACGGTACTTCAAGTGTCTGGACACCTTTTATTTTATGGTGACATCTGTGGATGACGGCTTTGAAATACTTACCAATCCCCTCGGTGCATCTAGAGGGTGGAGATCAACCGAATAAATATTTGTAATCCAGAGATAGCTATAACCTCTCCACCAACAAATTAGAATCTTATTGCTCTCTGCTCATTCGTATGCTGATAGCAGATGGTTATTTATTTCATCATTTTTTAACTTTTCTTGGCTTTTCTGCTAGCTCATTTCTATTTTTATGTCTCCCTCATTGTTTTATTTTCATTTTCCTACTTTTTCACTGCACTATTTGAGCTACTAGTGTTTTTCCTACAGCCAATACTGTCCTCTTTTTCACTAGTTTATTCTACAGCTACTTCTGCACTAAATCTCTGTGTAACATGCTCTGCACCACATTCTATGTCTCATACTGCTGTACTTCCGGTTGTGCGCAGTATTTTTCTGTTTTATCTTTCCATTGTTTTAATTTTCTTAAAATAAAATGCTCTCAATTTTCTTTTGTTTTAATGGAGTATTATGAGAAAGGTAAACAAATCGTGTTGGATCTAATAGAAAGAGGACCAAAGGCCATCTTTGAAAGACTGTTTGGCAAAGAAACAAACATCCTGTTTTTAGGGATTGACAACGCAGGAAAGACAACACTTTTGCTTCGGTTAAAAACAGACACCATCCACACAGTTGCCCCCACGCGGTCGGTTCGAGAAGAAACTCTGCAAATAGGAAATATGAAAGTGACCATAAACGACCTGGGAGGGCACGAGACCGCCAGACTGGGATGGAGTACGTACTTTTTTCAGTCACACGGTATTATATTTATGATAGACATAACAGACATGGACAGATACCACATAGTTGCAGAGACGTACGCGCATTTGCTGTACGCCATGGAAAAGTCCGGAAGAAAGACCCTTCCCATTGCCGTGCTGTTCAACAAAACAGACATGTGGCAGAAAGTGTGGGAGATGAGGAATCCATCGCAGCCCATACCTGTTTTAGACGAGGCGTATCTGAACTACCTCTGCAGCCACCTCGGAATTGTCACAGGAGACGGAGAAGACGGCAGAAGAATATCTGCTAACTACTGCAGCGTAGTGACTGACTCCATCTCCACGCAGAACAAAGGGTTTATGCTGGCCTTCAAGTGGCTCGACGTTATGATTCGTGCAGGAAAATAAATGATTGAATTTTAAAGTTATCACAGTTTGAGAAACACGGCTATTTACAAGGAAAAGCCAGCGAAAATATTTTCTGTATGCTGTAGCTGGTAGATCATAGCTTAGCACCACTCATTTCTTTATCTCTTATAGCTCTCTTATGGTTTGTTCGTTACTCTTTACAATCTATTTATGAGGTTCTAGTACTTTTACACTCATAGACTTAACTAGTCAGTGAAGAGTGAAGTAAATATCCTAGTGGCAGAAGAAATTAAAAATTAGCATGAACTTAGTATTGGTTGCACTTCTCTTGTAGACGGCTGAGTGAGTGACTATTTGAGCATTTTATTTCAGAAACAACTTGTACTTTTGTTTTGATGTGAGTACGTGTTTTATTCTTTGTGATGTAAATGAGTGCGTGTTTTGCTTCACTTCTCTGATGAAATGAGAAAACTTTTGTGCAGAGTCAGCCAATAGAAAGCAGCACAAAACTTTTTCTATTTCAGCGGTTTTACATTCAGCCTCTTATGAGCTATCTGCGTATCTCGTTTTAAGTTCTGCAATTCTATTCGCAGGATAAGATACGGGATCAAAAAGAGAAAGAATATAACATCGACTCTGCTGCTATCTCAATGAAGCTTTTTCTAGTACTACTATTTCAAAGTCTTTTTATCTCGTGCTACTACTACACAGATGGATGGAGGGGCAACAGGTACCACTCATACACCAGTTCCATCCCTTCCTACCACGCAGTGCACAGGTATACCCAGTCTCGCATTATCCATCCGTACGGGAGCTACTACAACCATCCATACAGCACGCCGTATGGCACTGCATACAACACAGGGTATGACTACTACAACGGAGAGTATGCAGCGCCCTATCCATACCCCAACTACCTGGCATAAGCACAAACCTTCTCTTTAGACAGCTGGTTGGTGTGGTGAAAATATTTGCACTTAGCGGCACACTATTAATGGAGTAATATATTCGGATCTTCTATTATTTATTTATGCGGATTGATGGAAGAAATGAAAGGATCAAAAATAAAGAAAGAGGGTTTGGAAGCATCCAGCCCGTGGAAAACAGGTTTATATCGATGATAGGCGCAGAGAGCACGCAGGGGACGAAAGTCACGGTTAAAATCTCAAAAGTTAAATATTGCAAAAATAGAGGATTTTTTGAAGCAGCATGAAAATAAACAAAAGAGGAATAATCGAAGAGAAGAGGAAGACGAAGAAAATAACAATAAAAGACTATTTATTCCAAGGGGGGACTACTGCAGTGATTCTTATGCTATCTGACCTGCTGGGGCAAATTATCTTGAGGAATGTGAGATCGTACTTCGTTACGCCTCTTTTCATGGGGCTGTATGGGTTTATTACAGGGAATCTGTGCTTTTTGATGTACACCAAGCTGGACTCCTTCGAGGGCCCGGACCTAGACAGGATGAAGGGGTTTAGCTGGCTGAAGATCAAGCTGGCCTTCTACAAGATGCTCTTTGACCAGTTTGTGTGGTCGCCCTTTGGAACTTTTATGTTTATTTTTGTCTCCAGCGTGGTGGACAGCAAAAACTTCAGTCTTTCCAAGGTCATTGGAGACTACTTCCGAATTTTATTCGACAGCTACAAGATATGGCCTGTCATTCAGATGATAAACTTTTTATTTGTTCCCTTGGACTTGCGCGTGATGTTCATTAGTGTAGCATCGCTGCTGTGGAGCACGTATGTAAAGATAGCCAGACAAGCATAAGATAGAAATAAATGTGAATGTTTTATTCATGGCTGGAGTGCTGGAGGCTGTCTTATCTTTTATTCAGATTCTGTTCTAGTTTTAGCTGCATTGTAAGTGGAAAGAGAAGAGTTTACGGTTAGTGTTAGCATGCGTTTATGATGGAATCTTAGAGGAGATATTTATTAGGATTATTTATTGATCTTAGTAGTTTTTACCCTACTTCATTTGATGGCGCTATGGCTGTATTTGCGGTAATATTAGTTTATTTTTCTGATGAAAAGTTTTCGTCTTGAAACTGAAGAAGTAGACAAAAAATTAAAATGGAAGTGAAAAATAAAGTGAACATTTTTGCAACTCTTTATTATTTTATTGTTAGATGGAGACTGAAAATATCCACAGAAATTGGCTGAGCGTGTTTGGTGGCCTTCTGAAGGACCCACGCGCTAATCTTAAGCAGATTTCTTCTATTCTCAGCAGATCCCATCGGTTTTTATCTATTATTTCGTCTGGCGGTGTGTCCAGCTCGTACTCTTCGTATGCGGACAGTCTCAGACACTCCGTGGAAGAGATTTTCAAAGTTTTAGCAGACCATTTGGAGAGCGAAGATGCGCACGCAGGAGTGTACTTCATACTCTCCAACTACAAGAAAATAGACGCTTTCAACGTATTGCCTGTCTTATCAGCTTTTTTAAACGGCAGATTAACTGTTTTTCTGGTTAAAGCAGTTGAAAGAATATGCAATGAAGAGAGCATGCACGGCATGATAGAGCCCTATGCAATAGATATTCTCGCGGTGGCATCAAAGGCTGCTACATCCTTAGACCACTTGGTTGGAGAAAGTTCTGTGCGGGTTATTTTCAGCTTGTACAAGAGAAAGAGAAGTGAGCAGACATATCTCTCCAAGCTAACAGAGGCATTCCAGATGCGATACCTTGACCTATTCATATCAAAGATATTCCCTACTGTTGTAGCGAGTGAAGACATTAAATTTGTTGGCTCACTAATCCAGATTCTATCGGGAATAAAGGAAATTCCAATACTCCTGATAGCACAGTCTCTGTCGCGCAATGACTTACTGAACATTCCAGAAGAACTACTAAAAATGATTGTGGAGAGAGCAGAGAGTGCACAGTTGCCACAGGAGCACATTGCAGGAATAAAAACAGTATCAAAAATACCAGAAACAGTAGACACAGATGAGCTAGTGAGCATGTTCCTGAAGTACAACAAGAGCGAAGTGCTGTACAACCAGGCAGATGCTCTTTTGGTGCACATAGAGATCTTAAATGGTCTAAATACGCCTGCACAGAGCGAAGAAACAGATGAGAATAGCAAACAGTCTAACACTACTACATATGGTAATAATTTTGATTTAAGATATCCTGATGAAAAGACAAAAGGCAACAAAATGCACAGCATAAACGAGTTCCTGAGCGCTCTGACAAGAACAGCAGACGGCACAAGGATACAGTTCTGCAGGATACTGTACCACATGATTGTTCCTTCGCAGAAACCCGTCCTTCTTTCTCTCCTCAAAAACAAAAACATCCGCGTTAAGTGGAATGCTCTGCGCACACTCGGTGCATACGCCCTTTCAGAGGAAGAGATAGAAGTAGTGCTAAATTTGCTGATGGCAACAGAAAACGAGAAGATAAAGATGTGGGCCCTGAAAATACTCGAAGCATCGAAGAAGAAGTACGCTCTTCCCGGCCTAAAAGCAAAAGACACAATCTACAAGGAAGAAATAGAAGACCTCATCCGCCGCATAAATTAATTCGAATATTTTCTTTTTTATGGCAGTAAGCAAAAGAAGAATTACACAGAAGTGCAGGAAGACAGTTGAGGAAGAAGACCTGTCCGAGCCAGAAGAAGCAATCCGATTTGATCCAAATAAAAAAATACTCAGAGCCAAGCGAAGAAATGAAAGACCAAACGGCCCTCGTGTGAGTCTCCTGGGGAATAACAACAAAATAAGCCCAATCTTCACAGAAGACCAGAAAAAGAAAGGCCTCAACCAGTCGTTCATTGAATCGGTCAGCAAAGCCTACAAAATCGACAACAGGTACAACTTTGCAGACCTATTCACCCAGTACAGCGCATACAGAGGAGAGATCGAACAGAGATCAGAACAGAAAGAACAAAAACCAGAGCTAATAAAAGGGCCAATAGATCTTTCCACTATTCTTAGATCGGGACTGTCAGGAGCACAGCCATCACCACAGCAGCAAACCACACAGTTTATTCTCAGCCAGCACCCGCCCATGACAGCCAGCAGCACTCTATTCGCACCGCACACACCCAGTGAAAAAAGAACAGAAGAGACAGCAAAGAATGAAAAAGCACACAGCGCACAGAATGAAAATAAAAAAGAAGCAGAGGAAAAAAGTAAAAATAAAATAGCAGCCGATAAGGGAGACGATAAACCACAGGAGAAAAAGGAAAAAGAAAAGGAGGTAAATGAAGACATAAAAGATAGTAAGAAAAAAGAGGCAAAAGACATCAAAAAAGAAGAAAGCAAAGACATCAAAAAGGATACAGTAAAAGCAGAAGCATCTGTAAAACAGACTCATCCTAAAGAACAGGAAGACAAAGAAGAAATAAAGCCAGCCACTCTAAAAAAAGAGATGAAAGAAGACAAAAAAGAGACGAAAGAAGATAAAAGTGCATCTGAGTCTGATGTTTTATTCGATCTGAACTGTAAGATATTCCTGCGCAAGACGTCTAAATTCGATGACATTGGCTTTCATCGCGTAGTTGTCCACAAAAAGAATAGTGAAAAATACATTACTATCTACAACAGAAACACTGAGATAATTTCTGTCTCTGTCAATAAGTCGTCAATTCGATCAGAGCCAGGCACCAAGGAGCTTGCGTTCGTAGACCCCAGCACCACTTCTCTTTACAAAATAAAACTAGCCACAGTGAAAGATTCAAACAGCCTGAGAGCAGCCTGCAATAAAAAGACAGCCAAGAATAAATAATTACTATGCTTTCACAATGTTTTCTTCTTCCATTGCTCTTTCTATTATCTTCTGTGCTTCATCTCCTAGCTCTGAGAGATCACCTATTGGCTCAACGGGAATGTCCTGCACTTCTTCTGGGTCTCCTTTGAAGAGGCTTTTCCATGGCCCCATTTCTTTTTTTACCAGGAGGACATCCACTTCTTTGTTTTCAAATGACCAAATGCACTCATCTTCCTTCACGGGTAGGTATAGCTCTCTGTCCAGCACTGTCTCTTTGTTCATTCTAATTACAAGCCTGTCTCCTGCAGTGATACTTATTCTATCAGTTGCCTTCTTCTCCAATGGCAGAACAACTGATACTTCCCTATAAGTCTGCATCCATCTCATAGCTCAGAATAAAAGCAAAAAACAAAACAAGATGCAAATATTTTCGCTAGATTAGTCCATTTCCTGCACCCATTGCTCGTGCAGGGGAGTAAATGATGAGATGTATTGCAAACTGAAGTAAAGGCACACTTTATTCTTGTTGTCCTAGATTGGTAATGGAATAAATACCAAAAGTAGCACTTGGAGTGAGCCAATTCATCCAGCAAGAGAAATGCTCAACAGAAGAAAGCAGAGAAAAATAAGAAATAGCTCAGTGCCCATTAATACAGTCAAATGCGGAAATTAAAAGGGCTACGTAATAGAGCTAAACACAATCAGCTGCCAATATCCCAATTAACATAGTTTATCAGTACTACTTAATTTTCCTATTAGAGAAATTCACTCATTACTACGACCTTGTGAATCTCCTCTAAGAACAGCCAATCGTTGCACACTTTTTCTGTTTCCATTGCTATAAGACAAAACAGGGATAAAACACCACACAAAACAAGACACATGCAGATGCAGAAGTACCTAGAGAAGGAAGAAACAGTGGAGCATGAAATACTGCTGCAGGGCACCATAAAATCGATCAAGGATGCAACGCTGGAACTGTCAGAAATAAACACCGTTGTATCGGCGCAGGGAGAGATAATCAAAAAAATTCAGAACAAAATAAACGAAACAGAAATAACCCTCAGAAGAGCGAGCAAAAAACTCTCCAGGCTCCTCAGGCGGTCTAAGAACAGAAGGATTGTTTCTTTTTGTTTACTCTGCCTCACAACCATAGGCATACTTATCCTGTGCATGTACACATACAAATACAAATAATGGACAGAACAGGACAGCTCCTCAACACTCTCCCCGGACAGATAGTCAGATCGATAGAAGACACCCCTGTAAGCTACAACGTAATAGTTATGGGAGAAAGCTATTCTGGAAAAAGCTCGCTGATTAGCTCGCTCTTCAGCATAGAGACAGACAGTGAGCTGATCAGAGACGATACCTTATTCCACGAAGTGTGCGACATGGCGTGCACCAATAACCCCCTGGCCGAGCTAATGGATACAGAGGCGCACTGTCTAGAGCGAAACAACACCTCAATTTCAGCCACAAGATACATTCTCAATGAAAGTGGAATAAAAATGAACTTAACCGTGTATGAAATAGGAGGGATAGGAGACTCTGTGAACAGCTCGTACGACTGGGTGCCTGCTAAGAACCTTGTGCTAAACAGGTACGAAGAGTACCACATGGAGGAAGACCACGGGCAGCTGAAGGAAGACAAGAGGATACACGCGTGTCTGTACTTAATCAGCCCAACAGATGTCCTCAGAGAGATAGATGTTTTGTGCATGTACGAAATGGGAAAAATAACGAACTTAATTCCGATCATATCTAAGTCAGATATGCTCACTGAGGAGAAGTACAGGGAAATGAAAGAGGCTGTGTGCTCGCATTTGATCTCCAGGAATGTCCAGCTGTTCGACTCCATCTGCGTGGACGAGTGCAAGAAAGTGGTTGAGCTCAACTTTCTTCCCTTGAAGTTTTCTACGCCTGGCAGAGTATATCCGTACGGCACCTCGTCAGAAAACGATGCAGATGTCTGCACGCTTCGCGATCTGCTGATATCGCAGCACTTGGTTGATCTGAAGGAGGTGACTGACGGGTACTACGAGACGTACAGAAGAAACAAGCTGATAGTTGAAATACTCATAGTGAAGGACTCGGGGATAAGCGAAGACTTCCAGAGGAGAATGGAGCTAGAAGAAGCCAAGGCAAAAAAACTAGCGAAAAAGATAGAAGAGAAAAAAGCAAGCTACCAAATCCTGATAGCACAGCACAAGAATGCAATACCCAAGGAGCTACTGTAGCGCAGTAAGATAAATAAAGAATCAATTCACTGAGCTGCTAAGATGTGCCCAAAATGGACAGCTATCTCAAGATTAAAATGGCTTAAAACAGGACATGTTCTTGACTATTCATTACTACTAGAGTGCAATCTAAAGAAAACTTTTATTCACAAGAGCTGCTCTAGCATTCGAATTATACTAAATCATAAACTGCAGCAGAAATAGTTCTGCGATTATTTTTATTCTTGGGTATATTACCATATCTATACTACCAGAGGAGAGTGAAAACATCCGAATATGCACAACTATTCATCACTCCACTTCTCAATAAATATTTGAGCAGATATTCTTGTCTCTATGCGCTGTGCTATCTTTCACTGCTCTACTCTTAGTTTCTCTGCTATCCTTTTATTTTGCTTTATTTCTGCAACTTTTCTTTTTTCAGCTGTTGCTGGTGAGGGCGTTTTTATTGAATGAAAAAATATTATTTCTCATTTTTGCAATGACAGCAATGAAAGAGAAGAACATCCGGCATATGCTTTTATTCCCCCTGGGAGCAGCATACTCTGCAGCAATGGCTGTAAGACACACAATACTTCCTACGTCCAGCGAACTCGTCAATAGCTTATTCTCAGTATGCAATTACTCTGCTATTGTTCTAATTATACTCGCAGCTATTTTTGCGTCAAAACGAACCCCCCTGGATAAACTGCAAAAAATATACGGCTCTGTTTTCATTGGGGCTTCTTTCTATCTGTTCCTACACAGACTCAGCGCCTCTCCCATCCTAGCACGCATTGCCATATTCGCACAGAACTATCTTTGCCTGTACTTCGTGGTTGGGTCTATTTTCATGTGGGACTCTCTCCCTTTTATCTCGATCCTTTCCAAAGAGCTGTCTCCAAACACGCACTGGGACTTTAAGCTTGGATACTTTGTCTTGAACATATCGATATACTCCACACACACGTACTCCCTGCACTTTTTCAACAGCCAGCTGGATCTTCCTGTGGCAGACTATGGGTTCTTTGGGTGCATGTCCATATTCTACATCGCAAACACGATTATAGGCCCAATTGCCGAAAGACACAATGCAACCAAGAAGGCTACCCTGCTGTTTTCCTTCCTCTCTGCGTTGGTCTACACTTTTTTCATTGTGATAAGAGCGTTCAAGGAGCAGCTTAGCGGACTGTTCACTATCTGCAGCGTGTTCTCTCTCTACGTGATTATTCTCTCTCCTATATTCCCACTGTACGATGTTCTAGTTATGCACCATCTTTCCAAGGAGTACAGAGAGCTCGAGAAAACAGAGAGAAAGGAAATATTCACAAGAATAAGAATGTGGGCATCCATTGGCCATGCCATGTCAGGCATTGTCATATCGTACATCTACAAGACCCTAGACATGTCCAATGGAGTAGCCAAGAAAGACGACTCGTCCCTGCAGTTCTTCATTCTGATAGCTGTAGTAATTATCAGCACAGCGATGTTCATACACATTGTCAACTCCTCACTAGAAGAGAAAACAGATGCAGTCAGCACGCAGGCTAAACAAAAGACAGAAGAAGAGATAGCAGTGGAAAAGACAGTATTGCTGGAAGAGACAATAGTTAAACAGGCAATGGATGATGAGATAGTCAAGCAGACAGTATTAATAAGCCAGGAGACAATATCAGCAGCGAAGAAAACAGAAGAATTCGCAGATCAAAAAACAGAGAAAAATCAAAAAGATAATGCAACAGACAGCGAGAGAACAGTCAGAATAGAGAGTAGAGCAGATGGAAAGGATGGCACGGAAGGAGCACAGAGTGATAAGCCACAGAACCTTCTCAAAAGCGGTAACTTTTGGTTCCTTGGGTTTGTTATTGCAGCCATTGGAGCCACCCGTGGGATCTCTTCTCATTTCCTTGTCACTTATCTCTCCGTGTATTTCGATGTTAAGTTTTCGAAAGTCACCTCCATCCTGTGCATACGAACATTCAGTGAGATGTGCATACTCTACTACAGCAAGCACCTTCTGAAGTACTTTGGATACTACTGGCTCCTTCTGTTCTCTCTGCTCGCTGCTACCCTGAGAGACTTCAACTACTCTTTACTTCCTACCAATAACACTATTTTATTCGCAACAGCCAACGAAGTCCTGAAAGGCATCAGCTCTTCCTGTCTTACTTTCAGTGCAGTGAACATTGTTGACGAGCTCGCTGATCACAATAACAAGGCGCTGGCACAGACCTTCTACAGCGGAGTGTACAATGGAATATCCATCCTTCTGTCTTCTATTATGAGCATATGCATTATTCGCGTATTCAGAGACTTTAGATCCCTTTTCCACGTCTCCTCTACCATTGGATTCATCTGCTCCTGCATTGTCATCGTAAAGTATGGATTTATAGACAACAAGCTGACACTTAGAAGAAGAGTCAAATAAATAAAGTATCTCTGAAGATGGCCAATGCTCTCCTATTCTGTCTGTCTTCAGTGCTCATGTTAGCTTGGATACTATTTGTGCTATATTTTCATTATAGTTCATTGACTCTCTACTTCCTCTGCTAGTTATATTCTCTGCTTCTTTTAATCCTTGCCACTGCCATCTATCTGTTGGTCTCTTCTTCACTGCCACCACTGGTTGACTATTGACTGTTCTCTTCTACCTTCCTTCTCGTGCTGCTCTCTTCTCTGCAATAATTAAGAATTAATTAATTGCTATTTGTATTTATTATTTCCATTTATTGCGTGTCTATTTCATTAATGGAGTCTTCTTTATTTTTTATTCTGAGCTTTTCTTCGATAATTAATTGGGTGCAATTTGTCTCTTCCTGGATTCTCGTGTATAAATAAAGGGCAGATATTTAAAATGTGACTATGGTCTTATTTATTCTGTAGATGAGAAATAACTGCACACTAGACCGATGAAAATGCACCAGGTAGCACTGTGCAGAAGTTTAGGTGCAGCTGTATTAGCTATTGCAAAGTAGCCATCCGAAGACTCTTTTGAAAAGGGACCTGATATAATTATCCATCTTCAGCTGCATACTTACTTTTATCTGACTACTTTTACAGAAGTACTGACGACACAGAAAGCATCAGCGTAAATAGAATTATCATTGCGCGAATGGGATAGGGAGTCTGTAGCGACTCTGGCACATGATTGTACATACTGGACAGTTGATATATGATTGTTGTGCGGGGGACTTAGGTCCCCTTTTTTCTTAAAATCTTTTAAAAGGGTAACCAAACGCGCACACGCTAACACCAATACATCAGGTAATTGTCCTCAGGTCAATTCACTCGTTGACTTTTACATTAGAGTTGATGTGGTTCCATCATCCCATGCATAGTTTTTTATGAATTCTAGTGTCTCTGAATTAAAACTCTGTATTTTGTCACTTAGCGAGTTGCTAATGCACACACTCAAACTGGCTAGATTACAGTGCAATCCCATATAGAGTCATAGCAGTGTTCTATCTAATTCATCGAAGCAAAATAAGTATGATTCAAATATTTTTATTTCTAGTTTTACTCTTGTAGTAAACACAATGCTTACGTGTTTGCAACAAATACATAAGCAGCTTACCTTCAGAAAGTCTTTTCAATCAGCAACTACCTAATCGATTATTGGGCTGATGTTTTTAGTAATTGGAAGAAGCGATAGAGCATAGTCACTCAGAGAGAGCTCTGACTTAAAGTAGCATAGGATAAATAGGACAGAGAATCCAGAGACAACTGATACGGCCAGGAAGCCAAACAGCCAGCCCATAGAAATTGATTTTAGCATCTGCCGGGTTCCGGAGAATGTGAATATTTGAGATTTGATGTATGCAATATCTCTATGGTAATTACCGTCTATAGCATCGTATTTGTCCATAAAACTAATTAGATTATTTAGATGCCACTGCTTCCTTTCTTCTAGTCTAGTTATTTCTCCTTTAATTCCTTCATCTTCTGGATTCTTTTCTAGCTTTTTTTGTAGCTCTTCTAGTTGCTTATTTAGATCAGCTCTTTTTTCATCAGAAGATGCTACGTTCAGTCTATATCTGTATTTAGGCATATTTTTATGTCCTAATTCTCTCTTATCAGTGATAGCAAAAAAGTTCTCTGTTGCGATAAAGAATGTTGTTAAAAATGCTGCATTGAAAGTTAAAGCTACAAAAATAGCAAGCTGCAAGAGCGCTACCCATGCAAATCCGCTGCATATATTCTCTATCCAGTATCTGTTTAAAAGCAGCGCAAGAGAGGAAGCCAGCCCTGCCAAGCAAACTAAGCCATCCAAAAAATTGTAAGATGCGAAACAGTCTTTTATCCAGTCCAGAACTAGCAAAGAATACATAAGCATGACATAAAGGATCAGAATGTACAAAAGTTTGGGAAAACTAATGCATACCAGTACTAGTATAGCTACTAAACTATAGCTCAAATGGTTTAAAAAGTGCTGCATACAGAAATTTCTTACACTCTTGAAGAAGAACATAGCCAAGAAGATTATGACTATATATTGGAACAAGATATAGTATACAACTAAAAGAACCAGTATACTTGTCAGAGACTTAAGTATATTTTTAAATGTTAGCTTACTAACTAATAGTTTGCAAAAAAACTTTATAAGAGTCTGTGGGTCTTCTAATCCAGATGTGACACCAATAAATCTTTTGGCATCACTATTATCTGCATCACTATTATTCTCAGCAGTGCTATTTCCAATATTGTATACTGTGTGATCAGTGCCATTTATATCAGAGATATCTCTGTTCGAAGACATGCCCTGTTCTAGTGTATCGTCTTGTTTTTCATGTAAATCACTGCTAGATAGACTGATGTCTTGTTTTTCATTCTTTTTTTCTTCCATTGTAATTTGAAGTAAATTTTTCATAACATATTTATATGGCGAAAAATAGCTTAAATACCAATAAAAATAATTTATCTAGTTTAAAATGCTCGCACAAATATTAAGGCAATCTATTGGTTGCCTATTGATTTTTGAGTAAAATTGCAATATTGTATTTTCTTTTCTAGCTTTCATTCCGCTGTCCAGAATATCTTTAACTTCCAGAGCTTACTAGCTTGGATCTTGTTCTAACCATTAAATCCAAAACCAAAATGAAGAATAGCAATTGGCTGTATGTCATTGTAGTTCTCATACTACAGTAGATCATTTTATCACACACAAATACTACTCAGCTCTGCATTAAGCCATCCAAGTAACAGAATGGTTGGATAAAATATTGGAGTAAAAATTTGCACTCTCTTTTTTGGAGAGTTTCTCCTCCCTCGTGCTATTTACTGCTATTCTACAGTCTTCCATCCCTTCTAACCTCTTTATAGTGCACTAAACATCCATTAAAGCCTCTACGGCCTATGAACGTGTGCTAATGTCCGTTTTTTGGCATGGAGGCTAAGACATCAATAAATATTTTACAGGGGAAATCATCAATTTATTAATAAAATTTTGCAAATTTATTATGGTCGTCGTACATGCTATAGCTACATTAACAACTATAGGAGCAGCTACAAAAGCAACAGGAGCTGTAGGCTCGCTGGCTGCTCTATTCGGAACTACTACTCTTCAGATACTCTCGAGCAGCACAGTCCTCGGAACCGGCACAGCAGCCATCAGTCTTCTCATCCACATGGGCATGCATGCGTTTGACGTTTACTCAAAACGACTAAACAAAATTCCGCTCCCAGGAGGAGACATGCCGAGCACCGGTCCAGACTCACCAATATACAGCATCACATCCACAATACTGAGCAAATACTCTGATACGATGGAAACAGCTAAAAATCTCACTCTGTCGTACTCCGTCACCAATTCGATATTTGCAATGATCTTATTCGCCATTGGTCTAACGGCCATTTCCATTGCATTTTCATTTGTTCTTTTGTCCACCGTGACCCACACGGCTTCTGCTGTCAGCAAAGTGCTGGAGTACAGCGGCCTAGAGAACGCCGTGAAAAGAGAAAAAGACGACACAGGAATTATCAGAAAGGACATAACAAATAAGAGCGAAGAAGGAAAGTACGACGTAAAATTCTCTGAAAAAGACGGGGAGAACATGATCCAAAGCAGCTACTACTCCATTTTCAGAATAGCAATGGTCTCATCCTTCCTCGTGATGATTGGGCTTGTATCCTCGTACCTTGGAATGGTCAGCATAGGGTACATATTCCCTGTCTTCTCCAAGCCGTACTTCATGGACACTTTGCTGAGCTTAAAGGCGCACTCCCTCATATTCCTAGACGCAGTGCAGGGCACAGTTGAGCAGTCTTTTGTTTCTGCTCTGTTCACCGGTCTGATTGACTGGCTGGTTTCTCTTTGGTTTATCTTCAAAAGCGCCGCACTAAACTCCAACTATTTAATGAGCTGGCTGGTTGCCATATTTATATCCATTGGTGCGCTGCCTGTTGCCTACTCTCTGGCTCTTCTGAGGCCGTCCAATCTGGTCAAAGGATTCACCGAGATAGTCAACTATCTGGTCAAGTCGCTATTTATTATGCTATTCGGTATAGTATCTCTTATACTGCTTATGTATCCCATACGAGTGCTCACCATTGTCTTCCCTTCTACGCTTATACTGATTGAGTTCCCTATTTCCTTCATAGCATACACTGTCAGTGAAGTGATCAGCAGAATGGCAACAGCACCCATAGCCACAGCGCTCACAGAGAATGCTCTGCTCGTATAATAGCTACATACATGATAAAATAAACCATACTATTTTCCACACTTTTATTACACTTTCATTTTAATAATTAGCTCAAAGAAAAAAATAGTACACTATTTATTATTCGCTAGCAATTTAAATTTAAATATTTATTCAAATAGCAGAACATCTGCTTCTAGTTTACACTATGCAATCGTGAAGTGGTAGAGATGGAAAAGACAATGATGCAGTTATATTCCCAGCTGGTCATCTAACTGTTTTGTTATTAATAACTGTACAATATAGATGTAAGATTATAAGAGTTTATGCTCGCTCTTATTTCTGCATGGCTTTATTCCACTGAGTCTTTTAGAAATGTTCGCAGCTGCAGGTAGAAACAAGACTAAAAATTTTCTTGAAGATATCCAAACAGTCTAAACAATGCTGGAGATAGTTGCAACAGAAGCAAGAGAAGAGGCAAAAATAGTAGAAATGAGAGAGGAAGAAGGGTACAAGATGAGGCATACAATGCATGGTTTATTTCTCTGGGGATGTAGTGTTGCTGTGCCCTGCTACAATATCAGATCTTTTTCTTCCAAATCTGGCTGTTATGTTTTTGCCGTGGAACCCTTGGTTGTTCAGCCTTTCCAGGGCGGTGTCTCTGTCGTGTCTGTTCATAAACTCCAGGAGCCCATCGCCAGAGGGAAGAATTCGTAGGTAGGTGGGTCGCGCCCCGCTCATTAGAATGAACGATCTCAGCTCGCTCCAGTCGGAGTTCTGCGGAAGATTCTCCAGAATGAGCCGAGAAATACGGCGCGGTACCTTTGGCCTGTGCCCAAAGACAGGCCCCCGTGTGTATGCAGGCTTTACCGGTCTTTCGCCCTTTGCTGCCTCTATAATGAGCCGATTTCCGTTGATTTCGTGCGTATCGTTCAGTATTTTCTTCCCTGCCTCTTCATCCACTGTCACAAAGCCGTAGGAGCTGTATATCTTTATAGAAAGTATCTTTCCGTATCTGGAGAAATACTCTTCTATCTCTTTTTCCTGCGAGAACTCTTTCAGCCCACCGATGTACAGCTGCATCTCCATGAAACAATGAAAATAAAAATAAATAAATACAGATAGCAATCTGTTTTTAGATAGCCCCAATTATCCACCAATCTCAAAACAAAAACAGACTGAAACTTTTTGCAGTCGAGCAGAAAAATAAATTAGCTCGGAAATTAAAAACAAAAGCAAATAAAAAGAGAGCGCAGGAGAGAGAACTATTCTATTTTTAATGTATGATCACCTAGAATAGAGGACGACCAATGGAGCAGAAGGGCAGTTTGAAAGAGAGATACACACTAGAAAAGTATATAACTGAATTACAAGAGCAGCCCACTCTGTTTGACTGTAGCTAAGGATGTAGTAGTACAATTATTGAAATAATAAGCAAGTATGGTCTGGTGTAATGTATTTACTTAACTAATTACTCTACAGCTTTTCTGGCCCTTTGTAAAACTCTTTGCCTGATCGTGGCTAATAGGGGCCACTAATTACAATATAGCTACAAATAACAGTTGTGATTGCACTTTATGTGTGTTTTATTTGGCGTGTACGATTTTGTTCCTTTTCGCTCGTATTCTGCCGTACAGGTAGATTATTCCTGGGGCGTAGACAATCAGACCGATCAGCGAAAGAATGTTTTTCATGTTTATCATGAGATATATCTCGCAGAGTATGCCGATGGGGTAGAGAATAAGAGAGGCAAGATATCTTATCTTTTTGAGAGGAGGGAATGCGTAGTACAGGAACCTGATGCAGTCAGATATGCCCCACACAAGAATCATAAGACCGGTGATCGTTTTGTTATCGTGGGAGCACGCACACCTGGAGATGAATATGCGCGATGCTATCTGCAGGACTGATGTAATAAAAGACTGCCTTGTTATCCCGAGAAGAGAGAGAAGCGGCTCAAAGGAGTACAGCTCCTGTGCGTTTATAAGGTATTTTTTGTACGAACCTGTGGAGTATCCCTGCAAAAAATAAAGAAAATCTCTATCTAATTTTATGCCGTATGTTGTGGAAAGAAGATCAAGGCCCATTGACACAACTGACCACGAAATGGCCAAACCAAATAAAATGAAAAATGAGCGCACAAAAAGGCCGAAACACACTTTCCTTATGGTTCTTACAAAGGACATATTGCCGCAATAAAAATATTTTAGTTTTATTTTTCCAAGAGTAAAACAATAATGAATGCTTTTTTAATGAGTCCGCAGTGCAGCGGATCGTTCACGTACGACGACTGCATAAAAGATATAAAAAAGCTCACGGAAGAAACAGAAGAGCACAACTACCACTACTGCATCGTGTATCTTCTTGTTTTGAAAGAGCAGATAGTGGAGATTACGCCCGAGAAAAAAGAAGAGTTTGAGAGCGCGTTTCAAAACCTCAAAAAACACGCGAAAAAGATATCGGACAAAGAATGGCACAGTCTGATAGAGAATGCGTCCTACATCACACACAAAGAAGAGAAGATAGAGGAAAACAGAAGCAGCTCGCTGATCAACCTAGTAATAGAGACACTTATCAGAACAAGCTCCGCAGACATCGAAAGAGCGATAGAGGTCTATCTCGAAGAGGAGATGAAAGACCCAAGAACACAGACACAGAAGAGTGTTTCATCAGAGATTATTGAGGAAATTCTTGAAAACATTTCAAAGCTGCCAGAGAAAGAGAAAAGACAGAAAATAAGAACAGTGTCCAAGCTGCTGAAAAAAGAGCACACACCCATCCTTATAAAGTACGTCCACTCTCTTTCCAAAGTTCTTCTCCTCTCTCTCTATTTGACAAACAAAAAAGTGTACAACTCGCTGCACGACGAGTTCTTCAAGAAAGCAGAAACACCAGAGGAGTACGCCCTGCTGGAGCACTTTCCGCAGCTGGATCTCCCACAGATCCTGCGGCTACTCCACAAGAACAGCTCAATATTCAAACTGCTGGACCGAATAATAAAAACAAGACCCGTACACAGAGATAAAATAGTAGACTTTGTGATTGAGTATATATCATCGGGCGGCTCTAGAACTAAATCGATCAACTTCATCAAGGACAATCTCTCCTGTTTCATTGACAAAGTGCAGAGCATAGGGCTGGGATGCGAGGAGGTTCTTCTACTTTCGCAGAGTGATCCCTCTTTGTTGAACTATGCTTTCACCATCATGCACTCGTTAAAAGTCGAGCTAAAAGAAAAAAGAGTGGCAAATGCACAGAAAAAAGAAAGAAGACTTTCGCTGCTTATTTCTGCCCTGGCCACCGAGCTAAGCAGCCTCAGTGCGCCAGCTACCACCGACTCGTCTTCTGACTCTTCGCCCTCCACCGATCGATCATTAGACACTGTCTCTGCCTTTGTGAAGGAAGCGCATAAGACAGACCCTGATCTGCTTTCTAAAGTGTGCATAGCTCTGTTTAGGATGCATCCACCCGCTGCAGAGCTAGTTAGCACGCTGTCTGTTCTTGTGCAAAGTAATACTACACGTTCATTCGTATTTACTGCCCTGCCGTATTTGGACAATAGCCAAAAATTTACTTTACTGCAGGAGTATCTAACAGACGATGTCTCTCTTACTCTTTTCCTCCGTATGCTGCAGCCTGTTGATATATTCGTGCATGCGCACACTCTCCCCCCTGGCGATGCATCCCGCGTGCTCGGTCTCTGCTGGGGACGGCCTGATGTATTCACAGACCGCGTGGTCTCTTCCGCTCTGGGCGAAGTGTGCAGAGGAGATCATCTGCCCCCTGTTTTCTCACGGACTGTAAGGGATGCTCTGCAGGCTCATGCGAACATGCGCCCGTTCATTGCAGGGCTGATGAAGAGAGAGGCTCCTCGACTGCTAGCTGAGTCTGCGGGCGAAGTAGTGAAGATCTTGGAGGCTCTAAAAGAAGGGGCAATTGAGGTGTGTCTGTGCATGACAGAGGAAGAGCTGCCCCTGGTCCTACGGAAATCTAGAGACATAGCAAAAAGATTTCGCGAGTATCTCCGCACACAGCCCAGACACATCAGAGAGAAGTATAGAGAAATTACACAAAAAATATAATGTAAGAGAAATGCCCAAATAGAGCAGGATAGTAAATAAACTGAATATACAATCACACACTATGCATTAATTATCGTTTATTAGGCATTAAGTATACATTAACATTTAATCATTGATCATTCGTTCACTAGAACTATCTGCTACAGTTATTTAAGAGATGGCAAGTGAATAGACAAATTAAACGGTTAAGGATATCCACTAGTCATCTATAGTCCATTTATTATTTGCTAAGTCTACAGTGTATGATTTATATTCACTTAAAATTATTTACACTATGCCGAGAAACAAGAAATATACATAAGATAGCTAATCAACTGTCAGTTAGACCATCTAGTACACACCAATTAGCTGAAAATAAGCTATCTGTTTGTACTGGCTAATTAACTGAGTAGCTGACTGATAGACTTGCGATGATGAGCGAAGATAGTATATAAATAATTGTTTTTTACATTTTTATTTTTATTTTAAAATGGCAGAAGATTACAGAACTTTTCTCCTGGGTGTAGGGACGGGTGTTCTTACCATTGTGTTTCTGCAAATATCAGCTGTCCTTTTTGGCCTTAGGAAGGTTGTCTATAGGAAGAAGTATGCCGACACGTACCACAAAGATGTGTTTGATGACCCACCGAGCGAGCTAGTGAGCCTCCTTAGTATAGCCACCAAAGAGTGCGCAGATCTAGCATGGCTCAACATCTCTCTGCAGCGGTTCTTCTATGAGCTCACAAAATCAAGCACGTTCTACGAGAAAGTCAAGACAACAATGGTGAAGAAGCTGTCAATTGCGTTCTCCAGCGGGATACTGAAGAGGATCAGATTCAAAGACGTGTCCTTTGGAAGCGAAGCGCCGTACATTAAAAGCATTAGAGTGCTTTCCAAAACAGAGATCGACAGAATACTGTCAAATAAAAATAAAGAAGGAGAAGAAGAGACAAGCAAGCCTGGATATTTTAAACAGGTGTATCTTCTTATAAAGATAGACTATACAGCAAAAGACAACTGCATATACATCGATGCTGATCTGATCAAGGGATACTCCATTCCAATCATGGTCAAGCTGCTTCCATTCAAGGGCGATCTGCTGCTCAGAATGCCTGCAAATAATTACTCAACGAGATTCGAGATATCTTTCATCAAAAACCCGGGGTTTGACTTTTCAGTTGACGCAGCCTTCTCGAAAAACGACTCTGTGTTTTTCTCCAACTCGCTCAGCCACATCATCAAGCGAATATGCAAGTATGTGGCGAAGATGTACGTGTTTCCTAACTGGTACTACTACTATCTCCCAATGGTCGTGTCAAGATCAAAAGTCATACAGTACTCCTACTATCCCGTGGTGGAGGAGAGCATAGATGGGCCAATGCAGCAGGTGCGCGAGATACAGAACCTTTTCAGTCTCGACTACAGCATAACGTCAAAAAAAGGAAATATTATCTACAGAAAAACAAAGAGCACAGTGAACATGTCAAACATTCCAATGGAGCGGGCTGAGATAGAGATACCCATCAACAAAATAGGAATAATTGACGAGCTGTTTAACCACGCGTCTGATCTGGACATTTTCTCAGATGTAATCAGCGACTACAAGAAGACAAAAATCATACAGAAATACGGGCCAGGCGTGGACAAGGTGCACATCATCATAGGAAACAGCGTGTACGAGTTTATCCGAATAATAGTTGACGACCTCATTATATTCCAGCTCGCCAACCCAGAAGAGCCGCAGTTCATTGCAATAAGAAGAGAGCCATACCACATCACAATCATACAGTACGTAAATACATCAGAGCCATTCTACCTCGGGAAGTTCAGAATAACAAAACTAGCAAAAAAGCTTGAAAAACAGGAGATGACATTCCTGGGCTCCACCAAGCTCTTCAAGTTCCTCGACTACTCTGTGAAGCAGGCAGAAAGAACCACAAAAATATTTAAGAACAAAAGCAAAAATAAAAATCCACCCACAAACCCCAATAAAAACATCGTGAAAGATAAACACAAAGAGAAATACATCTCAGACGGATATCCGAGCAACATGGAAGAAGTTACATCAGAAGTGAGTATAATCGAGTCGCACTTCAAGACAATAGAAACAAAGCTGCAAAATACGCACCAGAGCGACCACTATCGAATAGACCTGCCGTATACATCAGAAGAGCTGAAAGAGGCTCTGGATGATTCCCTTGTGAGATCTGCTGTGCTTGGATGTTTTACGATTATGGAGGACATTCTCCTGACAGACAGCATAAGAAACACCTCCATGGCGCAGTCTCCGTCAGGGCAGTATGTGCAGCTGCTCAGCTACAGCAGCAGAGAGAGCGATCTGATAATCGAGCGGATTCTTCTCTCAGAGGAGTACCAGGGCGTAACTGCAGCCATTAAAATATTTGCAGGATATTTGGAGATATTCCTGTTTGGATCAGAAGTGAGCAAAGTGTCGTTTAGTGTGTTTACCAAATTAATAACAGCCTCTGTGAAGAGCAGGGAGCTCATTTCTCTTCCCGCCGTAGAGATACCGAGAGCACACTCTTCCACACTCCACAAAACAGAAGGAATAGTGCTCGCATCAGACACTCCTGTGCTCTGCAGTGTAACCATAGAAGTAGATGCAGAGATACTGTTCAATGAAGAGGTGTGCCTGAAAGACCCGTTCATCTTTTCATTGGGCAACGGAAATAGCCGTCCACTGAAGATAAACATAAAAGCAAAAAAGAAATCAAAACTGTCGATAAGGCAGATACCGCAAAAGGAAATAAAAGACGAAACAATAAAAATACACGCTATAAAAACAAAGAAGACTGAAAAAAGAGATGACGCCAGCAGCGACAGCGGTGTATCATCCGATGAACGCACAGACAGTAACAGCATGGATGACAGCAGTGGCAGCAATGAGAGTGATGGAAATATGTCTAGCAGAAGCATGGCCACCAGCACCAGAAGCATCGATACTGTGCACAGCAATGAGACTGGAAGTATGCATAATAGCAACGAACTATACCCAGGTGGCATGAGTAATAGAAGCAACAGCACTATTGTCACTCTCAATAGCAGCAGCACGCCCGCAGACAAGAATGTCTCTCTGCTCTATGCCCATATAGAGGGAAACATCTCCATTAAGAAAAAAGGAAAAATGGTTTTTCCAAAGTCCAAGGGTCTGATCTACTGGAACAGCCCCTGGTCTACAGTCGATAAAAATAAAAACGAAGAGGCTTTCCTTATCAATGGAAATGGATACATGATCAGTGAGGAAGAGATCCAGCTGTTTTGGAAAAACAACGAGGGAAAAGACGTAGTAAAAAAACTAGCAATGGGATACATATGCAAATTACAGAACAATGCTCCAATAGAATAAATACTCTAATACTTAACACACTTACCACCCATTTCATCATAATTGGCTATAGCTGGATCAACAAGCCAGTATCTCTTACCTGGCTGTTATCCACCTATTTTCTGTTGTCTACCACCCACTGCCTATTAACTACGCTACTTACCTAGTTGCTAGTTGCTTTCTCTTTTCTTCTGTGTATTAATTTTCTGTGTTAACTGTGACTGTAAAGAAATAGTAAAATAGTTTAAATGTGTAGTCTGCTGTACGGATATGTTTTTATTTATTCAATGAATAGCCGCTTCTTTGTTTCTCTTTTCTTCAATCTTTTCATTTTCAGTTTCTCTGATAGAGCATCTATTTCTGCATAGTTGTACATAATATTGCTCTCCACATGGCTGTGCTTCGGGGTTTTTATGTGGCTCTCGTAGTCTGAGTACTTGGCTACACACAGCTCGCATATGCCTGTCTTCTTCGGGGCCTTTATCTTTTTATTTGGGGCCTGTCTTGTCAGGCTGATTTCTGGGATGAGGGTGTCTTTGCTGTCTCTGCTGTATTCTTTGTGGAATGGCCTATGCTTCCCCGTGGCGTCTTCAATTAGTATGTACGGATGCTTAAAGACATGGTACTCCATAGGAAATTTGTATGGCGCATATTTAAAAGTAAAAAGGCGGGTTGCATCAGGAAGAAAAAATAAAAAGAAGGGCGGTTCACAGGAAGAGAAGAAGGGGAGGGGAGGAGAAAGAAGAGAGGGCACATGTGCGTGCATGCGAGCAGTGCAGATGCACTTGTTTGCTGCACTGTGTGCAGCAGGTGCTGTCTGTGAGCAACTAAGTAATTGCGCGGGTGGATAGAGCAGACTTGCTGGACAGAGCGTAAAAGCAGTGTAGCTGGGCAGCGCATAAGTAGATGGAGGAAGAAGACAGGACTTAGTGCACAGGAGCGCAGGCTGTCCTATAAATATTAATTTTTTTTGTTTGTTCGGAATGGATAGCATGGAAAGAGAGACAAATACCTTCTCAGAAGAAGGAAGAATCAGGCAAGTGGAGTATGCGATAAAGAGCATCTCGTCTGCAGGGCCTGTGATAGGCCTGCGGTGTGCAGATGGCGTGGTTTTAATTGGCAAGAGCACAGACGACTCTGTCTCTCTGACGCAGGACGAGAAGATATACGCAATAAACAGAAAAACAGTGGGAATAGTTGGAGGCCTGTACGCAGACAGCAACCTTCTTGTCAACTACCTGAGGGCTGTGGCACAGGACTACCTCATGAAGTTTGACACAGAAATGACTCCGCATCAGATAGGAAGATCGCTATCAAAGATAAAGCAGAAATTCACGCAGGGCGGAGGAATGCGGCCGTTTGGTGTCTCTTTCCTGCTTGGCGGGTACGAGAGGGGAGCGTACAGACTGTACTCAACCGACCCGAGCGGCACACTCTCTGAGTACAATGCGCACACGTTTGGAGATGGAGACAAGCTAATATTCCCCGTTCTGGATGAGCACAGCTGCGAGCACTCGATAGAGGAAGGGATCAAGCTCGCATTCAGGGGGATATCAGCAGTGTCAGAAGGCACAGCCATCCTGCCCCACACGATTTCGTGCGCTGTCATCTGTAGAATAAACGAAGAGCAGGTGGTAAGACACCTTACGCAAGTAGAGATAACCGAGTACCTGAAGCATGCAAAACCAAAAACATCCACAGAGTAAATCAAAATCATTGAAAAAATAAAAATCAAAATATTTCCATATCTAATCTACCAGCAAACAACAAAGCAGCATGCAGCCACAGGATACGGCTGTAAGAGAATAAGAACATTTTGCACGCAATACAAATAAAAATAACTGCTGCATAGAAGTGGCCGCTAAGAGAAGTGGCTATTTTGTTTGCTTTTTTAACTGCTCTGAATATTTTTTTATTATGGCCATTCGAGAGCTAAGAGAACACATTGAGAAATTAATTGCAGAAGATAAATACAAAGAAATAGAAGAAGTGATAAATAGGCCAGAAACGGATCTGGCCATACAGGATATATACAGAATACTTGTGCAGAGCGCGCCAGAAGAGATGGAAGTAATTAGAACACTCAATAAGCACAGCTCATCGTACGTCCCATATCTCGTCTATGCAGACTACCTTGTAAGGAAAAACAGAACAGAGGAAAGCATAGAGCACTACCAGACAGCTCTGAAGGTGTGCAAAGACCCGGCAGAAGTAACTGACATAATGAAGATGCTTGTGTTTGCGCACCTGCAGTGCCGCGATCTATCAGGCGCCTTCTACACCGGGTGGTCTCTGATTGAGGCACGCCCCACACACTATAACCTGCGCCTCGTGAGGTTCATCTGTGAGCTGATTGAAAAATCAAAATTGTTGAAGAAGCTTAAATTGGAGGCAGAGAAAACAAAAAGAATAATAAACGAGTCGCTCGCTCCCTCGCTCGAGATAGAGACAGAGCACATAAAAGAAAAAGACATAGAAATAGTGGGAAACCCAGGGATAAAAGAGTTCCTTCAGGAGCACCACATAAGCATAGACGGCTCTTTCGAAGTTGGATACAAAAAAGAAGATTTGCAGTACACCAGCCTCCTGGACAAACAAAAGTACAATGAATTTGTAGAAAAATACCACGAGAATATTGTTCCCTCTGAGTTTAAGAAAGGGGAAAAAAAGGAGGTGGATCTGTTCAAGTACCTCATAAAAACAGAAGACATTCTGCTGCTCTACAAGATAGCCAACACCCTGTACATCAACAGCCATTACAACAGCGCCTCAACAGTCTTCAATGTTTTGATAGAGCAGTTTAACAAACTGCACCATCTGCGCTCTAAGTTCATGCAGCTGGCGACTGTTTTGGACTCTCGGACCTTTCTTGAGATATTCCTGCTGTCTCCGGCACACTACAATCTATACACAGAGACAGTCAAAAAGCACAACATATCGATATACCTAGTGACAAAAGGGAAATCAAAAGACCATCCATTTGACGAAGTATTCCATGAGCACTTTGCTGACAAACTGTCGCATCAGCACTACAATATGCCCAGTACGTACAAAAACATCTGACAGAACAGCCAGAAAATCAGAATTTACTTATAAACAATAAAGATTACACGACTTTTTCTCTATCTTATTCAATTTGAGTTTATTCGAGAGCTTTCTACTGCACAAAGCCTATCTGTATGAAGGTACTGCATGTCTTCTATTATAGCCATCTGGCTCTATTATTCATAGTACTTTTTATCTTCTACCCCATCAAAATAAAAGTGCTGCTTCTACTACACTAATATTGTCTCCTTGCCAATATTTTTGTATTTTATTTTTGTGCTTTTCATTCTATGGAGCAGTCTTACTTTGAGAACTTATTCGCTTTTATGAAAAAGCCCTCTTCGGTGGCTGATATATCCGGTAGCTTTACAGACGCTGACTGGGCAGTGGACTGGGACACTCCTGCTAAGAATATTCCTTCTTTGGGCAAGGAGTTGGAGACGTTTTCTGAAATTTATAAAAGACTTTCTTTTTAATTTGTTGTTTATTATGGACAGAAAGTCATTCAGCAGACTCGTACTCTTCAACACAACCTTCCAGAACACGCAGGAAGAGCCAGAGCAGGAAATAGTTCGTAATAAATCAGAGTGGAACACAGAAATAATCGGACAGCTAAAGAACCTTCAGAATGAAATCTTGTCCAAAGACTCACCAAGCACACAAGAGGTACAATAAATAATTACAATGCAATATAGTCTAAGTCGTCTGCTGGCAGTTTCACTTTCTCCATTATCTCAGAGTGCTCTATCTTTTTCATTTTTCCGTCTGCTGTGATGGATCCCTCTCCCAGAAGCACAATGTTTTCTCCGCGCAGCAAAACAGTCTCGCTCTCGAGAACGCTGTACTCTTCTTCCAGCACCGTCATCTCTTTTGCATTCTCCAAAAGAACGTTATAGTACTGGTCGTACGATCTGAGTATCCCTTCCACTGTCGTGTTGTCGCGCATCAGAATAAACACCACCTTGTCCAGATACTCCTCTAAAAGCCTTATTCCCACGCTTTTTATTCCCTCGGCGTTCTCATGTGCTGCAGATGTTTCCATAAAAATTTTCATTTGCAGATTTTGAAACATGCTAAATATTTAAATATTTAAGGTTTGTTGTTCTCATGCAGCACTCATTAAAGGAGAGCATACAGAACAGCCACAGCTACAAGGCGTACAGGATGTACTTCAGCAGCAGGCTGGTTGTTCTTATGCTGACAATATTCCTATTTCATGTTGTAATTGTCTCGTGCGAAGCTCTCTTTATGATTTACTGCGAGCACAGTTTAAAAAATCAAAAGATTCCAGAAATAAACCCGTCCCTCGAAAAGCTCTTCCTCGCTTCAGACACTGCAAAAGTGTTCGAGTCGCAGGCCAAAATAGCAGGAAAGTGGGCGATTAAAAGGGCTGCGAGCATACTCATAAAAAGCTTTGATTTTATCGTCATTATCGCGTTTTTCTCCCACGGGATAAGAAACTGGCTTATGCCTGCAGCCAGGAGCTTCAAGGGCATCATAAAAATCAACTCATCGCACATGTCAGTTGCGGACAACACGTACCTCTGTCTCTCTCTGCTCGCTCTGGGCATGAAGTCCGTGGTTGCGGAGTGGATCATTGTCTCAAAGCAAGACTACGTGGACTTGCTGCTCAACACCTTCATACAGCTGTGCAGGTGTCTGCTAGTTGCCCCCATTCTCGTGTGGCTCTTTAGCTCTGTGTACAACAAGACAAAATACGGGCTCATCCTCGCTGCGTACATGTCCATCATTATTCTCATTTTAATCAGCAACTGCACGTCAATTCTGCCAGACTCTGTGGAGGGCATGGATATAATACCGGCAAAGGAGCTGGGGCCCGAGCTGTACACTGAGCTAGTCAGACTCAAGCTGGAGAACAAAATATACTGGGACCAGGAGGCAAAGGGAGAGAACGCAGCGCTTGTCAAAACAGGAGCATCAAAGTACATTCTCGTGATGGGTGACTTGCTGAAGTACGGAAAAAAAGAGTTTATCTCGTTCATTGCCCACGAGGTGGGGCATGCAGACGACCAGAGCACAGAGAAGAAGCTGCTCGCATCAATACTTGGCCTTGGGCTTACGTGTGGGTGCATGCTGGGAGTGCTGCACGTAATTGTTCCGAAGTACGAAAGACGCGGCGTGTCTCCTTTCTCTGTGGTTGTTTTTTTATTGATGGCGAACATGTACATATTCTCGGGGCTTACAAACATGTTCTACAACAATCTGTACATTCTCTCGGAAGTAAATGCTGATATCTATGCGAAAAAGCTGGGATTTGGGAGCAGCTTGGCCAATGGCTTGTACCGGCTGATGATTGACAACTCTGCGTCCCTGTTCCATTCTACTATTTACACGTACTACGCACAGGACCATCCTGCTGTATCTTCTCGTGTGGCATATTTAAATAAATAGAGATAAACGGTTGAAATAGAGAGCATTCTGTGTCTCGATGAGATTATTACTAAATAAGGATATTTTATCGATAAAAACACAATGCCAGAGAAGTAGCAGGATGGGCAGAGCACAGCTGGCTATTCGGTGTGCTAGTGCAGCTAAACAGCGGAAAATAGCTGCTTCTTTAGTGCTGCTGCCAGCCAAAGTGCAAATTAAAATAAAATTGCTCTATTGTCTTCCTGGCAGCAAATTTTATTTCTTTTCTTTTACTCTGTAGAATAGAACATAATTATGAATGGCAGTTTCATTGAAGCGTTCTAGTAAAACTAAAGAGGATGCAAAACTTTAGCAGAATGCAGACTCTTTATATAGCTTGCTCTAGTGATCTAATTAACTCTTATTGGCGCTAGCAGTTCTTCTAAATTTGGCTAAATGGAAATTAACTATCAGAGGAATTTGGTTATATTGGCATGTAATGCTTTCAAAAGCAGCTGGATTAGCAATATATATTAAAATAAAAATGATTTATCAAGAATAAAAGTATAAAAAGAAGAATTTTTTAACTTTTATGCTTTTGAAACGAAAAATAATGGAGATAGGAATAGTAGTAGCACTCCTAATGAGCTATATAGAAACAGGTAGCTGCAAAGTAAAAATAGAAGATGCTGTAGATGTGCTAGCTATATTTAAGCGTGATTTAACAACAGAAGAACATTTTGAAGAGTTACTATCTAGAGTTAGCTGCAATTTAACAATGGATGATATAAAAGGGATACATGCAGACTTTTCTAGAAGGCTAGACTATCTAAGAGAAGAATTTGAGCTACGTGTAGAATTCTATGAGAAATTCATATCTATTATTCAGCCAATGCTAGAAAGATATAAAATTGGATACAACGAAGAAATTAAATTAAAAGAAATGGAAGAAAATATTATGCCTAAGCTAATAAGAAAAAGACAAAAACTTGCTAGATACACATCGTACCTTACAGGAATAGAAGATTTAATAATCAGAACAAGAAGGCCTATACCCCGAGGAATTAGGAGATTTAAAAAGTCATTAAAACTTGCATTCTTATGCTATAATAATGCATTTGATTCTCTTAGTGAAATGATGTATCAGTTTGACTCTGCAATGATCGATTTAATAGAAGAATATATGAAAATAGCAAATGAAAATAATATATTGTCTACCCTACCACTATTTAAAATAGCAAAAAACAAGAAAATACTAGCCGCTGATATAATATACACTTTCTTTAGTGTCTCAAAAGAAGACTTTTCTAATGAAGACATCTGTTATAGAATGCTAAAAAGAACAAGACATATTCCTGTTGCTAAGATTAAAAAACTTGTAAGCTCAATAAAAGAAGATGTATTAAAGCATGAAATTGACTCATTAGCATCAGCAAACAAGAACTTTTTGGTACTATTGCATAGCTGGCATGATTGTAAACCCGATTTACAAAATGAAGAAGTACTATCTGTCTACCTTGATCTAATAGAAAAATATCTTTCTAAAAAAGAAGGTGATATATACACATATAAGCTTACAGATGACCAGGTTATAAAAATAGTGATGATTGAGTACTTACTGAACAAGTGTGCTATAAAATATAAAAATAACATGCTGTTTTTTAACTTAAACCAAATAATAGAAAAAATAGGAAGGCCAATAAATATTGGTAAAGATGCAGATATTCATCAAAGTTTAAAGACAGCGATAAAGAAACAGGATATGATGATTGATGCTCTGTGCTTTCTGTGGACCGATTATGACTCTATTACAATAGATAAAAAGCGCAATATTGACTCATTTTGTGAAGAGTTTAATGTGAACTTTTTCTCTCTTCAAAGAACTCAGAAAGAGCTTAGAACTTTCAAATGGTTATTCAAACTTAATGAGGATATTGTAGAAATTGGAGGTTTAGCAATCCAGAATATATTTCCTAAATTAAACTCCCGATTTGATATATCTCATATACATCCCATGTGGTACTTATACTTCCGTGCTGAGTATATTAATAGCCATATTAACAAAGACACACAAGTCGATAGCAATTCATTCATGAAAAAAACCTCAAAGGGCACTACCATTAGGCCATACAAAATAAATGAAAAGGATTCTCCTTCAACGCATCAAGAAAACCTAAAAAATTGCATTAAAGTGTGGTTTCTAGACAAGGTTAGAGTAGTCTCTATATGCCGCAGTGTTGAGGAAACATACGACATAGCTTCTGATTTCGCTGACTTTTTGCCAAATTCCGTGCAAATAAAGGAGGAAAGAAAGAGAGAAATAGGAGAAACTGCTGGATGCAGTCGCAGTGAAGAAGGCAATCCTCTAATTAAAATATGCGAATGACCTTTTTATGCTTTTTAGCTTACAGCAGTTAACTGCTATTGCATTCAATAAAGGCCTATGCTCTTATTTACTCTACTATATGAATGCAGCAATTATGCTATTTTTTCAACAAGCTCAGGGGTAGCAATAAGATCACAAAATAAACAAATGATACAATCAGTGAGCGCCAATAAATGAATGCTTTTCAACTGAGTATCCTCGCATACTTAAGACAGCTATTCTCGGGTATATCCTAGAGTACACTAAGAAAATAAAATAAAAATTCTATACTTTACACATTCTGAAAGAATACGCTTATTGAATTTTATAGGGGTAACGCCCCGATGCAGACTATTTAAACATAAAATTTTTCTAAAATAAATGAACTACAACAGATCACACATATTCAGAGAGAGCAAGATGCGCAGCGCGTTTGAGACAGTCAAGAGCAAGATTGCAGAAATTTATTACGTAGCAGCAGGATGGGCTGTGGGCGCGGTGAAAGCTGTGCCAAAGGGAGCAAAGACCTCAGTAGTGTCCGTAAAAGATCACTTTGTGAACATTCCAAGCAGGATACTATCTATAAATCTGAAAAGAGACAAAAAGAATCTTCTAAACATACTGGCAGTTTTTGAAGTGTTGATCTTTTTCGTCCTCCTATACTATGCAGTTATGATTATCTACGAAAGCAATAACTATCTATTTAAAAAAATATTTCCAGTCTGGAGGACGAGAGGACCAACTGGCGAATACATATTAAGAGACATCTAATTAGCAATAAAAAACCTTCAATTCAATCTCAAAAACACAAAAATACTTTATTATTGGCTGAATTACTGCCTATTTATAGATTCTGCAGCAGCAAGGACTGGTTTATTTCATAGTAAGAAGAAGCATCTATAGACAGCTAGTGACAAAGTATCATTGCACTGCATTAGTTGCGATTGGCCATAGATCTATTCTAATATCAACACTTATTCTCTTTTTAGTTACAAATTGCACAGGGTTGCAGCATGTCTAAAATTGAATGCTCTCCTGGTAGTAAGAGTAAACTTTTTTCTACAATTAATTACTCCAGCACATTGGCTAGTAGAGTGATAGATGGGCCTTTAATTGCATAAATTAATAAGACCTCATGCATTTGTAAAAGTAAACAGTGCAGAAGTATAAATAGGACAGAGAGCGTAAACAATAGGCATTTTTATATTCTGTGGTACTTTACTGGACAGATAAACAGTTAACTATACAGCAGCAGGTGAAAAGGCACTGTGTATTAAAAGTTAATTTGCAGAATTAGACTCTAGACCTACTTTTTCTCTATTCGGAAGCATTGCTTTGTCTAGACCGCTCCATATTTTGTTAATTAATTTCCTGGTTCATAAATACACGAATCTTCGGAGAGGGCGTGCAGGAGAGTGTATTGGCTCGCTTTCTATGTGTACGCTCTTCTGCACCAAGCCTCATTTGGTTTTATTTGATTACACACTGTACAATATTTATTGCTATTATTCAGCTGGCTAGTGTGATTTTATTAATATTTATAGCATAGTTTCGTGAATATTGTACATTCGCATGCATCTAATCTTTTTGCTCATTTTTCATTTTGTCAATTAACATTCTACATATATTTAAAAATAAATCAAAAACCAAAAAATCTTACTATTTCTGCAAATACAAAGACTGCATAGTCAATAAGATACACTTTACTTTCTAAATGCAATGCCATATTACCACACTGGCCAGTGTGTGCTGCGATAGAAGACAGTTCCAAATAGACAGCGCCTACTAGAATTTAGTATATAAGCAGTGAGATCAATCAAGCAGTGGATAGAGTAGATGACAAGCAGCATTATATCCCTGAGCAGCTAGATAGTACAATTAAATATAAAGAGAAGAAGCTGCCATGCTTTGAGAGGCATAAACCCGAGAATTCTGAGGAATAGTAGGGCATGTGCATGAAAAGTGCTAGCACTTCATCAACACAGCCCAGTATATAGAGTGGTGCTATATATAGGCTGAGGAATAGCGATAGATAGAGCTGCCGTGTAAATGGTGCAGAAGTAAGCACTCAGCAGGGGACGGACTCAATTAATAACAGGAATAATTGAGAATATATGTTTATAAACAAATAAAATATTTTTATGAAGACAGAGAGAAACGTAAACGCATACAGCTCAGACGGCAGAATATACCAGTTAGAGTATGCAATGAAGGCAGCCTCCCTGGGAACAACCACAATTGGGGTAAAAGTAGCAGAGGGAGTGATTGTTGTTTCGGAGAAAAAGATAGTCACAGCCCTGCAAATACCAGAGAGCATAAAAAAACACCATCTAGTCTACGAGCACTGCGGCTTTGCTTTTTCTGGGCTCAGCGGAGACGCGAGGTCCATCATCACCAAGGCAAGAGAAAATGCGATTATGCACAAGTTCCTGTACAATGAAAGAATACCAATTGAGGGAGTGGCGCAGTTCCTGTCTTCGATCGCGCTGAACTTTTCCGCAGAAAAGACGCAAGATAAGATATTTAGCAGGCCGTTTGGAATATCCATTCTAGTCCCAGGGTTTGACACAGAGCCAAGACTTTTCTCGCTCGATGCATCAGGCACGTACAGAGACTACCAGGCCAAGGCCATAGGATCAGCAGCAGAAGCAGTGACAGCTGAGCTGGTGAGCTCGTACAGAAAAGATGAGACAGTTGAAGAAGCCGTTGGAAATACGCTCAAATTGTTGAAATCAGTCATGAAGGACCCCATTACAAAGCAAAACTGCGAGGTGATGGTGTGCAGGAGGGAAGGAGTGAAATTCCTCAGCACTGCAGAGATTGAAGAGTACTTAAATAAATAATAGGCAATGTTTATTCATGTTCAGACCTACTGCAAGACAGAATATTCGATCTGTATCCATCTTTGGATTTCCTCAAGGTTTTTATCAATAATAACCTCTTATTTATTTTTAGTCTTATCATTTCCACTACTTCTTCACTTCTTAGATAAGATACATCAAAAACAGAAGTATAAATATTTATTTTATGTCTAATAGTCTGTGAGAAGTGGTATGATCAGTCGTATGCTTATGTGCTATCCTGCATAGGAGTATATCTTATCTCCGAGATGGCTTAGCATCTTGATGGCTACTCCTGTTCTTTGCTCCTCAAGTTGGTCATTGTCCATTTCAACCATTCCCACGCCCAGAGCAGAGACTTTATCATATCCGTAGATAGCCACGAGGTCACCCACTGAAACCAAAGGGTACTCTGACGTGCTGTGCAGCAGGCCAGGCGCCATGACATCTGCGCCGTTGATCAAGTGTTTTATTGCGCCTTTATCTACAATCACTTTCTTCAGTATTTCTGGAGCCATGTGGACGCACTTAACTGTTGGAATATACGCGTCTCCATCGGCTCTAAACACGGGCACACCGTTCCTGAAGATGTAAGTTATTTTATCTGCTGTTTTGATTGATTCAAAGACATCCTCCTTGGTGAAGAAGAGAGACAGATCTACCGGAAATTGCGCTTTAATTTGCTTTATTGTGGAGTTGGAAAGTCTGTTCTTTGTTGAGGCTAAAAACATAATTATAAAATTTACTAAAATTATTTATTTTTATCCTCTGGACACTCTCCTATTATTGTAGCTTAGAAGCTGCTTCTATGCAGTGGACATTGAATAAAGAAGGGATTAGTTCTAAACAACTCAAAGAATGAATATGAGCTAATAGACAGCTAGTCTATTGAATAGAGCACTCTACAATGATTATTTATTCATATGCGAATATTTGCACGATCAATCAACTGTTAACAGGCAGGATAGGAGTGTTTTATTTCCTTATTTAGATATTAAATGGATAAGAGTAGATTAAATCCTTTATTTTATTTGGTGCTATTGTGACGGACTGGCAGCCTATCTTCTGAATAAACTCATTCTGCTGAGCATGCCTGAAATGCCTGCGGGCGTGGGCTCTGCCTGCTGCGGCATGTGGATGTACACGGATGATATATCGTATGTCACAGGATGGAATAGAATTGAGTTGTGGACGGGCGTGAAGTTGCACAGTATTTCTTTGTTAAAAGTGTGCAGGTACTCTTCGTCCATAAAGTTAGCTGAGAATAGATCGACTGATTTGGCGTACAGCGAGTTCCACTGTGTCATGTACCTCTCCAAGGTTTTCTTTGACTTTTTGTCGTTCTTCTCAAGGAGCTTGTGCATTCCCAGCTTGAAATGTTCTATCTTTGCAACTGCCAGGACAATCTGTGAGTCAAAGTCGCTTGCGTTCTTTAATCTTCCGATGATGCTCTTGTAATTCTTGTTTATGAAGAGCTCTTTGATGTTCTCGTCTCTGAAGGAGAGCGGAACCCCCTGGAAGTCGTGCGTTGACTCATTTGTTTCTTCCACTTCCGTGTGCAGTATTCTTCGGGCTGATTTTACAGGGAGATTTTTAACAATTTCGTTCATTTTTCTAACAGACTCTTTGTCGTTCTTTTTGCTCCCGTATGCAACAAATGCCTGCGCTCTCTCTCGTATAAAATCAACAAAAGAAGAGTCAGATGAGTTCTCGGAGGCCAAATGGACAGCTCTGTTGAGAAGCGACTTTTTAACTTTTCCGGTTTTCAAATATTTTTCTCTTACTTTCAAGAACTCCCATTCGATTCTCATTGCGTCGAGTAGCTCTGCATTCTCAGGCTGTTTCATCATTCCCCTGAGCACCTCCAGAGCTCTTGTATTTCTTATCTCCAGTTGTCCAGGCGTTCCAACAGCCAAAGTAAGTATTCCGTTTAATTTACATCTTTTTAAGACTGTGCATATACTCGTAAAGTCAGCCATTAAAAAATAAAAATGCACTCTTCTCTTAATAAAAAATGACAGGAAGTAAAATAGCTCCAAGATAAAATTTTATTACTGTCCACTGCCATCTGGTAGTAATTTATACAGCTGCTACACCTTTAAAAAAGATAAGAGAGAACAATCTAGAGAACAGCCAGAGAATATCTAGTAGTAAATAAGAACAAGCTACAATACACCAAAGTAATTTATGTTTTGTCTTCTTCCGTATAGAACAGAATGTACACAGGCTTATTCAGCACATCCACCAATGAAACTCGCATTATCTCTTCATCGTTCGTGAGATACCACTGGCTGTTTCGTCTGGTGTATGCTATGTAGTGCCCCGAGTCTATGTCTCCGCTGTGCATAATGATCGAGTAGAGGTTGAACACTTTGTCGTTAATAATCAGCACTTCGGGATACGATATGACTGTGTCTATTTTTAGCACATTCTTGTTTTTCATTTCGTATCTCTTCAGATGCAGACACAGCACGCTTGGCAGCTCCTTTATTTCCACCTTCTTTGTGTACTCTTTACTATTCCCGCACTCGCAGATCTTATCGATGTGTATCAGCTCTTCATTGAAGTATCTGTCAACTGTTTCCTCCAGCGTACTTCCATGCAGCTGCATGCTGATCGATGTAAATAGCTCAAAAGAGGCTTCATTCCTTCCGCAGGCGCACTGGATAGTAGACAGGAATGTTCCTCCGAATGTTTTGTGAATGGGACACTTGTCCATTGCATTGCACTTTAGGATCGAATGCACTTGGGAGCTCAGGAACATAAAGAACTCCTGGACATCCTGGTACTCGCTCTTGGCAAACGACGGGGCATGCCCCCAGAATATTCTTATCAGCTCGGAGATGTCGACATACCCATCTGTGTTGCTGTACATCTGATGCAGTATTCTGTTGAGCGAGCAGAGGATACACTCTTTTATCGCACACTTTTTCAGAATGTGATCTATATCGAGCAAATTTTTGATGAACTCTTTTATCGAGAGGATGGACTGCAGGAGACTGCTCATGTAGCAGGTTCTTTTCAAGTTCAAGAACCCTTTCACCCAGTTCGTATTCAAACACTGGTACTTTTTTGAGACATCGGGCGTGTTTGTGTTCATTCTGTTGATGTCCCTAATGGAGATATACTCTGCGCACTCTTCGCACGACACAGTTGCAAACTCAGGCACAAAATAGTTCTTGTGCCAGCTCTCCTTCCAGTGTTTCTCAATGTGGAAGTTGTCTCGGCAGTAGACATTGTTGCAATCTATGCAAATTTCAGCCAAAAAAGAGCTGCTGCAGACTATGCACCCGAGGACTTTATTTGCGCTCTCAATTTCTTCTTTTTTCTTTATGATTCCAGAACACTTTTCAATGGTTTCTTCTACGTCCAAGTGTGTGCATCCCATGGGACAGAATATTTCTATAAATTTATTATTGTTGGCGGCTGCAATGGAAGAAAAAGAAAAAAGAGCAGACGCCAGGAGAGAAAGAGTGAAAATATTTAGCAGTGCAAAAAGCAACATAAAAAAGAGGATTATTCTGTCTGTGCTGCTTGCGCTTGGATTTCTTGCCATAATATCGCTGGGCAAGTCCGTTTTAATAGGATTTATAATTGTTCTGAGTATTCTCGTGTTCTCAGAGATCCTCAGAGTGCTTCTAAGAATAAAAAGAAGAAAAGCGCCAGGACAGACTAGCGCTACTAGACAGGCCAGAAATGGCAAAAATATTAAAATGAATGGTAGAAAAAGTAATAAAAGCAAAAGCAAAAGCAGAAATAGTCAGAAAATAAACAGCAATGAACAGATAGCAAATGAGGACAGAAAAAACGATCTTAAGATAGAAAATAATGAAGAGATGAGCAACAGAAGACTTGATGATAAAAAGAGCAGTTGTAGCACTGATAATGTGTGTAGCAATCTTAGAACAGGCGATAGTAAGACAAGTAATAGCGACAGTGAGCCTGTAAAGGGCAACATACTTCCCGTCTCTTTCTTTTGGTGCTGTTTCTGTTGCATTTCTTTCCTCAAGTACGGGAGGCTGCTGTTTCCAAGCAGAGCGCTTCTAATCAACAAAATCTTCATACCCGTGCAGTTTATTTGGATCTGGTGGTTTATCATTCTCCTCAGGGGGCGATCCTACAGGATGAAAATATTTTATCTTTCAATAGTTGTTGTCTCGATAGTAGGCCTGCTGGAGTGCACACAGTCTGCCATCAATAACGTAAATAGAGGAATATACTGGTTTGTCTTTCCTTGTGTTCTAGTTGGCGTAAACGACACATTTGCATACTTAGTAGGGAAGACGCTAGGGCACACACAGCTAATCCAGCTGAGCCCCAACAAAACAGTAGAAGGATTCCTGGGTGGCGGCATTTTTACCGTTATTTTGTCATTTCCCATATCAAAAATCATCAGAATGGCGGTGAGTGAAGATGTAAAAACATCGAATATTGAAACAGCAGTATTTGGAATGATCGCATCCATCATAGCCCCAGTGGGAGGAATAATAGCGAGCGGATACAAGAGAGCCTTCAAGGCGAAACACTTCAGCACACTGCTTCCCGGCCATGGGGGAGTATCGGACAGAATAGACTGCCAGTTAATCATGCAGTTGGCAATTGATTTGTACCTGATAGGAGCAGTACGAAAAAGAACAGTAACAGGGTTTGTGGTGGAAATAGAGTCGCATCTGACACGAAAGGAAACCTTGGACCTCGCAAATCTACTAATAGAGAACTGTAAAAACACAAAAATAAATGAAATATTTTAGCAGCTGGAGAGGTGAAAATAAAGAAAATACACACGCGCTGTACGATAAAGATACACCCGAAAATAAAAGAGAAATCAGCAAGAACGATCACAAAATAAGTACAGATAAGGAAACAGACTGCGGGTGCACTCAAGATGAGAATCCGTGCAGCGAAGAGTATTTGGCAGCGTATAAGTGCTATTTATTGCACTCAAAAGAGATTGGTAAGTGCACAAAAGAGATAGAGAGAATGAAAGAGTGCCAGAAGAGGAATAGCACAGTTCTATCAAGAATACTGAAGTTTTTTATTAAATAAACAACCCAACAATACACTCGAGTGCATAGTATAGACACAGCAGGGCAATGTAGGGAGAGAGTCTTTCTCCTACAACTGTTCCTATGTAAATAATCCTGGTGAATCCGCTAGCTTCGTTCTTATTGGAGAGCTTCTTCTGAAACTGCTGCGGAAAGAAAGGCTTGAGATACGTAACAGTGCACGTAAACAGCAGCAGCACGCGGACCATGGCGCTGAAGTTGAGGAGAGCCGTCATAAATAATAAAATATTTAGAAATATATCTAAAATAATTTTACACGTACAGAAATAAACAAAAGAGCAAAGATATTTAATCCCTACAGAAATAAAAAGATACACCTTATAACCAGTTGCTGCTTTATTTATACTTTTTAATAATAGACCCGTATAGAAGATGCGTAGGTATGTACGTCACTGCCTCTTTGCTCTCCAGTGCAACATACTTAATGGACACGCTGGACACTCTTCCAGTTGCGTTGTTTATGGAGACAGAGTCGCCCACTGTAAAAGGCAGAGACATAATCACCGTGGAAGACTTAATGACATCAAGTAAGATAGGCTTGTATGAAGAGAGCGTGTTCGAGCGTGTGCTGAGGAAAGAGGCAGTTGCAACCGCAGAAAAAAGGGAGAGCTTATTACGCGGAAGAGAGTCGAGAAGTTTTTTCATATGAATAATTTTCAAAAAGCATTAAAAATAGCAGTGTACAGCAGTAAAGGAGAAAAAAGAGAGCATAGACAGGCAGAAGTCCTGAAAATAACAAGAGAAAGAACGGGCTATGTGTACAATCTGTTCCTGTCAAATAGAATAACACGGAAAGAGATGGGAGAGCACATAAGAAAAGGAGAGGCAGACTTTTCACTTATCCAGCACTGGAGGAAAGAAAAGACAAAAGAAAGGCTGTGCTGCTTGCTGTGCATAAGAAAAGGAAAGAGGTGTGTGTGCAGAAAAGTCAAAGGCATTGAGTGCAGCAACTGTCTATGCAGGGGAGAGTGCATGGGATAGCCATCATACTACCATTTGATTTGTGTCTAGTCGATTAGCAGTTATCATGCATCTACAGGGACAATACAAAATGTAAATAAATAAGCAAACAAACAATGCAACTTTTATTTAGTTCTTCAAAAACTCAAGAGGTGTCTTGAACTTCATAATGGAGAATGTAACGTCTTCGTAGAATGCGTTTCCAGACATGCACATTGTATTCTCTTCAAATATTGCACCTGTTACAGCTGCCAGCTTCCTTCTGTCTGCTATGGCATATGCTCTTTTTCTATGGGGACTGTACTTTATTATGTGGACACAGCTCGAGATAGTGCTGGGAGTGTCTCTGATTATGTTCCACAGTACGCCCAGGTCGGGAGGCGGTGTTGCATAGTTGTTCTCTATTTTTATTGTATTGCTGCCTTGGTAGTGCAGCCTTGGATGGTTTATTGCATCCTCTACTGATAGGTTTGATATCAGAATCCTGGAAATAGTTGATATCACAGCGGTAGGTATTCGTATGCCGCCTGACGACCCAACGACATAAAACGCGTCTTCTATTCTGATGAAAGACGGCATTGCTGACGAGAGCGGCTGTTTGTACGGCTTTATCCAGTTGTTCTGCGACACCTCGCAGAGAGACTGGATGTCGCTTCCATTCGAAAAGTCCCTGAAAGTGAAGTCATCAATCTGATTGTTCAGAATAATTCCTGTTTTAGGGTCCATCATGCCTGAGCCCCAGTACTGGTTTATTGTTGAGGTAAGAGAGACCATCGTGCCTTCTCTATCGATGATGTTTATGTGCGTCGTTCCATGATCAGCTAGGCAGTTGTTCTGGAAGGGCGTAAAGGGTGCGCCATTTTTGTTTTCTATTTTTCTGAGTATCTTGCTGACTATCTCTTCCTGTGCGGTGTGCAGTAAAAGACTCTTTATGTTTTCTGCTTCGTCCTGCAGGTCGTCCAGCTTTGTCCGTATCATAAATAGTTCGTTGTAGATTATGATCAGATACTTTTGGAGTGTTTCCTCGGATGTGATGTGGTACTTTGCTCTTATCTTCTTTAGGACAGCGAGTGCGATGCGCAGCATGTATCCTGTGGTGGGGAGCCCTGCCGTGTACACCTCTGTGTCTCCGTCGATTATTTCTGCTTTCACTTTTTTTTTCAACACTTCTGATTTTTCCAGCTCTTCTTTTGTGATGTAAGTCTGCTCTTTGTTGATGAACGAGAGGAGAGACTCTCCTATGCTTCCTAAATAAAAACTAGTTGGGTTCTTCGAAATTATTTCAAGTGTTCTGGATAAATTCTCTCTTTTTATTGTATCATTCTCCTTTGCCAGTACGCCGTTTTTCACGTACGTTTCTCTCAGTCCTGGATCGCTGTAGATTATGTCTCTAAACTCCTCCAATTTTCTGCCGAGAACAGGGGGAACAATAAACCCGTCCTTCAGCAGCTGTATCGCATCAGTGAAGAGCTCGCTCCACGGCAGATGGCCGTGCTCTGAGTGCACTGTGTAGAGGCCCAGTATCTCGTGCGGAATTGCAATGCTCTTTGGCCCCCGCATGGAGTCTTCTTTCAATTTGTAGTTCTCGTGTTTTGCTGATCCGGGGGCTTTCTCTCGGAAGTTGTACTCAGAGCACTGCCCGTCTTTCATCAGAAGCATAAACCCGCCCCCGCCCAGGCCAGAGGCAAATGCGTTAATGCTTCCCACAACAATAGCCGTTGTAACTGCTGCATCCACGGCGTTTCCTCCTTTTTCCATTATTTTGTATCCAAAGTCAGCTGCTATTTTTAAATCAGACGTAACGACTGGGAGAGAATACTCAGCCATCTTTCCCTGGATTTTTAGATACTGCATGAGCACTCCCATTATAATAAGTGATGTAAAGTATCTTTTCTTGCGTTTTACCATTAAAAATTCAAATTTTTATTTTATTTATATTCTTTTACTCAATATGATTATTTGTTTTTCTTCCTCGGTATTTTTATTTGCAGTGTTTACTGCAGCTGGTTACCATTCTAGGAGAGCAATCAGTGGGCATCGCAATAGATAGAAGAGAAGAAGAAACAAAAGAAATTAGCATGTAAATGAGTGAGCGAGTAGTATATGGCTGGTAGAGGTAGTGATGATGAATAAACGAATAATGATTGATAGTAGCAGTAGAAGAAAAGGTATAGAAGTGAAATAATGATGGAGAAGATCAGACTATGGCCAGTATAAGCTTTATTGCATCAAAGACTTAGTGGAAGCTAAGTACTAATCAATCTCCTGTTTTTACTAGATCTATTCTGTTTGTTCTACAATAACTTATTTTTGTGGATCCTGTTTGCTTCTTTTCATTTTTATTCTCGCTGGTAGAATTTTTCTTCTTCTTCTCTTTCATTTTTATTTTTTATCATGTCAGAGCTACTTAGACCAGGCGCAACACAAGAAAGAGCAGACGAAGCAAGGACCTCTTTTCTAGTAGGAGCCATCACAGCATCAGGAATGGTAAAAAGCACACTAGGCCCAAGAGGAATGCTTAAGCTGCTGTACACACAGAGAGGAGAGCCCATTATAACTAACGATGGCGCCACAGTGCTTAAGAACACCGTGCCCAACGGAGCATCTGCTAAGATACTTATCAACTCAGCTGCAGAGCACAGCGCAAAAGAAGGAGATGGGACCACTACCCTTACTGTTCTCACAGGAGAGCTGCTCCACGAGGCAGATAAGCTGATATTCAAGGGCATGCACCCCTACAAAGTAATCACAGAGTACAGGAAGGCACACAAAAAGGCGCTTCTAAAACTCAGAGAAATATCGAAGATATCAGCCACAGATGATGCAGACAACAGGCTGTTCCTAGCCAAAACCACGCTTTCTTCTAAGTTCTCTCCGATAGAGCTGGAAGCACTGAGCAGTCTTGCCCTGGACATTTCCAAGAGAGTAGACTCCGTGGAGATGGTGAATATCATAAAAATACCGGGGAGTGAGCTGAGCAGCTCGTACATACACCCAGGACTGCTGATAGAAAGCGATGTAGGCCCAGGACAGAAGCACAAGGTGGCTAATCCAAAGGTGCTGATAGCCAACACGTCAATGGACGCAGACAGAGTGAAGATATTCGGGGCAAAAGCAACGGTCTCATCTCCTGCAGACCTGGAGAGGATAGAGGCTGCAGAGAATGAAAGAATGGCTAAAAAGGTGGAGATAATGGCAGAGTCAGCAGATGTAATAGTTAACAGACAGATCATATACGATTATCCTACGCAGGAGTTCACAAGAAGAGGAAAAGTGTCGATAGAGAGAGCAGACTTCACAGGAGTGGAGATGGTTGCTAAGGTTCTCAAGGGAACCATTTTGAGCACATTCGAATCAGTGCAGGAGAGCGATCTCGGAAGGTGCGAAATGTTTGAAAGAGTGTCTATACACGGGAGAGTGTTCTGCGCGTTTACAGGGCTGCCAGACACAGGGGCTTGCTCAGTGGTCATCAGAGGGCACACAAAGGAAATGCTGGAAGAGTGCGAAAGATCGCTCATTGGAGCTGTAAAGGTGCTTCTGATGAACAAAAAGGACGAGTATGTGCCAGGTGGAGGAAGCGCAGAAGCTGCAGTGTCATTCCTCCTGCAGGCTGAAACAGAGGGAGAAAGGGCATACGCCAGGGCTCTTATGGAGGTGGTCAGGATACTGGCAGACAATGCAGGGCTGTCGAGCGAGGTTGTTGATAAAATAACAGAGAAGGTGGCAGCTGGGGAATACTCCTATGGTGTGGGAGAGACAGGGGCTGAGTGCATGAACAGTAAAAAAGTGAAGGAGTCTCTGAGGCTGAAGGAGATCGTGTGGAGCAGGGCAGCAGAAACAGCGGAGATGCTCCTGCGCTGCGATAGCAACATAAAGTGCAGGCCCAGAGAAAGAGTCCATGAATAAATTATTAACTATAGTTAAACATCTGGTGTTCAATAAAAATTTTATTAGTTATTTTCCAAATAAAGTAAATCGAAGATAGAATCATCTACTAAAATTGCCAATGTATGATCTCCTGATATAAGTAGTATTATCACACTCATTTACTGTGGTGCCTCTGTACAGGTAGTCTCTGTGTGACAGAAAGTCCTCAGATAAGCTCAAGTTGAGTGATGGATTTTATTCCTCTCTATTTCTAGTATCTGCAAACCAGAATAAAGGTTTATAGACACTGCACTGATAATGACTAGAGTCATATCATAGTCACCTATGCAATGGCAATAGTTTTGTTATCACTAGGTGTTACCTGAAATATGTGCTGTACAAATACCAATCTTAGAGTTTGTATTGATGACAAGTAGTGCAGTATAAGCAGAATTTGCATATAATGTTCCAATAAAAGTATAGCCCATTTATTTCATGCTCCTGTACTCTCTTCCCTTGAGTTCACTCTTTCTCTGTTTTATGCGAGAGCTTGAGTGCGCATACGCCTTAATAGTCGAGAGAACAACAAGCACGAGGATGGAACAAAAGAGGACAGAGATGATTCTATTTTTCATGTGTGATCCAAAGGTGGAGATAGAGCTTATTTCATTTATAGACTTATACGCGCTGCTCGATACGTGGTCCATCGCCATGTCTAGTCTTTCTATCTTGTCCGACTGCGATATCACAACAGTTTTCAGCTCTCGTATGATTGTGTTTATGTAGTAGACTGATTTGTACACGCTTTCTATCCCTGCCTTGTTTCCCTGCTCTTCTGTTTTTTCCTCCATCTGCGCCTCCTCTTCCCTTGCTGCTTCTATCTTCCGCAGAGACTCGTTCATTCTTGCAATGATTTTGTCTATCTTGTAGTGGAAGTGCACGCCCACTGACTCCACTAGTATGTGGTTTATTGACTTCTTGAAGCTGCTCGAGAAGTGGTCCATTATCCCTTTGGCCTTCGTCAGATTGACAGCTATCTCGTACTTCAGCCCTTCGATCCTCTTCACTATTTCTATCTTGCTGTTGAAGGTGGGGATGCAGTACAGCGTGCACTCTTTCTCCACCTGCGAAACGAGCCCGTCAAGCATGGCCAGATTCCCCGATATCTTGCTGAACAGGTGCTGCACTTCGTTCTTCTCTTTTGCCTTTCTCTTTTCGAAGATGCTCCCTCGTTTCTTCAGAAGGTCTTGGCTCCTGTTTATCATCTGTTTACATTGCAAAACACTTTTTATCCTCTGCCTAGTAGTTCTCTTCCAGGAAAACTTTGAAGTACTCTTCGTACGAGGTGAGGGCGGAGTTTAAGAAAGTGATGCTCCCTGGCTGCGCGCCTTCTGGCTCCTTTCTGCTCGGCTGTTTCTTCTGCGCTGCGTGTCTTTTCTCCTTTGCCCTTCTGTTCTGAAACCAAATCTGCACTGTGCGTATGGGAATGTCAAACTCATTGGCGAGCTTTCTTCTGAGGTCGTTCCCTGGCTTTGGTGTTTGGTGGTAGACTATGGAAAGGAGCTTGCTCTGCGCCCCTGTGAGCCTTGGTCTTCTGACTTTCTTGTCCATGCCTCTCCTCCTGTCCGTGGTTATATCCTTATTCCCCTGATCAGAGTGATCACAGAGCAGTTGCCCAGTCCTATTAGCGCCCTCTCTGTTTTATTGCCACAGAGCAGCACTCAGAGGAGAAAAAGAAGAGACTTACTGCACAGAGTGCAATAAATAGCAAACATTCTACCAGTGGATCCTGCACGCGCTGCACCAGCAACAGAGCTACCAGCACAAGCAGATAACTCTCCCTTCTTTGTTTCTGCGTCCATCAGTCATCCAATATTTGCGCAGTAGACCTACCCAGCACAGGAGCAAATGAAAACAATAAATAAATGAAAGAGAAGCGATGGAAAGAGAAGTAAGTGAATGTGTTATTTATTCAAGCGTGCTTATCTGGTGGATCCGAATCCAATAAGGGTGACTCCCTGTTTCTTCAGCGAGTACAGCACATCCTGGCACGAGACGGTCTTTCTCTTTCCGTGGTTGCAGTATGTTACAGCACATCTGATGATTCCCTCCAAGTATGTCTTGGCCATGTTGTTGATCTCGCTGTACACGCCTGCGCTGACTCTCTTGACTCCTCCTCTTCTTGCGAGCCTTCTTATTGCTGGCTTGGAGATTCCCATGGTCTGCTGTGTTGCGCGTCTGTGTCTCTTGGCGGATCCTTTTCCTAGTCCTTTTCCTCCCTTTCCTCTTCCTGCAAGCGTCATAACACTTGCAAAATATTTACTATTTATAGTTTCATTTCCCGCGCTTTTTCTCTCCCGGGCGCACAAAAGAGCACGCGGGAGAATAAGGCGGGCTATCTACCCGCCAAAACATCTATAAATATGGAAATATTCTGCAGGGCATGGCAAGAACCAAACAGACAGCAAGAAAAAGCACAGGAGGAAAAGCCCCAAGAAAACAGCTGGCCACCAAGGCCGCAAGAAAGAGCAGCGCCCCAGGCGCAGTGGCTGTGAAGAGGCCCCACAGATTCAAGGCAGGAACTGTTGCGCTGAGAGAGATCAGAAAGTACCAGAAGACCACCGATCTTTTGATAAGAAAGCTTCCCTTCCAGAGACTCGTGCGAGAGGTGGCCTCAGAGTACAAGGCTGACGTGAGATTCCAGTCTTCCTCCATCCTTGCAATCCAGGAGAGTCTGGAGAACTACCTCACAGGGCTCTTTGAGGACAGCAACAGATGTGCTATTCATGCAAAGCGAGTTACTTTAATGGCACGTGATTTACATTTGGTTAACAAGATAAAGTCAGCTGTTATTGCATAATCGCCCTCCCACATAATAAAGTAACTGATTAGTGTTATTCGTCTTTTCTTGCTGTTTCCTGCTGGCTTTCTTCTCTTTTCGGCAATTGCCTGGGGTATTTTCCATTTATGTTTATTGCGTGGTAGGCAGACAGGTGAATGAATGGAATATTGCGTGGTAAGTTAGTGAATGAATAGAAGATGGATGATAGCTCATCTGCTCTGTTGTGTTTACTGGGTGGTAGACCAGTGCAGATGGGTGATGAGTGCTGCAGGATTGCACGGTGGTTTATTTTTGCTCTTTTGTGCTCTTTCTGCTCGCAGGAGAGGTGGGAAATTGTGGAGAAATCGATGCATCTAGAGAGCAAATTAATTTTGTGTTTAATTTGCACGGCTTTGGCTCAGATTAATTTAGCATCTTGGAAGATGCTTTCGACCGCTTTAATGGCTAGTGGCTTTATTTGGGATAATTTCGCTTTAATTTAATTTCCATCTTCAGAGCTATCATTTACGGCTCTAGTGGAGGGGTAGTGCTGTTTGGTCTGCAGATTGCGTGGTGGCAGCTGTGATGCTAAAATTTTGCTCTTTTATCTTCTGGTGCATTTGGCTCTGAAAAATTTTGCTCTGTCTATGGTAAGTCTGAAAGAGCATCAGCTGGCAGGCGTTGACTGGATGTGGGAGAAAGTGAAAAACAGACGGGGAGTTATCCTGGGAGACGAAATGGGCACGGGAAAGACTGCACAGGTGCTCAAGGTCGTGGAGAGGGTGTGGGAGACAGTTGGGAAGTCTGTTCTCATTGTGGCTCCATGCACGCTTTTGCAGAACTGGAAGAGAGAAATGAAAAATTTTGATATCAACATCCCCGTGAAAATAGTGAGGAATGGCGATGCGAGCATACAGAAGACACTGCGCAGCGCAGACGGCAACTATATCCTGATTGCGGGGTACGAGCTTGTGCAGAAAAGAGAGGCAGATATCATGCGGATGTACTTTGACATTCTTGTGCTCGATGAGGCGCAGAGAGTGAAGAATCGAAACACAAAAATATCGAAGCTCTGCAGGGCAGTGGACGCACGGGCTAAAATATGCATCACAGGAACGCCCATCCAGAACAACCTGTCAGAGCTGTGGAGCATCGTTGAAATGGTCAAGCCCGGGCACTTTGGAGACTACCAGAAGTTCAAAACAGAAATAGAAGGGCCACTGAAGCAAAGCACACTGAAGACAGCTCTGCCTGAGGATAGGAAAAAAGGCGAAGGCATAAAACAGCACATAAACAAGCTGATATCAGAGATAGTGCTGAGAAGAACAAAGGAGCAGCTGGGGATGCAGATACCTGAAAAAACAGAACATATAATATACTGTCCGCTAAGTGAAGCACAGCAGGAGAAGTACGCATCCGCCCTGGAAATGGACATAATGCGATCGACCGTTATGGGAAAAACAAACCCTCTCAAGACCATAACGTATCTGAAGGGGATATGCAGCCATCCTTCTGCGGTGTGCAGCATAGACATATCCGGCGAAGTGCCAAAAGATAAAAAAAAGAGAAGATCTGGAAAATCAAAATTGTGGACAGAAAGCGGGAAGATGAAAACTCTGCACAGGCTGTTGTTCCAGTGGAGAAACAGCAAAAGAAAAGTAATTGTCTTCAGCCAGTACAAGGAGGTATTGCGTATACTGGAGGACATGTGCAGTGAAAACATATTCTACAAAATAGATGGAGACACGCCTGTGCACAGGAGACAGGAAATATTCCAAATATTCGGAAATAGTGGAGGACTTGAAATACTTCTTATGACCACAAAGGTGGGCGGGGTGGGAGTCAACCTGCAGCAGAGCAACACCGTTATTCTTTTTGACATGGACTGGAATCCCTTCAACGAGGAACAAGCCAAGGGCAGAGCCCACAGGATAGGGCAGATGCATGAAGTAGAGGTGTATAAGTTTGTGTGCAAGGGAACGATAGAAGAAACCATTGGAATGGTGCAGGAAGTAAAGAAAAGCATTTCAGAAGGGATTTTAGACGGAGCAAAAACAAAGAAGGCCTTTGAGAAAGTGGATCTCTGCAAGCTTTTCCACTATTCGCACGATCCAGACGACATAACAGAGCTAGGGAACTACAAATAGGCAAATTGCAGCTGAAAATGAAACAGTTAGAGTATATAGAGATAATCACACAAATAAAGGATAATAACAGCACCCTCTTCTTATTTATGACTCTGTAGTTATTTTGTGCGATATTCTGGGACTATAAGCCCAATGTAAAAGAATAAAATTAGAAAAAAGGCCAGGATTAATAGAAAGAGAATGAGTGAATATTGGTTTATTCAGTAGCAAGAATTGCCTTATTAGCTGTGTGCTGCTTAAACTCTTCACAAGGGTAAATTGTTCAGATTTACTTTAGCCATCTATCAAAAGATTTCTTCTTACGAACCTCAGAAACTTTAGATTGAGATGACTCCTCTCCTTCCCCTTCTATTTTTGTTTCTGTTATTTTTGTTGGCTGCAAGTACGATGATTTTTTCAAATAGTCAAAAAAATCACGGGCCATATTTTGGTACTCCTCGCCATCTTCTTCTCTGTGGATAATTTCGAAGCTAGGAAACCTTTCTAGCCACAGATTAATACAAGTTCTAATATTGGCAAGCTGTTCTGCACTATTGGCATTTTTTTTGTTTATCATGTACGGCCTAAGTACACACCTATTCCCATGCATTTCCAAAAATTGCGCTTTATTGGGCGTAGGAGGTAGTGTAATTAGAGAGCTGGTGTTTCCATAACGCCTGCATATATACCATATTGGGCACACGTAAAATGCATCAAAATGCATTTCTTTGACTAGATCTTTATTAGCTGTGCCCTGTTCTTTTGGATTATTATTCAGTATATACAACACCCATCTGAGCCCATTGAAAATACATCGTATCCTATAGAGTAGATTTTCTGGAAGATTATTTATCTTGCAAAAGTCTTGAAAATAAGCTAATCCCGAAATATTGAAATTTTCCGAGGATAAAAAAAGCCACATACAACTTAGAGCGTTAAGCATTCTATTCTGTTTGTATCTTGCACTTTCTATTTCTATAGCTTTAATTCTTCTTTCTTTATTTTCGATTTCAATTTCAAATATATTTTCTATTATCTTCCCCAAGACAGAAAACACTCTATTCGATTTAAAGTCTAGAAGTCTCCCAACCATCAAATTCTCTATCATTATAGCACTTAAAACCTGCATAAACGTAATATCCTTGTACTGTTCTATCTTTTCTTCATCTGAGATATCAGGGTCTATCAGGTCTAAATACATGCTCATTGTTTCTTCATTCATTATGCATGCATATTTATTCTGATTCAATAGCAAATGAAGTTGTTTATCAGCTGAGGCTAATGGAGTGAGGCTATTTTCTGCTACATCCTTTTCTACTGCATCAGTAAATGGACTCATATTTACCCATACATTATGTTTTAGTACAGTACAACCTATATGTTCTAGTATACTTCTTAGATCATTATCTTTCTTGGCCATATCTAAATTATAGAGATAGTATATTAGTTCAGCAGCCACTACTTTTTTGTTCTTTGCCAGCCTGAACAGTGTTAGCTCGCTCAAGTTACTGTCTTTGCTGATCTTTTTACTGTACTCTTCTAGCACCGCTAGCATATACGAGTCAAACATGTGTATCTGTTTGACAAGTGACAGACTAAGCTTATATGCAGGATAAAATAGTAGGTTCAATTCGGCCTCTGTTTCTTTATCTATGCGCATAGATTCGATTTTCGCAGACTCAGAGTGAATTAAATAATTTCTGTGCATCTTTTCGTGGTAGTCTTTTATCTTATTGTCTATTATGTTTGATATCTGTTCTTCCTTTTCTTTAAAATCTTTCCACATAGTTTCCATCTTAGCATAAACTCTCTTTCCCTCCGCTATCTTTCCATTCACTAAGCAAGATATATCGTTTTTTTCTTTCAGTTCTTTGGGCTTCAAAATCTCTACATATTCACAAAAACTTCTGCGTATGTCAACTCTTTTTTCTATGCATAGTTTCTTCATATGCCAATAATATGTCTGTACTTCACAGATATCATCTTCGACTATATCGCATCTGACTATGTGTAGATATGCCAGCACAACTGCCCATACAGATAGCATTTCTTTTCCTTTTTGTTTTAATGTCATAAAAAATATATTATTCTCGGCTTATATGCCATTCAGCAATCAGTATCAAATTTGATATTCTCGGGTTATATACAAATATTCAAATAAATATAACCCGAGAAGAATGAAAATATATCCCAAAAGTAACTATGGCAAAATATCTCAGAATGCATGCAGCGGTATGGTGTGGATGTAAGATGGATAGGAGTGTTTATGTGCCATGAAATAATAGAAAGAGAGTATTGGCTAAGTGTTGGAGTTATTTAGTAGCAAGGGTACTCAAGAACTGACTAATTAACTAGCACAAACCCATTTTCGACAACTTCCATGCGAATTTTCTGCAATGGGTTGCTTTCATTGGCTGCAGCTTCGGCTTTTTCTTTACTCATTTCTACTCTACACCCATACGGTGATTTTTCCAAGTGCTTCTTAAATTCATTGGCCATGTCCGAATACCTTTGGCCGTCTTCTTCTCTCCTAATCACTTCAACCCTGCCCAAAGACCATGCTCTGATGCAATCTTTCATGTTCTTAGCTCGTTCTAAACCTCTGTTTTTTTTGCTTATTTTGTACAGTCTAAGCGCAATCCCATTTGAATCTCTGCTCGTGAAGGGATTTCTGTTGGATTTAAGGTCTGTCCTTGCCAAGTAGCTGATGCTTTCACACCGCAGATAAATGTAGCACATCGGGTGGGTGTACGACATGTCAAAGTGCTCTTTTTTGAAAAGCATTTGGTCACTGGTGGTCTCTTCTGCTGTTGGGGTGAGCATGTCCAGCGTATACATCCATTTAACAGACAAGAAACTTTTCTGTAAAGCCTCCAGGTTGGCAAGGCTTATGCAGCTCTGTTTGCAGAAATGTTTAGTTTTTTCCTGTGCATCTGTTTGAAGCCTACAGTCACTCCACAGAATGTGCAGAGCATCAAGAATTTTATCCTGTCTGTCTCTTGCAGCTCTGATCTCTCTGTGGATATCTGTGGTGCTGTGCTTTGGCTTTCCTATGTTTGCTATTACTTTTCCAAGGCTAGAGAATAACGTGTTCTTTCTGTGGTCCATGATGCTTCCATTCATTGCACGCTCTACCATTATTATTTTCATGATCTGCCCTGGCACAATATTAACGTACTGGTCTATTTCCTCTTCAGACAGTTTTTCTTTTAGCAGGTCAAGATAGACGTCTATATCCGCCGCATCAGCTCCATATCTTCCAAATAGCGTGTGGAAGTGCTTATCAGCCAGCGCCAGTAGGTCTACTTCGTCTTTTTTTATGTCGTTCTTTATGGCATACATGTAGCGTGTGAGATCCATGCCGGGAATATAGTTGCTCATTTTTTCCTTTATGTATTTCACTGTCTTTTTTACATCAGCGCCTCGTTTAAATGGCTCTACCTTAAAGAGAGAGTATACCATATCTACAGCAAAAGGTCTGCCCGTCTTTGCCAGCCTAAACAGCGCCATTTCATGTATTTTGATGGGGGTGTTTTTCATTTTGCTGTATTCCTCTATTAATCCTAATATACTTGAATCAAACCTTTTTATTTCGCTGTTCAGCAAATCAGTCTTAAAAAGGGCGGATGGAAGAGACTGCTGCAAGATGGCATACTCCTCTTCTCTGTCTGTCCTAAACGAGTGCATTTCATGCACATTCATTTTCTGTTCACCAGCTTCTTCTAAACTTTCTAAATCTACCAGTTTTTCTGTTTTTTCTACTATATCCTTTGCACTTTCATTAAAATCTAGCAGTTTTGTCTCTATGCTAGATAGACTATCGTTTCCTTCTTTCAGGTATTTGCTAAGAGCATCAGATGGTATTTCGTTGCATCTAAAACACTCGGCCTTACTAAGAAAGTCTCTGCGGATTTGAACTTCTTTTTCCATATAAGTTATTCTATCGCTCCAGTAGTCTTTTATGTTTACTGCATCTTCTTCTGATAGCACAGTGCATTTGACATTCTGCAAATGAGCCAGTGCAAACACTCCTACTATCACTACTTGTTTCAGTGCTCGTTTTGTAATCATGGACAAATTAAAATATTTTCTTTTCTGCTTTCATCATAGACGCATAATTTTTATTCTTACTTGCGCAAATAAAATAACTAGTAGAATAAAGACAGCTAATACCACAAACTATTGCCAAGCTCAACAATAAGCTATAGTGGCGATATTATGCGTGTAGATGTTACTACGTAAAGTAAATGCAGGATGGATAAGAAGCACGGGAAAGTGTGTGCTAGAAGAAGAATAGTTAAACAGTATATTTATTTAGTACCCGAGATTAGTTAGAAGCTATGCGCCAATTAATCTAGCACACAGCTGTCTTATTCGACTTCCATTTGGTTATCTTGCAGTGGGTTGCTTGCACACGCTCTAGTTTCATTTCTACCTTCAGCTTTGCTGTCTATAAGCACTTTTTCTATGAATAGAGATTTGCTCAAATGGATTTTAAACTCTTTTGCCATGCTGCGAGATTCTTCGCTGTCTTCTCCCACGATGATGATACTATTTCTCTGCAAGAACCACGCTCTGATGCAATCTTTAATGTTCTCTATCTTTTCTGAATCATCCTTTGTTCTACTAATTTTGTATATGTTGAGCGCAGAAATATCTTTTGTGTATCTGCTCAAAAAGAATTCTTCATTGTGCTTTATTTCTGTGTTGGCTGGATGGCTCATATCCTCACACCGCTGGTAGATGTAGAGCATGGGGTGGATGTAGGACATGTCAAGATGCATTCCCTTGAGTAGCGTATACTGTTTAACGTGTTTGTTTGGTTTTTGGACACCTGATTTATACATCCAGCTGGCAAATGTAAATTGCTCTTGCATGTCTTTGAATCTCTTGTAGCTTATGCCATATTTCGAGCAGAAGAATTCAATGTTTTTTATCCGTGCAGTTATTTTTGTTGTATCGGGGTCTATCCATACAGCAATTATATATGCTGTTGTAGCGTCGTTCCACAGAAGGTGCAGAGCATCGAGTATCTTGTCTTGTTTTTCTCTTGCAATTTTTAAATCCTTTTGAATATCTGTGCTGCCATTGGCTGGCTTTCCTATCCTGGCTATTATCTTTCCAAGATTGGAAAACAGATTGTTTCTTTGGTAGTCTAAGAGGTCTTTGTTCAGCATGTACTCCAGCATTATTGTTTGTATGACTTCTCCAGGCGTGATGTGCATGCAGTGTTTTAAATCAGCTTCGGAAAAGTCTTTTTTTGACAGACCGATGTACATGTCCAGTGTTTCTGGAGTGATCCCGCAGCCTCTGAACAGTATTTCAAGATGCGTTTCACCCAACAGCAATATATTTTTTTTACAAGCTGTGGGACACTTCGTTATAGCAAGTATATAATCTATATAGTTTTGGCGAAAAATATTGCTGTCAAGTCCTGTAGTCATGTACTTTACGGCATCGTCTACTTCGCTATTTGATATACATGGCTGTACTCTAAAGAAGGAGTAGAGGATATGCAGCGCCAAAGACTTATTCCTTTGTGCCAGCCTAAACAGCCTCATTTCATGTATCTTGGCAACAGCGTGCTTATTTTCACTGTATTCTCTTATCATTCTCAGCATGCACGAGTCAAACCTTTTTAGGCCATCTTTCAAAAGAGCATCTTTCTCAAGAGCGGATGGAAGTAGCTCCTTTATGCTATCATAGAGATCGCTTATTTCCAGGTTAAAATCGCTACGGATATTTAAGAGATGCAGCTCTTCTGTTTTTTCTATCATACTTATCGTGCTTTCTTTAAAGGCTGCGAGCTGTGTCTGTATGCTGAGCAGACTGCTTTCTCCCTCCTTCAGATATCCATCAAGTTTTTCTGATGGTATTTCTCTGCACTCGAAAGCCTTTGCCCTGTTTAGAAAGTCAGCGCGGGTTTGAGTTTCTTTCTTCATGGAAACCATCCTATTTTGCCAGTAGCATTTTATCCTTATTATATCTCTGTCTACCACTGCTATGGCCTGCTGCAGATAGGCCAGTGCCACCACTCCTGTGATTACCTTTTTTAGCGTTCTTTTTAGGACCATAAAAATTAAAATATTTTTACTGCTTATACATCCCAGAGAACTATTGCCTCTTCTGACTCTTTTATTTACTGAGAGAAGTATTTTTCTTCTCATCCATGCCAATAGAAAGACTGAATGGAAATGGGAAAATCCTGTAAATCATTGCATAGATTTCAATAAAAGGGTTTAGCAGCAGCATATTATTTAGATCCGCATCTGACTCTATGCGTGAATGCAAATGAACTCAAAAACTAGAAGATGCATGCAGGAAGAGAATGAGTGAATGTCCAATTTATTTAATAATAGGAAGTGTCCATTGCTAATGCGTTGAAAAAACCAGCTCCATATTCTCCTCTTCAGCCTTCATCTGGTTGTCCTGCAGCGGGAATGGATTTTGTTCAATGGCTCCATATTCTTGTTCAGTTTCCATCTGCACTTCGTTCACATACTGTGACCTTTCTAAGTGTCTCTCAAAGTCATTGGCTATATAGTAGTACTCAAGGCCATCTTCTTTTCTTCTGATAAGTTTAACCATCTTCGAGTACCATGCTCTGATGCAGTTTTTCATATTCTCTGTCTGCACTGCGCTGCTGTCATTTTTGCCTATTTTGTGCAGTCTGAGAGTGATGCTATCCGAATCTTTTTCTGCAAAAGGCTTTTCATCAGACCCAAGATCTGCATCAGCCACTTGGCTCATGTCTTCGCACCGCTGGTAGATGTAGCACATGGGATGGGTGTACGACATGTCAAAGCGCACTTTTTTGAGCAGGCTCTGATCATCATCAATCTCCTCTGCTGTTGGGGTGAGTATATCGAGATCGTACATCCACCTAGCAGATGTAAAGACATTCTGGATTTCTTTAAAGTAATCAATGTTGATATCATTCTGTCTGCAGAGCTGTCTAATATTTCTATTCCGTAGCTCTAGCTTGAAGTTTTCCCACTCGCTCCACAGAACGTACAAACCACTGAGTATTCTGTCCTGTCTTTCTCTTTCCAGTCTGAGGTCTTTTTGGGCATCTGTGCTGTCGTCATCTGCCTTGCCTATGCTCATGATTATCTGTCCAAGGTTAGAGAAGACGGTGTTGTTTCTGTAGTCCATGAGGTATCCGTCCATTGCGCATTCGATCATTATCACCTTTACAACCTGTCCTCGCGTGATTTGATTGTGTTTTCTTATGTCTTTTTTGGTCATGTTTTCTTTCACCAGATCAAGATAGATGCTTATTCCGCCTGAAGTGTTCCCATACGGCTCAAACAAAATCGCAAGGTGTCTATCAGCTAACTTCAACAGATCCATTTCGCCTTTGTCTATATCATCTCTTATAGCTTTTTCATAATCTGAGTAATCCACAAAAGAAAGATAGTTGTTTATTGCTCTAAGCATATTATCCACCTCGTCTTTCATGCTAGGCCTTTTAAAAGTCGGCCCTTCGATGTTGAAAAGAGCGTAGACTATGCCCACAGCCAAGAACTTGTTCTTCTTCGCCAGCTTAAACAGGGTGAGATTGTGTATCTTTCTGTCCCTGTTCTTTGCCTTGCTGTACCTTTCTATCACCTCCAGCATATGCGAGTCAAACTTTTTTATTGCGCCATACAGCAAATCGGTTTTATCAAGAGCAGACGGAAGCATCTTCATTAATTCATCGCGCAAATCCTGTGTGTCAGCAACAGTTCCCCTCTTTTCAGCAATCATTTGTTCGCGTATTATGTTTATTGCTTTTTCTACTATAGTGTCTGCACTACTTTCAAAAGTTACCAGATGTGTTTTTAAGTTCTCTAGATTTGCTTCTCCCTCCTCTATGTATTTATTAAAAACACAAGGCTGTATTTCTTTGCATTCCAGAGTCTTTACCTCATTAAGAATATTAACACGAATTTTGATCTCTCTTTCCATATGATAGTTTGTCTTATCAGTCCAATAGTCTCTTATCTTTAAAATGTCTCTGTCTACTTCTGCTTTGGCCTTCTGGAGATAGGCTAGCGCCACTGCTCCTACGATTACCTGTTTCAGTGCTCTTTTTAGAATCATAAAAATTAAAATTTTTTGCTGCCTATATTCAGCTATGTACATTTTTTCTAGAAGATTACTAATTTTTGAAGCAAAAGTCGCTAGCAATGTGCTCACAAAACATGTGGAAACACATATTGAAACAGCAAGGTATAAAATGAACAGAAGTGCTGTGAAATGGATAATAGAAAATATTGTTTAAATTAAATGCTAGATTTATTTAGCGGCTAGAGACTAGGCACTGATTGTGTGCTAATTAACTAGCACAAACCCGTCTTTCTCAATTTCCGTTTGGCCATCCTGCAGTGGGTTTCTTTCAGTTTCAGCTCTTTCTTCAGTTTTTTCCTTCTTTTCTACTTTAGAAAACATGTACTGAGACTTATCCATATACCATCTGAAATCTTGGAGTATGTTGTAATACTGCTCACACTCTTCACCTTTGACGACAATTTTAATTCTTGGGCAAAAGAACCATTGTCTGATGCAGTCTTTCACGTTTTTTATCCGCACTGAATTGTTGTCTTTTTTGCTTACCTTGTGTGGTCTAATGACAATAAAGCCTTGCGAATGGCTTTTTATGAAGGGCTCTTCACTAGGATTTGCATCTGTACCGGCTAAATGGTCAATGTCCATGCATCGCTGGTATATGTAGCATATGGGATGGATGTAAGACATGTCGAAGTGCACCTTTCTGTATACTGCATCTTTACTTGTTAATTTTTCTGGTAAGGGCTTGAACAAATAGAGCTTGTACATCCATCTGGCAGCGATGAAACTGTTCTGCAAGTTTTTAAACTCAATAGCGCTTACATTGTTCTGCTTACAGAAAAAGTCAATGTTTTTTTCTTGTATTTCCATGTGGAACGCATCAGCCGCATTCCACAGAATGTGCAGGACATTAAGTATCTCGTTTTGTTTCTCCTTGGCCGCTTTTAGGTCTTTTTGAACGTCTGTGCTGTCATCAGCTGGCGTGCCTATGTTCATGATTATTCTTCCAAGATTGAAAAACACATTGTTTTGTCTGTAGTCCATAAGGCGTCCGTTCATCGCGCATTCTACCATTAGCACCTTTATGATCTGCTCAGGCGTGATGCTCTTGTATTTTCTTATTTTGTTTTTAGAGAGATCTTCTTTCACTAGATCCATATAGATGCTCATTATCTCTTCATTGATGCTGTACGCTTTGAACAACAGAGGGAAATGTTTGCTAGCTAATTCTAGAAGATTTCCGTCGCCCTCTTCCACACTCTTCCTTATCGCCTGCGTGTACCCTGCGAAATCCAGGGCAAACTGGTAGGTGTTTGCTCTGCTATTCATTTTGGCCAGTGCATTTTCTGTATCAGCGCCCTGCTCATATGGCTCTGTCCTAAATAGAGAATATATTATGCTGATGGCCAGTGGCTTGTTGTTATCTGCCAGATTAAACAGATCTAGGTCGTTCAAGTTGCCTGGCATTTTCTTTATCCTACGAAATTCGTATATTGTCTCCATCATGTTAGAATCAAAGCTTTTTATTTCTTTAGCTGCTGTATCGCATTGTCTAAGAGCTATTGGAAGCATATTCAGTAGGGTGCCATACACTGTTTTTATTTCATCAGTTTTCGGTTTAAAGCTACTGATCTCCATCCAGCATAAAGATGAATCTTCTGTTTTGTCCAATTCCATAAACTCGTCAGCTGTTTTTTGTATTTTCTCCACTGTTTCACTGAGGAATAGCAGATTTATTTTTATGCTGGACAGATCCTCTTTTCGCTGTTCTAGGCGATTTTTTAGGACATTAGCTTTTTTTTCTTGGGATATAAAAGGCTGTACCTCGTCAAAAAAATTGTTGCGCATTTCGAGCTCTTTGCTCATACAGATTACTTTATTAGCCCAGTAAGCTTTTATCTTTGAAATGTCTTTGTCTACTGCTCCTCTGGCCTTCTGGAGATAGGTCAGTGCCACTGCTCCTACGATTACCTGTTTCAGTGCTCTTTTTAGAATCATAAAAATTAAAATTTTTACTGCCTATATTCAGCTATGCACATTTTTTCCAGAAAATTGCCAATTTTTTATTACCAGCATAATCCGAGAATAAATAGTTAGTGTGTACAAGCCATTCCAGAAATTTGAAGCAAAATTCGCTAGTGTGTGCTCAACAAACATGTGAAAACATAATACACGTATAAGAAAATGGATACTAGAAAATATTGGTTAAATTAAATGCTAGATTTATTTAGCGACTAGAAACTAGTCTACTGATTCTCGGGTTAAATAACTAGTGTAAACCCGTCTTCATCGATCTCCATTTGCTCATCTTGCAGTGGGTTTCTTTCATTCTTCTCAATTTTACTGATTTTTTCGCTCTTTTCTGCTTTAGAGAATATATACTGTGATTTATTCATGTATCTTCTAAAATCTTGAATTATCCTGCAATATTTCTCATGGTCTTCGTCTTTTACGAAAAACTCAAGCTTGCACAAGAAGAACCATGCTCTGATGCAGTCTTTCATGTTCTTCACCTGCTCTGACTTGCTATCCATTTTACTTACTACGTGTGGTCTGAGAACAACAGCAGTATTTGATTCTCTTCTTATAAAGACTTCTTGATCAGAAGTTATGCCTGCATCGGCTGACTGTCTAACATCCGCACATCGCAGGTACATATGGAACATGGGGTGGATGTAAGACACGTCAAAGAACTCTTTTTTGTATGCTTTGTCTTGACTGGCTAAGCTGTCCAATTCCGGGCTCAATCTATTTCGCCTATACATCCATCTGACAGAAATAAAACTCCTCTGCATATTGCCAAACTCAAGCATGCTGATGTCGTTCTGTTTGCAGAGAAATTCAATATTTTTTTCTTGCGCGCCTATGTTCTTTCCATCAGTCTCGTTCCACAGAACATAAAGAGCATCAAGTATCTCGTTCTGTTTTGCTCTTGCCTTTTCCATGTTTTCTGGGGTGCTGGCGCTGCCATCAGCTGGCTTTCCTATTCTGTCTATTATATTTCCGAGATTGTGAAACAGATTGTTCCTTCTATAGTCTGTAAGATGCCCACCTATTGCGTATTCTATCATTAGCACTTTTATAATCTGCTCAACGGTAATGTCCATGTGCTGGGCTATTCCTTCTTCAGAAAGGCTCTCTTCTGCTAGATCTAGATAGATCTTCATTATGTCTTCGTTAACTCTGTACGCTTTGAACAGCAGATGGAAATGATTGTTAGCTAGTTTAAACAAGTCTATCTTGTCTGCTTTCACACTGTTCTTTATCGCCTCTGTGTATCCTGCGAAGTCCAGGGCAAACTGGTAGGTGTTTGCTTTGCTGTTCATGTTGGCCAGCGCATCTTTTACATCTTCTTCTGTTTTATATGACACTATCCTAAATAGAGAATATATTATGCTAACAGCCAGTGACTTATTGTGCTTTGCTAGCCTATACAGAGCTAGATCATTTAAGTCGCTGGGGTTTTTCTTCGCTTTATTGTATTCGCCAATTATCGCTAGCATGTTATAATCAAATATGTTTATTCTATCAGCTACTGCATCGCTTTGTTTGAGAGCATCTGGAAGCATATCCAGTATTTCATTATCCAAGCTTTCCATTTCAGGAGTCACCGGTTTGAATTTATTGTTCTTGTCCAAATACATGAACTGGTCTGTTTTTTCTCCTATAACTTTTACAGTTTTATTGAGAGCTGACAATTCTATTTCTGTGCTGGACAGCCATTCTCTTCGCACATTTATGGCTTTACTAAAACTCTTGAGAGTATCGGCCTTTATTTCTTCGCATCTGGAAGTCTCTAACTCGTTGAGAAAAGCATTGCGCATCTTGATCTCTCTATCCATGCAGGCTACTCTTTTCACCCAGTGCTCTTTTATCTTTGGAATGTCTCTGTCCGCCATTCCTCTGGCCTTCTGTATACAAGCCAGTGCAAACACTCCCCCTATAACCTTTTTCAGTGGTAGGATCATAAAAATTAAAATTTTTTACTCTTTATACCTCTTTATTTCCACTTTTGTCCTAAGACGTTTTAGCTTCTTCAATATTTGCAGCTAAGTAAGCTATGCCATCAGCACAGATGACTCGAGAGCAATAATCTGTTCAATGGATGCAGTCATCCGCTGCCTCTCCAGCTCTAGATAGCTGAATAGCGCATAGAAAATAAGAGTATAGACCAAACATGCAATAGAAGACGAAATGTTAGCAGTAGCTTTTATTCAGTAGTAAAACTTATTTGAGGGAATTATAGGCAGTAAAGTGGTATGTCTTTGTTTCTAGGTCGTCAGTTGTCCAGTGCAGCAATTTCGTTCTTCTCTGAGTTGGCTTTCTTTTCAGGCAGTATCTTCACTCCAAATATGCCCTGGGACTTCTTCAGATGTTTTTCAAAAACCTTGACCACGTCATCGTAATACTCTTGGCCGTCTTCTTCTCTGCTGATGAGCACAACGAATCCTAGGAACCATGCCTTGATGCACTCTTTGACATTCTTCTCGTGCGTGGAATCTTCATCTTCTTTGCTTACTCTGTATGGCCTAAGAGTAATGCCCTGAGGAGATATGGAAATGAAGGGGCGTGCATTGGGCTCCAGATCCTTCTTGACTAAATTGCTCATGTCCTCGCACCGCTGGTAAATATACGGCATGGGGTGGGTGTAGGCCATGTCAAAGTGCATTTCCTTGAAAAACGTGTGCTCGCTATTAGTCAGCTTGTCTGGCGTTGCAGTGAAGTCGTTCAGTGTATACATCCACTTCACAGAGAGAAAACTGTCCTGTGTGGTTTTAAAGTCACAGTTGTCTATGCGATTTTTGCTCAAGAACCGCTTAATGTTTTTCGTTTCTATCTCTGTTTTGGGCATGTCAAGATCGTTCCACAGGATGTCGAGGGCATCAAGTATTTCATCCTGCCGTTTTTTTGCTATTTTTCCGTCTTCTTCTGTGTTTTCTTTTCTTTTATCTGGCCTTCCCACCTCTGCTATTATTTTTCCAAGATTGGAAAGCAAGCTGTTTCTTCTGTAGTCCATAAGACTCCCGCTCATCGTAAACGCGCACTCTATCATTATCACCTTCATAGCCTGTCCCGGCGTGATGTTCATGCATTTTTCCAAATCAGCCACAGGGACTTTTTCCTCCATGAGTCTGAGATAAATGTCCGTTGCCTCTGCGGTGGATCCGTACGCGTTAAATAGCAGATGTATGTTGTTGTTTGCCAGCTTCAGCAGATCCAAGTCTCCCTTTTCTATAGACTCTTTTATCGTGTTAATGTAGATCGAGAAATCCATGGCAAAAACGTAGTTGCCTATTTTCTTGGATATGTAGTCCAGGGCTTTTTTCATCTTGTGCTTTTTGGGTATGGACTCGTCTATTTTGAAGAAAGCATACAGCAGATCCACTGCCAGCGGTTTATCATTTTTCGCCAGCTTAAACAGAGTCATTTCCTGTATTTTTGTGTTGTTGTCTTTCATTCTGCTGTACTTCTCGATTGTCTCCAGCATGTGCGAGTCAAACTTTTTTATTTCGATAATTACGGAATCGCCCATGTAGAGGACGGGTGGAAGCATTTTTTCGAAGTTGTCGTACGCCGCTTTCAGCTCCAGGGGAGGTATGTTTGTGCTGGGGTGCTTGAACGGCCATGTTCCTTGGATGTTTAAACTCATTATGGCCTTTACTCCACTTTTTATCTCTTTTACAGCCTGATTGAAAGCCAAAAGCTCTAGCTGTATGCTGGACAGATTGCACAGCCCTATTTCTATGTCTTCCTTGATAACAGCTGACGGTATTTCCTTGCACTTGAAAGTCCTGACTTTGCTGAGGAAGTCACTGCGGATTCTGAACTCTGTTTTCATGCATTCTAGCTTTTTCGCCCAGTAGTCTTTTATTGTCAGCACTTCTTTCTCTGTTAGACAGCTGGCGCTCTGCAAGTAAGCCAGTGCAAAGACGCCCACTGCTACCTGTTTCAGTGCTCGTTGTAGAATCATGCAAAAATTAAAATATTTTCTTTTTACCCTTACTATAGATGTATACTTTTTTATTTTTTTTCTTATTCTTACAACTAGTACAAATAAAATAGTTAGAGTTTGCAAACATTTTTTATTTTAGCAAAGTTACTAGTATTGCTTTATATTTGAATATGCTGGCAGAGTATGAATGGAAGAGAAATAAGATAGCTCAAGAAAATGCACGGTCGTAGCAGAAGAGTATTAGTTAATTTGTCGTAAATTAATCTATAATTCATATACCAAATCTACAACCATGATAAAAATAAGCATAAATATATTTATTTTTCAGATAAGCGCGCGCATGGATACGACACATTCAGAAACTAAATATCACTGTGTGTATAGATGGATAGAGAGCACAAAGCATCACCGAAGGATCCTTCCATCACTGTGCTAGTGCTACATCTCCAACAGTCTATTTTAACGCACTTCGATAGAAAAGACAGTTGAATGCGCTCTACTCTGAGGAGGAGTATCTCGTAGAAGGATCGCAGCTAAATAGCAGATCTTGCTCAGCGCCAAGAATGGTTTGATATATATCCAATATATCAGGTGTTTCAAAGGCTTCCTCCACTGCAGGCTTCTCCTGCACTACTTCAACAATGTACTCACATTCCCCTGTTTCCTTTGTTCTCTTTATTGCCACTGTGTTTCTATCGCTATTTTTCAGATATTTCACGAAGTAGTGGAGGATCTCGAAGTGCTCATCGCCATCTTCCTCTCTGCTGATGATTTCCACGTGTGGCGAGCACCATGCTTTGATGCACCCCTGGATGTATTTGTCGCGCTCTGACATGTCCTTTGTTTTTTTTATTGTGTACGGCCTAAGCACAACTTTTCTATTTTCTATTTGCTTAAACGGCATTGCGCTGCTTGTGTATCTTCTATCGGCGAGATCGCTGATGTGTTCACAGCGGTTGCATACGTACCACAGGGGATGCATATACGATACGTTCATGTGTGATCCCTTTTGTATCTCTTCATTTCTAAAGCTTGAATGTTTAGGCTCTAGGATGCAGTTGAGCATTTCGTACATCCATTTGGCGTGCGCCAGAATTTTCTGCACTCTCTTGATGTCAAAGAAAGTGATCCCATTCTCTTCGCAGAAAGAGTCAATGTCCGTGCCCACGGGCTGATTGCTGAAGTTGTAGTCATCCCAGAGGGCGCTGAGAACATCGAGCACTCTGTCCTGTTTTTCTCTTCCCATCTGCAGGCCCTCGAGGATGTACTCGCTGTTGCTCTTTGGATTGTACATATTCTCTATCACCCTTCCCAGAACAGAAAATAGTTGGTTGTTTCTGTAGTTTGTGAGGCGCCCTTTCATTGTGCACTCTATGATTATGATTTTCATGATCTGTGCGGGGGTAATGTTCAGGTACTTGCTAAAATCTATCTCGCTCACATTTTCGTCTAGCATGCTGAGATAGATCTGCATCGTAGCTTTGTCTACTATGGACTTTTTTGGGATATTATTCCTTGCCGGACACTCATCTGTGCTGGAAAGGACGGGGAAATCCATTGCAAAGGAGTACAGCTCGTCTGGAGCTGGGATGTTCTTATCGAAGAGGAGATGGAAGTGATCATCGGCTATCTGCAGCATTTCCAGCTCGCCTCTTCTTGCGTTTTTTCTGTTCGCTTCGGTTGCTATGGCACTGACAAAAAGCTCTACATTCTCGTGCGGAATGTGCCCCAGTATATTTCTCACCATGTAGTCTAGTGTGTCTGGTATGTTTGTGTGTTTTTTGTACCACTCCATGTCAAAGAGAGTGTACACGATGTTAACCGCCATAATTTTGTTGAGTTTTGCCAGCTTGAAAAGCGTCATTTTGTTTAAGTTGCTGTTTTTTCTTTTTCTTTTGCTGTACTCTTCCACAAGATCGAGCATGTGCAGGTCAAAGAAGTTCAGTTTTTCCATCACGCATGTGTTTAGCAGGAGAGACGGAATGAAGTGATCTTCCAGTCTTTTTCTCTCAGCTGCGATTCTCGGGCTGTCTGACCAGTTTCTGACAAAAGAAGAGGGGCTGCACTTCTTTTGATCGAATAAGATCTGCAGAGACCCGGTTATCTCTATTATCTTGTGCCCTTTTTTTTTGAGCTCTTTCACCTTATCCGACATTTTGTCCATTTTTCTCTTCGCCCTCTCCAGGCCAGACTCCATTTCCTTCGGTATGAGGTTTCTGAACTTTCCAAGGGCCTTGTTGCGCAGGTTAACTTCTTTTTCTATGTAGTGCAGCCTTTCAAGCCAGTAGAGGTGTATTGTTTGCACATCGCTCTCTGCCAGCTCGCAGCAAGCCTTTTGCAGATAAGACAGGGCAACCACCCCTAGTACCAGTACCTGTGTCAGTGCTTGTTTTAGGATCATAGAAAATTAAAATTTTTCATCCAAGTTCCATTTTAAGCAGGTTGTTTAACGGGTAACGGACTAAAATTTCTCCGAGCTCTTGCTGAAAAATCTCAGTATTAGCCTGAGTAGCTGAAGTACAAATAGAAAAGTGTTTAAATGCTGGCTTTTATTAGTGCTAAGAACGGCCAAAGACCATAGGATAAATATGTACCACAGTGCTTTTCATGGCACTGATTCGCTGCACAGCTGATTAATAGTTGATCTTAGGCTGTGCTGGTCTCATTTTCCCTCTTTTCAGCGTTTTCTTCTTGTATTATGTTCTTGAAGAAATCAGAAAAATCAGCAACAGTTGCATAGACACCGCTGCCATCTTTTTTCTTGATTATCTGCACATCACCATAAATATACGATCTGATGCATTTTTCAATGTATATTTCCCAATAAGCAGAAACAGATGTATATATTGTAGGAGGCATAAATACAACATCGCCAGTTTTTGTTCGCACAAACAGCTTCAGATCACCATAGACGTTTCCGTCTAAATAGTCAATGTACTTTTCTCGTTTGCATACATACCATAGAGGATGCGTGTATGTCATAGAAGATGGCATTCTTATGTTATCTAGTATTTCTGATGTGCCATCGTATATCCACCTGGAAAGCTTAAAGTCGCTTTGTATTCCTATAAAGTCAAAATACTCAATGCCAATCTCATCATACAGCTCAGCGGCTTTCTTTGGTAGATAAGCGCTTTCGGAGCTTTCCCAGAAGGTGCTTAGAACATCAAGGATTTTGTCCTGTTTTTCTCTTCCCATTCTTGCGTCTTCTTCATCGTTTCTGCTGTTGAGATGCTGTGGCTCGAAGACATTTTCTATTATTTTGCCTAGGATGAAGAATAGACTGTTGTTTTGGTAGTCCATAAGATACCCACTCAGCAGGTATTCTATTGTTATTATCTTCATAACCTGCACAGGCGTAATATTTATGTACTTATAAACGTCACAAAAATCAGATCTTAGAAGGTCGAGATATATGCTCATTGTTGCATCGTCTACGAGAGATGATTTAGGCCTGGACATTGGGCTGTATATGTCGAACAGCAGGTGGAAGTGTGTGCTGGCTGACACGAATATGTTGATGTTGTTTTCTACTACGTCCTTCTTTATAGCATCCACGAAAGTTTCTACGTTGTTGTTCGAAATCAAACGGAGTCGTACGTTTTCGCTTATTTCCCCCATAATTTTTTCTTTTTCAGTTTCATTCTCTAGCTCAAACGGGCCGACCTTAGAGAGAGCGTATATTATGTTGGCAGGCACAATCTTTTGGCTTTGCGCCAGTTTAAAGAGCGTTAGGTTTTTCAGCTCTTCGCTTGTTATCTTCTCTGTTTCACTGTATTTTGCGATCACTTCCATCATATGCGAGTCATACGCGCCTATATTTGCATTTAACAAAGTAGCATAGGTGAGAATGTATGAGATCTTTTCCCTTATGATATCTTCTTTTTTTTCAATTTGTGCCCGACATGACTCTTTTTGTTCTTGAGTGCGGGTAAAGTTGGGGTTGTTTAGAAGGCTGTATATGTCCATTGTGTTATCTGTGACAACTATAAGATTATCGGACATTTTCTTGAAGGTTTCAAAGTTTTCCATTATAGAATTCATATTTGTCTTTTCTATCTCCATGTCCTCCTCCATGATACTCTGCGAGTTCAGCGCTTGTGCGTTGGAATTAAGAGCTCTGAACTTTTTAAAGTAATTGCGGCGTAGAGAAATCTCTCTGCCTAATGAGCTCCTTCTGTTGTCAGCATACGCTTTTATAATTGCTATGTCGCTCTCTTTTAGACAGCTGGCGCTTTGCAGACAAGCCAGCGCAACAGCTGCTGTTACCATTACCTTTTTTAGGGCTCGTTTAAGAATCATAGAAAATTAAAATTTTTTACTATTTATATCCTCCTAAGAACTGTTTTATTTTTTATGCTGCTTACTCATTCCAGCAACTAGTACAAACGGAATAGCTGCAGTCTACGAGCGGTCACTACACAATTTTTAATAATAAAATCCAGTAGTACCAAACTATATTTGGGTATGATGTAAAATGAATAAAAACATTGAAAGATGTGCAGCAGAAGAATAACGGATAATATTAGTTTTATTTGGTAGAGGGAAGTGGCTTAATAATCATGCGTTAATCAGTTATTAGAGAAGGAAGCCAGGGCCTAATTTCTTTTTCAAATAAACTGCCTTCCTCAGACTCGTCATCAGAGCTGCTTTCAAGAAGCCTATCGTAAGGCACTTCTTCTGTGTCTCCTGTTTCTTCTCTTATTCCTATCGCTTGCTGCACTGAGTTTTTCAAATACTTGTAGAAGTCGTTGGATATGCTGTAGGATCCGCTATTTTTTTCTTCTTCTCTGCTGATGATTTCAATGGACTTTGAGAACCAGGCTTTGATACAGCTTCGCATGTTCTGTGCTCTTGCCAGCCCGCCATCATTTGCACTTATTCTGTACGGCCTGAGCGTGATTACGCTGTCTTCTTCTTCCATAAATCTTTTTTCGTTAGATTCCGTGGTTATATTGGTAAACTCGTTGATGTACTCGCAGCGTCTGCATATGTACCACATAGGATGGGTGTATGACATGTCAAAGTGCATCTCCCTGTCTATCTCGTCTCTGGTGACTAGGTCATCTGATTCTGTGCCGTGTCTGTCTATTTCATACATCCACTTAACAGACATAAAATTGGCTAGTATCCACTTGAGATCGTACAGCTCAAAGCTGTTCTCCTTGCAGAGAGACTTAGTGTCTATATTCTCAATCATCATTCTATACGCACAATCGTTCCATAGAATGCTTAGGACATCCAGCATTTTATCCTGCTCCATCTGTTTCATCTGCAGCTCTTCACTGATGTTTGCGATATTTTCATCTTTTATTCTGAACACGCTTTCGATCACTCTCCCCAAAGCGAAAAACAAGCTGTTTCTCCTGTAGTCCAGAAGATGCCCGCTCATCAGACACTCCAGCATGAGTATTTTTACAACTTGTCCTGGCGTGATATTCCTGTGCTCTTCTATCTCTGTTTCTGCAATCTCTGTTTTTGACAGATTTAAATACATGTTCATCGTATCTGTATCTACAACAAACTTGTTAGAGTTGTACGGATTGCAGAACAGCAGGTGCAGATGTCTATCTGCAGAGACCAAGGGATCTCCTTTCTTCTCTCCTGCAGCATTCAGCACATCCTGTATTACAGCATTTATAAAAACCCTTACAGATACTGCTGGAATGTGTGTCATTATGCTTTTGCACAAGTAGTTTGAAATGGGTATAGCACTAGTGCTTATGTCAAATATCCTCATCTCAAAAAAAGAGAATATTATCCCAGCAGCCAGCATCTTGTTGCTCTTTGCCAGCTTAAAGAGAGCCAGCTCGTTTATTTTGCTATTTTTATCCTTCACTTTGCTGTATATTTCTACTACTCTCAGCATGTGTGAATCATACTCGTTTATTTTTTTAATTGCTGAGGTGAAGCTCTTGAGCGCCGGCAGAAGCAGTCTGTCTAGAGCAGTTTTTTTGACTTTAGTTCTAAAACTGTGTACATCAGTATCATGAAGGAATTCGGATATTTTAATACTCAATCTGTTTGCTATGTCGTAGGTAGATGGATATATGTCGAAAAGTTTGTACAAATCCATCAGGGAGCGTGCTGTTTCCATTATCTCATCTCTCTTTTTCTTGAGGGCCTCCAGCGCTTTTTTTAGCTCAGATAGATCTGTTCGCCCTGCCTCTATTTCTCTCTTTATCTCTGCAGAAAGCTTGGAGTCAGATAAAACTATTCGTAAATTGGTGTACTCAATTGTTTTGAAGAAGCTCTTCCGTATTTTGATCTCTTCTTCTATGCAGTTTATTCTGGCATGCCAGTAGCTATGTATCGATTGGATTTCACTTTGTGACACTTCACAGGCAGCTCCTCTAAAACAAGCCAGCATGCCTGCTCCTATCAGCAGCACCTGCACTAATAATGTTCGTAAAATCATGGAAAATTAAAATATTTTCATTAAGTGCCCATTGAGGTAAGTGGGTTTTTAGCTGTCGTGCTGAATGAGATTGGGCGCAGAAGATGGTTAAGCATAAATATTGGCATAGCGCAATTCAAGAAGGACATGAGCATGCTTTTCGGTATTATTGCACAAGAGCTGCAATGCATTGAACAAAGTGCCAATAAGAGAGCTGCTAGTGATCTCTGTAAGCGCGTTTAGTTATTGATTTAGTTATTGAGCGAATCTTTTATTTAGTGGTAAGATTTTTTCTATTGTTCGTATATATCAGACATATCAAAGCTTTCCTCTGAGACAATTTTTCTATTTCTTGCGGGATTAGTGCTTACTTTAGATGCTTCTGACTCTTTTTTTACTGTCACCTTCTTCTCTTTTGACGTCTTCAGGTATTTGACAAAGTCACGGACAATGCTGCGGTATTCTTTGTCGTCTTCTTTTCTGCTGACCACTTTGATCTCAGCGGTTGGTGAGAGCCAGGCTTTGATGCAGCTTTTTATGTTCTCTGCCTTCACCAGGTTGTCATCATTTTTTTTTATTTTGTGCGGTCTGAGTGTAATGACATTGTTTACTCTCTTCTTGAACGGCAGCAGATTTGATCTGATCTCTGTCTTGTTCAAATGGCTGACGTGCTCGCAGCGGCTGTATACGTGCCACAGAGGATGGGTGTACGACATGTCGAAGTGTATTCCTATGCTGAACTCGTCCTCGTAGTTTGGATACTCTTCATACACTGCTTTGTATCTGTTTATTTCGTACATCCATTTAGCGTGCACAAAAACATCTTTTGTTCTTCGAATGTCTGAGGGCGTGATACCATTCTCTTTGCAGAAGGCATGCATGTCTTCTATGTGCACAACTGAGGATGGCAGCTCAGAGTCATTCCATACAGCACTCAAAACATCGAGTATTTTATCCTGCTCTATTCTCCCTATTCTCATGCTTTCGTAAATGTCTTTTCTACCGCTATTCTCTGGGCTGCACACATTCTGCACTACACTCCCAAGGACAGAGAATAAGCTGTTTCTCCTGTGGTCCAGAAGGCTTCCACTCATTGCACACTCGAGCATGATTATTTTCATAACCTGTCCAGATGTGATGTTTCTGTACTGGTTTATTTCTTTTTCAGAGATGTCTTTCTTTGATAGAGCTAGATAAATGTTCATTGTATCCTTGTCCATTATGCCTGTGTCCGTCATACTTGTGTCCATTGTGTTGGTATCTGTTGTGCACGGTGCAGGGATGCTGGCATCGCACAGCAATCGATGCAGATGCATATTTGCTGAGACTATTTGGTTTATGCCTTTTTTTAGTATATCTTCTCTGATGCATGTCATAAAATTTGTTATGTTCTCCACGGGAATGTGTCTCATCATGGATTTAGAGAAATAGTCTATTATTTGCGCTAGATTAGTGTCTATTTTCGAGAGATTGGGCCCAAAGAGGACAATGTAGATTATGCTGGCAGCCATCATTTTGCTGTTTTTAGCCAGCTTGAACAGCATGATCTCGGATATTGTGCTGCTTTTGTCGAGCAGTTTGCTGTACTGCTCCAGGACTCCCATCATGTACGAATCGTACTCGTTTATTTTTTTGACCACGGAAGTAAATCTTTTCAGGGCAGGCAAGAGCATCTTGTCTAGTCTATTCTTGTTTTTTTCTATTCTAAAAGCGCTGTGTGGGAACTCGTCCACATTTCTGTACAGACTCAGCAACAGCCTTGTTGTTTTTAGTATATCGTTTGCGATTTCTTTCATAATTTCTTCCTCTTGTGTTATTTTTAGGAGGTATTCGTCTTTTTCTTCTGCATTTACGTTGATCTCCACAACGCCATTTTCATTCAAGAAAGGCTTGAAAGAGTCTATTATTTTGACAAAGACACTGCGGATGTGGACCTCTTCACCTAAAGCAAGCATTCTGTGATGCCAGTAGCTCTGTATTGCTTCTATCTCTTTTTCCGATATTCTGCAGCCAGCTCTTTGAAAATAAGCAAGCACAAGTATTCCCAGCAACATTATATGCTTCAGTGTTCGTTGCCAGCTCATGCAAAAATTAAAATATTTTCATTTAAATCCGTATTGAGACAGACTAATCTGTCCTTACAGTTAAAGAATAAAATTTTTACTCTGCAATAAAAGTTCGTAGAATAGGGTTTGAGAAAAGAGGATTTTAAACCTAAAGGAAGCTCAGAGAACAGAAAGATCCTTGGCAGAATGAGAACATCAACTAACACACCAACAACTGTTCTTGGCTCGCTTATAGTCTGTCTATACAATACAATGTACCCTCTCTGATTATTACTACTATACGGTTTTCTACTGTTCTGATCTATTGTCCTACATTTATATACTATCCTAATGGGATAATGCTGTTTTTGCAGTGGTAGAGTGGATAAAAAAGTTGGAAGAAGTGCGGTGGAAGGATAGTTTAACACTATATCTCTGATTTTATTTACGAGAAGTATTAGTTTGATATTGTAGTAGATCAAGGATATTGGATGCCTCTTTTAAGACAGTTTGACTGTGTAGAATGGATTGCTCTGGTTGGCTTCCGCTGACCATTCTGTTTCTTCCTTCATGTTCACTGTTTTTTCTTCGGAGGTTTTCAGATACTTTGCAAAGTCATAAGCCAAATTGTAGCCCTCATTGTCTTCTCTTCTGCTGATAATTTCAGTGCACTGTGCAAACCATGCTCTAATGCACTTGTTTATGTTCTCTGTTCTGACTGCATCACTGTCGCGCTCTCTTATCCTGTGCGGTCTGAGCGTAAATACATCATTGCACACCTCAATAAACGGCGTGTCGCTAGATGTAGTGTCTATTGCAGAAAAACTGTTAATGTACTCACAGCGCTTGTATATATACCACATAGGATGTGTGTAGGATATGTCGAAGTGCACTTCTTGGGTTAGTTCTTTTCTCGGAATAGAATTTTCTGGCTCTGTGCCCTGTCTTTCTACCTCGTCTATAGAAGTGACAGTGTACTCTGGCTCTAAGCTGTATCTTTCTATTTCATACATCCATTTAATAGACGCAAAGCTTTTCTGTACTCTGAAAAAGTCGAAAAATGAAAAACCGTTCTTGTAGCAGAACTGCTCAACGTTTATGTGTTTAACTGACGTGGCAGATTTGTAGTCATTCCACACAATACTCAGAGCATCCAGTATCTTGTCCTGTGCTGCTCTTTCGATCCCAATTCTTTTGTGGATATTTTTGCTGTTGCTTGCTGGTTTTCCTATGTTCTCTATTATCTCCCCAAGAACAGAAAAAAGTTTGTTGTTTTTGTGGTCTAAAAGGCGCCCAGTCATCAGATATTCTATCATGATTATTTTCATAACCTCTCCAGGCGTAATGTGCATGCACTGGCTCAGATATGTCCTGTAGATATCTTTTTTTAGCAGAGTAAGATAGATGTTCATGGTGCCAAGATCCAGCACAGATGATTTGGGCTGGTATACTGGGTTATACCTGTCACTTAGCAGATAGAGGCGTGAGTCCGCTGAGATCAGTGGGTCTATGCTTCTGTTTACCACGTCGTCTCTCACAGCATACATAAAAAGTTTTATATTGCTGTATGGGATGTGATTGATCAAATTTCGATGCATAACGAATATTATTAGCTCCAGCTCGCTGTCCAGCTTAGACGGGGCTATGTCGGAGAGAGTGTATATTATGTCTGCAGCCACAACCTTATTGCTTTTTGCCAGTTTAAACAGAGTTAGATCGTGCAGTGTGCTACACTTATTCGCCGCTCTGCTCTGCTCTTCCACTACTTCTGCCATGTGTAAATCGTACTTGTTTATTTTCTCAATCAGTGAAGTGCTGTTGTCAAGGGCTGGTATAAATAGTTTCTTCAAGGTGTGTAAATCCGCTTTGATCGCAGCTTTGTTTTTATCTTGTTTATTTTTGTTGTAAGCACAGCAAGGAGTGTATGAATTTTTCTGCAGGTCTTCTAGTGAGTGTATTATGTCTAGAATAGCTTGGATTTTCTCGTTCAGATACGCCAGATGTTCTGCTATGTCACTTAGATGTTGCTGTCCCATGCTTAGCTTTTCCTCCATCTCTGGGTTGCTGTTATTATCTTCTTCTACGCCAGTGTCAGATGAGTCTGGCGATACTCTAGCGTTTAAAGAGCTAAGTTTTTTGAGGAAATTACTGCGCAGCTCAACCTTCTTTTCTATGTTCAGCAGTCTGACGGACCAGTAGTCATGTATTGACAGCAAGTCATCTTTCTCCACTGCTCCGCTGGCCCTGTGTAGAAAGACGAGTGCAGCTGCTCCTACTATTGCGACCTGTTTTAGCACTTGCTTTTGAATCATAAATAAATTAAAATATTTTCTTTTCTTCTTTCTTTGCAAGATGTATGCTTTTTATTCTTTTACAGAGCAATTCTTAAATTCGCATTAACAGGAAGAGAATGTAAAAAAAAGCAGAAAAATTGTATAACATCAACTATCCACTGCTCTAGTCATTAGCATCATTTACAGTTCAGATGCTATCTAAAAGCAACTAAATGGTGCAAGATAAAAGGATAGGATAGATGAATACGGATAAGAGCGTACAATAGAAGAATGTTAAATAGCAGCTTTTATTCAGTGATATAATGATTCAGTCTCATTCGCTGACTAAGCTAGCTCAAATTCACCATCTCATGCTTCTTCAGTTTCCATCTGATTATCCTGCAAGGGATTGCTTGTACTGGCCTCGGCTTTCGCTGGGCCTTTGATTGCTCCCATACGCATTCTCATTTGACCTTCTATTTGATTCAATTGTTCTTCTCTTTCTGTTATTTTTATGTACTTATTAAAATCAGCAGCTAGAGTATTGCATTCCTTGGCATTGTCTTCCCCTGTGAAAACATCGGTGGTTGGGAAGAGCCAGGCTTTGATGCAGTTGTTCACGTTTTCCAAGCTCGCTTGATCGCCGCTTTTCGCGCTTTTCTTGTATGAACTGTGTGTAAATACGTCATGGTATGCCATATACAGCTCTCCGCCAGACTTAGATTCCATCTCAGATATATAGGCAGCGTATGAATAGCGCTTGCACACATAGTATATGGGATGAGTGTAGGATAGATCAAACAGCAGTCCCTCTGCGGCTGGAGTAGGTGCATCTAGCTGATAGATCCATTTAAGAGAGAGATAGTCTCTCTGCAGATCTTTAAAGGCAGAGTACGATATGCTGTTGTTTTTACAGAAACAGTAAATTGGACTGAACATATCATCGCTACTAGGGTGCTGGCTATTCCACACATAATTTAGACACTTGAGTATTTTGTCCTGTGCTTTTCTTCCCACTTTCATGCCCTCGTGAACATCCGTGCTGCTGTAGTTCATGGGGTTGAATGCGTTGTCAATTACTCTTCCTAGGGCGCGCAATAGATGGTTGGTCTTGTAGTCATAGACATTGTCAGCCATTAGATGCTCTAGCATCATGATTTTTACAACCTGTGCAGGCGTAACATTCTTGCACTTGCTTATTTCCTCTTCAGAGATGTTTTCCTTTGCTAGGCTAAGATAGACGCTCATTGCATCATTATCCATTGATGTTTCTATATCATTGTTCTCATCGCATAAGAGCAAGGCTAAGTGTGCATTTGCTGTTTCTAATGGATCTCCATCAGTTTCCTTCACAGCCTTCTTTATAGCACTTAAAAAGTCTAATTTACACCGCATTAGTTTGTTGGATGCCATGTTTTCAACGTGTTTTTCTGTTTCAGCTTCTATCGAAAAATCTGTATTGAATCTCTGCATCTCAAAGAGATAGTATACCATCTTAGTGGCTAGTATCTTGTTCCTCTTTGCCAGCTTGAAGAGTGTCATCTCTTTTAGATTAATGCTCTTGTACTTCTTTTCGTAGTATCTCTCCAATACTTCCAGCATGTGGGAGTCGTACTCGTTTATTGCCTTGACGATTGATGTATTTCTGTTAAGAGCCTTTAGAAATATTTTTTCCAATTCAACTTTTATATTGGCTATAAAAGAGGCGTCTTTCCTGTAAATGCAAGAATACTCTATTTGAGATATCAGCTGCACCATTTCTTCTATTATTTTTCTAAGACTTGTCGTCTGGCATCTTATGTTGAATATATCCTCGTTTCCTTTCTCAATGGCCTCATCTAAGTTCAGGCCAAATGACAGCGCCTCGGTCTTAAGAGCCTCACATTTTGTAATGAAGTCACTGCGAATGGTCCCTTCTCTGTGAAAATATAATGCTTTGTCACACCAATAATCTTTTATCTTTACTATGTCGAGGTATGGTACTCCACAGCTGGCTCTTTGCAAGTAGGCTAGTAAAAACACTCCTAATATTACCTGTTTCAGTACTCGTTGTAGGATCATAAAAAAATTAAAATTTTTTATTATTTCTATTTCTTTATTTCCGCTTTCGTTATAGGGTATTCTACTATAGTATACAGCTAAATATGCATTTTTATTGGTAAAATCTAGTGGTAATTTATTTACACACTGTAATAACATACTGTGAATATAAAATGGATAAGAATAGTAAAATGTATAAGAATAGAAGAATGTTAGCTAGAATGTTACTTTTATTCAATCTTAATAGTAGTTTGATGACTGTATGCCAATTAAACTATCTCAAAGCCATCGTTATCATCTTCATTAACTTCTATTTGATCATCCTGTACAGGATTGCTTTCACCAGTCTGAGCTTCAACTGCCTCTTCAGCTGCTATTTCTACATTAACTGGATACGACGATTTTTTCAAGTGAGTTTCAAAATCTTTTACTATGCTGCAATACTCCTCGCCATCTTCTTTTCTACTGATAATTTTAGTTTCTCCTGAGGATATGAACCATATTCTAACGCAATCTTTCATATTCTCCAGTTTTACTAAATCAGTATCTGCTTCACTTACTCTGTGCGGCCTAACGATAATTTTTGATCCTAGCTCCACAAAGGGCTTTTGATCAGACTCAGCATCTGTCTTGACTAAATGGCTCATATCTTCGCATCGCTGGTAGATATAGCACATGGGATGGACATAGGACATATCAAAGTGGGTTTTTTTGAATAATTTTTGTTCATCAGTAAGCTTGTCTGCTGGCGTAGCCAGATTCAGCTTGTACATCCAACGGGCAGACGTAAAGCCGTTTTGCAAAGTTTCAAAGCTACTGCGATTTATGTGATTCTGTTTGCAGAACGGGAAGATAGTTGCTACTCGCTTCTCTCTGTTGAATGTTTCGCATTCATTCCACAGGATGTGCAGAGCATCAATCACTCTATCTTGTTTCTCTCTTGCTTTCTTCTTGTCTTCCTGAACATCTGCACTTTTTTTTGCTGGCTTTCCAATGGCTGCTATTATTCTTCCCAGAAGACAAAACAGATCATTTTTTTTGTAGTCCATAAAGTGTCTATGCAATGCATACTCCAGTATTACCATTTTTACAGTCAGCTCAGGCGTAATGTTTGTGAAATACGCTATCTCTTCATCTGGAATGTGTTCCTCCAGTAGGTTAAGATAAGTTTCTACTGTATCTGAGTCAATTCCATATTGCTCAAATAGTGTGTGCAGATGTGTATCAGCTAGCTCCAGTAAGTTTAGATGCCCATTTTTTACGTTGTAATTAATAAGATTAGCATAGTGTGTTGCATCCATACCAAGGAAATAGTTACTCAGTTTTTCAAGCATGTATTCTACCGTTTCCTCTATATCATACTTTGATTTGTACGGCTCTATTGTAAAAAGAGCATACAGCATGTCTATAGCGAAAGGCTTATTTATCTTTGCCAGCCTAAACAATTTTAAGTATTCTACTCTGCTATATTTTTTCTTCATCTTACTGCACTTTTCTATCACTCCCAGCATGTGCGAGTCGAACTCTTTTATTTTTGCGCATAATGAATCAATCTTATCAAGGGCAGACGGAATCATTTTCTGCAAACTGTCCTCTGCTTCATCTATTTTCTGAAAATGTGAGCGAAATAATGCTACAGCCATTCTATGTCCAGAGGCTTCGTTTAAATCTATCAGCTCTTTTGCTTTTTTCAGCACAGTTTCTGCGTTTTCAGTAAACTCTGAGAGTTGTGCTTCCATGTTGAACAGGTTGGTCTTTCCTGTTTCTATGTCTTCACTAAGGCTTTGGGGTGGTATTTCTTTACATACAAAAAGTTTGACTTTGTTGTTAAGAAAATTTCTACGGATTTTAAATTCTTTTTGCATGGAAGTCATCCTTTCATTCCAGTAGCTCCATATCTTTTTCACATCTTTCTCCTTTAGACAGCTGGCTCTTTGCAAGTAAGCTAGTACAAGTATCCCTAATATTACCTGTTTCAGTGTTCCTTTTAGGATCATAAAAATTAAAATTTTTCATTATTTCTATTTCATTATTTCTATGTCTGTCATAGAGTATTCTACTATTTATAGCATATAACTAAACAGAATCCTTAATGGTAGAATCTAGCGGTAGTTTATTTACACAAATATAATGGCATACTGTGATACTGTGAATATAGAAAAAGTAAGAATAGAAGAGTGCTAGCTAGAATATTACTTTTATTCAATCTTAATTGTGTTTAATGACTGTATGCCAATTAACCTATCTTAATGGCATCGCCATCGCCTTTATCAAGTTTAATTTAGCTATTCTGCAATGGATTGCTTTCACCAGCCTGAATTTCTAATTTATCAAGTCTCTTCTTCAGAACTTCCACATCATCCAAATGTATCGTGGGTACTGTTAGTTTCATATACCTATCGAACTCAGCAGATACGTCCTTGTATTCCATGCTACCATTATCTTTTGTGATAACTGTAACTGGATTTGCAAAAGACAGTTTAATGCAGCTGTTTATGTTCTCTGCTCTTACTGTATCACTATCTTTTGCATCTATTACGTATGGTCTAAGGAAGTGTTCGTTATCTTTAGTTTCTACCAATGGGACTGGATTTGTTTCAGTATCTTTCTTGGTCAAATAGCTAATATTTTCACAGCGATTATAAACATAGTATACGGGATGAGTGTAAGATAGGTCAAATGTTAGATCCTCTGTAGTTGAAATGGACTTATCTAGCTGATAGAACCATTTAAAAGAGGTAAAATCATCTTGCAGCTTTTTAAAGTTCATGTACGATATGTCATTATCCTTACAGAAATAGTAAATTATACTCGTTGTATCTTCTCTGCAGGTATATCTATTATTCCATATAATACTTAGGCCCCGAAGCATCTTAAATTGTATTTTTTCCATTCTCTTTATAGATTCATGAGCATCTGTGCTGTTGTAATCCGTAAGATTTAGCGCACTCTGCACTACCCTAGGAAGTGTATTAAATAGAGCATTTTTCTTGTAGTCATAAATATTATCAGCCATTAGATGCTCTAGCAGTATTACTTTTACAATCTGTCCTGGCGTAATATCCATGTACTTTTGTCTCATTTCCTCTTCAGAGATATTCTCGTTCAGTAGGTTAAGATAGATATGCACTATGTCTGAACACATTAAAGGTGAAACGCCATGGTCTTTATCGTAGAAGAGTAAATGCAAGTGTGCATTTGCTGTTTCCAATGGATCTCCATTATTTTCTAATATAGCCTTCTTTGTAGTATTTAAATATATTAACTTAGAATTCATTAGTCCACAAGATTCCTTATTTTCATATTCTCCTTCTATTTTAAACTCTTTAAAGAAATCTGTATCAAATTTCTGTATCTCAAAGAAATGGTATACTATCTTAGCAGCTAGTATCTTGTTTTTCTTTGCTAGCTTGAAGAGCGTCATCTCTTTTAGATTAACATTCTTGTTCTTCTTTTCGTAGTATGCTTCTACCACTCCCAGCATGTGGGAGTCGTACTCATTTATTGCCTTAACTGCTAAAGTGTTGTTATTAAGAGCCTTTAGAAACAGTTTTTCCTTTTCGATTTTTATACTGGCTATAAGAGATTTGTCTACTATGAAGTTACGAGAGCGCATTTTAAGATCTATACCATGTGTAATATCTGAAAGATTTGCCACCTGGCATAATATTTCGGATATATTCTCATTCCCTTTCTTAATGGCCTCATCTAAGTTCAGGCCGAATGACAACGCCTCGGTCTTGAGAGACTCAAGTTTCTTATTGAAATCGATACGAATGGATGCTTCTCTGAAAAAATATAATTCTTTGTCACACCAATAGTCTTTTATCTTCACCATGTCACTGTCTGATATCTCGCATCTAGCTCCTTGTATATAAGCCAGCGTAGCTGCTCCTACTAGAATTACCTGTTTCAGTGTTCCTTTTAGGATCATTAAAAAATTAAAATTTTTTATTATTTCTATTTCTTTATTTCTGCTTTTGTCATAGAATATTCTACTATGTATAGTAACTAAACATGCATCCTTAACAGTAAGATATAGTGGCAGTTGTTTATTCACAAATATGTAATGACATACTGTGATACTGTGAATATAGAAAAAGTAAGAATCCTAGTTATATATATCTTTTATTTAGTGGCAGAGACTAGCTTACTGCATTATGCTAATTAGTCTCATTTGACTATTCTGCAACGAATTTCTTCCATCAGCTCTAGCACCAGCTGTTTATCTAGTTATTTTACCCTTTTATTGCTCTAATCACGTACTGCGATCTATTCAAGTGTGTTTCAAATTCTCTGGCTACATTATAATACTCCTCCCCGTCTTCTTTTCTGTAGATAACTTCGATTCTTTTTGCAAACCATATCCGAATGCAGTCTCTTATATTTTCTGCGCGCACTGAATTTCTATCTGTCTTGCCTATTCTGTATGGTCTAAGTGTAACAGTGCGCAGTATATCCCTGCTTATGAAATGTTTTTCATTCGATTTAAGGCCTTTCTTAACCATATGGCTCATGTCCTCGCATCTTTTGTATATGTAGAGAATGGGGTGTGTGTACGACATGTCAAAGCACACTTTTTTCAGCAGTTTTTGGTCATTAGCAAGCTCTTTTGAATCTGGGCTCTCTATTTTCAGTTTGTACATCCATATAGCAGACATAAAGCCGCTCTGCACAGTTTCAAAGTCAGACGCTTTTATGTCATTGTTCTCGCAGAAAAACTCAAGATCACTTTCTTGTTTTTTTTCTTTAAATTCGCGGTTGTTCCACAAAAGGTGCAGAGCGTCAAGTATTTCATCTTGTTTTTCTCTCGCTTTTTTCATGTCTTCTTGAACATTAGCGCTGTCGCTTGCTGCTCTTCCTACACTTGCTATTACCTCCCCAAGATTGAAAAGTAGGTCGTTTCTTCTAAAGTCCATGGAGCACCCGTTTATTATGTACTCTACTATAAGTATCTTCATGATCTGCCCGGGCGTAATATCCTTGCACTGATTTATTTCTGTTTTAGAGATGCCTTCTTTTACCAGACTAAGATAAATGTTCATCACATCTGCAGCAACCCCATGTCTTTCAAACAACAGGTGTAGATTCCTATCCGCTATCTCCAATAGGGCATCACCGCCTTTATTCACATCGCCCATCATGCCTTGGATGTAACGCGAGAAGTCTGTGAAAAAAAGATAGTTTTTCAGATTTTTCTCTAGATAGGTCATTGTATATACTATAGCAGCGCCTGATTTAAAAGGCTCAATCCTGAAAATAGAATAGATTATGGCTGCACACAGCGGCTTATTGCTCTTTGCCAGCTCAAAGACTGCCAGCTTGGATACATCGGTATTTCCATCCTTTATTTTACTGCTGTACTTTTCTATTGCTGCCAGCATGTGCGAATCAAACTCTTTTATTTTGTCAGCCACTGCATCGCCCTTCTCAAGAGCTGGCAGAAGTAGCACCTCTAAGCTATCGTGTGCCCTATTTGTCTGGTGCATAAACTCTCCGATCCTAAAAACCTCAAGCCGCCACTTTGTGTTGGCATTTAAGCCCATTATTATTTTTATCGCTTCTTTTATATTTTCTACGCTCTCTTTAAAAATTAATAGATCTGTTTCTATCTTGGATAGGTTTTCTTTCCCGTCTTTTATATCTTTCTTGAAAATAGTGTCTGGTATGTTCTCTGATGAGAAAGTTCCTGCCTTGCTGAGAAAATCGCTGCGGATTTGAGCCTCTGTTTCTATAAGAGTCAGCCGCTTGCTCCAGTAATTTTCTATGTTTACTATATCTTTATACAGCAGTGCATTAGCTCCCTGCGAATAAGCTAGAATAGCCGCCACTATTAGTATTGCCTGTTTCATCGCTCGTTGTAGGAACATGAATAAATTAAAATATTTTCATTTCTACTTGAGCCTGAGGATTGCCAGTCTTTCAGCCTTCTCATCATGCTACGAGCTAGTAAAAACAGAGACAATGAGACATTCTGATCGATTGCACATACTTTAATAGGAGAATTCAACACTAATGTGCCGTATTAGACACAATTCCAAAGTAGGATTGTAATAAAAAGAGCAGAAGATGTGTGGTAGAAGAGATTGTTAAATAGTAGCTTTTATTGAGTAGTAGATTGGCTTAGTATTACTGTGTGGATTAAAACAAACAAAAACCTTCTTTTTCTTCAATCTTTGCTGGGCTACTATGCACTGATGTGTTTCATTAGCTTGTGTTTTGTTTTTCTGTTTGTGTGATTTCAGATATTCCCACTTCAACCATATACATTGATTTTCTGAAATATTTGCAAAAGTCGTCGGCTATGTTGAGGTAGCTTTTGGCGTCTTCTTTTTTGATGAAAACTTCAACTCTTGGCAAGAACCATGTTCGAATGCAGCTTTTTATGTTCTCTTCCCGCACTGCATCGCTGTCTGTTTTTCCTACTTTGTACAGTCTGAGGAAAACAACGCCCCTTCTACCTCTTTCCATAAAAGGATTTCTATAGAGCTTCATGGCGTTTGGGCTCCCGAGATGGCTCATATCCTCACATCTTAGGTATATATAGCACATGGGATGTGTGTAGGATATGTCAAAGTGCATCGCCTTGGATGGGAGATTGCCGCTAGCTGACCCCCCTGAAGAAGGGCTGAACAAGTCCAGTTTGTATATCCATCTGTCGCGCATGAAAGTTTTCTGTATGGTTTTAAAGTCAACAAGGCTAACTCCATTGTGTGTGCAAAAAAGCTTAATATTTTCGTCTTGCAGAATTTTATCCATCGGCTCCTCCTCATCCATTGGGTCTTCTTCTGGCTCTTGCTCATTCCACAGAAGATAGATGATATTAAGTATTTCTTCTTGTTTTTTGTGTGCTTCATTTACATCTTTTTGCAGTCCTGTGCTGCTGCTTGGTTTTCCTATGCGCACAATTAGCTCTTTGAGAGCACAGAAAAAACTGTTTTTTCTGTAGTCCATAAGACAGCCGTTCATGGTGATTGCATACTCTATCATTATTATTTTTGCGATCTGGCCTGGTGTAATATCTATGTACTTTTCTAGGGCTGTTTTGGTAATATGTTTGTTTAATAGGCCAAGGTAAATGTCTAGTGCCTCTTCCTGTATTGCCTCGGAGCTGACTCTACTCATGTTAAATAGAAGATCGATGTGTCTGTTAGCTGCCTTCATCAGGTCTACTTGTTCGTGATCTATGTCATATCGCATGGCGTTGATGTATTTTACATAATCCAAGGAAAGAGAGCTAAAATATGTGTCTGCTTTCTTTGCCAAGTAATTCATCGCACTTATTACATCGTTTTGTGTTGGCCTGGATGTGTCTACTAGAAAAAGAGAGTATATTATGGTGATGGCCAGCGGCTTATTCTTATTCGCCAGCTTGAAGAGTATTGAGTTGGGTATAAGGCTCGCTTCATCCTTCAGAGTAATGTATCTTGTTATCGCTCTCAGCATGTGCGAGTCAAACTCTTTCATTGCGCTAATCGCTAAATCGTTCTTATCAAGCATTGGTGGGATCATGCTCAGTAGCTCGTTTTTTGTCTCCTCCATTTTTCGGTTGAACTCTGGGACGCTGGCAAATCCTAATGGCAGCTCTTCGAAACCCAGAAAATATATAAGCTGGTCTGCTTTTTTCAGCACATCTTGCACGCTTTTATCGAAAATGGCAAGATGCTCCTTTATCTTTGAGAGATTTGTTCTTCCTTTTTCTAGGTCGCTGCTGAGCATTTCATATGGTACTTCCTTGCATTTAAAAGTCTTTGCTTTCTTCAGAAAATCAGCACGGATTTTAATTTCTTCTTTTATAGAATGTACCCTTTTTCTTGCATATTCCTTTACGCTTTTTATGTCTTTCTCCACTGCTCCGCTGGCCCTGTGCAGAAAGACGAGCGCAGCTGCTCCTACTATTGCGACCTGTTTTAGCACTTGCTTTTGAATCATAAATAAATTAAAATATTTTCTTTTCTTCTTTCTTTGCAAGATGTATGCTTTTTATTTTATTTTTATTCTATACTAGTACAGCTACAAATAGGTAGAGTTTGTAAACCATTTTACACTTTTAGCAGACTCTAGCAGTACTGGTCTATATTTGATAGGTAGTGCAGGTAAATTCAGTGAACAAGAACAGTAGAAAGCATATAGAGTGATAGAAAGATGCTGGTTAAATAGTGGCCTTTATTTAAAGCTAAGAATCATCCTCTGATGGAAATGTGCTATACTCATCTTCGATTATTTCGAAGCTGTCATCAGGCATGTATTCATCAAATAATGAAGTGCTTGCAGTACTTTCGTACACCTCAACATCATTGTCCTCAGAAATTTCCTCTTCCTTTTCTGCCTTGTATTTTATGCTGACTCTCTTGCCCTGTGTGTTGCTCATGTACTTGACAAAATCATTGGCCATGCCTTTGTATTCTTTGTTATCTTCTTCTCTGACAACTATTTCAACTTCAGCAGACGGACTGAGCCATGCTTTGATGCAGCCTTGGATGTGTGTTGCATGCATTGCTTCTTTAATTTCACTGCGTATTAGGTATGGCCTGAGCACAACCACATTATCATTCTTTTGTAAAAATAGCTTTGCACGCGATTTAAAGCCCGGTTCTGCTAGGTAGCCAATGTGCTCGCAGCGCTGGTATACGTGCCAGATGGGATGTATATACGACACGTCAAGATCTATTCCTCCAAGCAGCGAAGTGAGGCGGCGTGCATAGCTGTTTTCATTCGTGTATATGGTCAGATTGTACATCCACTTAGCAGAAGCCAAGCTGTTCTGTACTCTTTCGATGTTGGAAAGCTCAATGCCATTTTCTTTGCAGAACTTTTCAAGATCTACGTAGCTAGTTGCTGCGGCAGAGCTGCAGTCCTTCCATAGCATGCTCAGCACATCGAGTATTTTGTCCTGTTTTTCTCTTCCTATTTTTATGCCTTCGTAGATGTTGTTGCTGTTGTTCTTTGGATTGAAGACCGCTTCCACCACTTTTCCTAGGGTGCGGAATATGCTGTTGTTTTTGTGGCCTAAAAGGTTTCCGCCCATCCACTGCTCCAGTACTAAGACTTTTACAACTTGTGCTGGTGTTATATTCCTATAGCAGTCCATATTTTCTGTAGAAAAGCCTTCTTTCTGCAGGTAGAGATAGATCTCCAGCGTGTTTTCATCCAGTACGGATGACTTAGAGCCTTTTTTATCGAATATCAGATGGAAATACCTAGCTGCCAATGCCAGCAGATCTGTTCCGTTCTTCTTTATGTCCTTCTTTATGGATCTTCTGAAGTTTTCCAGATTTTCTTTGGGAATGTGAGCTACGCGGCTGCTGCTGTACATGCTGATCAGCGAGTCTATTATGGCATCTAGCCTGGATGGCTCCTGCTCGAAGAATGCAAGTATTATGGTGTACGCCAGCATCTTGTTTTTCTCTGCTAGTTTGAACAGTGTGGTGCCGTTTAGTTTATTTTTCTTTACTTCGTTGCACTTCTTTATTACTCGCATCATGTCAAAGCTCAAACCGTTTATGTCCTCGGTAATTATCATATTTTCTTTCCACAGGGCAGAAAGAAGCACTGCTTTTAAGAGATCTAGCTTCTTCCTGACCTCTTCCCTGGCAGTATTCTCCTCTTTTTCATCAGCAAACTTTGTGTTGTTTACGCGGTCATACATGTGCATCAGTGCTTCTGTCCCTTTCACAATGTAAGCGGTCTTTTTTGCAAGATGTTTTATTTTTCCAGGCAGCTCGTCTAGATTATCTTTCCATGCTTTGTAATTTACCTCCATATCTAAGTCATCATCTTCTTCTGCGGGATTGGCACCGGTGTCTGTCCAGCTGCTGACGTCAAGCGTCTTAACTTTTTCCAGGAATGTATTGCGTATGTTTATCTCTTCTTCTATAAAGCCCACTCTGTCGCTCCAGTAATCACGTATTGTCTGCATGTCTTCTTTGGACACATCACAGCTGGCCCCCTGAAGATAGGCCAGTGTGGCTGCTCCCACGAATATTGCCTGTTTCAGTCTTCCTAAAATCATAAGGTTAAAAAATTTGCAGTATTTATGCCTAATTATTTCCATTTTTCCATTCTAGAATATTTTAATTTTTAGTGCTGTTAATGCTCTAGCTCAGTAGTTTATTTTCTTGGTCTGTTTGTCCTGGCGACAGATGATGTCTGAGCAAATGTCTCTCAGCATCCACTGCACTGATATAATATGTCTAATTAATCCTATCTTTCAGTGAGTTTTGCTGTTTAGAAGGGAATAAATGAAAAGACTGCCTATGGCAGAAGAGTGATGAATATATCTTGTGTTTTATTTAGTGATAGAGTCTGATTTTATAATTTTACAAACCAATGGTATCAGTGCTTTCTTCAGAGGAGAACTTGCTCTGCAACAATGGATTGCTTTTGGAGAGTTCAGATTTATCTGTCTCTGCAGATGGCTCTTTCTGCTCTGTGTCTTCCTCTATGTGTATTTTCAGGTACTTGGTAAAGTCATCAGCCAGGTTGCAGTATTCTTGGCTGTCTTCTTTCCTGTGTATAACTTTAGCCGACTTTGTGAACCACGCCTTCATGCAGCTTCTCATGCGTTCTGCACAGGCTGCATCCTCGCCAACTGCGCTTATTCTGTCTGGTGTTATAAGCACGCCATCTTTTGTTTCTGCGAAGGGCTCTGTTCCGTGCTCGTTATTTTTGCTGGCAGCCATGCGGTTAATGTGCTCGCATCTTTTGCATATGTACCACATGGGATTGGTGTAGGACATGTCGAAGTGCAGCTCCAAGCCCAAATCGGTCTCAGGAGTTGGTTTGTACGCGTCTATTGCGTACATCCATGCAACAGATCGGAAGCTGCTGTTTATCTTCCTGAAGTCAAAGCACGGGATGTCGTTGCTTTCGCACAGGTTCTCAATTTCTGTGTATTCAGCCTTCTTTGTCAGTTCGTAGTCATCCCACATGATGCTCAAAACATCAAGTATTTTATTCTGTTTTTCTCTTCTTACTTGCATCTCTTCGTAGGTGCTGGGAAGCGTGCTGTCCTGAGTATACATTCTCTGTATTATTTTACCGAGTGAAGCGAAGAGATTGTTCTCTTTGTGGTCCAAGAGATCTCCTGCCATCAAAAATTCTATTATTACTACTTTTACCACCTGTTCTGGCGTGATGTTTATGTACTGTCTTATTTCCTCTTCTGAAAGATTCTTTTTTGCGAGGTTGAAGTATATGCACATTGTCTCTGGATCCAGCACGGAGATTTTAAAGTTGTGTTTGTCGCACAGCAAGTGCAGGTGTGCATCTGCTGACTGGAAAAGATTTGCAGCTCCTTCTTTTACGTCTTTTCTTATGGCCTCCATAAATGTGCTTACATTTTCGCTTGAGATGTGAGTTGTCAGAACATTGGGCAATTGCAGCAGCAGATCTTCTACATTTTCTTTTTTTTTGCCCATAAATATCTCAAAGAGAGTATATATTATGTTGGTAGCCAGCAGCTTGTTCTGTCTTGCAAGCTTGAAGAGCGTTAGATTGTGCACATCCAGCTTTTTTGAGACACACCAGTCTATTACCTTTAGCATGTATGTGTCGTAGCTGTTTATTTCCTTAATTACTGAGCTGTTGGCCCTAAAGACCAGCAGAATCATTCTGCATATTTCGGTATTTTTGTTTTCAATTTCTTTGCTAATTTCGTCTCTTTTTTCGCTATCAAGCTCTATACTGTTTTTTAAACGTTGGTATAAATTTATTATTGTGTTTGTCTGCATCATTATGTTGTTTATGCTTGCCTCAAAGATCTTTCGTCTCTTTTCTATTTCATTTATGTTTATAAGCACCACTTCATTCACTGCTTCCAATTCTATGTTATCTGCAGAGTTTAGCGTAACTCGCTTCCGGGGAAACTCGATGGTTTTAACTACTTTGAAAATGTTTTTGCGCACTTTAATCTCTCTGTCTATAAAGCTTATCCTGTCCTGCCAGTACTTGTTTATCGCTAGCACATCGCTCTCTATTAGGGCACACGCAATAAGCTGTAAATACAGAAGAAGGGCCACTCCTACTACTCCTATCTGCTTCGTTTTCTGTTTCAGAATCATAAAAAAATTAAATTACTTTCATTTTAGCCTTTATTTTTCTCTGTGGAAGATGCACAAATTTTTATTGTTTTTCACTTGGCTTTGATACAGGATTTTGATGCTCCCAGATAACTGGAGAAGCTGCACATTTTCAATACACTCAGGCTGTTTCTAGGAGAAGAGGAGCTACTGGATATCATCTGTCTGCTTGGCTTCCAGGTGCATGGCTGCGTTGAGCATAAGAATGTCTTCTGTTAGAGCCCATCCTTTCATGGATACTCTGTACATGCTGTTATTTGAGCGCTTTTCTGACTTTATCACCACTGCAGGCTTAGTCAGTATGCTGTTGATAAATGGGTGTTTAGACAGAATAAGCGGCAGTGCACACACGGTGCTTGCCTCTGTGTTTATGATTGTGTCGAGAATAAATAAAACACTTCTCCCCGAGAGATAGCACCCCTGCTTATCTTTTTTAAACTTGCTGTCGAAAAGATCATTCAGAGATTTATCGGTTGGCAGAACATGCAGGGAGTATATTACCGCATCTTCGCAGCATGGATGCACACACCCGTTATAGCCATTTGTGTGAAAGTGGTACACTGTTTTGTCAGAGTACGCATAGAAGGAAAAGTCGCTTTTTTTTGCGTTGGCTTTTCTGTACTCTGCAAAGAGCCCGCTCAGGCCTTTCCTCCAGTTGTTGAATATCGCACTGTACGCGTCGCTGCTATCTTTTTTTATTTTGTGTGTCTCTGGTGTCTGGTAGTACAGAAGTGAGCCAAGTTTTTCTTCAAGGCTGTTTTTTGTGATCTCGTCAACCGACGCTCTCAAAAAGTTGCAGATGGAACTGGGAGATAGCCACGGCTCCTTTATCTCTTCTTTTTTGTGCGTTGCCAGGGCGCTGAGTATGTTTTTTTCGTCTATTTCTGCCGTCTCTTCTGTCACTTCTTCGATTTTTTCTTTTTTAGCGGGCCTTTCAGGCTCTGCTGTGTTGAATACGCTGCTTAGCGCGGCGTGGATGGAGCTACTGGGCGCAGTTTTGGCTTGGAAAGGGTTCAGTCTCATAGCCAAAGAATTTGCAAATTTTTACAATGAGCGAAAACGCCAAGAAAAAGCCTCAGAGAAAACAAGCGCACCAAAACACATTTGCGTTCCGGCACAACCCAAACTCGTCTCTGACAAAGGCAATCTCCGCCATACCGATTTCCAACCTCTGCAGACGGTGCAACGACAAGATAGAGTGGAGAAAACAGTACAGAAAGTACAAGATGCAGACGCACTTGGCGCGGTGCACCATGTGCCAGCTGAAAAACATCACGCTGGCGTACAATATCATATGCGAGCCGTGTGGGACAGCAAAGAACATGTGTAGAATATGCAGAGTGGTTCTGTGCTTTGAAACATGCGCGCCGCTAGAAGAAGTTCTCAAAATGAAACAGGAGAAAGAGAGCGGAGAAAACACGCCGGTAGATGTGAAAATGGATAAAGAGTAGAACATTTCCAGAGATAATCAAAATGAGCGGCTGTGCATTATGGAGTGCCAAAATATGCAATTAGCTAAAGACATAGATATCCTGCAGAGAATAAAACAGCATAGAAGAGTAGAAGAGCAGATAGATTCAGAATATTCCGAGAAAACAGTAAACAGCACTGATTGGCTTGCAGTACATCTTTATCCATTATCCATAAAAGGAAAAATAAATTATTAGAGTACATTCACATCCATACATATACCTCTTGATCTATTCACATTCATGCACACTTTTTTATCTACAACCATCTTTCTATCTCCAATAATAAATGGCTATCTATCTAAAAGTGTGTTTATTTAAGGGGTGTGCTATTTCTTCTATCTTTCTTCATATTCTGTCTGCTATCGAAGAGTTCAGCGCTATCTGGCTGGAGGACATCGACCTGGACATTCGCAGAGGAGGCCAGTAGTTTTTGTATCCAAATACTTTTGCATCTTCTGGCTCTCTGCACGCCAGGAACCCCAGCGGACTCCCCAGGGCTATTTTCAGGTTCCCTAGCACCCCTTTGTCGTATGGGTTCCTGGGCTCAATCACTCCTATCTCGTTCAGCTTTTTAATCTGCAGATACTCTAAATACGTTACATTTGCCAATAAAAACTTCATTTGCCGTATGAAAATGAAGAGAAGTCCTGTCGCCACAAGGATTAAAATTATAATATTTACGCTGATGACGCACAGGGAAGGCTTGATCTCGATTGAGTCGTAGAACAACCTTATCTTAAGATGGAAGACATACCCGTGCAGAAAGAGAGCCATCAGAGAGCTCATTAGAATCGAAAAAATCAGCTTGATGAAATTTCCAAGATTGCTCGCGTTGATGCACGACCCAACCCATGGACAGTGGTGATCCATTCTGTTGATGCATTTCTTGCATCTTGAGCAGTGGTGGGCTCTTTCGGGCTTTGCCTTCCTGCACTCGTAGCAGAACTTTCCTCCCGGGACGTACTCCTCCTCTTTTACGTATCCTCGTGTGCTGCTCACAAATATAAGCAGAACCAAGTCCAGAACCACAAGACCGTTTAAGATAGCCAGACACGTTCTTGTTATGTGCCAATTTTTCAGATCATTCCACAGAAAAACCGGGCCCGAGAATACTCCTATATACATAATCAGAGAGTAGGTCAGAGAGAGCCCCACTTTGTCCATGTAGCTCCTGTTGCTAAAATACATTGTAAACAAAGAAAACATTTATTTATTTTAGTCTACCCAGACCACTCTTGCATGTTTAAAAATTCGCCCAAGTTCTTTTTTTCTTTTTTCTCCTCTTTTCTCTGGCTCTTTCTGTACCATCTGTACTCTTTCTGGTCCTGGCTTTTTATCGCTTTCCCGTGGTGGTGGAGTGTTTTTTCGTTGTATTTGTAGTTCTTGCTGAGGAACAGCTCGATCTTTCCGTCTTTCTCTGTGTATCCCACGCGGTTGACAGTTGAATATCCGCAGGACTTGCAGAAGTCTATCTTTTCTTCTGTTTTGTATACTTTTGTGCATGTGTAGCATCTCTGCAGATACTTTTTCTCTTTGTCGCTGAATGTGTCGTGTAGCTGCACGCCCAGCAGGTTTATCAGGGCTCTTAGCGTGTTATCCAGCGTAGCTGCTACCACCTGCACTCCCTCAAGCGTATCTGCAGTTATCCAGCTGGAGAAAATGGAGTTGTTTTCTTCAGACACTTCTAGCGCCAGCGCTGCTAGCTCTATATCCTGCGCGCTTAGGGCCGTGTGTCCCATCTCTAGAGACTTTTCTGCTGCTATCTTTACATACTTTTCAGAGGGGTTTCTTATGTCTACTTTGCACATGTGCATGTCCATCAGCTCATTGCTCTTTTGGCACCTGAGCTCGTCTGCAACACTCTGCGGCATGTATCCCTGGGCATAGTCCATTTCAGAGAGCAGAGAGGAAATGACAGCAGAAGCATCAATAACGAGAATTGTTTTCATTGGAAGCTGAAGAAAAAATTTTAGATAAATTCAAACATTCGAAAAATAAAACAGAAACCAGCTGCTGGGTATCTGCTGAGTAGGGTGCTAGGCTATTCACACTCTCTCCATCTACTGTGCTCGAGATAATAATACTGTCTTCCGCATGCTTTTTATTCTAATTCTTTTCTAAGTGGTGTCTGTCTTTCTGATCTCCTGTAACTACTTTTCTTTGCTCTTAAACACGACTAGTAATCTCTCTATCTATAGATATGCCTATGGTGTGTTTTCTTTTCTTTGGTTGATTCGGCCCATCTTTCTAGGTGTTTGCGGTATGAATGAAGAAAGAGCCCGTGCATCAAAGTGTATTCCGCACCATTTGAACTTGGCTCTTGATACTGCTGTCAGTGCGTTTATAGTTACTGCACAATTTGATTTTGGGGCTGTTGTAAAAAGCCTGCACTTTGGGATGTTTAGAGACACTCCGTACTGAGACTCCATCTTGCCCATTCTTTCCAGCACTTTTTCGAGCTCTTCAGGGCTCCACGACAGAATCATTGAGTCATCCACGTATCGCATGGCTCTGGTCTGGTTCAGGTCTTTGTATATCTTATCGTCTAGCAGTGCCATGTAGTATGCACACACCTGCGATGAGAATCTAGAGCCCTGGTATATCCCCTTCACTCTTCTGTAGAATCTGTTCTTATGCTTTAGCATGGTGCTGTTGACATCCTGCTTTATCATCTTCTGCACGTCTTCATTGGTGAACTTGCACTGCGATTTGAACTTTCGGAAAACTCTTGGGGGCAGGTTTTTGAGGACTATGTCTCCCTTCCATGTTCTGTCGGTGGGGTACATCACGACTCTTCTGCTCCTTCGCTTTCCGTCTTCCGTGGTGTCCTCCCAGTTGAACACCTCGTACTCTCTTTTTCCCATCAGTTTGTTCAGCAGGCCGCTTTCGTTGATGATATCCAGTGAGATATTGTCAAAGCAGCTGCGTATGTCCAGCAGCAAAATGTAGAGAGGCCTTTCATCTTCGAAGTTTTGCTTGAACTCTTTTTTGAATGAAATTAACTTTGAAGAAATGCTTTGGGTCTTTAAGATAGAGTTGCAGAGCCGTGCTCTTGGAGGCTTTTTGTCCTCTTCGCTTTCCATCTCCCACTCGACTCTTTCCTCTGCCTCCCGTGTGAGAATTGCACACCCCATTCTTTCTTTCATGATCTGCACGTACTTGTCCGACGCATTGTAGATCTTTTTATATACAGCTCTGAATGTGCTTTTCTTTGGTATAACCGACATAACGAAAAAGCCTTCTGCCGGTGTTTCTGTCTCTTCACTGTGTTCTGTTTTTTCTCTCTCAGCTTCTCCCTGCTCTTCAACTCTTTCAAAATGTGTTCTAATGCACGCCTCTTTGAACGCGCTCTCTAGCTGTCTGTATCCTTTCTTGAAGAAAAAACGCATATCATCTGCGCCGGTGCCATTTACCACTATGTGGATGTCCACTAGATACGGTATGTACTTGGCAAAGATGTAGCTCACTGTTTCTGTTATGTACTTTTTGTAGGTCAAAGGGTCTCTGTTTTTTGCCTTTTTTTTAAGTTTCTTTCTAAACTCTGTGTGTATCTTCTTCATGTCTATTCCTTTCTTTTTGTTCAGCAGGAACCAGGCGATCTTCTTTCTTATGCGCTGCATGTCTCCCTGTGTAACAGCGTGCCTAAACACTTTCTTTATGACCGTAGACAGCATTCGCACAACTGTTTCTATTTTTATCTCGTGTTTGCACACTCCCGTGGGCTCGATATGTACACTGTTTTTCTTTTCTTTTGACTTTACAAACGAACTGATTATCCCCCATGTATTTACTGTTTTCAGCGATTTAAGCGTTTTTTCTATCTCCTGGGCATACTCTGCGAACTCTTCGCTGTATATGTCACTGTGCTTCGTTTCTTCTATTTTTTCTATTCGGTCTTTCCACTCTACTATTCCCTTTTTTTCTTTCTTTTCTCTGCCGCCCGTTGGCTCTATGCTAAAATTATCAGAGAAGTATCTGATGTAAGAGCTGCCTACCTTCTCTAGCACCGTGTACTTTGTGCACAGCTTGATCATCCCCGTGCTTCCTATCGCTTTGTGTATGTCTGCCCATGTTTTTGTGCTGAATCTGAGGTTGCACGGATTGTTCCTTTTCGACGAGTTGTACTGCTGCATCCTTCTTTTTCTTTCGAATATTCTGTCCGTTACATTTGACAGGTTGTACTCTGACTCCCTCTTATCTCTGTTTCCTATCAGATATCCTATCCCAGGCCCGTACACGTAAATACTGCTGTCCGCTAGTCTTCCTGCGATGTTTGCGTCAACTACCTCTGTTATGTGGGCGAGCTTGATTTGCGGCTCCCTTGGGATCTTCTCCATATCGCAGAGTGCTGCTAAAATTAAAAATAAAAGTATTTCAACGAAATGCCAAAAGACCAAAAAATCGACACAGATGGGAATCGAACCCACGAACCCAAAGGGTCACGGCTTAGCAAGCCGTCGCAATAACCATTCTGCCACTGTGCCTACGTTAGATGAAAACCTTTCGCCTCCTTTTCTTACACCTTTTTCTTTTATGGTGTGCTTTGTCTGTGCATATCTCGTGCAGTGGGAGTAGCGGCTGGTTTTTAGTTATTCTCATTGGTGGCTTATGCTGAAGCTGTGTGCATTGTGCATCTTACACTGTCCTGCATGCTCTTTGCTTTGTTCTTCATTCTGCATTTCTGCGAATTAGAGCGAACATTGGCATATTAATTAGATTTATATTTTGTGGGCAGGGCAATGAAGCCAATAAGCATCTTCTCTGGGAATGTGTCTACCGTGCTGTTCTATGTGCGGTCTAAAATAATGATGAGTTGCAGCTACCACAGCATGCGCAGATGTGTGTATAACGGCTCTTTTGGCGAAGCTGTGCTTTTTCATTTTCACGATCTCCTCGTCGCTGTGACAAGAATGCTTCCGTTTGAGAAAATATTGAGAATGTGTGTCATTTCCTACGGTGATGACGTTCTCGTCAGATGGGTCTGCAGACACCTTGAGGCAATTCTGTGCTCTTCTTCTCTCTCTTCGGTCTTCGACATTTTGCAGAGCTGCAACTCTCCGGATTTTGCAGAGTCTGTGGTGGTTTTTATTGAAAAAAGAGTCAACACATACATAAAAATATACGGAGTCTTTGAAATTTTAAAAGAATATTACAAAGAAAAAGACCCAGAAATATTCAACAGCGTGCGGGAAGAGTGCATGCATGCAAGACACGCATACCTGCGGACAGGGGCAGAGCTGCAGATGCGGATTATGCAGATGTTTGATAAGAATCGGCCAAACTTTTGCAGACACCTAAGGAGTGTAGAGTACCTGAGCATTAACGGGATATACTCAGAGATGAAGAACGAGTATCTTTTTGACTATGCAAACAGAGTCATGGAAAAGATGGAAGATATTAACTACAAAAACATGTCGCAGGAGAACATGGAAACACTCAGGATGTTCTGCTCTCTTCGCACACACTGGAAGGATCTTCTATCGTCTGAGGTGCTGGTTGATGACACTCTTCCCTGCTCGTATTTATTTGAAAATATCGACAAGTTTGACATTAGCAGCAGAGAAGACATAATGGTCGCAAACGAGATAGTGCAGGCATACGCGAACAAAAGAGACAACTTTATATCCTACATCATAGAAGAGTCTCCTGAGTACTCTCTGATGTACCACCAGTCCAATGAGGACGTGGGAATACAAATGCAGAAATTGCCCGATGAGATTATAAAAAGAAAAGTAAATGCTTTGGCGAGGTACTGCAACAGGGAAGAGCCGTACGTGGTGGCTGTCTACAAGAGGATTCCAGCAAAGTATCTACTACTGTTCTACTCTGTCGCAATTACCTGTTTATTATACCTAGCAGTGCCAGACACTGTTGTTATATACATCTTCAACACTATTTACAGAGTCCTCCAACTCTTCTCTGCATCGCTCAGCAAGATTGAAAACACATCTTCTGCCAGTTATAGTAGTGTTGATCCGTAGTAGTGTTAGCTAAATAACAATGGGTACAAAATAATGATAGACAAGAGAGTGCATACTGTGACAATGGTAGATACTGATGGTACAGAGTGCTTTGCAGTAGATATCCTATTCTTCTTTCTTTTTCTCTTTTTATTTCTTCTCTATCTGAACTCTTCTCAGTGGAGAACACAACCCAAAAATAAAATAATTTATATGATCACTAGGCGTTAGAATAATTTTCAATACGGATGGGTATTAGAGTGGTAAACAGCAAATAAACAGGCGGGGTGGCAGGGTGAAGATCAGTTGTATTTATTCAAGTATTTAGAAATCAGCACTACAAGCTGGTTTGGGCTGTTTTGCTTGCAATTATTTCGAGTCTCTGGATTGGGAGATAGTACTCTATCTTCTGCTCGCTGATTGCCTGCTTCAAAAACATAATGAACTTTGCCTTTCTCTGCAGATATGCCTCGTAGTTCTGCCAGTTGGTGGCGTGCTGCAGGTATATTTTCAGATGCAGCTTGTTCGTGTCCTCAAGCGCGTGGTAGTTGAACATAAAGTACGGCGAAAAGTCTTTTGGATGCTTCTTTATGAACTTTGTGATCTCTGTCTTCAGGTGCTGGATCTTTTCAGGAACCGTGTCGAACGATACCTGAAAAACAATATTTTCAGCCATCAGCCCGCTTCTTCGCACATTCACAATGGACTTCTGCAGGAGGACGTGGTTTGGGATGTATATCTTTGATCCGTTCCATTCGTAAAACACGGTGGAGAACACGTTCAGCTCGGAGACAACCATGTTCAGCTCTTCTTTGTCTATCTCCACTCTAATTCTGTCTCCGATGTCGTACGGATGCACTATAAATAAGAAGATCACGCTGTCAATTGCATTCTTCACGCTCGTCTGGAAGATAAACCCAAGCCCAAAGAACGTCCCAAAGACGCCCTTTACCACGTCATTTGCCGAGATGGTGGGAGAAAGAAGGGCAATCGCAGCAAACACGAAAATAGATCCCGTGATGAAATGGCTGACTCTAAGGAGCGCTTTGTCCATCTGCACCAAGCTTCTTTTCACTGCATATTTTTCTCTTTTTGTCTTCTCTATCAGCGTGGCAATGTCTTTCTCTGACAGCAATTGTGTCTCTGATAGGCCCAAAACGGAAACTATGTTGTCAACGTACTCTGAGTCAACGTACTTCTTCAGATGCCGTATCTGGAACTTCTTCCTGTCCGCAGCCAGCCACGTTGCTATCTTCTCTGCTCTTTTCTGCGACTCCTGTTTTATGTCCACAGCTGCGCCTATTCCCTTGTCCATGTGGTATATCTTTGTGTTCATTATTTTTTCAAACTCTTTGAATATTATCATTTTCTGTTTGACGTCTGTCAGGTCTTCAGGGACAGCCATGAACTTGGGCTTGAAGTACTTTTCGTTATCTTCTGGTATCTCTTCCTGCGAGGGCGTGTCTGTTTCTGCGCCTGCCTGCTGGTCCTGTGCAGGCTGCGAGAACATCCAGTATCTCTTTTTCTTTCCGTTTTTCTGCCCTTTTATCCTCTTCCTCACCACCTCGAGGGTTTTTATGAACTGGTGCTCGATCAGGCACTTTTGAATTCTCGAGAGATAGTTTGTGTGGTTGAACCCCATTCTCACCTTCTTGACAAATATGTCTTTCATTGTGATGACCAGCAGCGAAAGAAAACACGTGGTCAGCGACTGCTCAATGCCCACGCTGTGGCTTTCTTTTATCTTGTAGTCTACTTCGTTGAACTTACAATACACAACCGATCCAAAGACAAGGATCATGCTGGAGAGGAGGCTCGACACGCTATTCGTGTAGAACATCGCTAGAGTGAGAAAGTTCACTTTTTCCATCAAATATCCGCTCATGTAGTACAGGAACGTGTCTATCAGCGTAAACGCAAAAATGAAAGAGCTCACCACAGAGAGCGCGTCGGAGACAGCGTACTGCACCTTTGTCTCGTTCCTGTAGAGGTAGAACCTTCCGTCCAGTCTCGCGTAGACTATCAAATGCTTTAGCCCAAAGAGGAAAAGGGAAACAATGAATCCAAAAAAGTACAGCAGCGAGACTTCTTTCAGAGTGTGCGAGAATTTCTTCCACGGCGTGAGGGTGTGGTACAGTTTCGTTTTTTTGATATCAACTTCTTTCTGCTCAACCTCCTGTCTCTCCTCGTTTCCGCTTTCAACCGATGTGCTGTGCGATGTCTCGTGAGATTCTTCTTCTGTCATTTGTTTGTATACTCTAAAAATCTTTGCAATTAATGGTATATGTGCCAATGGTTCCAAGCGAGCTGGTTGTCAACGAAGCAGGGTGGAGACAGTACAAAGAGTGGCTGGGCAGGGACGCATCCGAAAAAGCGGTTGTGATGGGCAGGCCTGGGATAGGAAAAGAGACAAGCATCAGACTCATTAACAAAATACACAACTACAAAGAAGTCCACATAGACGGAATGCTCTCAAAAGAGGAAATAAGCGAAACAATCCAGAGCATAGAAAAAACAAGCAGAGCAAAGGACATCAAAGGAAGAAGCAGGATATTTGTATTCAGAGACGTAGATAGACAGTTTGTCAGGCAGATACTGGCGATAAAAAATCGAATGGTCAAAATAGTTGTGATTGTAGACGATGTGTCACTGGGGAAAACGTACTCCAGCGCAGAGGGAGGGTGCGAGGTGGTCAAGATGTACAGCGACATGCACAGAACGCACAGAAGAGCAGAGAACATCTGCAGGAAGATCGGAATAGTCATGCCCGATGAGATAAGCAGCAGAATAAGAGAAGGAGAGAAAATAGGAAAAACCGTTTCTGATATAGAAATATTCCGCAGAAACAGTAAGATAAAAGGTCACGCAGGGGTGGACACGGGAGGCATGGGGTACATAGAAGCGCTCGATAAAATACTGCACAGGAGAGGAGGAAAAAGAAAGAGCTATTCCGAGATTGAGAGAGTCTGCAGCCAGAGCGGGATACAGACAGTGCAGGATCTTCTCTTCAACAACTATCTGGAAAAGTGTTTGTCGATCGAAGATGCGTGCACTCTTTCTGAATACAGCTCGCTGTACGATGTGATTGGGAATAACAACTTGCTCGGGTACGATGCAAAGTGTGTTTCTGTCTACCAGTTCCACAATCTTCTGTACAACACAATATTCGTCAGCTTCAAAGGTGTGCAGAAAAAGACAGAAGCGGTGGAAAAGGGCCTTATCTACAACAATATGCCCATCAGCCGCTTGAAGGCGGATAACATCAAAGAATTAGTCTCGGTGCTTGTGAGAAAAGTGAAAAAACAGAGCACTCCTGGCCAGACAGACGAGTACACAAAGAGATCTATTAGGTACGTGCTTGAGGGATTGAAGCAGGCAAGTTTTATAGAGGAGAAAGACCTCATTACGATGCAGTCAATCGATATTATGCCCACGAACATCTGCAAAGTAAACATCCCCAGATACATTTACAAAGACGGACACTCTCACTATGTCACAAGAGACATAAGACTGAGCGAAATACTTGAATAAAAAGATTCACACTGTTTAATAGACGGCCGTTATCCAACATGTTTGTTCTTATTTCAGATACAAAATTTCATACACTGAGTTATTATCTGGCTCTTTATTAAAAGATGTAGTGATAAGAGATAGAATTAGCAAATAAATAATACAAATTTAGCATTTACAGGGACTCTAGTATGTGAATGTATCGAAGTGCCTGGACGGCCAGCACTTGCATGTTCAGTACAAGCGGCTTATTGTGCGATGTGACTGCTCCAATTATACTTCTGTGCATTTCCTGCTTTATTATTTCTCTATTTTCATCGAAGTACTTTTTACTCAGCAGGACCCCACTGCTCACCGGCTCTTTTTTCTGCGTAATGTGATCGTATCTTTTTCCTATTACGGGGGTTGCTCCTTCCAAATTATACTTTATAATGCTTGTTTCGACAAGGTACACTTTGTCTTCTGGGATCTGCTTTGGCGTGGCTATGATCTGTGCGTTCTCTGGCTGCTCTTGTATCTGCCAGGGCGCATACACTTTTAGTCCTTCTGGATGGAATTTTTTATTGCCTGGCAGGACCCTGAATGGAAGTGAAATGTTTTCCACTCTTTTGTTCTGGCGCAGCACTTCATTGTATGTCAGCAACTTGCACAGGTGGGACTTAGGGTATATCCTCATCGATACTTCTTTCTGTGTCTTTGATCGCATTGTGTGCACTTTTGTTTTTGCATCTTTTATGTGCCCCACCCATCCGATGCTTTTCGGGTATATTACATATCTTCTGTGCTCAGGGTCTATTCTGTACAGCGGATGGAGCAGTCCTTCCCTTCTGGTGGCTGGAAGGGTGTTTATGTGCTTGCTATCGTATGCATAGAATGGGCTGGATATCTCTGTACTTCTAGACACTTCGCATTCTAGGGCCTGTGCTACTTTTTTATGTGCGTACAGAGTGTGATTTATCACAGTTCCGTGCACATCAATGGACACATGGATGGACTCTTTGTCGTGTTTTCTGTTTGGCGATCCATCTAGCTCGCTCTCAATGATTACAGCGCCGCCTGAGACTATCTCTAGCGACTCATCGGCCGTTATTTTCTTTTTTGCAGATATTTTGTAAACTATTCTGCAGCTGATTCCAATAGATCGCAGGTGCAGAAAAAGGTCTAGCTTGCTGGCAGAAGAGAGCTTTCCCTTTTCGCGCATGTACGTATTGTACGGCGATGCATGTGATGCAGGAGCAAATGTGCTTTGTGAGATAGCTGCAAGTGTCTTTTTGATGTAGAAAGAAAGAACACACACTGCAAGACAGTTCGAGATATCTGGTTTTTTTGCAGATAAAACTATTTCTGCGCTGGTGCTGCTATCCTCAGCACTTGAGAACACGTTCATCTAGAGGCAAAAATAAAAGCAAATATTTTGCATCTTTGAAATGGAGGCATCTGCCATCTTTCCATCAAACTCTACAAAAAGAAAGAAATCCTGCGCGGCCAATGACAGTGGCAAATAAGACGGGAAGAAGATGGTGTTTTGTTCTGGTGGGGATAGCCGATGGCTACCGGCTGGAGGAGGCTCTTAGAAAAGAAAAAAGAGTAAGATACGCCACATGGTACTTAATTAAAAAAGAAAGAGTGGACGCCCGGGGGTACATAGAGCTCAGGACGCCTTTGAAACAAACAGGAATAAGAAAGATCTTGGGAGACACAAGCATTGTGTGCTTTGCCAAAAGAGAGAGAGAAGAGATAATTAACGATGTTGAAAAGAACAGGAATAAACACAACGAGCTGTTCAACTACGGAGAAAGAGAGCTAAACAAAGGAGGAAGGCCAAGAAAAAGGAAACCCGTGAAAGGTGAAAAACCATCGAATAGCTTCTTTGTTCTATCATCCTGCATCCTCACTAAAAAGTAGAGCATCAAAAACGCTCAAAGTTCAACTGAAAAAGGCTATGAATGCAAAGGGATTATCCTGCAAAAATACTGTATATATCTAAAAATAAAACAATGTGCTACTTATTTATTTTACACTCTTAGCTACAGATGCTTCTATCTAGACCTGCACTCTAATGTTACACAAGATAGATGAATGATTTAGAAGCATTTTGTGTCTTGTTTATACTACAATTTATATTACAATATTAAAACAGCTTACAGATAGCTCGAACAATCCGTTTTCTTTTCACTCTAGCACAGCCTTATCTATTTCCTTAGACAGCTCTTTGAGCAGAATAACCAGGCCCTCGCATGACACGTTTTCGTCTTTTAGCAGAACACCGCAGTGCATCAGTATCTCCTCCGAGACGCCGCTTTTGATTATTTTGTCCGCTGTCTGCAGTGTCTCTTCAATGCTCATTACAAATATTTAAAATTATAAAATTTACTATTTATGAAGTGGATAGAAAACTTAGCCAAGAAAGCAGACCCTCCTGCCGACTACATAGGACAGTATTTGGCAAACAGAATAATGCACACAATGCTGCTCTTTGGTGCGATTGTTTCTTTGGTTTCAGGCTACATCTACAAAGACATATTCGTGGTGGCGTATGTCTACTTGGCAATTTGTCTTCTGATGCTGGCCACGGTAGTCCCTGCATGGCCCATCTACAGAAGAAACCCTGTCTCTCCCGTCTACAAAAAAGCAAAACATGAATAGAAGAATGAACAAATAGTATGGCAAGAGAGCTGGAGAGAGCAGCAGCAGAATAAGTATTTGCTATCGCGTCTTTTGTTTTTAAGTTAATAAAAATGAATGTATTTCTTTTGTTTTTAATGGTATACTGTATGGATGTAGACAGCTGGTGTAGATAGATAAAAGTAGCAGCAGCGGACTACTAGCAGCAGAAATGCACTAAGAGTGATATAACCTAAGAACAGCTTAAGAACAAATTGTAAATATTGTAGATGGCCTTCTACACATAGATACTTCGTATATATTTGCTAAATTAGACAAATGGCAATGGCTGATGTATGTTATGACTGGCTGTGCAATATAGATGCCTACCTTTTTTCTGTAAATCAAACTTTTTTGTGCTCTAGTGGGTGCTAGTATGCATTTTTGCAAGTAGTACATTCTTCTAAAGAATGCCCAGCTAGTGATCAGAGAAAAGAAAAATAAAATAGTTCACAAATAGCGCAAATGCCACTGCAGTGATGAATGAGGCTTTTTTGCTGTCTGTGGATGCTCTCCTGCGGTTTATAGGTGCTGCGGGAGCAAAACATGCTGATTGCAGGCTGAATAAATTAAAGGATATTTTTCTTTTAATGTGCAATGAGTTATACATTGTGGAGAGTGTTGGGTGTGCATCCTCTTCACTGCACTCTATTACTACCATGAGAATAGTGGAGATAGGGAACGAACTGCTGTACTCTGAGGTGCTGGTTGACAAAGAAGGAAGAATTCCGATTTTTAACATAATCGATAGAAACTCGAAGATACAGAAGAAAGGAGTAATTGTGATGGACAGAAACAGGTACCAGCTCGGAAGAGAGTATTTCCTGGACAGAGAGAGCAGGCCCACAGGCTATGGGCTGAACATCAACGGAAGCATCTACGTCCTGAAGTACCGAATGACAGGGACAGAGTACACCAGGGCATACTTTTCCGAAACAGAAATAATATTGAAAAACGATCAGCCAAAAACAAGCCCCAGGATAGACACAAACGACACATCGCAGAAGATATCAATCTATCCAAACCGGTCAAAAGAAAGAATAATAAGCATAGACGTAGCAGAATGCACAAAAAAAACAACAGAAATACACACGAAAATAATAAACAGCCCAGAGTCAATAATCTACATCCTAGGCGTCCACGGATACAAAATAGATAACGGAATAGACAAGAAAGTATCGCTGGTTCTGATCAGCAGCAATATAACGAGCGAGCAGGTGATGCAGTGCATTATCAAATACAACATGTACATCTCTACTGGGGTAAAAGAGATAGTGGATGTGAAAAAAAGCACGGTGATTGAGTCCAACTATTTCCTGCAGGATATGCAGATAGGGAGGCCTATACTGACCAGCCAGTCATTCTACTACGATCTTCTGTACCATGTTTTGCTGGAGCACAGAGTGCTGATTGTGTCGCAGGACCACAACGTAATAGTAAACTACATACAAAGCATACTCACATGCATACTCCCGTACAGGTGGAAGGGTGTGCTGATGGCCACGATTCCCGAAGTGTTTAACAGCGAGTACAAAAAGCTCATTGAAGCAACCATCCCGTACCTGATAGGAATACGGGCCACTCGGTCAGAGATCAAAGAAATGGACAAAAACATTCCTGAAAAAACAGTTATAGCGTACGTGGACGAAGACAGGATCGTGGTGCACGCAAAAACAAAAGAAAAAAAGAGCATGCTGAATAAAATATACAAAAATATGAACAACAGGCGGTCTATCCCGTTCTACCAGAGCATACTGAAACAGATGGAGTTTAGGTGGCCAGTTCTGAAAGACCAAATGAACATCCTGATGGAGGTGATCAGCACAGAGGCTTGCTCAGCGAGGGAAAAGCTGATCAGAAAACTTGCAGGCGATAAGCAAGCGAGCAAGCTGAGAGACTTCATCAACGGATACTCTGACTATTCTCGAGAGCTGCTCGAGTATCTGCCCAGGAACAAAGAGTTCTATGCAGAGTTCCTCGGCACCACGCTGTACAATGAAGGAGTGAGCAATGAATACGTGCGAGAGGTGAAAGAGGACGGGCTGGACACAAGAGATCTAGTGACTATTATATGGATCCTGTCCTTTGTGGCAATTGAAGGCGTAAAGAAGAGCCCAAACCACCAGGAGATTAGGTTCGTGGTGGAGGCATTCCTTATTAAGTACCTAAAACAGTCGTACCAGGCAGCTGACGCCTTGCTGATCAACCTATTCTCTGTTTTTTCTTCTCTAAACATGTACGATATGATCATCTACGTATCCTCGGTGCTGAACGACAAGGGCATTCAGCTGACAGACGAAATGTGTTCTGCGCTGGTTCCTTTAATTCCCTCTGACACGGTGCATGAGCTAAGAAAGGGAGGCTCGTACATAAATCCGTGGAACAGAAAATCTGCACACAAAGAAGTAAAAGTGCCAGTGTGCGCGCACAGAAGTCTTTGGCACAAAATGCCATTTGTATCAAGCAGCATGGTAAATACGCTAAGAAGCTATGTGTGTGTAGAGAGAGAAGTCCTAGAAGAGAAAAACAGCGAGCATCTATTAATGGTCTTAAACGCATTTGATAAATACGACCTACCGTACTGATGCTCCACTATTAGAATAAAGAGTCTTTATTTTGTGTTATTGTGTTTATTTCAGTCCAAATAACAGCTTTGTCAAACTGATTTGCACTTTTTTGGGGGTAGTATTTTTTTGGATTATCCAAAAGAAACAAAACAATTACAAAGCGTAGATAAGTTGTACAGATACAGTTTCATTGCAGAAAGTGCACTATCGCATACCAGTCACTAAATGCTAGCTGAAATACAAGCATAATTCACAGAGAGACAGGATGCTCTACTGTTCTTGCCCTTGCATAGACTATATTTACTTAGACATTTTATTTTTTGTTCTTTCACTGTGAATCTGGTCTGCTATTTCTTACATTCTCCGGACACCTGATGTTCCCTCTCGGATGTACGTCTGGAATAGAACGTTGGCGTTGTGGTACATGCCGTCCTTTAGCGACACAACCACAAACTGCGAGCCTTTGAACTCTTTCTGTATCATGCGGCCCATGGCCTCGGTGTGAGATGCGTCGAGTGCTGCGTCAATTTCATCCAGAATGTACAGGGGAGAGGGCTTTGTTTTAAGAAGGGCAAATATCAGACTGAGGGCGCACAGAGACTTTTGCCCTCCGCTGAGCTCAGTAAGACCCTTCTTCCATGTGCCTATTTTTACATGCAGCTCCACCCCGTTCATGGGCGATCCGTTGATAGCCTCCAACTTTGCATCGCTGTTTGGGATGAAGTACCGTATGTACTTTCCTATTCTTTCATTCACAGAGTGGTATATGCCTTCGATTGCTTCTTTTTCAAGGCCGTTCAGCTTGTTTAGAGACTCTTCAATTGTGGCCTTGTTTTTCTGCAGTTTGACTATTCTTTCTTTCAGGGCCTTTTCAATCTCTTCGTTTCTCTGGAGTATTTCAATGTTCTCTTCGTTGACGTCTTTTCTCGGGATAGCTCGGACGTATTTTAGCTCTTCTTCAATCGAGGCAAGCCGCTCTTCCAGCTCTTCTTTTGTTTGGCTTACACTTTTTCTTTTTTTTATGGTTATATGTTCTATTTTTCTGTACTGTATGTCGTTCTTTATTTTTTCTTTTTTTATTTCAGCGATTTCATCTTCTATCCTTCTTCTTTCTCTTGTCTGTATTGATCTTCTGGCTTTGTTTATCTCGTTGTTTTTAATGCCCTCGAACTTCTTTATCTCCTCTCTGTCGATCTCTTCTTTTATCCTGCTTTCTCTTTCTTTTGACGCTCTGAGCTTCTCTTCGGCGTCCTTCAGTCTTTCCTCTGTGCTTTCTTTCTTCTCATACTCTGCGTTAAGAATGTTTCGTATGCCTGTGAGGCTCTTTATTTTTTCTGATACACTTTTTATCTCTTCCTTCTGCACTTCTGCCTTTCCCAGGACATCCAGCTCTGCTTTGGCGTGTGATATGCCTTCCATGAGTTTTTCTTTTGCTTCGGATACTCTGATGTACTCTTTGAGCTCTTCGAGCTTCTTAAAGCTGCATTCTTCCAGCAGACTCCGCACCTGTTTCTCTCTGTTCTGCAGACTGGTTAGCATTTCTTTGTTATTTGTCTTTTCAAACTGGTACTTTCTTACATCGATGCTTCCTCCCGTGATGGTTCCTCTCTTATCAAACACCTCTCCTTCTATTGTCACCGAAGTGATGCCTTCGCTGTCTCTTAGCTGCACTGCTGTCTTTCTGTCTTTGCTGAGCGCATATCCTCCCGTCAGGTACTCCATAGCTTTTTTTATTTCTTCTGGGTACTCTATTGCGTCGATTAGAGGAATGCCGCCGTGCTTCCTTGCTGCTGCCTCTTTTCTGGGCTCCATTCTTCGTCCTATGATTTTGTTCAGCGGTATTACGTCCACTCTTCTTCCTTCTTTTGACGCCTCCTGCAGGACCTTCTTTCCTATCTCTTCATTCTCGACTATGACATACTCTTTTCTTCCTCCTATCACCACGCCCACTGCAACTTGGTGCTCTTTCTCCTTTACTTCGATCAGCTCTTTTACTTTGCCGTACACGCCTTCGATTGCAGGATATCCCAGCTCTCTTTTTATTTTTTCTATCCTCCTTCTTATCTCCTCCGGTGCCTCTGGTTTTAATTTTCTGTGCTTTTCTATGCTCTCAATGGCCTCCATCTTTCTGATCCCTTTTCTCTCGCTGTTTTTTATCTCTTCTTCCAGCTTGCTGATATCTTTTGCCATTTTCTCTATTTTTATGCTCAGTGTTTCTTTTGCTCTTTCTTTTTCAAGTGTTCCCTTCTGCCTGCCTGCCTGGTGCAGTGCTCTCTCTTTTGCCTCCAGCTTGGCGAGTGCATGCTCTATCTCTTTCTTCAGGTTGTTCTCTATGTAAGAAATATTCTCCTGCTCCTCTTCGTCGCTTTCTTTTTTTTCTTTTGTTTTCCTTTTTCTATCGGCTTCTTTTTCTTTTCTTTCTTCTTCTGTCTGCAAGTACTCTGCCATCTTTCTGTACTGTCCCTGGACTTTGAATATCTCAGTGTCTGCTCTCTCTACTGTCTTCCGCATCTGTTTTATCTCCTCCTCCTGCAGATCGATCATCATCTTTCCTATTTCTCTGCTCTTGTTGTCTATTCTCTCCTGTATCCCGGCTATGTCCTCGTCTTCTACCTCTGCGCTCGCCATTTCCTTTGTCTTATTCTCTATCTCTGCCTCGATTTCTTCGTTTCTCTTTTCTATTCTTTCTTTCTCAGCAACTGCCAGCTCTGCCTTCTTGTACTCCAGATTCTCCCTGCACACCTTCACCTCTTTCTCAAGGAACTGCTGTTTCTCAGCTGCCTCTTTGTGTGCGTAGTACTCGTCTCTTTCTTTGCGCAGTCTTTCCAAAAAGGGAAATATTGTTTTTGATAGGGTGTCCTGTGTTTCCAGCAGCTTTTTTTCCTTCTTTTCAAGAGTTGTGTACGCTTTGTACTTCTCTGTTCTGTACACGCTCGTTCCCGAGCACTCCTCCAGAAGGGTCAGAAACTGCGTGCTTTTCATCGACAGTATTCTGCTTACTCTTCCCTGCATGACAATGAAGTACGGTGCCTGTTTTTCGACTCGCGCGCCTTCGTTTGTAAACCCTGCTTTGCTTGATGAAAGGCCCACACACTGCAGCAGCCTTAGCACAGTTTTCGTGCTTACGTTGTGGTCATTCAGCAAATACTTTGTTTTTCCTTCTTCGGAGATGATTCTTGTCAATTTTATTGTGTCGATCTCTTCGTATCCCACAGGCCCTTTGTCTTTCTCTTTGTTGCTAAATACAAGCGACACCTTTGCCGAGCCCATGGTTGTCTTTGACTGCTTGAATATGAGATCCTTCATGCTGCTGCTTCTTAGGAGACGAGGCGTATCCACCCCCAGCACAAAACATATTGCATCAAGAATATTGCTCTTTCCTGTCCCGTTCAGCCCTGTTATCCCAGTGAACGATCTGTCCACGGGCCCTATCACCGTCCTGGATCCGTAGCTTTTAAAACCTTCTATTTCCACGCTCTCTAAATGCATAAAAATTTATTTTCAACAATGTCTCTTCAATACTTACTCACTCTTCTTCCTTGGCACTACGAAAACGGGCTATCTGGGCTGTTTGTAGAGAGAGTCGAAAATGTGCTGAGGAATAGCGAAGAGGCTCTGCACTCTTCAGAGTCCGCCATGCTCTGCTTCAAGTGCAGAAGGATTATGGTGCCTGCTGTAAACTCCACTGTGCGCCTGCATAACACAGTGGTAGCAGTGTGCTGTGCGCACTGTAAGTCATCTACGTCTTTTAAAGTGCCTCCTGTCTACAAGAATGCATACATAAAAGACTCGTACACCATTGATAGTTTTTTATCCAGTGCCTACTAGATGGCTTAATGTTTAAGTTTTAAGTAAAGAAAGGCTTATTATTCAGCAGAGTGCTGTCTGTTTATTTCTGTAGGTGTGTCTATATAACAGATAATTCTTGACTGTTCTCGAGATGGATTGCGGCATAGAGCGCAGAATGTGAGAATTAATTAAATTTTTAATCTAGTTTAATCTAGTGTAATCACGCTACTTTTAATTCATTTAAATTAAATTAAAAAATAGAAAAGCATGCTTTGCCAAACATCTTGCTATTAAGCGCACTACTGTACTACTGCAATGTCCTAGTGGATAAAGACTGTGTTTATGTTAAGACTTTTTTATTTTGAAAATGAAATATCTTCGCTCCTTGTTGTTTCCTGCACTTTTACTGCTTTATCTTACACCCGTATAGTCTTTGAGCCTTCTTATCTCTAGAGGCTGAGAATGTATTTTTATCTGTTCAGGCTTACCATCTCCTAGTTATCCTGTTTTTAAGCTCGTTTAACTATCTATCTTTTTTTGTGTGTGTGGGGTATTTGGAATTAATAGGAGTGTTTACTATTGTTTGTTTTTGTTTTTATCAATCCTTTTTTGAAGGGTTTTTTAATATCTGTTTGTTTTCCTCCTGTCAGTGTTTGTTTGTCTATCTCTTTTTTGATATGCATTTATCATTTCTTGTGTATAAATAGCATGTAGGTTGCTTGTTCACATGAAAAAAGCATCTTTTGCTCTGGTCAGCATTTTAGTACTTATCTGCAGATTAGGGTTGTGCGACAGTAACTCGCAGCATAAAAATGTCAGAATATTGAAGGACATGCAGAGATCGAAAGTTAGAGCGGGGGGTTTACCAAAGATTGTCCCAAGCGCTTTGAACATCGCGTCTTCCCAAGTAGAAACAAGCAAGCCGCCTGTTCCTATGCATGTCTCGGTTGACAATAGCACTTTAGAGTACGTAGACGCTACAATCGAGGTTGAAGCAAAGCATTTCTACCGTCTGGCGCACAGTCTTCCAAAAAAGAGATTCATAGATAGGTATTACACCATACTCATCCCAGCAGGCGAGTCAGTTGCCGCAGAGGGGCTAAAGCAGGCCTTTCTCCCCATCTCCGACATAAAGATTCACTCAATAGCATACAACGAAAACAAAAACTTGCTGTCTGTTGTGTTCAGATGGGAGGATATGCAGGACTATGTAAAAAGAATCTACGAGAAATATTTTTTCAGCAAGAGCATTGACTTTAAAGATGCAGAGCTGCAAAGCTATTCAGACATACTTTCTAGCATACTGAAAATAAAGGTGATCTTCAGAAAAGAGCCTCTGATCATATACGATGTAAATAAGGAGTGCCCAAAGACTGGAGGCCTAGCTAGTGCGCCACTGAAAATAAGCCTCAAGTCAAGCGCCAAATCGCCAAAGAACAAAAAGTTCAGAGTAGGAACCTCCTGCTCAATCAGCGAGATCCTGGCCGACTCTGTCTGTTTCAACGTAAATTGCAAAAATGTCCTGCAGAAACCTGTCAATGTGCTCCACGACATGTCAAGCGACAAAATGATAGTTGATTTTTGGGACTTGGTCGCTTCCAAAGTGTTTGCAAACTCAGAGCTTGTAAGCTCCATTATATGCAATGAATTCAGTAAAAATTCTGCGAATAAAAAGTACACCGATCCAGAGTTGTCTGCAGTAGACAATGTCCTAGGCGCTCCAATGCCGTCTTTGAGCTCAATTGCCCGAAGTTTCGGAAACTCAGCAAAGAAGCCGCTCTACCGCTCTCCGTATGTATACGTTTCGAAAAAAGACACTGCAAAATCGGGATACAACCTTGCAGCTGGAAGCATAATACCATCTCCCATTCTGGAAAAGAAATTCACGCTGAATCTGTTTGGCACCTCGATGCTCACAGAAAATGCATATACGGTATCAGTGAACATGAGCTCCATTGTAGACTCTGCACAGAGATCTGTCTTCTTTAACCAAGAGTCGCTCAAGAATCTCCTTGTAATTGTAGAGAATCTCATTGCAAGCATGCTGTACGACTCAAACAACTGGTACGCACAGAAAACGTTCATAGGCCTTACACAGGTAATTAAGCCAGCAATCAACTATGCAATCATGCACAACGAAAACGTGGCTCCTCTTGCAGAGGCAGTATACTACCACGTGATTCATGTGATGCACAACGCAAGAAAACTCAAAGTGCTGGACCCCAACGCAGTTGGCTCGCTCTTTGAAGACATAAACGAAGTCCACCAGCTTGAAAACCTCGGAAACAAGTACTATCTTGAAGAAAGAATTGTCCGATGCGAGGCATTTGACTTTAAATTCAAGAGGGCAATACTTGGGTGCTGCTGCACGAGTGACTACACTATATCCGAAGGATTTGGAAGCGTTGAGGTCACTGAAACAAAGCAAATGGTTTTGGAAACGTGCTGGTGTGCGCCAATACAGGAGGCCGTTGAGCAGTACTGTCTTGCGCCTGAGTTCACAGTCACTTTGCCCGACAGCAGATGCCCTGGCAAAAAACCCTCGAAGGACAGCAAGGAAGTCAAGAAGCCCACAGCTGCCAAGAAAAAGAGCTTGTCTGCTGCACCAAGTCCCAGTATGTTCAGCGCTACAACAAGAAAGAGCCTCAGTGTAGTTTCAATAATAGGGGCTGTAGCTGGAGTTGTCTCTGTGGGTTCATACTATGCATTCTTTAGATAAAACAGTCTTTAGATACAATCTAATAAATGTGATACATATCTTATCTTTTTCCTCTCGTCCATGCTTGAAAAGTGTACACTTTTTGTCTGCTGGAAGTCGCAGTCTGTAGGATACTTTTTAAAAAAAGTGTACTGCTATTTTATTTGTACACATATAAAATAATAAAATATGAGTATAAATAACCCGAGAATATTATAAACACTCTGATCTAGGCTAAACTTCCTTACTTTTTCCACAGGCTCAAAGAGTGCCAGGATATGTATTATTTACACAGTATCAGAGGAAGAGGACAGACAAAGTGTCTTCAAGGGTAATCAGATTCTATTACACTCCAACAGAAAGCTACTTCATTGGTTAGTTTATACATGTAGTGTGGATTGGGAATACAAATTATGCAGTGCAATTAGTGTGTGCGAATTATTTTTCATAAATTTACACACATCTTCTGTACCGGTCTTTCTCTTTCCATCTTTGCCGAGAATTCTTAGACTCCAGCAGCCCACAGGATGTGAGAGCGCGAATAGCATAAAACATTTTCAGCTGAGAAAACATAGTTACATTCGCAACTTAAAACACACAATAATAAAGAACATATCCATGCGGATGTGTGACAATGTGTGAGACCATCTATTTAAAGACAGAGAAGAAAAAGTGCATGATTTTGCACATGCTTCTTCTGCTTGGGTTGTGCCAGGCAAAGAGATACATAGTTCTTTTCAAACACGACATTTCGCAGGCAAGCATACAGAGCCACGCAGACTGGCTGGAGACCGCAGAGGTAAGAGGTGATACCATTAAGGGCTTCGGAGTGGGAGGTGTTCGAGGATACTCAGCTGACATGCCTGAATCAGTTGCAAATGAGATTAGAAAAAGAGAAGATGTTCTGTCCATAGAGGAGAATGCCGAGTACAGAATACAAATAGACAGAGACCAAGAATATGCTGGCGCTTCGTATCCGCACTTTCTGAGGGAGGAGTACGACATAGAGTACTTCGCTCCGCTAAACAGCACAGCAAACGAGAGCCAGCAGTCTATAGAAAAGAGCGAGAAAAAAGTGAAAAAAATATCCACACAGCACAACATCATTAAAGGAAGGAGGCCCTTTCGAAAAAACCCAGTAAAAAAAATATACAGACCGCACAGAAACAAGCCGCATCCTCTCTTTGGGTTTTCCAAAGAAGACGGGAACAGCGGCAGAAAGATAGCGCTTCCTCCAAAAGAAAACATCCAGCCTATTTCGCAGCGGACAATGTTTAAAAAGCTGCACTATCCATTCACGAGCAAAAACCTAGCAGCGCGAGGCTCTGTGCCCTGGGGGCTGAGCAGAATGTCGCAGGGAAAGACGGTGTATGCGCTCGACACGTTTGTGTATCCAAAGAGCGCGGGGAAGGGAGTGTATGTCTACGTGTTGGACACAGGAATAGAAGCAGAACACAGCGAGCTAAAAGGAAAAGTGGAGAGAGGAATAAACATCGTTGAAGGAAACCTGGAGCCAAGGGATGACCACGGGCACGGAACACACTGCGCAGGAATCATAGCAGGAAACACAGTCGGAGTGGCAAAGAACGCCACGCTGATTCCTGTGAAGATACTTACATCAGAGGGCAAGGGAAGCACAGAGTTTGCAGTGCTGGGCTTAATATACGCGATGAAAAGCTACCACCAGAGAATTAAAACAGAAAAACACCCGCGCGCAGTTGTTAATATGAGCTTAGGAGGAATAAAAAGTGAAATACTGAAGGAAATAGCAAAAAGAGCAATAGCCACGGGGCTCACCATTGTGGCCGCAGGGGGGAACGATGCATCGAATGCCTGTGGATACTCTCCTGCATCTATACACCAAGTTATCACAGTCGGTGCTGTGAACAGAGAAGACGACATTGCAGAGTTCAGCAACACGGGAGAGTGCATTGACGTCTATGCGCCCGGGGTGGAGATAGTCAGCTCTTTTTTGAACAACACAATGAAGGCTCTGTCAGGCACTTCAATGGCAGCACCGCATGTCTCGGGGCTGGCTGCCCTGTACCTGGGAGAGCAGTACATGGAGCCGCACAAGCTGAAGATGCTTATCAAGAGCGACGCGCACACCTCTGATATGATACGCATTGCAACTGCTAAAATACTGAATCTTCGGCTAGAGTAACTTATTTCAAAATAAGATAGAAAGAGAAGCAGCAATACAACCCTACAGATATTTTTATTCCTAAATATTTCCCAATTAGTCCATATATCAAAAGCATTCTTTCTTTTTAATTGGTCATTGATGTGTTTTTATGAAGGACAGCAGTACGTCTGAGAACAGCTAGTGTTAAGCCATAGAATTTTAATTAAATTTTTACAATCCCTATTTTTATTCACAGTAGTTGTGGAGACTTTTTAACTTATAGTTTGTGCTAGTATATAATATGCTTTATCTTCAGCCTCCTGCAGGCTTCATCAATATCTGCTATTGTGACAGGATGCTTGCTCGTCTTGGCTTTGAACATGCCCTTTACATCTGTGTCTATTTCAGGCTTTTTGGACTTAATTGTGCTTATCTTGCACGCCATGCTGATTATGTCAAACACGATCTCGCACGCTAGAAATCCCAAAATGTCCAAAAGATCGTCTTTTATCTTGTAGTCTGTATTAAGGAACTCTTTGAACCTTTTCCCTTTTCTGAACGTAAATGATGCCTGTCTGCACTCTGTGAAGTCTAGGTACTCTTCCTTTGTCATTCCCTCCGTCATTTTGTCGATGGCATACAGCCTGCCGTGCATTTCTTCGTATCTCTCGTACACGTTCTTTGGGAGCCAGCTGTACTTCAGCTTTGTCTCTGCAGTGTTTCTGAGAGAAATAACGTCTCTGTTCACTTTGTTCCTTACGTCTTTGAATGTGATGTAGTTTGAAAGCTTTTTAACTCTGTATGGATTATTTCTCATCAGAAACACAATGTCTTCTATGCTTATTTTCTTGCTTCCTTTCGTTTTTGATATCTCGTGTGCCTTGCTCAGCAGTATCTTCATCTGCACGTAGATGATCTGTTCCATGTACGCGCTGGACTCTTTTTCAGGCATGCGCACATCTCCGCACGTGTACATCATTGCCTCGATCTCCTGCGAGTACATGTTTTGGCCCTTCTCTTTGCTGTCCTTCACAAGGGAGCTGTACTCGGTTTTGCTGCTGTTTGGCATAAAATATTTTAGTAAAGAACACACACCATTAATATTACTTGGCCAGTAAAAACTATCGATGCCAAAAAAAGCAAAAAGAGAGGAAAGGGGAGTAAGCGAAGATTACGCATACTTAATCAGCCAGGGATACTTTGCCGATCTGTCAATTAGTGAAAGAGGATACAAAACGTTTTTAAAGAGTACATCTCTCTTTTATGCACAGGACTCTCTCAAGACAGCATGGCTTCTAAAACAAGAGGCAAACTCTGTCTACTACGATAACCCTCCCAAGGCATACAGACTGTGGCTGGAGTCTCTGCTGCTGTACATGGAGGCACAAAGGAGCCTTGCAAACAGCCAAGAGCTGATCATCGAGGTAATTGCATTTGCGGAGTCAATATCCAAGTTTATACAGCCTAACCACGTAAGAGCTAGGAGGATATTTGTAACTGTAAAGATATCCCTCGAATATCACTTAGCAAACATTCAGAGCCATTTTTCTAGAGTGAACAGCGTAATTCAGAGGGCGTATTTAAATAAAGTCGTTGTAATACCGCACACCCATCTGGGGATGTACATAAAAGAGAGCTTGAACAGCATATATTACAACTGAGTGGAAAAATGGGCAGAGAACAATGGAGAAGAAAAATGAGACTTGAAAATTAAAATATTCGTGGACAAGTTAACAAACAAACAGCACTGCAGGCATACTGTAGTTGAGATATCAGATGGAAACAGAAAAATGACTGTTTTTATTGAGGATAAAGAGACAGTTTAGATCAGAAGTGATAATTCTGTAAAGTTGGCTGGTTTATATTCTATGTTTATTATAAGTTACATGCACGCATTGACAAAGAGAAGCAGAATGCATGTTGCTGCTGTAAAAATATGCACTAGCACCGTTAGCATTGTGACTCCCTTTGTAAAAAAGTGCACAATAAACGAAAGAGCAACAAAGACGAGAAAAAAGCCTATGACACTTTTGAATATTATCTGCTCTTTTCTTATCTCCCTTTCGCACAGCTTTTTCGCATCAAACACGTATCCCAGTATTTTGTTCTGTTCTAGGTACATGTGAAATATGCTGTTCGTGTGGTAGTCGTTCTCTGTGCCGATCCACTCGCTCGAGAGAATGACGGGGTTGGAGTGCGCCAGCTCAGAAACTGCTTCAGGCGAGTCTTCCAGCACCCGGGAAAGCGTTTTAAAAAGCTCTTTGTCTTTGCTGTTCATCAGCTCGCTTAGCTCAAGATACTTCAGAGCGTAGTAGTAGATGCTTTTTATGTGGCATTTCATATTTGGGTCCACAACGTTTTTCTTGCACACCGAGATGACGTTGGGGTTGTTGTGGGACACGATGAATCTGTGCATGTTTATGCACTCTGCGAGATAGACCATTCCTTTGCCCACAACTTCTGTGGAAATGTTGTCGTCATGGGAAACATCATCGGCGGACTCCGCGGGAATGACCAAGCCCAGGACAAAGTCTCTTTTTTTGTTAAGAGATTCAATTACAAGACTTAAATACGTGCGCATGCTGATTGGCTCTCTGTCTAGTATTTCTATCTCTCTGTCTACTTTTCCCCTTCGAATGAGCCTAATAGACCCATTGGCATCTGTCATTAATAACAAATATACTTTTTCATTTATTTTGCAATGGAGTTTAACCGAGAAAGTGAGGTAAGAGAGCTGGAGAGACAGTTCAACGACTCAATAGAGCTGCACGACGTAGGAGGCAAAGAGAAGAAAAGAGAGAGGGAGTTTAACCCGTTCAAGGTAAAGTACGAAAGCACAAGAGACGAAAAAATACAAACAGTGGAGCAGGAGCTCTCTCGGCTGAAAGAGATGCAGAGCAGAGTGCTGGGCATCCAGGGAACGCTTGGAGAGACGATAGACAAAGAGGTGAAAAAGACAAAAGAAAAAGAAGTGAAAGAAATAAAGAACAAGTACAGGATACGGATACTGGAGATAGAGGCAATGTACAGAGAAAAAGAAAAAGAGATGAAGAAAGAGTACGAAGAGAAAATAGAAAAGATAATCTCCAAGCTAAAAGAGAGAGCGAAAGAGGCGATAAAGAACAGAGTCTCTGAACAGGTTGAGGAAATAAAGAAAAGTGTAGAAAAAAAAGTGCTGGAAGTAAAGCTGAGAGACAAGGCAGTGATCGACAAGCTTTCGCAGATGTACATAGACCTCAAAGAAAAGTACAAAAGAGACATACAGAAGATAGCAAAGCAGTAGATGCACAGATAAAGAATGCTCTAGATGAAATTAAAACAGAAGATGAGAGAAAGAAGTTCTGATGCTTTTGCACTCTACTCGCTGACTTCACTCACAAAAAGAATAAAACAGAATAAACCACACTGCACAATTATTAAAATATCTGTTAGTGATCATAAAATAGATAAAACAGAATAAAAGACAAGAAACAGATACAAACCAAGAATATCCCTTACGGAACCACACAAAGAAAATAAAAGAATAACTATGCTCTACTTCATAAACAACTATTTTATTCACTTATGAGACTAATCACCCTCTAATACTCCACTTCCATTGTATTAGTTACTGTAATTAGATCAAAGACCTGTTCTTTTGTTATTACTATGCTCTCTCGTGGATACTCGTACTTCATTCCCCTGGGTGCTTTCTTTCCCACTTCTTTGTAGTTGCGCCTGTAGTCTCTCTGGAACACCGTGCGGCTGTCTTTTCGGATGACACAAATGTCGATGTTGGATCCAGAGTACAGATCGTTCATTATTCCTGCCTCTATTGCATCGCATGCCAGCTCAACTGCCTGCTCTTCTGTCATGTCTTTCTTCCACCCTGTCTCCAGCACTCCAATGGCATTGTACGATCCCGAGCCGTGCGCAGTGTATGGCAGCGCATCTACGCTTCCGTGCGGGTGCACACCAAAGAGTCCTGGGCCATTCTCGTCTACTCCCCCAACTATCAAACTAGCTGATACATGGCCCTGGTAGGAGAAGAGGTGTCTTTTCAGGATATTTACGCAGTACTTTAGCGGTGCTATTTTGTTGTGCTTCAGAAGGAATCTGCGCAGCGCTGAGCTCGCCATCTTTGTCGTATATCTCGTGTCTGCTGCAGTTCCAGCTCCGCAGCAGTTGATGTTATCAGAGATAGTGTGGATTTTTGTGCAGTTTTTATCAGCAATGATTGGGCCGTTGGTGGACCGCGTGTCTGCTGCAAGGATGACGTACTCACTGCCTTTTATTCCCACGATTGTTGTTCCTGTTTTTGTGGCGTTTCCTTCTGCTGTTTTTATCATCTCGTTTAGGTCTATCTGGGCGTCTTTTGAAGATTCTTTGGCTCTGTGGCTCTCAGCTGCCGCTTGGCTCAGGGCGCACTCTATGCTCTTCATATCCATAAAAACAAAAGAGCAGAAATATAAATAAATTATTAGTGCGTATTTTATAGACCAAATTTGCTAATGTCGGGAGAGAGAAGAAAAGACTGGCACTATTGGAAAAGAGGAAGAAAACAGTACAAAAAGAGATTCTACGGCCACGAACAGGATGAAAGGTACTTTATGCACTACGAAGACGAAAGAAGATACGGGTGGATCGACCAAAGACGGCGAAACTGGAGAGATAACTTTGCAGAAGGACCGCACCCGTACAGAAGACAGGGGGATATGGACTATCCTGACACGTGGCACCGCAGAGAGGTAAATAACTATCCGCCAAGATACAGCAATAGTGGATATGAAAGTGCGAATGGCAATGGTAGACCGTATGAAAGTGCGAGCTATTCCAATAATAGAAATGCCTCTCCCATTACGAGCAGAAACGAAAGCAATGCATTGCATAATGAAAGTAGAAATCATACGGAAGAAAGGAGAAGAATCGATGGCGCAGAGTCTTATTCTGTGCCAAAAGAGGAGAATGACAGAATAGAAGAGTATGTGAGCTTAGAAGAAATACAGGACCTATCGATTGTCAGCCCTGGGGAGCACATAGTTCACGACAGCTCAAGTAGCAGAGAAGTGCTGGAGTATGCATGTATTCGAGAAGCTCCAGAAATACTGCCACAAAATAGCATTGCACAGGAGTACATAGCAGAGCATAACGATCTGGGAACTTTTAGTGGCAGTTTTACTGCCGGCAGTGAGAGAATGGCTCTTGGCAATGAAGAAGCAGCAGCTGATAATTTAGCGCATAGCATAGACAGTAGTATGGCTATGGTCATTGATGAAGGCATGGTGGATGGTACTTTAAGTGCACCGAGAATGGTCATTGATACCTCCAATAATAGCAGTGGTGGTGTTAGTGTGCCAGTTAGCAGCGTGCATGCCAATATTGCTGAAATATTCGCTGATCGATCGAGTATGATTACTGAAAATGCAAGTAGCACTGTAGATGATAGTGTGGAGATGGCAGGGAACAGTATGATTATCGATGCGCCATTTATGAACATTGTAGAAAGTGAGGGAGTGCAGGACAGCAATGCAATGGAAGATGTTTTGGCATATGAATCCGAGAGCCCAAATAGCACCGGGAATAGCGCAACTATTGAAGGAGAGAATGCGAGTGTAGAAAGTGCTGAAACAAGCGAGGATGGGTATAGGGAAGAGAACACGCCCAGCATCTATACGTATCTCATAGCCAAGTACAAGGTGGAGCAGGAAGAGATGCGCAAGATTCAGAAAAAGAGCAGAAAAAACGAAAAAGCAAAAGAAGTCAGTTTGGACTTCGAAATTGAAAAGTGGGCCAAGAATAAAATGCTAAAGCTCCTGGGGATAGACAAGGAAATGATCATAGAGTCAATAACTACATCAGACGACAGAAGCAGGATAAATGAAGCAACCATTCCGGAAAGAGAGTCGAGCAAGCTGATGTGCTACATATACAACGACAGCATAAGAAACATAGAATCCAAGCACAGAGCAAACAGCGGGGTGTATATGTACAAGGGAGACGACGAACTATTAAGAAAAGCCTTTGCTGAGACGGGAAAAGACTTTAGAGCTATCAGAGCAAACTATCTCCCGTGGTACACGCACAAGGAAATAGTGAAAATATACTATAAGATGAAGTACAAGCTAAGGCTGAAGAACTGGGACGGCGTTCTCAGAGACACAAGAAAGATACAGGACAAAGAGGTGGTTGAAATAGTGGAGAGAGACTGGACGCAGGAAGAGATGGATGTGTTTAGCAATTTGAACAGCGAGCTGGGAAAGAAATGGAAGGAGTACCTGAAGTACATAAAAGGAAAAACGGAAAACGACATCAAAATATTCTACAAATACTACAAGAAACACATTCTCAAGAAAAAAGAAGACAAGCTGAAGAAAAAAGAAGAGAAAAAAGAGGGAAGCATCGAAGGATGGAAGGTCCACGAGAGACAGACATTCGCGCTTCTGTTTCCGCACATAGGAAAGAACTGGGGCGTGCTGGCTAATTACATAGTAACCAAAACAGCCACTGAAATCAGAAGCTACCACAGACTGTATTATAAGAACCTCAGGGCAGGCGAAAGAGTTCTAGAAATATACCTGAAGGACATTGGAGATAGAGAAATACGAACAGATCCACTGCCTCTGGCCGAGAGAGCAGGACACAAACAGCAGCACAGCAGGCATGCAGGTGTTCTATTTTCTTGTAAATAAATAGAATGATTAGTTATAGACTGTCTCACAGGATATATTAGTAATTGCAAGCAAACACACCCCTCTATTATTCTAAAAAGCATCTAAAAATAGAAAAGATTTCAGCTGCTAATCATATACCACAGCTGTATAAAAGCATTATTAATCGGCTATTTATTCTATATTTGTGCGAATACTCTACATCGAAACTCTGGTATATGTAAATATGCATAGAATGGAGAGTTGTATAAGTACATAGTGCACTACAGCCAACAAATAGTCTTATTGAAAAATGAAGAAGTATATTCTATCCATATTTAACCTATACTAGATAGTTCATATATCTCTTGGTTATTCTCTTTCCTTATCTGGCACCAGAGCACTAATCTCCTCGTTTTTGTATTTCTGTCCTCCGTTATAAGAAAATTATTTAAGCGTAAAAATTTTCAGATGTCCAACAGAATAGACACAGAGAATATACACCCTGCACTCTCTCACGATGAGTCAGAAGACGCGCATTTTAAGGCAGAAGAGCAAGAAGAAGAGGCAGAGGAAACAACCAGGCTCTCAGCGACTGAAGCCACATACAATGACTATCTTCTGCAGAAGATAACCGAAATGTTCAACAAAGAAGAGAAGGAAGCCTTCATGATAGCATCCGACCAGAAAAGGCCTGTAACCATCAGAACAAACACGCTTTTTGACAAAAGACAGCCAATTCTGCAGAAACTGGCCAACAGAGGAGTAAACATAGAGGGAATCGAGTGGAACAATTGCTCTGCAGTGGTTTACAACAGCGATGTGCCAATTGGTGCAACTCCAGAGTATCTTGCAGGGCTGTACATCCTGCAGTCGCCGTCCTCTGTGCTTCCTGTCTTAGCGCTAGACCCGCAGGAAAACGAAACAGTTGTGGACATGTGTGCAGCACCTGGCGGAAAAACAACACACATTGCTGCCCTGATGAACAACACAGGGACAATCTATGCAAACGACGTATCCGAGGAGAGAGCTATTTCACTCGCTGCAAATATCCAGAGAATGGGAGTATCAAATACAATTGTGAGCGTGATGGGAGGCAGAGGGCTGCCATTTACCAACGTAAACAGAGTTCTACTAGACGCCCCTTGCTCTGGGACAGGAGTGCTATCTAAGGACCCAGCAGCAAAAAGAAACAAAGACGAAAAAGTCATCAAACAGCTGCAGTACAAACAGATGGCTCTGATTCTCAAGGCGTTTGACATGCTTGACCCAAGGACTCCGGAGACTTCCATTTTAGTGTACTCCACGTGTTCGATTCTTGTTGAAGAGAATGAGTACATTGTCGACCATCTTCTCAAAAAAAGAAAGAATGCGCGGGTGATCGATGCAGGCCTGCCCATCGGAAAAGAAGGGTACAAATCGTACAGAGGATGGACATTCCATCCGTCCCTCAAGAACACCCGAAGACTCTACCCGCACGTACACAACACGGACGGGTTCTTTGTTGCAAAGATAAGAAAGATAGGGTACAGCCCGGAGGAGATAGAAGAGAAAAAAGCAGAAAAGATCAAAAGCAGAGATATCAATAAAAAGGCAAAATTAGAAAAGGAGAAGCCAGCAGAGAAGAAAAGCACAGAGCCCATCGTAAGAAAGAAGAAACAGAAGGACTCGCAGAAAAAAGCATTCGCTGAAAGAAAAAAGAAGAGAGCAGAGAAGGCCCAGGCAAAAGAATAAACACCTACTATTTGACACTTGCACTAGCTCTTACAACAAGTTATTTTTCTTACTTCGCAGTAGCCATGCATTCTATTCTAGGCTTTCGCTTCAAAGAGGTGTTCTCATCTGAAATAAAATTAGCGATAAAATTTGCTAGAGTTACTAATATAACCCGAGTATAGGAATAAAAATGAGAATTAGAACAATTTATTTATGCTGGGCTGTTATTAGTTGCTAACTAGTTGTTCATTGGAGAGTTCAGTCCATCCATGGCTATTCTTGGTATTGCCTCTGCGAAGTTTGCTACTTTCTTAAGGAAGTTCAGAGATCCTTCTCCAATATTTGCAAAAACGTTCATGGCGTCATCGAAGATTTCGCCTTTCAGCTTTGCTGCTTCATTGAGCATGTTGTTAACATTTTTAGCTATATTTTCGCGGAAGGCTTCTGCCGAAACAATTGATGTTAGTCTCAAAACTCCTTCGGAGTCTACTTCAATGCCCTCTGGAATGTTGGATGTGAACTTGATAAGTATTTCAGAGACTACTTGTTTCTCTTCGTTTTCAACGCATTTTATTGCCAATGACTCCACAGAGTCGCCGTAGTTATTGAAAATATCTGTGACCTGTTTTTTTACTTCTTCAGAGAGTAAATTTCTGTACTCTGATACCAGCGAGGTTAAGCGGGCTTGGATCTTATCCAGTGATGGGAACTCGCTGGACTCTATTGAATCACTGAAGTTTATTCTGCTTCCTGATAGGAATCCATTGATAACAGTTGATGCATCTTCTGCTGTATTGGAAGATACTTCCACACTCACTTTTACTGCTTCTTCTGCTGGCATTTCGCTTACTATGTCATTGACTGTGTGCGAGTATGCTATGTCTGCCACTATTGCTGGCTCAGCTTCTGCTTCGATTGCGATGTCTTTGGCTGCATCCAAGCTGGGATACACTGTCTGTGTTTGTTCTGCTATGTCTTCTATGTTGTGTGTGCTGTTTTGTATTGCCATTTCTGTCTTAGTAAAAAATTTTTCTGATTGAATTTTTTTAAATACGATCAATTTGTAAATATTTTTATTTATTCTGCTGTATGCCAATAACAGCTACCTTCTTCTGGCTGAAACAGCAGTAATTTGTCTAATAAAAAGTATTCTCAGACGGTGTGGTGTGTTCTCAGTATATTTATTCTTCATTTCTCGGCCTGCTACTCAGTACCTTTCTGCCTTGAAAGGTTGGAATTCTCGAACTATTTCCAGAAAAATAAATGTTCTTATGCCAATAAAAATAAAGTGAACTACTGAGCTTTTTGGCTCATATTAATCAGTTCATAATTTTTATCCAAAAATAAACTATAGAATAAAATATTGCAAAGCTATCTATGCACCCTTTATTCAAGAGTAACAGGCCACGGCCTCAAGAAAGTTTGGGAAACGAGCCTGCAGCCGCTGAAGAGACTATGCCAGAAGAGGAACCCATTTCGAATATAAATGCTATCTTGCAACTTCTTTTTGTTGTTAGCAGCTGCAGGCTGAAGAACTATTGCTATAATTGGCATGCAGATTTATTCTGTTCTACAAACAGAAAATAATTAACATGCTGTGCTTCTTGTTCATTTACATCTGAAGAGTATCTTGGGATTTGCTCTTTAGAATATCAAAATTGGCTCACATAGCTGTACTACAGTGATTAAGCTGTGCAGATATTTCAGCATCAAAGTGATTTAGTAGATTTCTGGATGCTTTTAATATCAAGACATCAAAATTTTATTTAAGAACTAATTAAAAAACATTTGAATTTTATCTTTTATGGACAGAGCAGAACAAGAGTACATAGAGATGGAACCCATAAGTAGCACTCATCTAATTGCAGATGATGAGCCAGCGGCAGAGACAGAAGATAAAGAAGAAAGACTCTCAAAGAAAGAAGTTGCGCTAGACGTATTCAGACATCTTATGAACACCGGAGGGGCTATTTTTGGATTTTCTTCTCTGCTTTATGCTGGAGATTTCAGCAGTCTTTTTTACTTGCCGCTTTCTATTATTATAGCCATACAAACATTTTCAATATTCAGTGTTTTTATAAATACTACTGAGTATGTGGAAGATGAAACAACAAACCCTAGGCCGAGCACAAGCACAAGCCAGCCTGTCTCTAGAAAAACAAAGATCAGAACTTTCTTGGGCTATGACACGTATGTGTACCAAAACACAAGTGTCATTGTAAACATCCTATATCCTGTGTTTCTTTACGTACAAAGTATTCTGTGTGTGATGATGTACATTTACATGATAATGAACAGATTTAAAACTCCCGCTGGTGCAGACAGATGGGTATCTGGATGGGTTGCATGCGCTGTTTTTTCTCTTTTTTATGTCTTGTCTTTTTTCTGTGGCAGGAGTAAACACAGCAGAACATTCAATTGGGCTAGTAACATTCTCACAGCTGTTTTATTCTCTGGTCTTTTTCTGAGTGCAGTTCTTGTTTCAGCTGGAGTGCTGAAGTATTCTCCTGGTAACTATCTAAACTCAGCTGCAGGAAACTGGAAGTTTTTACACGCTGAGGATAAGACATCGTATTACAAATGCTTCATTGCTCTTATTTCTTGCTTTTTCTGTTTTCCAAATGCTCACAATGTGTCCAGTGTGTACAACACTGCCAATGCTAGGTCACTGAGAGGAAGAGAAGTAGAATGCACCAGATATTTTACTTCGATTGCAGCAGGCGTTGGAGTGATGCTTATCTCTCTGTTCCTCTACATCATAAAGGCTCTAGTGGGGGTAAAGCATTTTGAGTTCGATGTTTTCAGCTCTCTTCTGAATATTTCGCTTTTCTACCGGACAAGAGGACAAGAAAAAGGAGTAGACTTTGGCTTATTTTCATTTCTAGCTGTGATTTTGAATGTTCTAGACGTGCTGCTTCTACTGTTTTCAGTAGGAGCTATACTGAATCAGCTGAGCATTATCGACAAGATTATAATGGAAAAGTTAAAAAAGATACCGTTTAGTAGAGTATTTTCCATTAAAAGAGTAATAGATATGTATGAGAGAAGAGAAAAAAAGAAAGATGGTTTGTCTTTGCTGTTGGACTTCATTTTCCTATCAATTATATTTGCAAGTGTGATCGTGCTGTGCTATTTCTTTACTTTTACTACTCTATCTATTGTCCATGTGGCCGGGATAGTGTCGTTTTTGTTTGGAGTCTTTTTCCCTTTATGGATATATCGCACAATTCCAGGCAAAAATAATACCCTAGAAACATCAATCCATGAGCTTGTATTGGCCGCGCTAATTCTTTCTTTCTGTGTTGTTAGTGTGTTCGAGGTATTAAGAGCTAACATTGCAGGGCTTTTCATGGACATCTTTGCGAGTATATTTTCTCTTTCGTCAAAAACAGAGGGCATTGAGGACATAGCAAGACCATAGTTTGTCTAGTATTTCTATCGCTGGTAATACCATTTCAGCTATTACTGTTTTCAGTAACTAACAGCTAAAGTATGGCACACTTTCATTTACTATGTTGAGGCTCAAGACCAGAGATGAAACAGTAAAATGTGCTTTGGGGTAAAAATAAACATAGTAGTTCTAATGAGATAAATTGATATTGTTGATGAGTAATTGCAGGAGAACAGCTAATCTTTTTTAATATTTCTAGCTAATATAACGGTGCTTATAGCACTTCATTAGAATGCTGAAGAGAAAGGACTAACCGAAAAGCTATAAAAAATAAAATGATATTTTTTCTATGGAACATCAGAAATTAAGGAGACTACTAAATGCGATAGGCATAGCACTTATTTCCTTTACCACGCATTGCAAAGGCAGCTGGAATGTTTTTGATGAGAAATATCTTCTGTACGACGGTGTAGATCAGAACATAGAAAAAAATGATTTAGAAGGCCCAAAGGCAGGTGAGCCTATGCAGGCTGGAACAGAGGTTGAAAGTGTTTCCAACCCCACGCTTAATATACCTGGAGTGCTAGATGAGAGAGATATAACGGAAAACGAAGACCTCTATTTTCAGTCAACTCAGCTCAGTCCGCCTCTGGATTGGCATGCATTTGAAGAACAAATGAGAACGAGAGAACAGTTTGTGCAGCAGCAGTGCATATCACAATACGGCGAAGATCTAAATGCTTCCAGTGAAAGAGAAAACTCACTTGATGTGACTGAAAATGGACATAGAATAATGAACGAAGAGGACTTAGATCTTGATGACATTGTGCTAGAGCAGAACACTTATAACATATGGGATCTATCAAAATCAGTAGAAGAGCTTATAGATATGTATGGAGTGTTTACACAGGCTGAACAAGACTCTAGTGTAGCTGGTATCTTTTCTTCTCCCATTGAGGAAAATAATAGTAGTAGCCCAAGAATAGGAGAAAAAAGAAAAGCAGATTCTTTTATTTTTCACCCTGCGCCAGAGAGAAAGAAAGAAGAAGCTCAAAAGAATCAGCCGCAAATGTTTAAGGAAAGAGCTTTGTCACCGAAGAAAAAGAATATTAGGATAGAGCATCTTGACATAGAATTGTGGAGTGATGTACGATTGACCAACAAAAGAAGAGAAAGCCGCAACTTGCATCACGAAACAGTATACAGTCTTAGCAGTGACAACTTTGATGAGTATATAAATTCTGAAACAACAAAATACCTCTACCAGGAAAGCATTAGAGAGTATATAAAAATATTTTCCGAAGATGTTACCCACCAAATAGACCAGAATGCAGTGTGGTACTTTATTGCGTGCAGAAGCACAAATGTAATCACAAAAAACAGAGATCTTTTGTGGTTGGACAGACTGATTAAGGAAGAGAATGAAGATGAGCACAAGAAGATGGTAGAGAAATTTGATGGATACTATCCCCATGTGTTTGAAGACATGCTAGCATATGTAGAAAAGTACAAGCCGCTGAGGGTAATCTATAGATGCCCTCCAACTGAGTGGAATGAAACCTTGGGCGATATTTATATGCGAAAAGACCTAGATTTAAACTGCTGGATGGTGGTAGGCCAGGATAAAATAAGCCAGGTAGACAGTGAGTATTCTGCCTTATCCTATGCAATGCGCATGATTCTAGCACTGCCTGAAGTACACCAAGACTTTTCCAATATTAACACAAATCTTATAAAAGCTACTCAAATATACGATGATGCATCTAGAAACGAGCAAACTAGAGAAGTTCTATTGGATATACATAAGCTAGCAGAGGAAGTTACGTGCAATGATGAAAAAATAGAGAATATGTGTGAAAATATTTATAGCGCTATTGAGAGTATATACAACAAAAATAAAAAGCAAGAGTTATCAGTACCTGAGCTATACAAGAATATATACACAATTCTTGCAGATTTCTACGAGAAGGTGGCAGTTATTGATGAAAATAAATATATCTTAGTAGGCAAATATGCTATAAAGCATCAAAGATATGCCAGATGTAAGACAATCATAGTATTAAATAAAAAAGATTCTTCTATACAGATCTATGGTTTTACATATTCATTTGAGATAAATACATGGAGTATTTTGCCTGTCATAAAATCACACTACCACGTGTACTATGTGGACAACACAGAAAAATGGCCCAGAAGGCTGTGCATGCCTATGTATAAAAACAATGATAATGATAAAGGATATTATCTGCACACAATCGACGACATAGTAAACCATGTGAAGGAGCTATTTAGAATACAGAAAGACACTGTACATCCTTTCAAAGTAAGAAAGGACACTAAAGAGTGGTCGTACATCAAGAAAGATGAACGAAAAATAACGGTGAAAGAGCTGCCGAAATATCAGGTAGTGTTCTACCGCATTGACGAAGACCTTGCCACAACAGAGTTTAAGTTTGCAGAGTTTGAGCCCTTGGTGCCGCACATAGAGAAGAGCATCACTCTGCCGTTGTTTCTTACGCGCCAGATGCTGGATGCTGAGGACTTGGGCCCTTTTGTCAAGGAAGGTGTCCATGCAGAGTTAAATCTGCTGAATCTAAAATCAGCCATGACCCCCAATCAGTACAAGTTTAACAAAAAGTATGAAAAAGAAGAGTACTCAAATGTGCACGGATACTACAGAAACCTATATATACCGCCAGATGACGAAAAGAGGAAGACTGCTGACTGCTACATCATGAACTATCAGAGTGCTAGTAGAGGAAGCACTATTGAAGTCGAGTGGTATGTGAATATGATGGAAAATGAAAGTGCCTATATGCACTGCCAAGTGAATGAAAAGTTTAAAGAAAAAAAGAACTCAGAGAAACTCAATAATTTTGTTAGTATACTAGAGTCAAGAGAGCACAACAAAGACAGTGAGCTGCAAGGTATTTGGCTGAAAAATAGTAATGTAACAGATGATGGGTTAGAAAAGATACATATGTGGCGAATAAATGACCAAGAGGAAAAGAAATCGAAGAAGAGCAAAGAAAAAATCGAAGAAAAGCTAAGAAAAGCAGAAGAGAGGTACGGAAAAGCAGATGAAAGATTTAACAATGCGAATAATGAACTAAAAAAATTAAAAGAGATAAAAGAATTAGGAAAACAAGAAGAATTAGAAAGAAGAATATTGGAAATAAAGAGAGAAAAGTCTGCGGCAAATAGTGGAAAATCTAGAGCAAGAATCTGTCTAAAATCCTTGCAAAAAGAAATATACGAAGAATTTTCTGAAAAGCCGGATGGCCAGCTAGAGTTCATAGTATTCCACAATGTAAATAAAAGTAAGTCCAATCTAGGAGCACATAACGAGATACTTGACGTTTTAATATCAGGTTATGAGCCGAAAAGGAATTATTCCAAAAATAAATAGAGTTTGTTTGAACTGCACCTATTTTTGTTTTGTTTTATAATAATTTTAGTAATAAGCTAGACTATTTTGCTTACTAGCAGACTTTTAGTGAAGAGTAAGTCTTTTCATCTTTTAACATCGAAAATATACACGAGAAATACTCTTTGTTCTCTTTATGTGTATAAGACGTTCAATCGATAATAGTGTTATAGTAATGCTATTTGGAATAAAAAAGAAAAATAAAATAAAAGTAAGTGTATTGTTTATGTAGAATTTTATTTTCTATTTTTATTCTTAATATTTGAATATCCAAAGGAAAAACATATACTTAAATGTAGTAAATAAACTAAATGCAAAAACAAGCTAATAGGTACTTTTTCTGACTATACTGTCAGATTGTCTGCAGCAAGATTATTTCTCCTTAGAAATATTCACGGCCAGATGATTAGTTTGTATTTCTATGGTAAATTGAGAATATATCGAGTAGACTATTTTAGAGGGCTAAATAAGGGTTTCGGTAATCAGATATCAATCTTTGCAGGCTTAGAGAAATTCGCCTTTAATAAAATAGCTGATATGATTATTTATACTCTAAAAGATATAATGATGTTTATAGATATTTCATTGGAAAATGCATGCATGAATCAGAAAAAGAAAGGGAAGCTCTAACGAAAAACCTATAAATAAATAAATTAAAATAATGTTTTTAGCATGGGGAATTGGAAAATAAAGAAACTACTAAATGCGGTAACTATAGCACTTATCTTCTTTACCACCCAGTGCAAAGGGATTGGAAATACTTTTAATAAAGCTAGCAACACAGTTATTGTACCTGGAACTGAAGATAGTATGGATGACATAGAGAGATTTTTTTCTCATTGGTTTGTCACAGATCAGAATAATGACAGCTATATACATAATCCACTGGGATCAGGAGAGAACTTTAACAATACAGATGGAAATTACTTACAGCCCGAAAAGATGTCTAGTAGTGGTAGAAGTATCTCTAATACAGGATATAATATGCCTGGTCCATATGATGGCGAAGGCAGAATAGATACTACATCTGTTTTTCAACCGTCTGTATTTTATCCGCCTCAGAATGAAAATTATTTTATAAGCCAACAAGGAATAGAAAACCAGTCTGGCCAACCAGAGCCAATGGATATTGATATGCATGAAAACATTTCTAATTCAATAATTAATATGGCTTGTGCATCAGTTGAAGAAAGTATAGCAAATAGAAAAGACGTGTTTTCTCAATTAATTCAGCTTAACTCACCTATGGAGTGGAATGAGTTTGAAAAGTTGATGAAAATGAGAGAACAGAATGAGCAATCTGGCCAGGGTGTGCCATATATGGTAGACAATGATATACATGAAAATGTCTCTAATCCAGGACATAATACTTCTAGTGTGACAGAAGAAGGAAATAGAGTGGATATTGAGAATTGCTCTATTCTTGATATGGACAAGTTTAATGCAGCCCAAAATCAGCTTGTAGAACAGCAGAGAACAGAAGAGCACTATATTCAAGAGCAGCTTTATATAGGAAGAAATGTTTCTAATGGAGGAGAAAATAGATTTGGCGTATCTATATATGAAGATATAGCAATGAACGATGAGGAGTTGGGCCTTGATAATTTTGTGCCAGATGAGAGTGGGCCTAATATATGGGATATATCAAAATCTGCAGAAGTCTTCAGAGATATGCATGGGATGCACTCACAGCCTGCAGAATATCCTAGTAATGGTATATATAGAGGAGTTTCTAATCCGGTACATGATATATATAATCTGCCAAATGAAGCAGATAGAATGGATGGAGTAGAGTTTTATTATTCTGGCCTGGATGAATACGATTCAGCACAAAATAGAAATCAGTTTATAGAACAACAGTATATACAAGAAAAATATATAGGACAGTCAGATATAGATATGAATACTTCTAATAGGGCAGAAAATGTGTTTGGTTCATCTAATAATGAAGATACTATGAATGGCTTAGATGAATCTATTTCTAAACGGTTTGTGACAAGAAAGAGAAACAGCCATAGGAATACTTTACAGAGAACAACAGATTCTGAAAATGATATACTTCCTTCATCTGCACAAGATGAACAAGATTCTAGTGCAGAGGATATTCCTGTTGTTCCTAATAAGAAAAGAAATAAAGTTAAGACAATTAAAGCAAAAAAAAGAAAAACAAATAAAAAAGATTCATCTATTACTCAGCCTGTAGAAGAAACTCAGAAAGGAGATACCAGAATAGAGAATATTAATATCGGACTATGGAGTGATACCAGATTGTCCAATAGAATAAGAGCAGGCTATAACTCACTGCATCGCACAATATATAAAATTAAAAAGAATAGCTTTGATGATTATATGAATAGTGAGCTAATAAAGGAAACCTACCAAGAAGAGATTAGAAAAGAGATAAAAATCTTTTCTGAAAATATTGCTTCACTACTAGAGGAGAAGAATGCAGTGTACTACTTTATTGCGTGCAGAAGCACAAATGTAATCACAAAAAATATAGATCTTTTGTGGCTAAACATGCTGGATAAAAGCGAGAATGAAGATGAGCACAAGAGCATGATAAAGAAATTCGATGGATACTATCCCAATGTGTTTGAAGATCTGCTAGCATATATGGAAAAGCACAAGCCATTGAGAGTAATCTATAGATGCCCTCCAACTGAGTGGAATGAGACTTTGGGCGATATTTATATGCGAAAAGACCTAGATTTAAACTACTGGATGGTGCTAGGACAGAACAAAATTAGTAAGATGAAGGAAAAGTATTCTGTACTAACACATGCTGTGCATATAATTCTAGCACTGCCTGAAGTACACCAAGACTTTTCCAATATTAACACCAGTCTTATAAAAGCTACTCAGATATATAATGATGCATCTAGAAACGAGCAAGCCAGGAAAGTTCTGTTGGCTATGTGCACATTAGCAAAAAAAGTTGGAAAAATTGACAAAGAGATACAAAATGAGTATGAAAATATTTATAGCGCCATTGAGAGTATGTACAAGAAAAATTTGCAGCAAGAAGTATCAGTGTCTAAGCTATACAAGAACATATACACAATTCTTGCTGATTTCTACGAGAAAGTGGCGGTTATTGATGAGGATGAAAATATCTTGATAGGCAAGTGCATTATAAAGAACCAAAGATATGCTAGGTGTGAAGCAAACTTTAAAATTGCACCAAACAGCTCTTTTATACAGGAATATAAGCCTAAATGCTCATTTGGAATGAACATGTGGGATGTTTCGTCTAACATAAAATCGCACTACCACGTGTACTATGTGGACAACACAGAAAAATGGCCCAGAAGGCTGTGCATGCCTATGTATAAAAACAATGATAATGATAAAGGATATTATCTGCACACAATCGACGACATAGTAAACCATGTGAAGGAGCTATTTAGAATACAGAAAGACACTGTACATCCTTTCAAAGTAAGAAAGGACACTAAAGAGTGGTCGTACATCAAGAAAGATGAACGAAAAATAACGGTGAAAGAGCTGCCGAAATATCAGGTAGTGTTCTACCGCATTGACGAAGACCTTGCCACAACAGAGTTTAAGTTTGCAGAGTTTGAGCCCTTGCTACCGCACACAGAGAAGAGCACCACCCTTCCTCTGTTTCTTACGCGCCAGATGCTGGATGCTGAGGAGTTGGGCCCTTTTGTCAAGGAGGGTGTCCATGCAGAGTTAAGTTTGCTGGATCTGAAGTCTGCTATGATTCCTAAACAGTACAAGTTTAACAAAAAGTATGAAAAAGAGGAGTACTCAAATGTGCACGGATACTACAGAAACCTATACATACCGCCAGATGACGAAAAGAGGAAGACTGCTGACTGCTACATCATGAACTATCAAAGCGCTAATAGAGGAAGCACTATTGAAGTCGAGTGGTATGTGAATATGATGGAAAATGAAAGTGCCTATATGCACTGTGTACTAGACAAAAGTTTCAAAGGAAGAGAAAATGCAAAAAAGTTTAATAATTTTGTTAGTATACTAGAGTCAAGAGAACACAATAAAGACAGTGAGCTGCAAGGTGTCTGGCTGAAAAATAGCAATGTAACAGATAATGGGTTAGAAAATTATATAGAAAAGATATGTATGTGGTTGGTGAAAGAGGAAGGAGAAAATATAGCCAAGAGAAAGAAGAGTAGAGCTGAAAAGACAATGATAAGAGAAATATTCAAAAAAGATATAAGAGAAACCAATGAAAAGTATACAGAAGAATGTGAAAGATTTGATAGAGCAGATACAAGAATAATAGAATTGAATGGAGAATTAAAAAGATCAAAAAAACTGAAAGAATTAGAAAAGACAGAAAAATTAGAAGAAGAAATGGAAGATATAAAAGGAGAAAAAAAGTCAGCATGTAATGCAAAGAGTTATGCAAAAAAAAAGCTAGAAACTTTAAAAAATATAATGTGTGAAGTAATGTCTGAAAAGCCAGATAAAGAGATGGAGCTCATAGCATTCCGAAATGTGAACAAAAGCAAGTCCAATCTAGGAGCACACAATGAGATTCTTAATATTTTAATCTTATACTATGATCTAAAGAGGGAAAACTCCAAAAAATAAATAAATTCATTTAAAATACATCCATTACTGTCCTATCTATTTTTAGCAAAGCCATAGTGATGATTAGAGTATCTCTTGAATTATTAACACAATTTCAACATCTCAAAGCATGTGTAAGCAGTGTCCTTCATGCTTACAGATTAAAACATTCAATCGATAATAGTTCTATAAATAGCATCACCCAAAATAAAAGAATGCTAAGTGTATGCAACTGCATATTCTCACGATATAACAGATAGTAATTACAAAAATAGCGATAGCATTACTATATCGAGCAATATAAACAAAAACAGCTGCTCTCTTTCGGATGACTATTTATTAAGGTCTTAAGGTCTGCATCTTCCTGTGAACCGAGGATACAGACAGGCGTATCTCACCTTGCTAACAATATCAGGCATGAATCCCATGATAATTCGCTCAAAGCCCAGCCCGTATCCCCCGTGGGGGAAAGGCCCGTAAAGTGTCTGATCGGTGTAGAACTTGTACGGCTCCATGGACATTCCCTCCCTCTTGAAGCCTTCTGCTAGGTCGGCGTACAGCGGAGTTCTCATCGATCCCCCCACTATTTCTCCCACTCCTGGGTAGAGCAGATCGCAGCTGTTCGTCAATCCGTCTCCTGTTTTTTCCATGTAGAACCCTTTCATCTCGTACGGGAACTTAGTTAAAAAGATGGGCTGTCCTTTTCCTACCTGTTCGCATATGTATCTCTCTGGGGCATCTGGAATGTCATCAGAGTATCCGAACTCGGAGCCATCTTCTTTTTTTACGTCTCCTTTTCTGAGGATGTCAATTGCCTCTCTGTGCTCGAGCCGGGTGAAGGGTTTGGATGGCACAGTGATGGGTGTGGCTTTTACTCCAAATCTTTCTAAAATGGGGATGCATCTTTCGTTGAATCCTGTGGAAAGATGGATGATGAGGTCTTCTATTTCCGAGAGCAATCTGTCAAAGTCAATCCATGCAAGCTCTGCTTCCACGTGCGTGTACTCGCTCAAGTGTCTTCTTGTGTTGCTCTTTTCTGCCCTGTAGGAGGATGCTATGCAGTATGCTTTTCCAAATACCGGTGCAACTGTTTCTAGGTACAGTTGAGAAGATTGGGTAAGATATGCAGGCTCGTTGAAGTAATCGAGCTTGAAGAGCGTGCTCCCTCCCTCCACCTGTGTCTGCACGAGAGTAGGGGGTGTTACCTCTGTGTACTCTTTTATGTCGTAAAACTGTCTGGCTATTTTGAGGAGCTCAGCCCTTACCTTCAGTACAGCTGCTTTTTCTGGCTCTCTGATGAGAAGATGGTTGTGATCGAGCAAAAATGACTCGCTCGTTTGCTCCATGTCAAACTCAAAGGTTGGAGCCACCTTTCCTCCGTAGATCTCGCAGGATGTCACGTGAACTTCGCAGGGAAATGCGTCTTTCGTGAAGTTCTTCTTCACTTCTCCGATGACCTGCACTGACGTGTGTTTTGTCAGATGGAGCTTTGCGTCTGTTGCGACGTACATGCACTTTACCAGATGCTCTGCTGAGTAGACGGTGAAGAACGCCTTCTTTCCTATTGCATGGAAAGTGCGCACCCATCCGCTGAACTTGATTGTTTTTCCGATCAGGCTGCTGTCTATGTCTTTTATTTCGTATTCCTGGAGAGGCAGAGCGTTGCATATTTTCATGTCCTTCATGCTCTGTTCGTTTGTCTTTTGTTCTTTCGCTGCGTCTTGCATGAGTATTAAAAATTTTTACTATTTTTACTTTGAAAACGGGAGCGTTTCTTATCTGCTCTTCGCTCTCTTCTTGTAAGCGCCTTTTTAACAGACTGAGATAGTGCAAGCTCTTTTTATTTATTTTTTATCCTATTTTTTCCTGTTTTTCTTTTTGTTGCGTCTCTTGCAAACTAAAAAAATAAAACACTTTCATTCTTAAGCTGCTAGTTACATAATGCATTCTCTAAATACATTTACAGTCGTGTTTATTTTCATTTTATTTACTCTTATGATATGCTAATGATGATACGAAAGAGAGTGATAAAAGGAGAGCAGTATTGGTTTAGAACACTATCGCATAAGTTGATTAAATGCGAACAGCCAAATAATGCAGGATAATGCCCTACTACAAGATAAAGCAACAGCTTACTACAATGAAATGGTATTTTTCAGTATACTAGAGTGATCAGCAGGCTAATGATCGAGTATGATCAAATGGCAATAGAGTAAGATGATGGATTGCCTAGCAATGCCAACTTTTACTGCTCAGAAATGGCAGTTCTCGAATAATTCATACAAATAGGACTGCGAACGGCTTCTCTGCTAGAAATAAATAGAAGTGTTTCTTTTATGCATTTATTCTCTGCTGTGCTGTATACTTTAGCAGATATATCGCTGTTTACGACAGTTGCTCTGATATAACTTGGTATTTATTTTCATTTTTGCTGCCCAGCTTTCTTCTTTCTTTATTATTTATACTTGAAAAATTAGCACTCCCATGCCGATTGCCATTAAAATCCCGAAAGCCTTCAAGAAGGGAAGCTTGACCGTGGTGAAGTACAAGGACGGGCGAATCCTCCTGAAGTCCAATGGAATGCTGTACGAGGTCGTGGCTTTTCCTCTGGAAATTCCAAAGTACGTGATAAACGCCGAGGGAAAAACGATAGAAAAAGTGGACACCCGAGGCATCATCAAAAGGCCCATCAAGTAAATAAACTCTTCTGCTCTTCTGCGCTCTGTTTCTTTTTATTTTGCGGGCCCGTCTTCTCTTTCGATTTTTTAAATTTATTTTTTCATAACGCCCCAGTCAAGATGGAAGGAAAAGAGAATCCCATGCAGAGGATAAAGTTAGAGAAAATATGTTTGAATATTTGCACAGGAAAGAACGATGATTCACTGAACAAGGCAGCCAAAGTGCTAGAGCAGCTGACCGGACAGTCTCCTGTTTTCAGCAAAGCCAAGATCACTCTGAGAGCCTTCGGTATTCGTAGAAACGAAAAGATCGCCACGCACGTGGTTGTGAGAGGAGAGAAGGCAATGGAGGTGCTTGCAGCCGGGCTAAGAGTCAAGGAGTACGAGCTTCCATACACGTGTTTCTCAAACACCGGGACTTTCGGGTTTGGAATCCAAGAGCACATTGATCTCGGAATCAAGTACGACACAAACATCGGTATTTTCGGAATGGACTTCAGCGTGGTCCTTACAAAGCCAGGGAAGAGAGTCAGCCAGAGAAAGAAGTGCAGAGCAAAGGTCGGTAAAAAGCAGAGAGTAACAAAAGAAGAGGCAATTGATTGGTTTAGAAGCAAGTTTGACGGAAATGTTATGGTGGAAAAGACTGCTGATAATTAATAAAACATTTTAAAACTATTATTGTCTAGAGAGCTAGGACTGGCACAGAAGAATTCAGCTACTTGCAAATTGCACCAGTAGACACAGAGTCTAGTTTTTGTTCTTCTATTTCTGCTATTGCCACGTGTATCCACAGAGTTCAGCTGTTATGATGTACGCTCTGTATAAAGAAGGTGTAGTGAAATAGCAAAAGATAGAGTTTATTAATGTATGAAGTGCGGGTGGTTTATTCTCCTGTATTGTCCTCTAGTCAGTACTCTTGCTTATACGCTTTCTGTATAGATGGTTGAAAGAAAAGAAAGTGGCACTCATTAGAGAGAACGCTAGGAGCAGAATAAGCACCAGAAGCAGTGCCATTATAAACTGCACTTGTTTTGACGACTTTATTTTTCCGTCTTTTCGAATGGCTTCTTCTTTTTTGCCGTCTTCTGTTCTTTTTAGCTCTATTTGTGCTGTGTCTATGTACCTCTCCACTTCTTCGTTTATCGTGTTCTTGATGAACTTGGTGATCTTATTAGAAAATTCATTCGTGTTGATTTCATCGATGAAGCTGTCGTTCATTTTTATTCGATCAAGGTGCAGCTGTTTTCTCTCTTCTAGATACTCAGCGGCTGTTTTTATGTAGTTAGTCCGATTGTACTCTTTAAGCCGCGCAAGCATTCTGCTGACGAAGTTGTATGCTCTAACGTACTTTTCTTCGATTAGAGGGTATATTATGCTCTTATTGCTGCTCTCTATTTCTCTGTCAATCTTCTCCACTATCTTCTGTCTTTTCAGCTTATCATTTTGCAGCCCTTTTTTTATCTCACCTAGGTTGCTGAATATGTCAAACGGGCTTTTATCTTCTTCATCTTCATCTTCTTTTTCACCTTGTATCTCTTTATTTTTCTTTATCTCTTCTTTTTTCTTCATATGCTCTTCCCAAAGGCTGTTGAGACCCAGGCCACCGGATAGCTCTGCTGCATCGTAGTCCATGAAGATGTTCAGAGGAGATACAAGTGTTTTTATGAACAGCAGCAGTCTCTGTTTTCTTTCGATGTTCAGGTCGCTGTTGTCATACACCAATTTCAGCGTTTTTGCTTTCTGTTTGGTAAATTTTTCTCTGTTTATTACTTCTAGTGGGGATGCGTTGTACAATATCTGCGAGAAGTATTTTGAGAACATAAAGATCCACTGTAGCCATTCGTCGTACAGTGAATTATGCTCTGGCCAACTGCCAAAGATGGTCTCATAGTCAGTGCTCTCTATGGAGTAGTCTTCACTGCATCTTTCCAGGCTTAGGTCGTCCATGAGATCATCAAATATTTCGAACTTCTCGTCTATTCGGATGTCTTTAGTGTAGAGATAGTTTTTGAAAAGCGAGAAAATCTTCTCAACATAGTCTTCCTTCTCAAACATTGAATACCCCAGTGACTCAATATGCGAGAACCAGTTGTTGATAAAAGAGTTTACTTTTTGGTTCAGTCTGTCTGTTTCTATTTCCAGAATTTCTTCTAGGGCGCTCTGTGATAAACAGTTTATTTCGATCAGTTTGTCTGCTTCCGTGTACATTTCGTGGAACTCTTGCCAGAGGTACAGGTTTACCATATGGAAAATGGTGTCTTTTGTCTTCTGGCTTGTGTTGCTGCTCTCATCAAAGATAACCCTTGTGTTGTAAATCAGACTGTTGGCTAAATGTGATGCAAAAAGGAAGGCATTCATGTGCTTTCTCTTCTGTTTTGCATATTCTTGAATCGCATCTTTTATCAGAGCATCAACCGCTCTGCTTCTGAACTCCACCTTAATTTCATTTTTCCATGAATCACACATAGCTACTAAAAAGTTTTCAAGTAAATATTTTTTTATTCTACTAATAGAGAACCACTACTGCAAATTTTATTCATCTGGGTAGAATCTGACGGGGTCTCTGTCTTCTTCTGATATAGCTATCTCTGTACTGGGCAGCTGCTCTTTCAGGTACTCTTCTATTTTCTTAAGGAATCCTCTCTCGCTTCTCGAGTGCTCCAGGACTATTGCAGATACGCCTGACTTTTTAAAGTACAAAAGATCGTGGTGCGATGCTTCTCCTGTGATGACCAATGAAATTCCCAAGCTATTTTGGCTTTGGCCTGCCGCTTCTGCATCTGGTATCAGTCTTTTTATGACTCTGCTGCTGGCTCCTGCGCCTATTGCCAGCGTATCTGGAGCTGTGTCTAGCGTGTGCCCTGTTCCCAGAGAGTATCTTATCGTCTTAAGAGATAAGTGCTCATCCAGAGCTGCTAGAATCCTTTTTATTTCTATTTTGTTCTTGTATATCTGCACCATCCCTGAGCTAGAGGCGTGCTCTGCTTCTGGGATGAGCGTGCTTAGCCAGTGATTTATCCCGTTCATTCCCCCATCGAAGGCGGTGTGTGGCGAGTATATCGATATCTTGTTGTTTATGCACTTGTGCAGTATTTTGTTATTTTGTGTTATTCTTTTTATAGCTGAGAATATGGGGGGATGGTAGGCTAGAACTGTTTTTATGTTTTTTCTCAGAGCTTCTTCGACCACTTCTTCTGTTAGATCTATGCATAGAAGAACTGTTTCCTCTGTGTTATCAAACTCTAGGAGTATTCCCGTGTTGTCCCACGAGCTGTCTGCTCTTTCTTTTGGATACTCTTTTTCTATTGCATCCGCCAGTTTCTGAATGAATGCCATCCCGTAAACACAAAAAAACATTTAAAACACAGAAGCCCTTTGAAAGATGAAGAAATAGAGCATAGTAGAATGCAAATATACGATAGACATGTTTTAATCATGGGATGTATAAGACAAATAGTTAGCAGATGATCAGGAGTAAATAAACAGAAATGCAAGAGAAGTGAGTAAGTAGCAGATGCAGTTAGGAATAAAAGACAGTTGGAGATTAGAAATTGATGTAAATGGAAATAGCTCATGACAGTTGGAAATCGGGATAGCAGAACAGTAGAGATAGAAACAGAAGCATTTATCTGTCTGTAGTTGAGAGATAAAACTACTGTTGAGCAGGCAATGGTTTGGAACAATATGAGAAGTTCTCTTGGGCTGAGAATAAAAGAGAAGAGTAGAATTTTTATTTATTTCTATGGAGTCTCTGTCCAACGAAGAAATGGATGTCCTTTTGGGAATAGGCGAGTCTATAGACAGCATTATATCCCGCGGCAGCATGGGAAAGTACAGCAGTGGAGTTGTGCGCGGATATTTTCCCTCTGACGAGTCCTGTGATGTTTTGTCCAGCAAGTCGGTGAGGAGGTCTCTAATGAAAATACAAGAAACAGATAAGGATGCATTCTGTGCTCTTTTTAAGGCAAAGGACCCCATGGCGTGGTGAGCTGTTTATTCTATCTTTCCTCTTTGCATAACGATATTTTCAATAAAATTTTTTAGCTTCAGCATGAGTAGAACTGTAGAAGAGAAGACGCGCCCAAAGAAGGACAAAGTCAGAAAAGACGAGAAGCAGACAGAGACAAAGGAAAAGAAGAAGGAAAAAACACATCCAAAGGCAAAGCCACTGTGCCCTTCTGATGTAACGAAGAAAGTGTATGAATTAATAGGACTAGCAAAAAAGAACGGCTCGCTAAAAATAGGCGTAAATGAGACCATCAAGAAGCTGAACAAAGGCGACGCAGACTTGGTTCTGCTGGGAGGGAACGCCCTGCCATTTGCCATCGTTGAGCCTCTAGTTGTCCTGTGCGAGAACAAGAACAGAACATTCCTGTTTCTGCCAAGCGTGTCTGCAATGGGAAAGGCGTGCGGTCTGCCGCGGCCAGTGGCTGCATGCACCGTCGTTTACTCCGAGGATTCGTCCATTAGAAAGTTGATCAACGAAATAAGAGAGCAGATGATAAATATCTAAAATAAAGAATACTTACAAAAGCACTAACCATACGCCTTATTCTTTTGCAGTGCCAGCTTATTTTGTGTACGCCTTTGTTCTTTTGCAGAGGGCTCTTCCTCTCGTACTCTGGAATAATTGTGTACTTTTTATTTTGTGTACCTATTTTTATTTTTGCAGGAATAATAAAATTGTAAAAGCACAGCTGTATATATTGTAAATTGTTTTTATTTGCGCCTGTATGACCCTCCAGTGAGTGCGTTGGCTTCGCGTACTTCTTCCTCAAACGCCTTGTCTCTTTCTGAGGCCAGACTCGAATAAATGCCAGGAACATAAAATCTTCTTTTAGTATTTAGTAAACCCTGATTATTGTCATTTGCCATCTGCACCTGTGTGGCTATCTCTTCTGTCAGTGGATCAGTGCCTGTTCCTGTAGAGTTAGTCTGCACCCCTGCATTTTCTGTTTCAGGATCTGTCTGCACCCCTGCATTTTCTGTTTCAGGATCTGTCTGCACGCCTGCATCTTCTGTTTCAGGGTCAGTCTGCATCCCTGCATCTATGCCCCCAGGGTACGACATCATAGGCTCAGCTGGCGAGCCATCAGCGCATATACAGGGCGTCTTGCGTGCTCCTCCTCCTCTGACGGGAATTCTTGACACCTTGCAGCACTGCACTGTCAGGAACTGTTTCTTAGGCTTTGTGAAGCATATGGCTCTCGGTGTTCTGGTGACAATGTGTCTTTCATCGCACTCGTCGTGATAGCCATCAGAGCCCATGCTTCCTCCTTGGCCCATACCGCCCCTAATTCTAACTACCATGGGAGATACCACAGAAGATGCCATGGGAGCATGTGCATGAATTACTCTGTTCTGCATCATTCCACTGTGCATTGCGTGGATGGCTGGTATTACTTTGCATCTGACTGCCATGTGATCTACACCGCATTCGGGTGCCAGCCGTGCCCTTCTCTTGTACATATTATCTATAGACATTTGCCTGTGCACTGCCTTGTTCATGTTGTATCCCACATCGCATCTAGCTGCTGCTTTGAGGTTTCTTTTGTAGTTTTTCTGGAGGGCTCTGAGCTCCTGCCACACCTCCCTATCTGAGGTGTCGGGCTGCGAGAAGTTGGCTGGATTCGAGTGGTAGTGCATGTTGAATGGCAGAGAGCCGGGCTCTTCGTAGGAGACGCCAAAGGGGGCGGTGAGGGAGTGCGCGCCTACTTTTACTATAGACTGTGTAATGTCATCGAAGCAGTACATTCTATCGGGTGAGCACATGGACAAGTCTATTCCCACAGAGTATGCGGAGACTGTCAGGAGACATGCAAGGAATGCAACGCTTTTCATATTTTTATCTCTGCCGGTGGGCTATATTTCCGGGAGTGTTTCAAAATGAAACCAAGCAGAAAAAAACATGAAACAGACAATCGTTGTAACATAGGCCACAGCGCAAAGTATCCAATGGCACAGCACACACTGTGCACTAAATACTGGTTCTACTGTCGGTTAGCACACGCGGTGTACTAAATAAAAACAATCATACACAAATACACACTGCAACAGCCCACTAACAACTGCCATGTTCTGCAATGCAGACATAGTGTGCATGGAGCACTAAATAATGGCTGTGTGAATATTTATATCTACTGCACACAGAGCGCTAAACTCTATCACAGACAGAATATAACGCACAGACGCCAATAAATGCTCTTAATGCCAGCGCAATGTGCTGCACGGTGCAATAAATACGGTCACTCTCTATAATATAGGGTACACAGCACACCAAGTACTGTTCCAGTTTAAATAGAATATTTTTTTTTACAGTATGAAAGAAGGAGAAGCAGAAGAGTTAATTATGGCGTACATCGACCCAAGCAAGAAGAGAACGGCTGAGGCCCTGGCGCAGAGCATAAAAGGGAACAACGAAGAAGTAAATGGCTTCCTAAAGGGCCTTTTCTCAGAGAACCCGAGAATCAAAGAAATATCTGCTCTTTTCCTCAAAAGATCTCTGGCTCTTTCGCTCACGCAGAACATGCCCAATGCCCCAGAGTATCCTGCTGTATTCCACAAGCTGTGCAGTGCGCTGTCTAATGACGCCACAAAGGCAAACAGCCTTATCTACGAAACCATTTCCACCATAAAGGACGCGCTAACTATAGATGATCTTTTCAGGGCTCTTCCTATCCCTGAAATAGACCCAAGCGCGCTCCCTGCATCTCTCCTTGATTTTAACACGGTAAAGATGCTCACTATCTTAAATAGGTACACAGAGAAGTACAAGAGTAAGGAGAAGTCAAACGAGCTGTACTCAGAGATAAACCACCTAATAGAGAGCACAGGCCCGTATATGATGCACATTGTACAGGAGATAGCAACGAGCAAAGAGACAGGACTAGCCCAGCACGCATTTATAAATATATACCAAATGGTGCTAAACATACTGGTCCATGACTTGCCAGACTACTACGAAGAAATGATAGACACGCTGACTGCCACCCTATACAGCAGTAATGTGTCCAGCAGTAGCAATACTGATCCATACAGCAGCACTGCCTTATATGGCAATGCCAGTAGGTCTATTGCCCTGCTGAGAATAAGAGTCTCTTCTGTGCTTGTCTCTAAATACTCAGATGCATACACTTCCTACACTGTGTTCATAAACAGCCTGCACTCGCTCTACGAAGAGGCAGAGACCATGGACGAAGGCGTGCAGATAGAGTTTCTGCAGTATTTAAAGACACTGCTTAGCAATACAGAGATCCTTAATGCCGTCATACCCGTATCTACTGCACAGAGCACAGTAAATGCTGTCAAAGCAAAAGCAAACATCCTAAGCAACGGGATACTGGTTATGCTGCTGAACAAGATAGAAATAGACGACTCCTTAGGAGATGCAGAGTATGTGCAGTCTCTTCTGGAAGGCGATCCTTTCTCCCTCAAAGACATATCGTCTTCCATCATAGCTGATCTGATAGCCAGGGACCCTCAGCTGGTGGCAGAGATACTTGCACAAGAACCAAATCAAAATCTTCTTTATTTATTTTTATATCTTATCAGAATAAAGTATAAGCCGCATGGAACAGCCAAATGGATAGACTTTGCAGTCAGCAATATCCTAGAAGATAGAGGCGCAGATCTAGTAAGTCTCAGCATATCCTGTACTATTCTTATAACTGCCATCAATAACCATACGATTGAGATAGAAAGCATCCTTCCCAAGCACACAGCGCTGCTTACTAAGCTCTCAAGCACCCTGCTCTCTAATGCGCCCCCTGTGGTACTTCTGTTCCTAGAGCTAATACACACTCTGTGCACACATAGTACACAGGGTGCAGAAATACCTGTCTCTCCCAACACTCTTCAGCACCTGATGAGCACTCTAGCCCATGGGAATACAAACAGCACCATAGGCCAGGGGCTGTTCCATCTGCTCAGGATGTCCAACACAGCAGACACTCAGTACTACGCAGAGACAGCCAGTGCCCTTCTTATCTCGCAGGTAGACACCGTAGGATCCACTCGGCTCGTTAAGTCTCTCTGGGACATCATCACTCTGCACGCCCTGAAGAGCACAGACAATCTAGCTATTCCCACAGAGCTGATAGTGCACTGCATAAACAACAACCTGTACGAGTACTACACATACTCTCTGCAGCTGCTCAGCATAATCAACGTAGCATACGGCATACAGTACTATACAGACATATCCTACAGCATACTCAGCAATAATAGTCTGTGGGACAATAAGCCTTTATTAGTGAGCCTCACATACCTAGCTGTATCCCTCAGCAACAGACAGCTGTACGATGTAACAACAGTGATAAAGTACATAGCAGCAGACGATGCAGCAATAGGCATCGTAGGAAGATACCTAAATACCTACAGCATACTAACTATATACAACACAGGCACTGTAATAGTGCATCTTCTCATACGCTACATAAAGGTACTAGTCACTACTGAGTATACAGAAGAGCTGGATAAGACCGTAAGAATGTTCATAGACAAACCGATGGTGCAGGAGGAAGACACAGCAGACAGCATATCCACGCTAGAAAGATATCTACTGCAGCACAAAGAGTCTGCAGATATAACCAATAGAGTAAGCATCATACTGAGCAAGCTAAAGAACAGACAGCAGAGGATAAAAGATGATCCGTGGTCTCTTTCTTTGGTCTCTAGTGTGTTCAGCAGAGTGTAGCTACTGTAGCATACTGAGCACTCCTCTATTTATATCCTCTTCTGTTATCTTTACTATCTTGTTCTGTTTAATATCTCTTATATACGTGCTAAGTATAGGATGATCTTTCAATAGGTCTAGCTCATAAAGATAATAGTCAGTAGACCTATCACTCTTATTAACACTGTGTGTAGCATAAGAATCGTTATTGCTAGTCTCATCGATAGACCCAGCGGTATCAGCATTAGCATCACCAGTATTGCTTATAGACCTATTATCACTAATAAACTCACTATTACTACTGTTACTGTTATTTTTGTTGTTATTCATTAACTGCGTGATTGACTTAATGCTGCTACTACTACTATTGGCATTGCTGCTGCTTGCTGTCTGCTTGGGCACCTTTACCATGCTGTTCTTGTGCTTGTGGGATATGACTGATATCACGTTAAGTATCTTGTATGCTGTAGTAATGTGCACTCTAATCGCAATGTAGGACAGCCTCTTAAGGAAAGACCGCACCACGTTAATAGATATGCTACTGCTGTACAGCAGATCATTAACTAGCAGCACCAGTAGATCGCTCTCTGTAGCAAATAGGTCAATAGTTAGCAGATCATACAGCAGGCTGTATATATTCGCAATGTTTACGCTGTACTCGCTGTGCAGGAGAATAAGGCCTTTGAATGCGCGCACACCCACAGAGCCGCCCAGGCACACAAGAGACAGTATCGCATCAAGAGCAACAGAAGGGCACTCTACCAGAGGAAGCGAGTGCACCAGTATGTCAAGCAGAGCAAGAGAGTACTCGTCATCGGGGGACTCTAGGACCAGCTGCAGATCGTCCATGAGCGCGTCCTCAAGGCCTTCCTCTATTTCTTCGTTCTTCAAGAGAGCATTCCAGTACATCACTCTTTCTTCTAGAGACTCTGCTGGAGAAACTGTTGAAACCATCCAAAAATAAAAAAAAACAGTATTTATACTTCTGCGATTGCCACATGCGGCAATAAATAAGGCTGCCGCTTTCCCTGCACAGAGAGAGCAAGAGTGCCACTTCCCTATCAGGAGATACCAATAAAACAAGGCTTTTCAAAAGTATATATAGCCCAAAAATAATTATTTTTATTTTTCAAATGGAAGAGCTAAAGAACCCAATTACCTTTCAGTGCATCTCCTGCAGCACGATCGTCACCGACTCTTTTTTTCTCCTGGAGAGAGTAGACAGCAGCCTCCTATTCACCGCAGCGCCTAACACCACGCTAAACAAAGAAGTAGTTAGCACGCGCAACAATGCTCCTAACGACGCAGCCAGTGCGTCCTGCTCCTATTCTGCAGTGCACTGCCTGTGCGGCGAAGAAATAGGAAGAAAGTATCTTACGGTAAACAGTCTTCTAACCAACTGCCTAAACAACTACCTTATAAATATAAAGAGCATCAGAGGGTACCAGCTAGGCATAAAGACACAGCAGACAGAGCACGCCGTGATGACCAACTCAGAAATAAACACAGAAATAACTAAACTGCAAAGGTTCTGTACTTTCCTATACAGTAAAATAAAAGAGATAAAATAAACACACACTTAGTTATTATTTTACTTACTACAGTACACAGTATATGCAGCAGCACAGACGAGGAATAGGCAGAGATAAGCTGGAAATAGATGCTAAGCAGATAGGAAACAGAGCATGAACAGGAGATAGAGTAGCATAGATAGGCCTAAGCTAGTCTAAACTATTCGCAGATAAACAACAGCCTCGCAGAAGTAATAGTTACCCTATGCATGTGGAAATAAGCCTGCAATAATGAATTAGTCAGTGTTTTATTAATGTGTGATAGCTATGATATGCACTGGTGCATCCATTTCTTTATTATTTCCACTGTGTGGCTGTCCTGCGCTATCAGCTCTTTGTTGTCTATCTTTACTACTCTATCTACTATCTTAATGTCCTTGATGTCCACCACTCTCTTCACTCTCCCTGTCTTCACTGATGTGTTCACTATTATGTTATTAACGAGCTGGTAGTAATGCACTTTCCACCTGCTGATCCACCCCTTGTACTCTACTAGATACACTCCTGCCTCTCTTTCTCTATCTAATATATCACTGATCTTCTTGATACTGTCGGTGTTGGGCATGGTGCTGCTGAGTATGAACTGCTGTATATGCTTATAGTATATGCTGTTGTTCAGCAGAGTAGATAGCACTAGCTGGATGATGCTGTACCTCTCCTGGTAGTTGTCTACGCCTATGGACCTAAAACGCTTTATGCTTAGTTTATCAAGGATGTCTGAGCTGTTCTTAATCACCACTATGAGATCAACTATCTCCTGAATGCTCTTCAGAAGCAGCCAGGAGTGCATCAGTGACCCTATTCTTATTACGTACAAAGTGCTCTCTTTGTTGTTCTCGTACAAGAACCTACTGGACACCACAGACACCTCAAAGGGAGGCTCTGTCTTAGGGCCAGGCGCGTATATATTGGTGGCAGTATCTACTTCATCGCTGCTCCAGGACTCCAGTTCTATCTTTATGTCTCTCTTGTGCCAGTATATCTGGTTCTTGTGTCTGTTCTTTATATCTGTCATAAATTTATAAGTACAAATGAATTTATAAATATTTTTATGAAACACGAGATGAAACCGGTGGTAAATATAAGAGATGTGCTATTTACAAAAGGATCAATAGGAAACAGAATAGTGCTGAGGAATATTCTGATAGAAGTAGTGAATCTAGATACGTCTATTTTCATCATGAAAGGCTCGCTAGAAAAAGAGGAGCATCTTCTGTGCGCTGAGTATATTAACAGCTCGTTCAGCAAAGAAATAGAAAATAGAGAAACAGAAAGCATAGAAACAGACAGGAACAGAATGTACATCTATGATATGAACAGAGATAGCAGTGATAGGTATGGCAGACTGTCTGATTCTTTGCGCAGCAAAATAGAGGGATATGCACACGGGCTGGTGAGTATAATACGATACATACAGCAGGAGACGATGGAAGGCAATGAAGTACAGCAGAAGATGATGGAAACTACAGAAAGCATAGAGAGTAAAGAGAACGATCTGCTGTTCTTCTGCATTATGGAGGTATTTGAAGAGTTTGTGCTGGGTCTGCACACGGTGTACAGTGTGCAGTATATAATGTACGTTCTTTCCATTTCCAACGAAATAAGAACCAGCAACTTCCTCTCTTTTCTGCTGTCTACCGTGCAGTCTAACGATCAGCGCAGAAGAATGACTGCTGTTTATTTTGCGTCCTTTGTCTCCCGGGTTAAGTGTCTCTCAGCTGACTCCATGGAGATAGTTGGCGAATATGTAGAGTACTGTAGAAATAGAATAAACACAGTGGATGACAGATACAGCAGAGTGCTGCTAGGCTGCATTAAGTACATCTCAGAGAACAGCAGAATAACGGTTGGCACAGAAGACATTCTTGCAGAAGCACAGATACTTCCTGAGGAGATGAGCAACCACCCCTTTAGAAGGACAGGAATAGAAGTGTTTGATAGATTTATTGACGAGATAGATGAGATATAAAGTGTATCTATTTGATTTATTTATCTCTTTGTTTTTTTTGTTCTCTTTTTTGGAATTGCCTTTCTTTTTGTTTTTCTTACGGTGTAGTTCTTTACTTTCTGTTTTTCCTTGTTTGTGCTGGCCTGTTCTTTCTTCTTTCTTTCTCTTTTGTCTGCCTTCGCTTTCTCTATTTTCTCTTCTTTTGTGTCTTTCTTGCGGATCTTGCTGATCATCTCTTCAGTTACAAAGCCATTGGAGTCATCGTCTGTTTCATCTCCGCTGAACGAAGAGTCATCAGCGGACAGCGACTCTTCATCATCGCTTGCATCTGCATCGAATGAGCCTTCATCGCTTGCCATTTCATAGCCGCTTTCATCGCCATCATCATCTGCCATTTCATCATTCTCTTTATCTCCAGAGCTGTTTTTCTTGCTGCTTTTGGCAATATTTTCAGCTTCTTCGTTATTCTCCTTCTCCTTCGCTTTCTCAATGTCTCTGATCATCTTCTTCAGAGCTGATGATGCAGTGACTGCCCTCTTCTTCTTCAGTCTTCTGTAGTCCATGACTTTCTTGATGCACTCAAACTGCGCAGCCTCTGGGTATCTTCTGATGATAGCTCTGAGTGAGTTTACTCCATATGCTATTATGTCGTCGTCCTTGTAGTCGCTGCAAAAGTTTTCTACTATCAGCTCGCACACAGCCTCTACCTCTCTGCTGGGCGTCTCCTGGTGGATGGCCTGTGCTATAGCAGAAAAAACACTCGGCAGTTTCTCCTGGTGCGGAAACAAGAACCTCATCATGTACCCGTGGAATCCTTTTATGTTAATGGTGTAGAAGCTGATGATACGAGAGACTATCTGCACCATCATTAGCTTGGTATCCGGAGAGTACTCTGACGCCTTTACCTTCTTGAACAGCTTAGACCCATAGTATGGCCCTTTGTCTCCCAGTCTGTTTAGTAGAGCTATTATGTTGGGCTCTTTTCTTTCTTCTTTCTCTTTTTTCTCCTCTTCCTTTTTTTTCCTTTCTTTTTCCTTTCTCTCTTTTTTCTTCTTGTCTCCTCTTGTCTCTTTTTTTATCTTTGAATCTGTTTTTTTCACAACAGGCACTTCTATCTCTTCTTCTGTTACAACTAGCTTAACTCTATCGAGGAGATACATAAAAACAAAGTTAATCACAACAGGAGGCGCCTGGAAGATCATTTCAAAGACCATCTCCGAGGACTCTTTATCCACCCACACTTCTCTGCTGACAAGGTGCATAAACAAATACACTGCTCTTTTGGAGTGCGACTCTACCCCTGAGTGTATAGTGTTTATCAGGATCTCCTGTATCAACTTTCTGTGCTCTGTGTTGTCTCTTATGATCTCTGCGATCAGGAACTGAATGAACACTGTCTTTGTTCTTTTGTCCATTTCTTCTATCAGGGGAATAGACTGTTTGTAGAATATTTCTGGCCCTATTTGTTTTGTTTTTTTAAGGGTAGTGATTCCCGTTATGACGGACTGCGATAAACTCCTTTCAAGGAGAGAGTAGTAGTCCAGGGCGTAGTTGAAGATATCTCCTGCTATGTCTTCATCGTAGTGCTTCGAAATGTGCGGTAGGAAAGTAAGCAAAGTTGAAAGCTCTGAGTTCTTGGCCTCTGGGTCTAGCTTTGATATTTTTATCATGCCTCTGAGCTTGTCGACTTCGTTTTTGTAGAGCGTTTTGTAGCTCTTTGGGTCTCTTTTTATTTGCAGCTGCAAACGTATGTCCATGGTCAGTAAAAATTTGCACTTTTTATTATTTCGAGAGGTGGCACTACAAGCTATTTATTTACTATAGATACTAGCAGAGAGTTAGCTGATCAATAGGGAAATGATAGAAAATAGATAACGAACAGTTATCTAGCTAGTTATTTAATCTGTTAATCATCCTGCTATTCACTTAATCTATTGTGCAATACCCTTTCTGCGATTTGTTGGATAATTCTGTGCTTCTATTGGATACTATGCTTCCTTTCTATTGGTTTTCTTCGCTATTTCTATTGGTTGCGTATTTTACTCAATATAATCCGAGAGCTTCTTCTACTTCCTATGGACATCTCAGGAATTACGGAAGTGCAAGATGCTTTCTACGAGAACGAGCTTATTAGTGCATTCTCTGTCTCGTCCCCTGCCACTGTCCAATGGTCTGCTGATTTTGTTCCTCCTATTACGGAAGTATCAAGGAATAGAATTGTTAAGATAGACAGCTGTCTCTCTTCCAAGGTGCTTTTTATTGACTCTAACGACACTGTGCGCCTCTTGGGAACTACTAGCCTGTTTAACTGGAACATTCGCACAGAGCAAGGACACAAGATAGGAAGCCTGTCCAGGAACCTATTGGGCACAGAGTATACTCTGAAAAACAGACAAGAGAACAAGGAGGTGTGCTTTATAAAGCACTTTGGGCTGTACTCCAACACAGGCCCGAGAGTATTCAACGTGTACACAAACTCAAAAGATACACTTTACAAACTAAACCTGTCAGAAAGAGTGAAAAAGAAGAAAAACCAGTACATCAGACTGCAGAACAAGCCCCCGTACTTTAGCTACGAGACTAACTCGTACGTGCTAAACTTCAACGGCCGAGTGACCATGCCTTCCACTCGCAATTTCCAGATCATACACCCCAAAGACACGTCATTCATTACGATGACATTCGGGAAAACCTCGCACAACGAGTACATACTAGACTATACGTATCCCTGGTCGGGCATGGAGGCATTCGGTGTTGCATTGTCATCCTTTGGAAGTATCTTGGGGATTGACTGAATTACTCTATTTGTTATGCTGCTTCTGGCAAGGAGATCAAATACTTCAATAAACGGATGCTCTTCCCTTATCTTGTCCTCGCACAGCAGGAGGGTCTTCTTAACAATTTTCATGCAGAATAAATTTACCACACACCAACTAAAATAAAACACAAGATGAAATTTATTCACTTATCAGTTAAATAGCATAAGACAAACAGCCAGTTAATCTATACTTCTATCTACTATTTAGTGCGTATTGTTAACTAACTATCTATTAAATGACTAACTCCCTGCTAATAACTGTTTATTTATAGCAAAATTGGCTATCAATTGACTATAGCCTGTACACTTTTTGTATAAGTACGCTTTTGTTCCTGTTTTACTCTGCTCCACCTGTAAGTGCACTTTATTCTTGTTTATTTCTCTACTCCTCGTTCTGTAGGTGTTCTATTAGTTTGTTTATTGTTTTTCTTCTGATGGACCTTTCGTCTTTCTCCTGCTCTGTGAGGTAGAAGAACGGCTTGTCTGCTCCCTTCGGCACCAGCAGCATATCTACACCAAACAGACCAGATGTGTTTTCCTTCGATGGCATCAAATATCCCTGTTCCTTGGTTGAGAACAAGTGGTACTTATTGTTCTTATCGATGTAGCCGTACAGACACTCGGCAGTACAGGATATCTTCCCCAATGGAGAAAGATTGCTAACTATCTCTCCTAGCTCGCCGTTTAGCAGCAGCGACTTAACGTACGGGCCAGGAAACCCGCACAGCAAGTCAATGTACAGAGAATAGTCTTCCACCACCACAGGGCCTTTGACTATTTCATATGCTGCATACACTTTGTTCTTTATTATCTCCTGAGCGCTTCCCTGGATCTCTTCCAGGTCATGGCTGATAAATTTGTATTCGACTCTGCCGTCTATGTATTTCTTGATTTCACCCTTCTTTCTTTCACTTCCGGTTATAATAGTGAGCATAGAAAATAAAAAAACAGAAGAAAGACTTATAGAGTTGAAAGAGATCAGAACATAGAGAGAAGACCAAGAGAGAACATAATCAGAGACTAATTGAAGACGTAAGAATGATTTATTAATAAGAGTACAATAAGTATCCATCCTCTTCCTTTTGTCTGGCTCCTCTTTTGTGGCATTCAAGACTCATTTATGATAATCGAGTAACAAAGTGCCAAAAGGGAATAGTATGGCCCCAGAATGCAAGCCAGCATGAAGTAATTTAAGTGAACAAACACTTCTATAAAGCTGAGCGCAAATATTGCAAATAGCGAAATAATAGCCCAGAAGTGGAAAAAAACTATCATCGTAAAATTGGAAAAAAGGAAAAAATCCACAAAGAGATTGTTGTCATTGCGCTGCTTATCATATCCCATTGCATCAACTATCGCTTTGTTGTAAATAATAGCATTAAATGAAAGAGCGATAGTAAATACCATGCAAATGGAAATAATAACAGAAATAACGAAGGCGTTCTCTTCAGAATGGCTATTTAGCAGGTATACGTACAAAATGTCAGGAAAAGAAAAGACAAAGTCAAGTATATCCATACTCTCAGCATACTTAGCAGTAATTAAAAGCTCCATAAGAAAAAACAAAAAATATTCATAAATGCAATCTAAGACAAAAAATATCAGAGTTATCTTAGAGGAAAACTAAAGAAACAAAAGACAGGATATAGTAGATAGAAAATGCAGTAAATGGATAGTAAGCAAATTTTAAACTGTAAAGTTGACTATTTATTGTTGTTACATGCAATGATTTGGCCATCTTTCTCACACTCATTCTCCAGGTCCTCTGGCATCTCTGTCCATTGTTCTAATGTCCCTACTATTCTCATAAGAACCGTGTCTAGGCTCTTGTTGTGCGTCTCTGTTAGACAATATAAACCCATTTTCTGTATAATTGTGGCCACTTTCTGAATTCTCTCTATCTATCCAAGCCTTATAATTAAAGAGTCTGTCCAGAATAAACCAGGTCACTATTCCTGATAACACAGCAAAGACAGTAAAGTCCATGTTCAATGACCAGCATATATATGAAAAAGGAAGCAGAAAAAACAATAAATACTGTTCGCATATCACCATCCACACAAAATAATAGGTCCATGGATGGCGGGGTATAATATAGTTAGACAGAAAGGCGTCCTTAGGATAAAACTTCTTATGTCCCAAATATACTGTTCCCTGAAAACACACGAGAATAAATAAAACTAAAGCTATGTATAGCATTATATAGCTGGCTCTCCCAAACATAAGAGCGTACTTTGGATTGCCTTCAAACGTGTTTTCAATAGATTTGGTAAATATTTTAAATATATCTTCAAGTGAAGTAATATTAGCAGCAAGTGCCTCGGTGTCTTTAATGCTCTCTGCCGTCATATCCAAAAATTTTCAATAATTTTTGTTTTTAGATAAGAGTCCAAATATCAAATTGCTCGCAAAACTGTGCTCAGATTATTGGGGTACAGAGCCAAAAGAAGAAAGTAGTTTAGCATTAGATAGTTTTAGCTGTTTATTGCATAACTGAGTTGTCTAGCTAGAGTAAATAGCTATTAGAGTAGCAGTGAAAGTGAGTCTCTAAGAAGCAGACATTTTAATTTAGTCCATGCAAAACAAAGTCAATTACTCTTGCCCTCATCTCTTCAGAATGGCTGTCCATCTCTGCATAGCCTATTGGTGTACTGCGGATATTTCATACATCTCCTAGTGCTATTTCTGTAATTGTAAGAAATTATCGTGGATGTAAAAATAAAAGTAAAGTGTATTAGCAGATAGAAGAAGTACACTCTGCTTTCATTTCCCTAGATTATCCTTTAGGTATATCTGATCTATCTTCTGTCTATACGATATCATATACCACTGACTATCAGTAAAATATACACGTGAGTTAGATAGCGAGAATATCCCTGTGGGGAAGGAGTTGCATTCTCCTTTGCGCCACCGGAGCAGGAGAGATGAAAAAAAAGATGATCGGATGAAAACAAGCCAATCAAACAGTGTAATAATCCCCCCTTTTGAAGGGGCATCTCTCCGCGTAAACTATATAAGAAGTGCCGAAGTGCCAAGAATATGGGTAAAACATACAGAAAATATAAATCAGCAAGCAGAAGCAATGAAAAAATAAGAGAAACAAAGAATCCTATGGCAAAGCCAATGCACATAATAAAAGTGCCATCTTCGCCATCTTCAACAAGCTTCAGCGCCCCCAGGGACAGAAGTATGTCGCACGTTCGAATGAACAGCGAGCCAGCACACGCAGAAAAAACAAGACCCATTGAAGAAATAACGCTGAACAACGTGCAATCAGACGCAGAGCTAAAGCTGGCCCTGCAGACGATAAACAGAACAGCACAGAAGATAGAACACTCAGAGCTAACCGAGAAAAAGCACCGCACATGGAAACCGTCCGATGACTACAGGCTGAAGATAGATCCAACAAAACAGAATGTTGTGATCGAAGATCTTTCCAGGGGAAATAAAGGTGGAAAAAGTCGGGAAGTCGAGGAAAGACTGCAGTCTACACATGCCAGCGACTGGGAAGACTTCCCCACTGAAGGAATGCCAGTTCTGAAAGAAGGAATCGAAAAAATGAGCATAAAAAAGAAGAATGTCTCATTTAACGAGCCAGCAGGGAAGAGAAACAAGAGCATGTATCTGAAATCAAAGGCAAAGCACCACTCTGCGCACGAGCTCCTCACCACTCCAGCCCATCTGAAGCCGCATGCACGAAAGACATCCGCACAGACAGTTGGCAGAGCACAGCCAATGAAGAAAAGTGTGGGAGAGCACGGAAGTATGCCAAGCACTTCAGGAGTAAAATCCGCAGGAAAAGTGGCACACAAAAACGAGCACAAAGTGCAGACAAAGGATAAGCCAGCATACTCAAGCGAGGGAATAGTGGGGTACAGCAAGGTAGACCCAAAGACACACTCCAGGGCTACATACTTCAGCATCCAACAGTCAGATCTGTTCACTCCCCTAAAAAACAAGGGGCCAATTAAGAAGGCAAAGGCAAAGGACCTCCCCGCCACAGGAGAAGCAGCCATAGGGCAGGCCAACAGGGAAAGAACAAGTATGCTCGCACAGACAACAAGAATAATAGAAAGTGAGAACGGAATCTGCAGGGTCCAGAGAACCCAGCACGAAGAAGTGGTTAACAAAGTGTTCAAGTCAAAGAGACAATCTACAAAAGATCCGTTCTTGAAGAGAGTCCACCACTCGGTGAACAACAGGAGGGCAATGAACGAGAGGGCAAAGGAGTCAAAGCGCCCATCAACCTACAAGCCGCAGCCAGAGGAAGAGTAATAAAAACTTCTTACTAATAATACTTTTACATTCAACATTTCTGCACAATTTGTCTTTTTTTAAGCAAGCACTTAGTACTTCTCAAGATAGGAGATATTTTAGCATCTCCTGGCCATAGATTGTTTTTATTGGCTGATTCATCTTTTGTGAGTCAGGGGGATAATCTGTTTTCCAACAGCAGAGAAATTACCAAAAAGAGGAAAATAAATAGGTAGGTATAGATAAGTTATGGATTAGGTTGGTAGGTCATGGATATGCTAAGTGTGCATTTGGTTACATCTGATTGTTTGTGCAGCTAATTTCAAGTTCTCAAAGCGTAAAATTTTCAATTTAATTTTCGTATAAAAATAAAAGAGTATGAGTATTGTTTCTACTTCCTAGACTTTTTATTTTTATTTCTTGCAGTGCTCAAAATGAAATAACTACTAGAAGGAATGTACAAGAAAGCAAAAGCAAATAGGAATAAAGTAAGCAACGAAAGATAAATGCTATAGAAGATGAGACAAGAACCATTAGTTGGGGTGTAGTATTGCTTTTATTAGACGATTTGCTCTTTAACTACTGGCTCTGCGGCATTCGATGCAATGTTGATCTCATGCAAGCTCATTTTAAGATAGATCCAAAAGACAATGTACATTGATGTAATAAATAGAGTGCTTTTCCAGAAGATGGAGAGTGAATTAAAGGGGAATAGATCGATAAATTCGCTATTTTCTGGTGCTTTTTCATCTTTTGTTGCTGTTTCTGGCTGACTTCTTTCCCTCTGGCTGTCTTTATCAACCCTAAGCTGCCTGGGTATTGAGCTGTCTCTTTCATTTTCTTCTGGTAGGAAGGGCATGCTGAATATCCACTTTTCGATCAGCTGTAGACAGCCTAGAGAGCAAATCATGCTTATAAAAACAGAAACAACCAGCATAGGAGTTACGAGAACGTGAATACTGTCTCCACACAAATAGTTTTTTAGGTAGAGCGCAGTGCAAAGGAGCCCTAGTGTATTTTTATAGAAAGTATACGATTTTATAATTACTATTTCTTTTTCTAAAGCATCTACCAGAGCATAGACATAGAATGATAGCATAGCTAAGGTAGAGAACTTCCAAAGTAGCATTGTAGAGAGCATGAGAGACATAACTAGAAGATTTTTTACTAGAAATGCATCTTTGAAGGTTCTTACATTCACGTACCGAAACATAGCAATGTAGAAAGCAGTGATAAATATGTATAAGAAAAAGTTAAGAAACACTTCAAAGACCAGCCAGGAAATAGAAAAAAATATAGAAATAAGTAATGAATTTTTAAAAGTTTCTTCTTCGTTTTCAAGGATATATCTTATAAGGGCTATGTTATCCCTTAGCGAAGTAAGGAAAAGGTTGAAGTATTTTCTCTGGCTGTTGCTTAGCTCTGGAGGGTTGTCTAGAAACTCAGAAAAGGCTGTTCTTTCCTTTGCCTCTTTCTTCTGTCCAGAGTTTGAGGTTTTTGTTGGCGCTCTTTGTTTGTCTACTTTGTCACTTTCTAATGATGGGGGGCATGGCTGTGATGAAGTATTTTCGCTGGGATGGTTTGGAATCAGAGCTGTTTTGTCTGTTCTTAAGTCTGCTGCTTGCTTCATTTGTTTTTAGATAAGAAAATTTTAATTTTTGTTTATTTAAGTATACTCAGAGATCAAACATGATCAGTCGATTATAATAGTTTCTCCTCCCTTGAAGCCATGGAAGAATGCCTGTTCATTAGCTTATTTCTTAGCTCTACATTCATAGAATAGCTTGTTACTGGCGCTGTAGTAGTGCTTATACTTATTGCCTGTAGAAGATGAAATAGTTTTCTCCTATGGCAGTATGGAGGGGCCCATGATGATCTCGCTTTCTGCCAACAGACTACCGTTCTTTATGTTCTGAATCAAGAAAAGGATATAGTCAACCAGAGGCAAATTTGATCTAATATACGAATTCACAGCCATCAAGCTCAGTACAACGATAACTGATAAAACCGCTAGAATATATGGCCAATACTTACTAAAATGATTGAGGACCTCATAGCTCATATCGAGCGGCGATACGCTGAACACCTTAACTACAGAAAGCCCGCTTTCAAAAACTGCGTTACTTATTAGTAGGCTGTTCTTTTTTTTTATAGAATTAAGACTGAATTCTAGTATATTCCTTTCTCTTATATGCTCATATGTTTTTGCTTGGTCTTTTGGCAGCTTGTCTTCTTCTTTTTTGATCTTTTTATTCACCTTATCTATTTTTTTGTTTATCTTACTGATATCTAGCCGGTTTTTGGAGACCTCATTAGCCATATCAGCTAGTTTATACCGAATAACCTTAAACTCTGTCAGCACTTTAAAGATAAATCCTATGCTGTAAAGCACAGCCATAAACACCATAAAGGGCGATATGCATATCCATAGCGTGCTAAGTCCCTCTGCATTAAACCAATATTCTTGGTTTACGCACAATAAAATAGTAGAGAAAAAGCCAAGGATACATAAGAAAAGACTTTTATAGTGCCCAGAACTCCATAAATTTTTTGCCCAGATCGCAAACAATGCTGCATATATATATAAACTAAATAAAATGGTATATGACCAAAAGACCAGCGAGAGGAAAGGAAGTAGCACCAACAGAGACAGGCCTAGAGTTTTAACCATGTTGGAATCTTCTCCCAGCATGTGCCATATTCCGATCGATACCAATTCAAAAAGATAGATCAAAGCCTTTCCGTAAAATGGCAGATACATAGCAACTATATACAGAACAATGCACACAATGGTGACAAGTGTGTCAATGGGTCCCCAGTATTTTCGAATCATGCTTCTTAAAAATTTTACAATTCTGTAGGGCTCCGATTCTTTTTTGGGCCTACTGTCATCGTCTTCTTCGTCTGAAACACTCGTTTCATTATTTCCTGGTATTATAGAAAGCTGTCCATTATTTTCTGCTGTGCTATTCTGTTCTTCGTTATTGTTCATTTTTTCATCTCCTATTTTCTCTTTATTAGGAGTGATGAAGTCGTAATGATGCGGACCAATTATATTATTAGTTGGTGCATCAACCCCTGGCTCCATTTGAGAGGATGTGGAGAAAGTGGCAGATAGTTTGTTTGTAACGGTTTTCTCTACTTCAGCCGGTCTCTTAAGTATACTTTTTGTATTTGACGGCTGAGTAGTTCTCGAGCTATTTGGATCGTTTACTATAGTAGAATTATCTGAATAGCTGTCTTCTTGCACTTTACTGTGTACTGAGAGCTCTCCATCTGGTCTATTCTTATTTGATAATTTGTAACTGTCTGATGTGGTGCTTTTATTACCCATTGGAATAAAAAAATAGCTATTTTTTTTAATTTATGTACGAAAATAGAAAATAGCTGTTAAAAAATTTGCTATCAAGTAAAAAATACTCTATAGTGAGAGAAACAGTAAATTGAAGGCTAAATATTTTATTTATAACTTGCTACTGATACAAAAAATAGTATTTATACTTACTTGTCTATGAATAAACGCTCTTACAACTAGGCAGAAGTGTTTGAAATGAATATACTCATTAGGAACAAACTGTCCTTTAATTTCTGGAAGAACAAAGGAATATATTCACTGACAGGCATCTTTGAATCGAGGTAACAGATCATGAATAAAAGTCCTGTTCCCGCAATAATTGATACAACAGGAAGAACAATGAACCAGTACTTACTGAAAGATTTTAGCACATTGCAGCTCTCAGTATATGGTGTTAGTCCATATATTTCATCTAAACTAATTGTTTCATTTTTATTATCAGTAATCTTACCTTCAACAAATTCTAGATTTTGTTCCAATTTCTCAATTTCTTTTTTTAGTTCATCTATTTTCTCTTTGTTCTGAGATGCTTCTTCATTATTCAATTTAGCTAGTTCTTGGTTTTTTATTTTTAGAACTCTATTATGCCCCTTCTTAATAAGATTATAAAACAGTCTATCAATATAATTTTTTACAAATTTAACTAATTTGTAAACAAGTCCTATATTGCAAAATATAGTAATGAAGAAAAGGAATGACACCGCAGATACATATATCATTTTGGGCTTTACTGATCGAGCCCAATCAGGAAATACGAATGACAAGATAATAAAAGCTGGTCCAAAAACAGATGTGATAAGACCCAAATAATCCTTTTTTTCGAAAGAACCTTCTGCTGAGTAAGAAGACATACAAATAAACATCAGAATACAAGCATATGCACTAATTGGCCAAGTAATCAGCGAAAAGAAAGCTACTAGTAGCCAGAAAAATAAGTAAACAGATTCACTAAGAGCATGTATGTCTCCCGCTATATAATTTACTGCTATAATTACTAACTCCAGTAGACACAGCAAGACCTTACCATAAAGTGGCATATATGTGGCAATTATAAAGAGTGTAATAGACACAGCGGCAAAAATTCTGTTAAAAGCCACCGGATGATTGCATTTTATATTTCTTAAAAATTTCACTATGGCATTGGATGGCTCTAATTCTCCATCAGATTTACTGTCCTTATTTTCTTCTTGATGATCATCAAGCTCTCCAGTACTTCCCTTTTCCGAGTTTAGTTTTTGATTATCATCCATTCCATTACCTCCTGTTTTCTCGTTATTAAAGACATTATGGAAAGTTGAGCCTGTTAACTTGCCAACTGGTGTACCAATCACTTGTCTTGTTTGAGGAGATGTGTGATCAGTGATAGATAATTCGTCCGTAACGTTTTCTTTCTCTACTTCAGCTGATCTATTCTTATTTGATAATTTGCAACTGTCTATTGTGATGTGTTTATTATCCATTGGAATAAAGAATAACTGCATTTTCAGTTTATGTATGAAAATAGAAAATAGTCATTAAAAGTTTACTGCTAAATAAGAAACACTCACATAGTGAGAGAAACAGTAAATCGAAATCTAAATGTTTTATTTATAGCTTGATACTAATGAAAGAAGTGTTCATGCGTATTCAAGAGAAACAATAATAGCTTGCTCTTATAAATAAGCTAAAAGATTAATAGCTCTTTCTCTTAGACTGTATTGCTTTTTGCAGAGTGAATGAGTGTACTCAAGTATGTGGTCAAAGTCATCTGAGAGTTGACATATGAAGCCACAAACATCGTGCCTATTCCAGCAACAACTGAAACAGCTAGGAGAATGTAGAACCAGTACTTGCTAAGCGATCTTATTACTTCGTAGCTTGAATTGGATATTTCTGCCATAGGTATATCATCTTCTTTCTCACCGAGAAAAATATAAAAAAATCCTTCAAAAAATCTATAAACTGGTTGAACAAATCTTATGTTGAAAAATATGGCCATAAAAATCATATATGGCAATCCAAGTGCAAATATCATGTTGGGCTCTACTAAATTGATCCAGTGCTTAGAAAAGCACAGTATAACGGTGAAATAGAATCCAAGAATGCTAGAAGTAGCACCCGAATAGTCCTTGCTCTTCCAAGAATTTAATATTGCTTTTAAAGACATAAATAGATATATCAGACCCAAAATAACAGAAGTAATTGGCCAAATAAGCAGTAAAACGTAGAGTAGCAAAACAAGCAGAGATAAGCCAACAGTTGTCTCCAGAGAGGGGTTTTCTGCTATCATGCGATGCAGTCCTACTAGTGATAATCCTAGCAGACATAGTGAGAGTCTACCATAAAACGACATAAAAATACCAATTACAAAGAAGATGATAGGACTGATAATGCAAAATCTTTCAATAGCCACAGAATGCTCATGGGCTTTGCTTCTTAGATACTTCTGCATGTTCGAGAATGATTTGAATGCCTCCTTGATTTTTCCGAATTCACTTTCTTCTGATTTATGGCTTTCATCTCTTCCTTCTTGATCACTATGATGATTCTCTCCAATATTTTCTATTGTGGTATGCATTTCATTACCTCCTGTTTCTCCGTTATTAAAGATACTATCAGTTGAGCCTGTTAACTCACTAACTGGTGTACCAATCATTTGTCTTGTTTGAGGCAATGAATATTCACCAGTGGGAATTACATGTGTAACAGGTTCTTCACCCCAATTTCTAGATATTCCTTCACTATTTGAATGTTTCTGCTCTTCATTACTTCCTATTACAGTATGCATTCCATTATCTCCTGTTCCCTCTTCATTAAATAAATTGTAGAAAATTGAGTCTGTTGATTTGCCAACTAGTGTATCAAACATTTCTTCTTTTGAAGGAGATGAATGTATACCAGTAGGTATTCCATCTGTAACAGGTTCTTCAGCAAATGTTCTAGCTATTCCTTCACTATTTGGATTTTCCTGCTCTTCATCACTTTCTATTATGGTATCCATTTTATTACCTCCTGTTCCCTCTTCATCAAAGAAAGTATAGGAAGTTGGGTTTGTTGATTTGCCAACTGGTGCACCAAACATGTCTTTTATTGAAGGAAATGAATTCATACCAGCGGGTTCATGTATAATAGGTTCTTCAGCAGATGTTCTAGTTATTTCTTCAATACTTGAATGTTCTGGCTTCTCAGCATCTCCTTCATAACCATTATTATGACTTTCTTCTACTCTAGATTGTTCTTGTTCATCTAATTTAGGATCTATAAATCTCTCATACTCATTGTCAACGGTTTGCACATAAATCTCTTTATTCGTTAATGCAGAATCATTTTGCTCGATCTTTTTCTCGTCCATTTTAATAAAAAATAACAAAATTTTTAATTATATACAAAAATGGAAAATAATTTACTAAAAATATTACTGGAAAATTACTAAAAATTAGCAAAATTAAAAACCACATAGTTCATTTATAGCTTAATGAGAATACAAATATTTACACACATTTTTATAATAGATATGGAATAGCCTACTCTTATTTCTACATTGGATAGTTTGTGATGATCTCTTTCTCTAAAGCTGTTTTTTTAAAAGTGCAAAAGAGTGCTTTGTAGCTCATTGCGCACAGACTCTGTAGATATTGTTGCACAGAGTTTTAGTCAACTTTTGTTTGTTCTAAAGACAGTAGAATTCAAGAGCATGGATTATGCAGAACTAAACCCAACAAATCCTATGTTAAAAAAAAAGGCCATATAGAACATAGATGGCACCATAAGCATCCATACTATGGAAGGGTCTACTATACCTACCCGGCTAAGAACGTAGAACAGGAGAGTGGCAAAAGAGCCAATGATGCATATTGAAGCATCTATATATTTCCTTTTACGGAAAGAAGATATCGCCCATCTAACAGCTACAAAAGCATAGATGATTATGCTGGGTAGCTGAGTGACCGGCCAGCAAGCCATTAGGAAGAAGACCAGCAGCACTAAGCTGGATAGAACAGCAGAGTTAACAATGGTAGCTTCATCTGCTGCCATATTGCTCGCACCAACTAGTACCAATGCTAATACACCCACCATAACTTTGTAGTAGAATTGCAGGCATAAGAAAAATATGAAGAGGGCAGATGCGGTGCTGAGCAGGGTTATTTTGAAGGCTGTTGGATGCCGATAGAATATATTTCTTAGATAATCCACCATGCTCGGGCATGACTGTAGGGCTCTTCTGAATTTGGTGAATTCACTCTCTTCTGCTCTGTCGTGCATTTCAGATTGTCTATGGCCTGCAGCACTTCTACTTCCGTTATTCTGTGCATTACTGTCAAGTTGTCCAATGCTCACTCTTTCATTATTCGGGTTTTCAATATTTTTCATTTATGGTCCCCTACTTCTTCTTTATTGGTAGACCGTAAAAATTTGATTTATCTGTTCTGGCAGCTAGTCTGCCAATCACTTGTTCTAGTTGAGAGACTATTGGAGAAATAGCAAATGGATCACAGCAGTGCAAATCAGCTCTTAATCAGATGACTCATATTTATCGATTTTGGCTTCTTTCTTGCTCAGTAGATAAAAGAGTAACTTAGTTCTATAGTTGTACAAAGAAGTTTGCATGAACTGCATTTCCTAGGATTGGATTGTTCTTTATACTCTGGATAAATAAGAGAGTATACTCACCCAGAGAAGTCTCTGATCTGAGATAGCAGACAATGAAGACAAATCCTACTCCAGCAATAATTGATGTGAGCACTAAGACATACTTTGCATGCCTGTGGATAGACTTCAACGCCCTGTAGCTTGTATCAAAGGATAAAAGATCATTCAAGCTGTTGGCAATGTAGTTATATGTGTATCTTTCCTTTATGGGCTCAAATGCTATTGCATAAGAAAAGTTAACTTCTCTTAAATAGCTCAGTTCTTCTTTGCACTTATTCAGTTTTTCATGGTTGCCCGGTGAGCTAGCTTTTATTTGTCTGATTTCTTCCTCCTTCTTAGCTATATTTTCGCTATTCAGTTTTTTGGACTGTCTAATCTCAAAATAATCATTAATGTCGTTAATAACACAGTGCATACTATCCCGGATTATATCAGACAGTTTTGGAATAAGACCAATGTTGAAGAGAAGAGCTACATAGAACATAGATGGCATTATGAACACCCACACTACAGCAGGCTCTACTAGGCTCATCCAGTGGCCCATCATGCAGAACAAAACAGTGATGAAAGAGCCGCTAATACACATCAAAATATTTGCATAATTCTTTTCATGGAAAGAGACTACCATCCAGCTAATGACGACAAAAGCATAGACAATTGCACTGAGTAGCTGCGCAGCTGGCCAATAAGACACCAGGAAGAAGACCAGCAGTACTAAACTAGATAGAGTGGCAGAATTAGTAATCGTAGATCTTTCTGATTTTATGTGACTTATTCCCACAGCTACCAGTCCTAGCACGCACATTGTAATCCTGTAGTAAAATGGTAAGTGTGAGATAAGTACAAGAAGGAGAGCTGAAATGACAAAGCCAATTATCTTGAAGGCCACTAGATGGTATGCAACCGTATTTCTTAGATAATCTGACATGTTCTGAAGTGGCTTGAATGCTCTTCTGGGTTTAGTGGATTTATTTCGTTGCGGTCCATTGCGTCTTCTAGATTCTGCATCACTTCTACCTCCGTTATTTCTCGGAGTATCTCTATGGTTTGCACTATGCTCTTCTCCACCATTTAATGCAGAAGAATTATGAATCCCATCGCTTCCTGTTTGGTTATTAAGCTCAATAGCATCAAACTGCCCAATACTTTCTTCTCCGCCATTCAATGCAAAAAGATGATGAATTCCATCATTTCCCGCTCCTTCATTAGTTGTATTTCCAGCATCTTCTGTATCTTCATTTATAGAATCCTCCAATATCCTAAGTAACTCTTCCTCTTCAAGCCGTATTCTTTGTCTACGTAATTTTTCTTCTTCGTACCATCTTTCTTCTTCAGCTTGTTTTTCTTCTTGAGTTAGGACATGATTATTGTGCCCATTAGAAGATGAACCAACTGTCTGGAAACTTGAATGGACTATAGCTACTGGTTTTGTCTGAGAAGATACAGAAGATGCATTGGACCCTCTTTCTGTAGCTTCACTTGAAGTTCTGCTAGTTGGTGGCTGAGCATGCTGTGATAATAGCTCCTTCACTGCACTATTATTGTCTAAATTGAATGATAAATGTGAGTTATAAGCTGGTTGAGTTGATTCATCCTCTATAAATGTGGTGGGGCTATTATCAGTGCTGTTTCTATGGGTGTTTTCCTCACCTTTAGTCTGTGCAGCACCAGAATGTTCTTCATCTGACGAATTATCACTGTTTGTTCTTCTGATCTCTTCCCTGTTCATTGTGTGAAAGTAGAATAAAATGGAGAAACAATCTGCTAAAATTTTATTAAGGGGCAGACAACTCCTACCACACTCCTATGTGGCAAAATATTTCTGCTAAAGGAGTTAATAAAAAATAAAAGTTAAACAGCTGCTCTCAGCCTACACTAATAAAACCTTCTCTCACTTAAATACGATTTTTATTCTATTCATGTATCTTGCCAAACAGACTCTTTGTCCGCTGGACGAGTGTCAGAATGTAGTCCAGCATGTGCAGCCGTGACTTCAGATAGCAGATCATAAAAAGCATGATAAGTCCAGCGATGATCGACGTGAACAGAAGCATAAGTATCCATAGAGGATGCAGAGACACGAGTATGTCATGCGTCTTTTTGAATGACATCAACCCGTCTGGGGCAGACCCAAAGCTCCTGTAGAAATTGTCGTATATTCTCTCGTTCTTTTTCTTTGCAAAAGATATGCACTTCTCTATCTCTTCCTTCTCCGACTCAATGATCTGTTTCAAGAGAGTATGGTCTCTACCTGACTTATCTCTTGTTAGGGTGTTGTACTCATTGTTTCTGTCAGTGCGCATGGTCTTCAGTACCTCCAGCTTTTCTTTGTACTCGTTCATTTTATTGTTCCCGTAGAATATGTTTGAAATTGGGTCATGGAGAGAGACAAAAAGCGATGTAGCAACGGCAGAGTTGAATGTCAGAGATGCAAAAATAGTAGACTGAAGGAGTATCACCCAGAGCACGTTATTGTACACTCTCTCCAGCCAGTAGTGAGATAGGTACAGAGCAATGGTCGAAGTTAGCCCGATCAGACAAGAAAGCGTGTCAAAAATCTTTCCCCCCAGCAAAGAGCGCACAAACCAGTTGATAACTATGCAGGAGTATGCAACTGCGCCAAAGAACAGAAGACTTGGGAAACAGGACACAAGGATAAACAGCGCTAGCACTTTGAAAATAAGCCCAAGGGTTAGAGAGTTGCTAGGAGAAGACGACAAAAAGTGGTTAATTCCTATAAACACGAGGATAACGAGTAGAGAGATAGAAGTAAACCTAGAGGCAGTGTAAAGAACTACTCCAAGGATTACGATGTTCATAAGACCCCTGGCTATGTTTCTTATCGTTGGCTTGCCAAACATCAAAGAGTTGGCGTGCATGAAAAGGTCTAGAGGCGTCTTTATGCGATCTGCTATGCTGTCATCATCTGCCATGTATTTATCATTGCTATTTTCAAGTATTTCCTCGTATATTTCATCGTAATTATCATCGTATGTTTCATCGTATGCTACTTCGTTTGGCAGTGTGGGGTATACCGGGCGTTCTGGGCTGTCGTGTCCAGTCATGTTGGGCTTATTCGTGAGGGGTACATCTTCCACCACACAGTTTGTACTGAATGTGTAATAAATTGTGCCATCTGGCCCCACAGTCTTTTGCAGCACTGACTCTTCCTCTTCTATTTCGCTGGTTGGATCTCTGGGATCGAATGTGTAGTAGGCTACACCGTTTGAGTCTACTGTTCTCTGCAGCACCGGCTCAACAGAGTCTTCTTCAATTGCTGAGAATGATGAGCTTCTGGTGGCAGCTACTTTGCCTGGATTGGAGATAGGTGCATTGACAAATCTTGTCTTCATCTGTTCTCTCAGGAGATCTGTTTTGCTCAGATACTTAGAGCGAGTTTGCAGATTTCTGCTGCTTCTGCCGCTGAAGCTCGAGTGTTCTGTGCTTGTTCTGGCATTGCGCAGTAGTGGCTGTGTATCTTCTGTTTTTGTGCGGTCACTTGAGCCGATGCGCTCTCTACGGGCTCCTTGGGACTCTTCTTCGTCTGTGCTGTGGCAGCTGTTGTAAGAGGTGTAGCTGTTATTTTCGTAACTATTCTCCACTGTGTGATAATTGTTGTCCACTGTATCGTACTCAGGGTCGCTTAAGCTTAAAGATGTAAGTGATAGAGTGCGGGTGGCTGCTGCTGTGTCCGTTTCGCTGGCACCAATGCTAGTGGAGTGTTTCACTGTGGCAGGACCTAGTGTTGGGTGGTCTTCCTGTGTTTTTGCATTTAGTGAATTAGGGAGTATTTTCCTGTTCATCTTTTCTTCCATTTTAATGAAATAAAATTTTTAACTTATAAGACCCTAAAAGGATAAATAGAAAAAAGTTTATTTATACGCAAAATTAGCTCACTGCAGGGCGTCAAATAGTATACCTCTATTATGCAGGGTAATTGTCTATAACCCGCAGATTATCACAGAATGGAGTGCACTTTTATCGGCAGCTCATTGGATCTATCTTATACTGTCAGTGAATAACTGTGCTAATTTTAGTATAGCACTAGAATTGTACTTGCTTAAAGTAAATGTTTTTATTATCCAGTCTGTTGATGCTGGCTGATTATATGCTACTGCTCTGCTGTTCTTTTGTGTTGTAACGATATCACACAATCAAAATCATCTTGGCCAAGTTTTAGAGCTCTCATAAAACAGCACATTCGTATCTTCTGGATATTCCTAAAATAGAAGTGTTGCTGGCTTATCTACTGTCCTCTTTATTCTAGATCTATTTATGTTTATTTATTCCTTCTGTGCGCTGGCTTTATTTTGAGTATTTAGTATTATTTTTCTGCTTTGCAGAGCAATGCGCATTAAAATAAAAACATTGGAGGGAGCTGAGGTGCAGCTGGAGGTAGACCAGAAAATGAAGGTCAAAAAGGTAAAGGAGCTCCTGCAGGACAAAGAGGCCATTTCAATAGAGCAGCAGAGGCTAATTTATGCAGGAAAGCAGCTGATAGATGCAAATGAGCTGGAAACATACGGCATAAAAAACGACGACATACTGCACTTAGTCCTGGCTCTGAGAGGAGGAAAAGAGTGATGGCGTTGCTATCTTCTGTTTTTCCACTGTAGATACTGCTGCGATGCCAGGAACTCAACTATTTGCTTGTATTTCAGCGACTCTACAAACTCCTCGGAGTTGATTAGAAGATCGAGGATGTTCAAGGCCTGTGGGAAAGTGAGACACTTTGCGTATTCTGGCCTCTTCCAGTACTGCAGGTACTTGAGGAACTCTTTAAAGTCCTCTCTGCCAAAGAACCCTCTTTGGTACAGATGCTGCAGATACTGAGGATTGCACAAGCACTGCACAAACTCCAGTTCTTCTTCAAAGCGAGACATGAGAAGAGCAAATAGTGAAAATATTTACAGCAAATAAAAAGTAGAAAATAGGAGAATGAGTGAAAATACCACTGCTTTTAATCTTCTACACTCACTGGATACAGCGATAATTTACGCCACCATCCATCTGCTACAAATAAAAGGCGTACACTTCTGGAGTATTTACAGTTTACATTTGCACTGAACATTCATTAACTGAGAATAATTGTAAATTACTGAGCATATAAGTGTACACTCAGTCAATAAACAAACCTACTATTTTCTTACTTTTTCTTTCTTCATCTTCTGGTTTTCTTTATGTGCTGTTTCTCTTTTATCCTGGCTGTCTTTATTGATTCACTGAGTTGGAAATGTAGAAGAATGGTAAAAGATTATCAATTTTTTATAGTTGGCTATTAGATGGTAATTTATTAGTGCTACTGTATCTGTCTTTTCTTTTTCTATCTTCTTGGCTTTGACTTCTTCCTTTCTTCTGCTCTTCTCAGGCCTGCCTTGTCTTTTTTCATTCTTCTGTCCGTCATTTTGAACTTTCCTTTTATCTTTCTTGGGACTTTCTTTGATGGCCCTGCGAATATCATTTTGGGTCTTTCTCTTACCTCCTTCTTCATGGCTCCTTTTCTTATCGCTCTCAGGTCTATGTCCTGCTCTCCTTGCTCGAGTCTCTCTTTTATCTTCTTCAGCTTTCTCTCAACTCTCTTCATTCTTCTGGCCTTCAGCTCTTCTGCCTTCTTTCCTATTGTCACCTTCTTTTCCAGGTGCTCTCTGTCATCGTTGAAGACGTATCTTCTGTTGTACTTTTCTTCGTCATTTCTGAAAAAGTGCGGGAGATCCTCGTCGTCATCGTACACATACCTGTCAATTCCATCGTTATCAAACTCTTCTTCGTCTTCTTTCAGTCTGTATCCAACCACCTTGTCCTCAATGTCCAGGGACGAGGAGCACGAGTCTGCGTCGCTGTCTCCAATCTCCTCTTCGTCTCCGTCTTCTACGGCATTGTCATCGCTTTCAACGCTCTCCACCTCGCTGCTGTCGAGCTCGTCTTCGTCTCTGTCAAAAATGTTGTCTTCAAAAAAGTCTCCGTGCACTTTCTCTATCTCCTGCACGTCTTCCTCTGTCAGCCCAAGCCTCTTTGTTCTTTTTGCAAGGATTCTTCTCTGCGTGATCTTTTCTCTTCTCTCCATCACCCGCTGTACCTCTCTCATCTCATCCTGCTGTTTCTCAATGGCTGTTCTTGTGTCCATTATTTCTTCTGGGCTGTTTCCTCCGATGTGTCCAATGTATGCGCGCTGGACCTTCTTCAGTGTTCTAATGAGCCTCTTCATGTCTGACTCGCCAACCACCAAAAGATCGCCCAATAGAGCTCTTGTTTCATCGTCTATCATGTCTTCCATGCAGTCTATTATTACCTTGGGGCACGTTGATAGATCTATCCTCTCCTTCAGCACATTTGAAAGGGTTTTTTCTTTTATCTCTTCTTCGTCTTTCTCTGCGAACAGGAAAAGAGGATCAAAGAATTTCTCGTCAAGTACTTCTGGCTTCTTGTACCCTCGGCAGACAAGGAAGGCTTCAGCGCTTTCTGCTCTACTGCTTCTGGGCTTTGTGGTAAGACACTCGGTGAAGAGCTGGCTGCACATCCACACAAGGGAGTTGAAGTCTTTCGATCTGAAAACTTTTGTCACAAATGTCCCGTTCTTTCGGAGTATCTTGCAGGCCAATTTGGCTGCATGGCAGACCAGCTCGTTCTGCACAAACGAGTCTTTCTCCCAGGATGCTCCTACATTCGGCGCGCCATCGTGCAGCACCAGATCTACCTCTGTATCTCCCACTGCGGAGAGGATCTCAGAAGTGCACATTTTATCGGTGATATCTCCAACGATTGTGTGCACGCCGTGGATGGGCTTGATGGGGTCTAGGTCTACGCCAACAACCTTGCTTGGAGGCAGAACTGTTTTGGAGACGACTTGCAGCCATCCCCCCGGGGCAGCACACAGATCAACAACTGAGTGCACGTTGGAGAGCAGATTAAAAGACTGGTTCATTTGAATCAGCTTGAAGGCAGATCTTGCCCTGTACCCGTGCTCCTTGGCGAGGAAGTAGTACTTGTCTAAACGGCCTTTCCCTACTTTTTTCTTTCTTTGTGGACCAGCTTTGGACATATTTTGCAACGAGTAAATTTTTTAATTAAATATTTACGGCACTGGTAGATTTTACTTCACTTTTATTTTTGCTTCTATACAGCTGAAGTAAAAAGTTAGCTCTGTAGCAGAGGAATGGAATGTAGATTAGAATGGAAATAGTAAAGGGTGTTGGCACACCAACATGCAAAACAGTAGACACAGTTTTATTCTTAGACAACCTTCATACTATAAGGTTATTGCTATTATCTTAATACCTGTGCGATAAGATAGCAGTCTCTAGTTAGATCATAATATCTGTTTTTACTGGTATAGGTGGATGTAAGAGTGTTTTAGTGTGTATTTCATGCTGTCTCTTTCTACGGTTTCATAAATTCATTGGAGACAGTGCAGAGTGCTCTGCAGAGAGCGTTCATGCGGTAGTAGATGATGTATTTGCAGTAGGGTGGTACTGAGGGTCTTTCAGGCAGCTAGAAGGGAAATGGAAGAGTGTCATGGTTTTCTTTTTCATTAGTAAATTTTTTAGTGTTCGGGTATGGGAGGATTTGTCGTAACGTGCGTGGATGGTGGATACCAAAAAGGCCTCAAGGAGGCGCTCCTTATGCTGAGGATGGCAGTGTTCCACATTCGCAGTAAAAATATGCCAGAAACAAACGGCACAGAAAGCGAAGATGCAAAAGATATACACGCCCAACTGAAAAAGGAAAGAGAAGAAATGAAAAAAACAGAACTTGTACTCCTTGGGGGAAAAAGAGACTCTGAAATACTTTTCATACGGAATGACACCGAGCTCACAGAAATAGAAATATACAACATGCTGATTGAGCACACGGAGCGGGCAGAGTACATACGGAGAGTGATCCCAGTAAAATCGATATTCACTTTATCCGCTGATAACTTGGTAAAAGAGACAAAAAAGGTCTGCGAAGACATAGGAGCGCAGGAGTCGTTCAGGATCAGCCTGTCTAAGAGGCTCTGTGTGCACATAAGCAGCGAGTTCATTATCACAAAAGTGGCAGAGCAGATACCAAGAAAAGTAGACTTGAAGAACCCAGACAAGGTGGTTATGGTGGAAATAGTCAAAGACCTGTGTGCAATAGGCGCACTGAAGCCGTGTCCGGGCAATTTCAACATAACGCGCAGCCCAAGGATGCAATAGATGTGTGCTCTGTGTTTTCATGATATTGTATAGTGGCGCACGCAGTGCTTATTTACACCTTGCAGAGCAGAAAAGCAGAGTGGGCATTCTTTATAGAGAAATATTTTTGTGGAGTATATTGCCAGCGATAAAGTATCAAAAGAAGATGAAAGATGGCAGCTGTATGCATAGAATGTTCTATCTCATTCGCCGTTATTCTGAATATCAGAACAGAACCGTAGAGAGCATCAAATAAATTATTATTAGAACATAGATAGTCTGCACTATTATCATCAGGTAGGTATTTTATATTGCTAAATGAATCACTTCTCCTCTTTTATTTTTCCTCTTCTTTATTCTCTTTCTTTTCCACTGCTTTGATTCTAGTAATTCTCACACGTTCATATTCGGTCATACGAGACAGGACGAGTTCTGTTGTTGAAGATAAGAGAAGAGCATACACATGACATAATTCATATGTGCTATGCTTTAATATGCTTTATCCTGTGGACAGATAAAGAGATGCTTCATTTTTATTTATCCCTGGGTTTACCGCTAATTAAAAGCAATTAATATAAACAGAAGAGAGACCGGGATCTATGTGCAATGGAACAGAAAGCGTAGATAAAAACAATATGGACGCTTTCAGGATAATTGTTCATTCATGCAGTGCTCTGTGCTATAAATGCCAGAGAACACTGTGTACTTCAATTTCAAAGAATAAACGGTACTTCTTTTTATGGATCATGCGCATGGCAGTAGAGCAATATCAGCTGAGTATAGAAGTGCCTCTCTTTCTTGTTTCTTTTTGTGGGGCAGGAGTGCACAGTTAGTGATGATTTGATGCAGTGCTGTGGCATTGTGTGTACTTATACTTTTTATGCACTCTCTAACCAACTCTACTCGTTTTGTGCTGTATCGTGTATTTATTTTACTTTTTATGGCGCTTCGTGCATTCTCGCGAAAACACACTTCTTGTGAGTTTTTAATATGCCCCGTTTGATACCGCCATTAAAAACCCAATCCAGACCGTGAAAGTCGGCGCGCATATCCTCGAGTAAAAATATAAATAGAGGCCCGCAGAAAGACTCCATGAGTTTGAACAAGAATCTTCCAAAAATAAAACTGCCAATTGAAGCAGCTGCAGAAGTGTTCAAGAATCTGTCTAGAGTATTCCCGTGCTTTAGCCTGGGCACCAAATACCTGCAGACGAAGTGCAAGCCAGCAGCATCCTTCCCTGAGAAAATAGAAGTAGCGGTGTCGTTCAGTCTGAAGGGCTGCCACAAGCACCCGCGGACACAGACATACGCTCTTGCCTTTTTGGTTCGGGAATTAATGATATATTTTACTCTTCTTCCGCAGGAGCAGCAAAACCTCTTCAGAAAAGACCTGCAGAGCGTATACGATGCCGCTCGCACTAGGTCAATGTTTTTACTGGGTGATTTTAATGGAGATTTTTTCGAAAATCTTATGAAGAATGTTTTCGGAATGAGCAAAGAAATAATTGAAGACCCTGCTGAAAAAGGATTTGTAAAACAGGCAGCAGAGATGGTTATGCACTGGCCCATGCGGCTGTTCACTAAAAACAACTACAAAACATGCCCTGTCCATCAAATGGCGTACTCCGAGCTTTTGAAGGAGTTTGAGTGCGCCATAAGCAGAGATAAGGACAGAGTGCTAAACGGCCAAAATAGCGGAGAATGGTCAGTGATTAGGGAGCTGTACATACGAACCATGGAAAGAGTCGGGACCACGCCTTCCTCCATGAAAGAGATACTTTTTATTCTTAAGATAGACAAAGCGTGCAGAGACTACTCTCCCTCTCTGCTCATTCGCGGGGGCATAGTGGGCAGCCTAAGGATAAACAGAAAAAAGTACCTGGACAACACGATTGCAGCGCTAATCAGTAAGCCCGAGGAGTACTCAGTGGGCGAGCTGCTGAGAGTGTCGAAAGAGTGCGAATATTTTGGGATAATCGAAAACATTCTGAAAAAGCTGGTGGAAGAAGGCGCAGAAAAGAGCGATCTGCAGCCATTCAACAGCCTCATGGAGATTGAAGTAGCAGAGGCCCTGGAAGCACCGCAGGAGGCCAGGAAAGAGAGAAGTGAGCTGCTGGCAGCTGAGTCGCATCGGATGTGCGAGGAAGTCCTTGAGGAGATGGCAAAGAGCCCCAGCAAAAAGAGAGACATCTCGATACTGCGCAAAGAAATTACAATGGTAAACAGAATCCTTCTAAATCAAAAGGTAGACTCGATTATGAAGAGAAACTCGTCATCTCAGGAAGACAAGATCGATTTGATCGTAAGGGAGTGCGAGGAAGTTTGGAACAAGTTCATTAGAAAAATTAGCGCGTGCAAAAAAACAGAACAGAATTTGGACGCATCCAATTTGAGAAGTGAGACAAGAGAAGAATTAAAAAAAGAGGAAGAAATTGAGTTTTCGTATTTTTCAATACTGTGCAGTGAGAAAATGAACAAAACAGAAGACACAGCGAACACAGAAGAAGAGCCAAAGACAGAAGACCCAACTGTCATTCGATCAGAAAAAAAAGAGAAAGCGTCCACACAGACAGAAGAAAAAGAAGAACTAGCGAAGATTGACCCATCTAAAAGCATATCTGTAGGAGAAGGGAGAGCAGACCCAGCACTCATCCGCAGTGCTACCTCTCCTTCGCTGATCTCAGCCACTGCTCCTTCGCTGCCTTCAAAGGCTGTTGCACCTCCTGCTGTTTCTACACCCATTTCTGTGATGAGCATAGGGCAGTCTCCTAAGGAGCCAGTGTGCTCTGATGTTCGGTGCAGAGAGCACAAAATAAAAGAAGAGGATGTGCATCTGCTGGAAACCTCAGCAGAAGTTGATGAAGCAGAAGAGAAGAAGAAAAAGCCGCAGAGATTGGATGAAATACGAGAATATTTTGGCGGGCTGAGGTATGCGTGCTTCTATTCGAAGAACTTCCCGGATCCGCTGAGGCATGTCCTCAAAACTACGCCCTGGGTGTACCAGAGGATAAAGACGCTTTACGACAGAGGATTTACACAGAAACTCGAGCAGGGACACGTTAGTGTGTGCAGAAGAAGCCTTTTCAGAGATGCGTACATTGAGCTGGTGAATGCCCGCGAGACCAGCGAGATAGTAAACCAGCTGAGAGACGAGGTGATTGTGAATAAGTACATGGAAACCCTGAAGAAGCAGACAATTGAAAAGATGATTGTCATGGAAAAGGCCGAGAAGATGAAAAAAATAGAAGAAGAGTCGCAGAAAAAACAAAAACAAAAATTTTCTACAAAAATAATTGATAGGATAGCCTCGTTCTTCGACTTGTGTTTCACAAAGAAAGTGCCTGTACCCACTGCAGAAGAAGAAATAGACACATGGGAGTTTGAAAGAAGAAAACAGATGCAAAGTGAAGTGGTGTTCACCAAGAATGTGTCCGATAAAGTGTCGCTTGGGTTCTTGAATGTCTCCAGGGCTCTAGTTGATCTGATTGGGCATACGCCTGGATACGTATATAGAAAACAGCCAGATGCAGTAAGCCCAGAAGAAAGATACAGAGAGTGGATCATCCAGGAAATACCCGTAGACTACAACCAAGTGAGAAACAACCCAGATGAACTGAGGGCTCTGTCAATGGTCTTCAACAAATACATCAGAAGCTTTAACGGTGGAATTATATCAAAGTATCTGTACATAGCAGTGGCTGAAAGAGCAAAGAAAGTGCCCGTGGACAAAGTGGACTACGGCCTGGGCCTTCTCATGCTGGCCACAATGGGCGCAAATGCCCTTTGGCTGCTGAAGCACGTCGTATACACAATAGAAAAAGTGGCAGAGCATGAAGAAGCAAACTTTGTATCTTATCAAAACATAGTAAATATCGTAGCACAGAATCTCTTGGCAGATGATGTCCCCTACACAATGGATACGTTTGCTGTTACGCTGGAGCTGGCCCATTCTCTTTTTGCGGTCACGAGAAACATCTCCTTCATCGAAGAAATAGGAGAGTGATCATTCAATGGCTGGCTCGAAATGTTCTCTCCTAACGTTCTCCGTTCTTTACAATAAAGAGTAGCAGATGCCTTGATTTTCTTCCTTTGTTTTCACTTACCCTTCCTCGTCTAGCAGTAGTATAGCAGATGGTAGCACTATAACATTCTATGATTCGTAGTGTTTATGATTGATGTGCTGATTAAATCTCTTATGCCACAGATCCATTCTATCTTTTAATCTTCATTCTGTTCTCCAAGCTATCCAAGCTTCTGGCGGTGTCTCTCTGTGTTCTAATATTTGTACGGTGGCTTTCTCCTGTTTTTATTATTTTTTCAAACTCGCATTTACAATAAATAAATTGCTTATTATTTTATTTGGTATGGAAGAAGGAATTGCTGGAAGATTTGAAAAGGCAAGAGTCAAACACGTAGTTGTGCACAAGAAAGAGCCGATTGCTCTGGTTGTGCTGTACAGCGGAGAGTTTGAAATGTGGAACACAATAGGAATGTCTCTAATCAAAACAGGAAGCATTGGAGAGATTCCCATAAGGGCAGCTGCCTTCATCGAAGACAGGGAGTCATTTGCCATAGGAGGAGACGACGGAATACTGCGCATATACTGCATAGACACCTTCAAGCTCAAGCACAAAGTGCAGGCACACACGGACTTCATTAGAAATATTTCTGTCCATCCAATACTTCCGTATATGGCAACGTGTTCAGACGACATGCAGATAAAGATATGGGACTATTCGAAGGAGATATCTCTGATCAAGACCCTGTCAGGGCACACACACTTTGTGATGGCAATGGACTTCTCAACAAAAGATAGCAAGCTTCTGCTCTCCTGCTCGCTGGACCACAATATTATCGTGTGGAACATTGAAACAGGAGCAGCAGTTAGAACACTCAAAGGCACGCAGACAGCACTGAACACAATAAAGTACATCGGAGACAAGTTCATTATCAGCGGGGGAGATGACGGGAAAATAAACGTGTGGGATGCATCTACGTACGCTCTGATAACGAGCGTATTAGGGCACATGGGGCCCGTTACTTCCATCTACTGCACGGGAAGAGGCTTCATCAGCGCAGGAGAAGACGGATTGGTGAGAGAGTGGGACAAAAAGAGGTTCAGGCCAGAGACATCCACGTCTGCGAGAGTGCAGAGGATATGGAGTGTGTGCTGCGTGCAGTCGGGCGACATACTGGCAGGAGGAGACGAGGGAATTTCATTCATCAAACAGATGAAAAGCCCAGTGATGCACAACTTTATACCAATGGAGAAGGAAGGAAGAATTGTCATTTCTGAAAATACAAACTTGGTGCAGATTAAAACGAGCAATCCGTCAGCTGCAAAAAAAATAACGACTTTATCGTACGTGCCAGACCGCGTGGGACTGTCTGGGAATGGAAGGTACCTTGCAGTTGAGTCAGACGGGATGGTGTATGTGTACACGGTTCTTGGCTTTTTGCTGCAGGTCTCCGTCCCTGGGAGCTCTCTCGTGTGGACAGGGCCTGAAGAGTTTCTTATTCTGTACTCTGGGGGAATAGTGAAGTACGCTGACTTTGAGGTGGATGGAAAAGTGCAGATAAACCCGCCGATGGAAGAGAGCGAAGAGATGAAGACAATGAAGAAGGTGGATGATGACCACATTTTTGTACGGACAGAAACAGCTGGATACCTTATCAGCCATTTAGGGAAAGTTGTTCTGAAAAAAGCAGATGTGGAGAGTATATACAAATACGGGTCAAAGTATGTGCTGATCTACAGGAACAAGATAGAGGTGATGGTGGGAGAGACCGACGAGTCGCCTGTCTCGTACTCCTGCAGGGTAAACAGCTGGTGCGCTAAAAAGAATGTTGTGTTCATCCACACGGGAAGTAAGGTAATTTATTTTGTGATGTCTAATGACGGAAAAAAGCACGAGCTGTATCCCGTGACAATTGACTCGCTTGGAGGGAATGGCGTGCTGCTGGGCGTAACAGAGAGCCTATGGGCTCTTGATGGAGGGAAAGTGTTTGACTTTAAGATAGAGTGGGAGCTAGTGGAGTACCAAAGCAAGATTATCTCTGGAGAAGTGCCGCAGACAATACCAAAGAAGTATGCGAAGGAGTGCATACACTTCCTGATGGGAATGAACATGCTGGAAGATGCGTACAAGCTAGCAGATGATCCAGACGAGAAGTTTGAGCTGCTGATTAAGCTGGGAAAACTCAAAGAAGCCGTTGAAATATCAGACACTGAGGCAAAGTACTCGAGGCTGTGCAGTCTATTCGTGAAGAGTGGAAAGATATTGGATGCGCTAGAGTGTGCGAAGAAAGGCGTATCGGTTGAAAATGAGATACTTTTGGCGTCGCTATGCGATAGAATGGACGATCTGAAGAACGCAGCAGTGAAGGCATACGACCAGGGAAAGACTCTTGTGGCTCTGGCAGCTGGGTACAGATCGGAGAACATTGAAATGTGCAGGAAAATATTCCAAGACACCGAGTTTGAGAAGCTCTTTAACAGAACACACGGCCCAAAAGAGACAAAATGAGCAAAGATCGCTGAAATAATAAACTAGTTCATTTCTGTACACATATTTATTTTTTGTTTAGAAAAGAGAAAATGTACACATAAATTTTTTATATGAAATACCAGCCAATAGGAGAGAAGTGTACATTATTATTTCAATTTTAAGTCAAATTAGCACTAGGACCATGAAGTTTTATGATAAGAACATTGACAGAGATAAGAATGACACAACAGATGAAAAAACAGATAAATGAGATTTTAGACAGAAACAAACAAACAAAAGAGCTATAAAGCTAAATGAAAACAGAAAGACAGAATGAGAATAATACAGCTAGCCGTAGTAGTGTGTGGATGCATAGGAGCTTGTTTCAGCAGGTTTGCAGTCGGAGACAAATACACTTTATCCTCTTCTAAGCTGCACTATAATCTAAGCAAGATGAACGAGCTTCATGACAAGCACAGAGATGATATGCTGGATAACAATGTGCATGGCATGCTAGCAGAAGCCAAAGATGAATACGAAAATATAATGAAGCTAATAGAAGAGCACAGCATTTGCGAGGACAATGAGGATCTGTATGATTACAAAAGAGGCCTGTAGGCTCATTTACTTTCTCTCAATGTCTGTCTGGTTTATTTTTCATTTCATTCGTCTGTAGGGCAAAGAAAGCCCAAGAATGAGAATCTAATGAAAATATAAAAACAAAAGGGACTGCTAATTAGACAGAGAACATGTCAATAAATGGATAGTTTTGAAAAACTCTTATCTTTGTCAGCTACTACACACTACTTCTAAAGTCTTCTCCCGGGCACTGCGAATATTTAAAAGAATCTGCGTATTTTTTCTGCAATGAAGACAAGATGCACGGTGATAAAGCTGAATCTGCAGTTCCACGAAGAGTCTGCCATCTTCTCAGTGGACACAATGGAGAAAGATGGAAAAACAATCATTGCAACAGCAGGCGGCGATAAGGCAGTGCGTCTGTGGGAGTACGAGTACACGGGAGAAGAGCCTAAGGAAGAGTTTGAGTATAAAACAGCACTTTCAGAGGGGTGCAAAATAAACCACATATTCACGCTGGTAAAGCACAAGGGGAGCGTAAACACTCTGCAGTTCAGCAGAGATGGCAGGTATTTGATCACAGGCGGAGACACAGGCACAGTTTTTCTGTGGGATATGGAGAAGATTCTTCAGAGCACATCGATGGAAGAGGACAAAAAGTACGAAGGACAGCCTGTTCTAGTAAGAGAAGCGGACAATTCTGACATCTACGAGGTAAAATGGTTCAACGACAGGATTATAGTGGGAACATCAACAGGAAGAGTGGAACAGTACACAATAACACATCCCAGCACAGGAGAAAACGAAAAGACAAGCGAAAAAGAAAGTGGAGACAAAGAAAATAGTGCAAGCAAAGAGAAAAAAGCAAATGCATCATCTGTGAAGATTCGGGTGATAGAAGAGTACGCGCCCACCGTTATTGCCAAGTGCATATCATCGAAACAGTCGCACAAAGACGTGGTGCAGGGAATAGCATGCACAGATAAAATATTCGCTACCTTTGGGAACGACCGAGTTGTAAAAATATTCTCAGAAAGTGGAAAAATAATTCAGAAGCTCTCCAAGAGATCGCTAATAACCGACAAACACACGCTTTTCTTCAGAAGACTCTCTTTTACAGAAGACGGGTCTCTCTACTTGCCCTCAGGAGCGTACGAGGGAAAGCACACAGTTCATCTTCTATCTCCCCCAGGGTACACAGTAACACAGACGATACAGGCGTTTCCATCCTCCACTGTATGCACACACTCTACAACCGATTTTTTGGTTGTTTCAGAGGGCAGGAATGTGTATCTCTTTTCAAAGCCAGCACACACTCTTTTGTTTAGAATCCTGGACTGCGCATTCCTTCCCATAACAGACATAAAAACGATTAGAGAAACGAGGGACTCTCTTTCGCTCATTATCTCGTCAAGCGACGGGTTTTTAACGAACATTATTATTTTCTGCGGAGTAGATTAATAAAAAATTTGCATAAAGTTAAAATGAACACAGCCAATTATGTACCACCTTGCATGAGCAAGAAAGAAGAAAAACTAGTAGAAAAAGAGGAGAATGGAGTGCGGATAAAATCAGCAGACGCAATCACAGCCATCACGACTTTCAAAGGAAACTTAATAAATATGAAAATACTTGAAAACATGGAGGGCGTGGGAATAACAAAGCCAACGCTTGTGCAGAGATACGTCGTGCCGCTGGGCATGCACGGGAGAGACCTTCTCATATCAGCCCCCACAGGAATGGGAAAGACCATCTCGTTTCTTGTGCCCACTATTAACTACCTTCTGAGCCACGGCGCATACCAGGAGAAGAGATTCAAATCTGGATATCAAAAATCATTTGGAAAGTCAAGCAGCCAGCCAAAAAGGCCCATCCGAGGGCTTGTGCTTACGCCCACAAGAGAGCTTGCCCTGCAGATATACAACGACTGCGAAATGCTCACCAACGGTCTTTCTCTCTCCGCAGGATACGCATACGGCGGATCTGAGAAGCACGAACAGATAAGCATACTGAAGAAGGGCGTAGACCTGCTCATAGGCACTCCCGGGAGAATACAGGACTTTGCAGACAGGAAAACAATCGATCTTTCAAACATACAGGTTCTTATTTTCGATGAAGCAGACAGAATGCTCGACATGGGCTTTGAAAAACAGATAAAAGAAATTCTGCAGCACCTAAACCCAAACACAGAGAGACAGACAATGATGTTTTCAGCCACGTTTCCAGAGCCAGTGCAGAAGCTCGCAAGGGCGTTCTTCCAGAAGGTGCCAGCAGAAGTGCACGTGGGCCATGGGCCCCTGGAGAACATAAAGCAGGAAATAGTTCACATAGAGGGATACGATCAAAATAGAGTAAAAAGAAACGAAAAGCTGATGGAGCTCCTATTAGAGTACGGATACGCAGCAGGGGACAAGCCCATAGAGAAAACAGCAGTGCGGTCGTACAGCAGACAGTCGCCCGGCATGAAGATGCAGTGGGCGCGCAAAGAAACTGCAGAGCCAGAAAAAGTAAAAAAACAAGAAAGGGAAAAAGAAAAAGAAAAACCAAAGATTGTTATTTTCGTAGATCAGAAGGTAGATTGTAAAGAGTTGGCATCGTTCCTGAACAGAAAGGGCATAGAGTGCGCAAGCATCCATGGAGACAAAATGCAGAGCGAAAGAGAAGACGCGCTGCACGAGTTCAAGAACAATATCTCGCCCATCCTTGCTGCTACGTCTGTGGCTGCACGAGGCCTCGACATCCCAGGGATTGCTCTTGTGATAAACTATGCGATGCCTGCGGATATCAAAGACTACATCCACAGAATAGGAAGAACAGGAAGAGCAGGAAAAGACGGAAGGGCAGTTACATTTATAACAAAAGAAGACTATTCCCATGCGCCCGCTCTTATTGACATCCTAAAGAAAGCCAACCAAAAGATTCCATCGTTCCTGGAAGAAGTTGCATCTATGCGCGTGAAGAGCGGGAGAGGAGGGCACGGAAGAGAGAGCCACAGACAAAGCTCTGCAGGGGTCTTCAAAAAAAGAGAAGACAGCGGACAGCACTTCCAGAACACGCAGGAAATAAAACACAAAGACGCGCCCGTGCTTACAGAGAAAGTGAAGATCGTAAAAAACATCGATTGGACACAAGAAATATCCTAATTAAATAAACCGCTAATTATGAAAGATCACTGCAGTTCTACCATGAAAGAGAAGAAAGACACCTCAGCAGAGCAGCTGTAGAGCCTTCAATCTCTTCTCTTGAGTATTTCTTTTCTTTTATTTTTCATCCTTACTAGTGAATGCTTCCTGGCCACAGAGAGTAAATAAAAGTCTCTTTATAATTCTCAGTTACACTTTTATCCTATTCTTGTCTCAGATTATATTAAGGGGCTCTATCTGCTCTCATCTATCTTTACCCTTTCTATCTATCATTTCACTTATTTCACCACAGACCATTTACTGTGCTCAGCCTAACTCGAATGAATAAATACGAACAAGCTTGCACAGTTTCTCGAATGAAAAAGAAGAAAAAACAAAAGAACGTAGACTAGCTGGTTTTATTCTAAGAGCAAATATCTGCAGTCATTCAGCTATTTGTGCTCTTCTGAGTGCGCGTATCCATTCTCCTTATCTGTGCTAGCAAGTGGCTCAAGTATCTTAGACTGCTCCCACGGGAACTCGCTTCTTCCAAAGTGTCCAAAGACTGAAGTCTTCTTGTATATTGGTCTGTCCAGCTGCAGGCTCTTCACTATCTCCCCAAGCCTCAGATTCCAGTTCTCATTTACCATTCTGAGTATCTCCTGGTTGCTGTATTTCGATGACCCATACACATCGATGTATATGGAAATGGGGTCACGAACGCCAATTGCATAGGACACTTGGACAAGAGCCCTTCTGCAGATGCCCGAGTCAATCAGAGACTTAGCAATCCATCTGGCAGCGTATGCTCCTGTTCTATCGACCTTGCTCCAGTCCTTCCCAGAGTACGCGCCTCCTCCATGCGCTCCCCATCCACCGTACGAGTCAACAACGAGCTTTCTTCCTGTGAGCCCTGAGTCTGCCTTGGGCCCACCGACTACAAACTTACCGCTGGGCTGCAGGACATACTTAGTGTCAACTAGCAGCTTGTGATCGATGATATTTTTGATTAAATTCGAGATTAGGAAGTTTCTTATGAACTCCGTCTCTACCTCTTCCTTGTGCTGGGTGGATATGACAATTGTGTCGACTCTGATGGGCGTAAGAATGGAGATTCCATCTTGCACGCTCTCTTCGTACTCCATGGTGACTTGTGTCTTGCTGTCAGGCCCGAGCCAATCGACAGTTTCTCTGAGCTTGGCGAGACCCTGGGCTAGTTTGTGCGCTAGTGCTGCAGTCTGCGGCATTCTTTCAGGGGTTTCATCAGTGGCGTATCCGAACATGATTCCCTGGTCTCCTGCGCCGAGGTCCCATGGGTCTTCTCTGATTTGCTCAAGGCCGTTGGAGATATCAATGCTCTGTTTTGTTATGTGCGTGAGTATTGTGCATGCGTCTGGGTCTAGGCCCCACTCGTGTGTGTATCCTGCCTCTCTCAGCACATTTCTTGTGATTTCTTCAAAATCAACTACGGCCTTTGTGGTGAGCTCTCCCACTATCATCACCATGCCCGATTTAACCACTGCATCAACGGCTACTCTTGAGAAGTTGTCCTGGGCTAGACAAGCATCAACGATGGAATCGCTGATTTGGTCGCAGAGTTTATCGGGGTGTCCTTTTCCAACGGACTCTGAAGTGAATAGAAAACGTTTGTTCTGTCCGGTTTTCATGAATAAAAATTTGCAATTGCCAGCAAATTAAATTTACAATTTTTATTTTTACAAAAGGTGATAAACTGAATACAACTGAATAAAAGAAGAAAAAAGCTGGAGCATAAAAATTGAAGGAGCTGCAGTGTTTAGATACTTCTTTGTTTATTGTTAGTTAGTGCTATGTCTTGGCTGTGCTATGCTGAGATCTTCTATTGCAATCAGCGCGGTGGAACTACGACCAGATGTTGTATACGGGAATGCTCTCTCCTGCTACTATCTTCTTAGCTGCCTGTGCTACTTCCTTGTCGTGGGATTTGCACAGAAGAACATAGCCCATTTTCTCGCTGAAATCAGCACCCGCCTCCTGGGAGACCATCTGGCACCCGAGGGGATACTTTGACCCAATGGGGGTGTGGTATGCGCTGTGCACAACCTTTGACTGCACCTCTTTTCCTGGGACATTCACGGCCTTGTTGAGTATTTCGCATCTGCTGAGGTCGTTTAGATAAATATATTTTCTGATTGTATCTCCAAGGACTCTGGCGTAGTTTATCTTTTCTGTTTCGTTTGCCACTTCTAGAATGTTCAGCGCAGGCAGAGAGTATTTTGTGTTTTCGTTGTACGCCAACTTGAATATAATGTACCCAAAATCTTTGAATATTTCTGTGGTGTAGTTCTTCTCGAGTGACGGGACTGTTTTCTGCCAGTTGATGAATCTAAGGAGACCTTTTAGCACGGACGAGAGCACGGAAGTTCCTGCTTTGTTCTTTAGTTTGGGGTTGTCTATTTCTTCATACACTTTTTTCAAGACACTCAGAAAACCTTTGATCAGAGGCTCGATGTACACTTTGTAATCGGCACTCTCCAGAATCCATTCTGTTCTGTTGATGGCCAGGGCAAGGGTTACAAAGTATTTTACTTTTTTCAGGTTCTTGTGGTAGAGTATTGTCTGTACTATTTTGTCTCTGAGGATGTGGATTAGCTTGTAGTTCCTTGTTCTGGTGATGTGTCCAAATATCACCATTATTTCTCTGTCTATTTCAACATCTGCAGCATCCATCAGGATGTCGAGCATCTGTCCGCTGAGCGTATCTGCCTCTATCATGCTTTTGATAAGAATGGTGAGCTTTCCCTTGAGAAAGGACGATCCCATCTGTCTAGCTATGACTTCTGGCACTCTTTTTATAAATGCTGTTTTTTCGATGAAAGCACAGAATTCAGAGCTGTCTACGCTTTCTTGTTTATTTTCATTCTCGTCATTTTCTTCGTTTTCATCTGCGGGCTCTTTTCTTTTTTCGCTTTCGGATTTGCACTCTTTGTAGTACTCCAGTATCTTTACCGCATGGGTTATTGCTAGATACGACTTGTCTCCTCCGTTCTCTGTCTCTGCTAGATCCAGCAGTTGGTTCAGCGCTCTTCCGTCCTGGTCTTTTATTATCACAAGCGCCAGTGCTGTTATTCTGTCTTTGAACGTTCCTTCGCTGAGAATGAACTCGGTCAGCTCTGAGTCCGTTTTAAATGTTTTATTCACTACGTTTCTTGTCAGTCTTGGCTTTGGCCTTGCCATTTGTTTCTCTCCTCTGATGTACTTTGGCGCGTAGTGCTCGCTCCTTTCTTTTTTTTCGCTTCTTTCGTTTCTTCTGTTTTTGTACGCATCTTTTCCTCCTTTCTTCTGTCCTCTGCCTTTGTACGCCATAGTAAATTTTTCTGGTAAAGATTTTATGCGTATTTTAAGCCCGCAGTAAAAATAGCCGTTATTTGCACTTCTAGCTCTAAAACACTCACACAGCACAGATGAGCAGTCTTTTCTCTTTGTAGACTGTTTATGGACTGTCTACACTGGTAAATTACTGTTAGTGCAAATAGCCAACAGTTGGCATTCAAAATGGAGAATATTTCAGCGCAGCTGTACTTTTCGAACACAGAAAGATGGTCTTAATCTGTGCTATCTTAAACACAGAATCTTGCCCATCTTTCGATTGTTTGTTATGTTCTGATTATATATTGATGCCAAACAAACACAAATACACAATGTCTTTTTCATTCATAGAGAGGCAAGGGTATAAGAGGTGTCTGTTCTTGCTTGGTGTTGTTATTCGGTGCCTTTTCATATCGCATCCCGCATCGGTTGTCTTTGATGAAAATCACTATCTGAAATTTATAACAATGTACTTCAAAGGGGAGACTGTGGTGGATGCACATCCTCCGCTTGGCAGACTATTTGTATATTTTATTGCAAAGTACATTCGAAGAAGCAGAGCAAGCGTAGAGGAGTACGATAGCAATGTGTACATAGGGAAGGCGTACACAAACACGATTATATCGGGAGAATATACAGCACTCAGAACACTTTCAGCTGTTACATCTTGCGTAAGTGTGGTTGTAGGGCACGAAATTCTCACAGAGATGGGAGTACCGCAAGACAAGGCATTCTTTGCCTCTCTTCTGCTCCTGTTCGAAGGAGCAATGTACAGTATTTTCAGGCTCTTTATGATAGACAGCTATGTTCTGGTTTCGATCAGCATTATCCTTCTTTCTCTTATGAAAATGAACAGGCTCAGTTGCACACTGCAGAGGATGCACAGAAGAACAAAGCAGAAAGTGCATCCAACTGACCAAATGGAAGGAACAAGAGCAGCAGCAGCAAAGAGTGCTCAAGGAATAGACATTTGCACTATTTCGATAAAAAAAGACAATTCAAAGACAAAAAAGATCGAAGATAGCAACATATCCTGCACAGATAGAAAGAGCAGAGAAGACAGCAGAAAAAGAGAAGGAATGAAGAGAAAGAGTCCCCTGAGACTTTATATACAATGTATGCTGTGGGCTGCTGTTCTGTCTGTATCTCTGGGCATAGGAGCCAGTTTCAAGTGGGCAGTCCTTCCCATGGGGGTGCCCATAGGAGTGTATTTACTGGCTGATTTAATCCGATCGAAGAGAGAAAGTGCAAAAAAGATAAAGCTTCTTCTTCCTGTGCTCCAAGGGACGCTAATACTCTCCATCTCTTTTTTAATATACATGGGAGTGTTTGTGGCTAACTTTCAGGTTCAGAATAGCTTCACAAGTAAAACCAACTTCTGGTACTCTCTGAGGTACAACGCAGCCCTCAAGAACTCGCCATATGCCGCGTACAAAAGAGTGCAAATACCGCGCAATGGCTCTGTGCAGATAGCTGATCTCAGCATGAGCCAGTTTATAACGGTAAATGAAAAAACCTTATCAGTCACCAAGAGCGCAGATGCATCCACAGAATGGACAGTGAGGCCTGTTGAAACAATGGAGTACAACAGGCCTGTGCATATACAGCACAACTCTGGTCTTTATCTCAGCGGAGAAGAGAGCTCATTTCTCTCCGAAGCTCCTTCTGTTCTGCAGATAGAAGAAGCCGCAGATGGAGTGGGAATAAAAAACAAAAATGGAAATTATTTGTACCTCAGTGAAAGAGAAGGAGGAAGGTGGAGGGATGCCTCGCACTCTCTTCTTCTTCTCTGTTCGCACAAAAAGAGCAGTGCTCCCCCAGAGCCAAATGGCCATCCCATCTACTCCTCTGCAATTCGGCCAAGTAATTACATGGAGATGTTCGTAGAAAGCAACAAAGTGATATTTAAGTGCAATAGCACACTGAACGGAAACCACAAGTACAAGTCACATCCCAGCACGTGGCTGTATAAACTGAGCCCAATCCACCTGTGGAGTGGCGCAGTGGGTGAGACAGCTTCCAAAGACAAGCACGAAGCAACTTCGCAGATGTTTTTCCTTCCCAATCCAATCATCTTGTTTCTGTCTTTTTTATCGTTATTTTTGTACACTGGGCTAATTTTAACAACTAAATTAAAAAATGCTCTAGCGCATGTGCTGCTCCTCTCCGCATACCTCTCCAACTATCTTCCGTACTTCCTTCTGAGCAGAGATACATACGCACACCACTACATTCCGTCGTATTACGTGTCTATTCTGGTGCTAGGATGCATATTGGGAAAAGCAGATAGCAGAAATATTTTCATATCTACGGTATTTTTGGCAGGAGCCTTTTTTATGGGGCAGCTGCCCGTTCTCACCGGGGGAACGCCTTCGTACGAAAGGTGCACGGGGGCATTTGCGTGCACAGGGGCATCGTCTGTGTGCGAGGTATTTGACTCAGTTTTTGAATAAAAGACTTATTTTATTACACAGTGCATTCTTTGTTATATAGCCCGAACAAAATGGAACATAAATTTAGAATAAACCGCAGGGCAAAGATGCCTGACCATAAACCCCCCACAAAAAGGCAGAGGAAGCGGATATTCAAGAATATTACGTATGCTTCTTTGATAATCAAAGCAATCCAGGATTCTCCGTACGGAAGATGCACCATAGACGAAGTGTGTGCGTACATTGCAGAAGAGTATCCGAACGATCTTCCTCCCGAGCTAGTGAAAATATGGCAGGGGTGCGTAAGGCAGGTGCTCAGCAGGGATGCGCGGTTTATCAAGCTGGCCAGGCGCACAGGGTGCCGGGTGTCTGAGTGGATTTACTTTCCTCCCTCTTATCAGCCCAGCGTGCCACCAACCAAGCCGCTCAGCCTAATGAAGCACATACGGACAGTCTTGCGAAAGAAGGGAGAGTACAAAGAATTCTACATTAAAAAACCTCCACAAAATGGAAAATAGAAAATCAAGCAAAGTAAATAGAAAAAGCCAAATAGGAAAATAAGCACACAAAAGAGCCCCACAGAGCACTGCCTCTGCATGTAGATAGAGAAGCACAGCACTCTCTTAAGGCTGTCTAGTGCACTTCTTTTGCTAGGGGCCTGCTGGGAAATAGAAGAGCAAGGGAAGAATGCGCACAGCAGTAGAAGAGCAGTGGTGGAGCAAGAGTGATGCAGCAAGAGTAGAGCTAGAAAAGCAGTGAATTAGTAGTGAGAGAGTGAGATGTCATTGTCCAGCAGCAAGATGTGAATGAGCCGAAGAGCAGCAAGATGTAATTAAAATGTAATGTATTAAAATAGCAGCAATAAACCGGTGAGTAGAGCTCAGATGGAAGAATGGCCATTCTCTAGCTGGCTAAATAAGCTAGAGATAAACACAGATAGAACACTGCATAGCAGATGAGTGCAAGCAGAACACCACTCTTCTATCCGCATAAATGCAAAGAGTATGGCGATCTACTAGCCAATTTGCGGCATTCTCGCAGAGAGCAAACGAAAGGGCAAATGAAAAATAAAATGGAAGAAAGAAAAGAGAGAAGAATTATGAAGTCCATTTACTTACCAGAAGGCAAAGACCTTGTACAAATAGTTTCATACTTACAGCTCCTGTGCGGCTGCGGTCTTTGACTTATCACTCTTTGACTTTGTTTCCATCTGTGCAGTGGGGCATACACCACCTTCCTTTATCAGCCAGTGTCTTCCAAGGTTGTTCAGCTCCTCGTCCTTTCTGATGGCCAGTGAAATGTGCTTGGAGACAATCTTTCTCTTGTTCTCTTCGTCGCAAATGAGTTTTGCTGCTTCAATTATTTCTCCAAGGATGTACTCCAGGAGGGCTGCAATGGCCACAATTGCCTTGTGGGAGACTCTCATCTTTGTTTGGTCTCTGAGTATTCTGTGCAGCTGTGCGGGCTTGAACACCACCTTGCTGCTGTTGCTGGCTTTCTTTGCTGATGCTGGATCCTTCTTACCTTTTCCTGTTCCCATGTTGTGTTTTTAAAACTATTCTGTATTTATACTTTTAAATAAAAAGGGCGGGAAGATTTCCCGGGTAAATATAATTAATGCGCAGCCTGTGCTCTGGTGCTGGTTCTATTTTTCTGTTTTAATTAGAGGGACCGATGCCCAGCGCGCTTTGAGATGGTTTTGTCTCCAATTGTCTTGGGAGTGCAGCTGAAGTTTGGGATGAAAATATAAACAAAAGAAGAAGGAGAGATTTGCAGTTTATTGGAAGAGTCTTTACGATCCCTGTCTGGTAATAGCCGTGGAGTGTCTTCACACGCTGTACTACCGCTGTTTGATCAGAGTAACTAGGGCTCAGCCTCTTTTCTTGGAGAAGAAAGAGAAACATTGGACAAATAAAGAAAATAGAAGACAAATGGACTTGGCTAAGTGCAGAGATTTTCGTGCTTACAATCTGAAATAAAAACACAGCAAAATAAACAAATAGCTTTGTATATGGCACTATGATGGCCTTGTGCAGCATTTCTCTTTTAGAACGTTCTAGAGAGTCCTTTCTTTTTTCATTACTTTTTCTGTTCTATCTCCTGTCGTACTGCATCTACTCGCGATCTTATCTCAGATATTACATTTCGTATTGACGTGATTTCAGGCTGTGTTAGGTGCTTGTATCCTATCCAGGTGTACGCAAACTCTCCTGTGATCCCGTCTATGGTTCCTTTCATAAGCCCGCTCCCCAGGATTCTCAGCACTGTTTCTTCTACGACTATTCTGGGAATATTCAAAGAGTCTGCGATGTCTTGCAGTCTAACAGATCTCTGCTGGTTGCTGAAGAAGTAGTTCAGGAGCCTGATGACCGCTGCCTTTCTCTCCACTGTGCTTGCCAGCGACTTATCTATCTCCATCGATATTTTTACGGCTTCTTCGGAGTTTCCGCTTTCCAGAGCTGTGGCCAAGGAGAGGGAAGTGAAAGAGTCGTCTTTAAAAATGTCAATGAGCGAGGCAAACGAGTACACATTGTCTGAAAGTATTCCAGAGATAAGACACGTCTGGAACACGTCTTTGTCTTTGTTCTGGAGCTTCAGATACTCGAGGAGATTCTTGTAGGCTGGGGCGTAGTTCTTTGTTGAGTAGTGCATCAGCCCGAGGCCCAGGTGCAGCTTTCTGAGAGACTCTTTGCTTTCTATCTGCAGCTCTTTGCAGTCGTACAGAATGATCCGTGCCTCGGATATCTCGTTTGTCGATACTTTCATGCAGGCTATCTCCAGGAGAATTCGGAGGATGGACTCATTTCCCTCTTTGGCGAGCTTAGATGCGCGCGTGATCAGAGGGATGGATGCATCTGCATCAACAGAGCCCACAGACACAAGGAGGTAGAGGGCATTTTCAAGGAGGCGCAGAGAGTCTTCTTTGCCGAGCTTCTTTGCAATTGACGCACTGATCTCTGCGAACGAGTTTGCGTGCAGGTTGTAGTGGTTTGGGACAACGACTGTTTCGTAGACATTCTTCAGCTCGTCTGAGGGCATTGACTCAACGGTTTTGAGAATGGCCTGCGACAGTTGGTGGTACTTTCCTTCTTCTGCTAGCTTTGTAAATTCTGACATAACAAATGAAAAAACAATCACGCGAATATATTTCATATTTTTGCATGGAAGAAAAAGAGGCGAATGCCGCAGAAATTAAGTGGCAGATGAGGACAAAGAGTCTAAAGTGCAGAAAAGAGAAGAAAAAGGAAGATTATCTACTTGGTTATGTGTGTGCGCTTACTAGCGATATTCTCAAGTTGCAAGTGTGCTTATAATTGCAGCTAAGTGTCTATTGGATTGGTCTTAGAAGAGAACGAAGAGTTAATTAGCGCAGAGCAGATATTATTGTGTATAGCGTGTTATTGAGCTATTATTGCCAAGAGATAAGATAGATTCAAGAGAGCAGAGCTGTTGGTAATCTGTAGAATGATTCTTGGATTGCAACTGTACAGATGGAATGAACTAGTGATGATTTATTGAAGTATTTAGTAATTAGAAGAACAGTAGCTGTAAGTGTGTCTCTTACACTATCTTTTAGTAGATTTAGTGAGATAGCAAATAGATACTGCATCTCTACTCAATAGAATATGCTAAATAGATGGTAAAGATGAGCATTAGATCGGCTAGAATATACAGCACATAGATCACATCGCAGAGCAGCACAGAAGACAAACTCGTCAGATAGAAAAGATGCCAATGGACGCTTGCTCTGATGCTAGTGCAAGGGCTCACTGGTGGAGCTCTGGAGATGCCCATAGCATCTGGTAATAAAGAGAAGAAACAATAACAGTGTAAATAAAGATGCGTTTACTTATTTTCTCTTGCAGGCTTTCCCCATTTTTTCATAGTCTCCTTGTATTTCATTGAGAACTGCTCGTCTACTTCGCTGATCAGCGGCTCCAGACCTGGCACTACTTCTTCTATGGCGACGCAGGCTGCGGCTTTTCTTCCGACCATTGCTCCGAGTCTCTCTTTGCTGTCGTATATGGCGTAGCTGACGCCCATCTTCTTGCAGAGAGAGGGGAGGAAAAGAACAACAACAATTGGATCTACATTATTTGCGATAAGGACAAGCTTTGCCTTCTTTTTCTCGATCAGTTTTACAATCTGTCTGATGCCAAACTGCAGGGACACCTTCTGTTTCTCTCTTCCCTCTTCTATTCTCTTGGCCTTCTCTTCTGGGGTCTCTGGCGTGTATCTCTTGAAGATCTCTTCGATTTTGTCTTTTGTCTCTTCGTCCATCTTGTATTTGAACTGCTGAATTGCGGGGGGGCACTTGAGTGCTCCTTCCAAGGCCTTCTTTTTTCTGCTGATGACTTTCTCCTGGTTCATTCTTTCTTCTTTGGCCATTGCTGCGGAGTGCTTCATTCCGCTGTTTCTTTTGTTTCTTGGCTGTTTTACTTTATGCTCTGTTGGTTGAATTATTTGCATACAAGGGTTAATTTTAAAAAAATTTAACTAATGGACATTTCTGCCAAAGGACAATTGTAACCATTATTTTGCAGCGGCAGCCGGGCATATCCGAGCATTTGCTACTTGTGCATGCTTTTCCTGCTCTTCTGGCTGTGCTGGAAGAGATACTCTTTTAGCATGCTGTATGACACGTATGGGCTGTGCGGCAGTTTAAACTCCGATATTTTATTCAGCACTTGGATTCTTTTCTTTGTTTTTTCTGCACTGTGCGGGTGCTCTGGCGTTATGTAGATCTTCTTTATTTCTCCTATTATTTTGTCTACTAAGATAGCGGGAGAGTCTTTGATCAGATACCTCAGCACGTCTGTTCTTATGCTCTTTGCGAGCTCTCTGGCCATTCTGCTGAGCGCTTTGTCAGCTGCCACTCTCTTTTGGAATTTTGTGATTTTATTTGCTATTTCTTGTGTGAAGTGTTCGCGTATCTTATCGAGGATGTTTGATCTGTACGTGAGTGTTTCGTAGATGTAGTAGATGTCTGTTTCCTCTATGCTCTCTGTGAGGTTGTGCTTGTACATTAGGTACCCCATGTACACTATCTGGTCCGTTGGGACAAAGTACGATAGAGGCACCAGCAGAGGAATGTGTGCTATAAAGTGGCTTTGGTACTTTTTTACGTCTGCTGAGCCATACGGTGCCGTTTTTATTTCTAGTGCGACTGCTCTTTTTAGCCTTTTTATCAGAAGAGATATGCTTTTGAAGGGCGGAATGTATATGTCTACGATCCTATTGCTTGTTTTTATCTTGTTCATCTCCGAGAATATCTTCATTAGCTGGTCCATTGACTTTTCTGTGTTTGTTAAAATCTCGTTTATCGTTTTACACCGCTGCTCCTTTTCTTCTGTGCACTCAGCTGCGCCTATGTGCTCTGTGCTCAGGAATATCTGCTGCACCTGTGTCCTGTGCCTGTTAAATATGCGGTGGCACTGCTGCTCAATCTGCGCTGTTGCTCTGTTCTCATGCTCTATCCATTCGCATGTGCGCTTCTTGATCATGGAGAAGATTTTAAATGCCAAGCTGTTCACTTTGCATTTTGTCTCTACACACTCCATCTGTGTGCTGATTTGGAGAGTTTCTGTGTTTTCGTATGTTTCTTCGTTCACTCCATATGTGCACTCTTTTTCGTTGTAAAATTCTTCTGCTTCTTCTAAAATAGCGCTTTCTCCCTCTATGGCTTGAGAAAATGCAGAGTACTCTTCGGTGCAGAGTAGCTGGAATAAAATTTCCTTTTTTCTTTCCTTTGTAGAATACATGAGGTGTTTGCAGTGAATTATTTCAACTAGGTTTGTGAGCAGAATGTGTTTGGAAATGTAGTTCAAACAAGAGGCTTTTGTTACATATATGCCATCCACACTGTCTTCCAGCTGGGCTTTGAAAACGTTTTCAAGTGACTCTAGCACTGCAATGGCACTGCGCAGCCTGGTGATTATTCTGCTTGCCTTTGAAAGAATGTTTACGATTGCAGAAATATTTTCTTTGTTGCTGTATAGGTAGACAATCCCTAAAAATACTCGTAGAGAGCTTGGCGTCTTCGATGTAGCTGCTATTGTCTGCATTTTCTTGTTCAGTGCAGCAGATATCAACATGTGTACATTTTTGCTTATTTTGAGTGTCTTTAGCCCTTTCTCATTGGCGAATAACTCAAGAATTATATTGTACTCTGTCTCTGACACAGTAACTTTCTCTTTTGCGTCAGAAGTGTTCATTTTTCTGTATATCTCCACCAAATAGTGCAAATAAACTGTTTCAGAATACCTTCTCTGCGAACCAGAGCTCTCATATACTCTATCATCAAAGCCATCTGAACTACTGCTGATTATGTGGATGTTTGAAATGTAGGTGCTGTAGTTTGAACTGTGCGCATGCATGTGCTCGCTGGACAGACTGTTTGGCGTATGGACTGTGCTAGACAAAGTGTCATCACAGGGTTTGGCATTCTCCCTAGTGTTCTCTTGCTGCACAACTATGCTTTTTCTTAGAATCTCTGTTATTTCTTTTTCTAGTTTCATCTATCAAAATGTTCTTTACTATTTCTCTTTATCTATACTCTGGCATTCTTACTATATTAGTGTATACTTCGTAGTTTATTAGGCCGACTTCTCGTGCTAACCTTGGACGTAAAAGATAAAACTCTTCTTTTTTGGCTGTAGATGTGCACACAAAAAGTTTTATTAAGTAGACTACAAATGTTCAGTAAATTATTCTATTCCTTACACATTTTTATTTTTATTTATTCTTAGGTCGTAATGTCTCTAGAAGTAAGAAAATAGTATTTATACGAGAGCATGAGAGCATGAGATCAGTGGCTATGAAAGGGAATAGTTAGCAAAAGTAGAGCACTAACTGCCACAAATTAACTATTAGTCAAATATAAGCAACACTTTTATCTATGGAAGAGCAGAATGGACCCGAGCTAAAGAATTAGTTATTATCTATTGAAGAATAATAGAAGAGATCATTTCTAGAATGCTTAGTGCTGATTGCAAGGTGTATGCACTTTACACAGGCTGTAGATACTCTATACTTTTTATTGCTGATGATCGAATGTAGACGAGCCCGTATTTTACTTTATCTTCTGTCTCTGCTTCAGAGAGTATGATGTTTCCCATCTTATCTATCTTAGCAAGGTTTCCCAAGAGAGCAGGCATCTTAAACGATCTTCTAACTTTTACTTGCATAGCTCTACAGAAAAAATTAGCAAATGAGAAAGCTTCTTTTTCTTTTTCCATAGCACTTATTTTGGAGAAAGTAGAGTGTCCAACAATAGATCCATGCACCTCTGCTGAGCTTTTATGAAAAGTGTGAAATCACTTCAGAATATAACCCGAGAATGCATCTAGTCGAATCTAGCGCCACAGTGTCCAGAGAAGTAAAAACCATAGTACACTCTCGTCTCTTGGCTTATTTTAATTGCTACGAGATTGACCGCTCTAAATAGATGCTGTAAATCAAAGAAAAAGAGACAGTGTACCTTCAATATACTTTCTTATTTATATGTTGCTGTCCAGCATGTAGTTCTTCTCGTACAGCTTTCTCACCCCCTTTCCAATGACCTTGTCATTAAGAAGGTCATCTACCGTGTAGTATTTAATGCTGTACGCAGCAAATGCCTCTTCTTTTGTCATTGTGTCCAGCTTTTGAAAGAACTCGCGAGCATCCATAAAAATTTTAAGAACATCGATTTATTGAATATCCAAATCACTCGCCTCCTCTCAGACGCAGCACCAGATGGATTGTGCTCTCTTTCTGGATGTTGTAGTCCTGCAGAGTTCTCCCGTCCTCCAACTGCTTTCCTGCAAAGATAAGTCTCTGCTGGTCAGGGGGTATTCCTTCTTTGTCCTGTATCTTTGCTTTTACATTCTCAATTGAGTCGCTGTTCTCCACGTCAAGTGTAATGGTCTTCCCCGTCAGTGTCTTCACAAATATCTGCATACAAATAAACAATGCAATCCACAATATACTTTGTTTATCTTCCATTGTCAAAGAATGAACCACTCAGAATAAACCCCGAGCATCCCAGTTTGCTCATTGCAGGGTGTATGGCTCCTATCCTGCTTTGGTACTCTCTGTAGAACAGCTCTCGCAGATCCAGCAGGCCAAATGATCTGCTCTGCATCATTTCATTAAACACTCCGAGTATTCCCTCTTTCACTGGATGGTAAAGGAGAAAATCGATGCTCACTCTCTTACTCTCGGGCTCTCCCTTTACAATCTCCAGGACTTCCTTCATTTCGTACTTCTTCTTCTGCGCCAGCACAAAGAGCACACTGCCAGCCCCCCTGGGGATGCTTTCCTTTGTGAATGCGCTGATGTTTAGTCCGAAGCCAAGGGCTCCAAGCGTGTGTATATTGTGTGTGTGTCCACCTATTCTGCTCAAGTTCTCTGTTCCTCTGGCCACTGCCACTGCTGCCAGGAACATCGACTTGTACTCGTCCAGCACAGCGACATACTTCACTCCAATTGCATGAAAGATCACTTGGGACAGAACTTCATGCGACACTGTCATGTCTCCTTTTCCGTTGTACATTGCCACAAGATCGGGGAGAGTAGGGGTCTTCAGCAGAATTGTTTTTGAGTGTTTCTTGAACTTCCTTGCAGTGTGCTTTCCCTCTGGCTGGGCTTCTGAGTGCTCGCGCATTTCTCCATTCTCCCAGTGCAGAGTCACGCCCATTCGCGCGCCGAGCAGAGCGCTCACAGGGAAGGTGCCCTTTCTTCCCAGCGATAAAGTCTTGGCAATGTCTCTCTTCATGCTTATGCACTTGACAGGCCCTTTTTCTTCTGTGTTAACCGTTACCCATGAATATTCACCAACCACCATAAAAAATGAAGAATTTAATTTATTATATCATTCTTGTAATAAGCTCATCAAGATATCTGCCGCGGTCTCCAGTGGCTCCTCCCTCTGTGAAGTCTTTTATCTTTCTGCCTCCAAATCCTTTTCTTGGGCAGCTCAGTCTAAATGGCCACAGCCACTTGTTGATGGCTGATGCGTCCTGTCTCTTTCCAAGGAAAAGAGCCTCTACAATGTCCTCGAGTGTTTCAACGGATCCGCCAAACTTCTCCTCTAGGAGCTCCTGTGTGATGTTTACTCTCTTGCCGTTGTACTTGCCGAATGCTCTGGTGTAGATGAGCTTTCTGATTGTCTCCAGAGAGAGGTTTCCAAAGGCAACGTATGCTCTGACTTTCTGGAGGAGCGACTTGGACGATTTGTTGTTTATGACGAAAGTTCCGGTATTTATGTTTCTGAGTCTCAGACAGTCCAGAGCGGTGGACACATCTGGTGAGCACTTGTTGGCACTTCTGATTCTGACTACAAACAGGAAGGGGGCTTCTGCGGGAACGTATATTGAGTTGTTCTTTTCTGCCTCTTCTTGTTTTCTGGCCTCTGCCTCTACGAAATCTTTCATTCTTCTGATCGATGCGATGGTTTTGTTTTTTATCTCATCTGGTGTCTGTATGTTTTGGTGAACTGAATTCATTGCAAGGGCAACAAAATAAAATTATTTGAAAACTTTTGGATGGCTACTGGAAAATAAATAAATTGCACTCTCCAAGCAGAGTTTAGAAAGAGAAGCTTTCTGTCTGCTACATTCGATATACTACCAGTATTTCATGCCGCTGAGGGTGCATGTGTGCTCTTAGAGGGCTCTTGATCTGAGCACTGGACTAAATATTTTGGCATTTTATTTAACTCATAGCAGAAGAATGAAAAAGATTTGGAAAAACAGAAGATGAGCTGGATAGATCTGCAATGTGTTTATAGATAGAGATGCAAATGAGGTGTGTGCTACTCACTTTATAATTCTACTCATTACTGTTTGGCTGGTTTACTTTCTGTACTTCTGCTGAATTGACAGTCTGAGAATTTTAGCTGACTGTTGAGCTATATTGAGCACTGGTGGAATTGCAGCGAGTAAAATTTTACTAACACATAGCTTTTGAACATACTGCATCTATGGCGTTTTTAGATGCCATGTAACAGCACATCTAAGCAATAAAAGAAGCAGTGAGCAGTGACTTACCGTATATGGTAAATCCAGTAGTGCTTAGTATTCAGAGATAATAGCAGTGGCAGAATAGACTATCTTCTTTATTTGAGCCTTGCATTCTTGGTTTATTCTCGGTCTAGACTATACTATCTGTGAAGCCAGCACAGAAGTAGATGCTATAGCACAGATAAACAGACCGCCCACAATTGTTGTAATGTTTATTCTATCAACTATTGTCTTTTTTCCACTTCCTGTCTTGACAAGGTCTCTGAAGCTTTCAATTTTGTTTAAAATGTACTCTTTTGTGCTGTTTCTGTAGGGTTTTGTTTTCAGTGTATTTGCCACGTCTTTTCTAGTTGGTATTTCTTTGTACTCGTACTTCATGGGGTCTGCAATGGCATCTTTTCCTTTCTCTGGTCCGTTGTTAAAGTAATCTACCAGATAAGCCCGATCCACGTACTTCTTTTCTACATCAGTGAGAATGTGCACATTGTTATATATCTCAGCAACAAGATGCCACAGCTTGTCCAGCGCAGCAAGAAGGTTTTTGTCATTTTCTGGCATTTCGTCCTTTTTCTGCAGCTCAGGGTCGGTGGGGTAGTTTTGGATGTATTTCCTGTACTTCAGAAGCAGATTTATCGCATAGTCTATGTTGTACGTTCCGTTATCGTGCTTTTTAAACAGATTTTTCTCTCGGGTTATGCGGTGTCTGTCTTCCAAGAAGTTGACAAACTTTCTTAAGTGGTCCTTCAGTGGCTTGTATATAACAGTCACCCAGCATGCTCTCTCATTGAAGAAGTCTCGTGTGTGGATAAGATAGGAAACAGTGTCTAATTTGTTCAGACCTATAATATATTCGTACCACGCGTTGATTCTTTTCTCTACCTTTTTTGAGAAACACTTCTGCTCCATAACATTCACAGCCTCTCTCAATGCATGCACGATTTTTTCTTTTCTTGCAGAGTAGCTGAATCCTTGGTACAGATGCTTGTTCTTGTCATATGTGTAGGCGATAACGGCCTCTTCTAATACAAGAGTCGCTATATCAGATAATAAAGACGCCTGCAGCTCATCCACACTGCTATCTACTGTTACTTCTGTGTGTTTAGAGACTAAGCTGTGCAGTGTTCCAAAGAGCATGTGTTCGTCTACATTTTTATCTTTCTCTAGTTCTTCCAGCTCTTTTTTTATGTGCGCGGTGCTAATGCTAAACTGGATGTAAGGTGGTCTACTGGCTATTTTTCCAAATCTGTTGAAAAATATAGATGTGTACTCTTGGTTAGGCTGCTCTTCTTCTTCAGTGGCATTTCTATTGCCTAACTCTTCTGAACTGGCGTGGACGGCTTCAGATGTTTTCTTTTCGTTTATATCCATCACAAAAATAAAATTCTTAGAGCTGGGCTTAAGATGAAAGTATCTCTGATGAAATAAGTCTTTTTAGTGCTACTTTTCCTTTGTGCTAATTTTTGTGTAAATTGCATGGTAAAACAGTATGAATTAAACAGAGATAGATAATAACAGGTAATAGCACTTTAATCAATAAATCGGGTTAGAGCTCTTCTATTTTCTCAAGATCATCCATGCTTATCGGGAATGCGTTGCAGAAATCTTTTTGCGTCATGTTGAAAGTGTTCTTTACGTAGGACTGGAGAATATTGAACGCATCTGCCCACTCTGTCAGACTCTTTGTCACTGCGTCTATCTCCTCGCCTATCGCCAAGAGCTTGGAGGGGTCGTTCTCCTCCATCTGCTTAGTCACTGTCTCAAGCTCTTTCTGCTTTTTTCTGTGTTCCACAAGGATCTTTATCTTGTCTTCTCTGTCTGGGAGAGTTGATCTGTTCTTTTCAAGCACGTCTATTTCCTCCAAAAGCGCTTCTTTTTGCTCTTTCAGCTTCTTGTTCTCAGCTGACAGCTTTTCGTGTCTGTTCTCTTTGTTTATTTTTATGTCTGAGCGGAAACTCCAGTAGAATCTTGATGCTCCTACTTTCTTCTCTTTTACTTTGTTCTCAGATACGAGAATATCTATCACTTCTTTAATGCTCTGCGGAATTACTCCTTTTTCTTTCTGGCAGACCTTTTCTAAGTCCTTGAGCCCAAAGATGTCGTCTTTCTCCTGCATCAAACTAAGTACTCTCCTTGTCTTTTCTTCTAGAGAAAGAGGCTTTGCTCTGCTCATGGTAATTCTTTAAAAATTATTTTAGTTTTCTGCACGCTTCTCTGGTATAGCAATAAACTTAAATTTTTGAGGCCTCGTATAGCCCGAGGACAAACAGACGAATAGTCTCTGATTTATTGTAAATAGACACTCTTGTGATTGGTCTAGAACACTCTTTCTTTCTCTTACAGTGCTAAAGATCTTCGCAGAGAGTTTAGAATTAAAATGGCAATAAATGAATTTATTCTGTAGCTGCTAATTAATAAACCAATATGGAAGAGACGGCTCTGCTTTCTTTTATGCCAGGCAAACTGCCCATAAAAGTTTTATTTTGAGCAGATACATGCACGAACTGTCTGATATAGAAAATAGGGTTAATTGCATGATAGAAGGCGCCTGTAAAAGGATCAGAGATCCTATTATGTACAAAACAGATTACCTAAAGCGTGTACAGGAGATTATAAACAGCTCCAACATTTCTAACATAAAAACAAGCCTTAAAGAGTGCACTCTTTTCATGTCAATGTGCACCCAGGACATAGTTTCGCATTTGGAGTACCTATCTACTCCAGAGTCTGATATACTGTGTTTTGTCTTCCGGTTCAACACGAAAATAATCATGCAGGAAATAATGGAAGACTACTCTGTCGTTTTGAGGATACTTGATGCAGACCCTGACAAAAAATACGATGTTCTTCTACGCATACTCACAGAAAAGTGTCTGCACTGGTTTAATCTGTACTCGCACAATCTATCGCTCTATTCAGGCACTGAAGAAATAGAAAAGTGCACGCTTCTTACCTCTAAGCTGTCCATAGTCTATGTGAACAAAATGACAATATTTAACAAGAGCTACTGGGAAGACTTGCTTGAGGTACTTGAGAAAAACCTCCAGAGCTGCCACGGGTTTGAAGAGATAGAAAAAAGCACAGAGAAAGACTTCAAGAAACTGCTAAACACAGAGAAAACCCTGATACAAATTCTAAATGAACTTTTGGGATACTCTAACCAGATGATCGTAAAGCCCATTGAAAATAACTGTCTGAATAAGGACCAAAAGAAGAACATATCCATGATCCAGGCTCTGATTGAAAATTGGAGCACTTTTCCGTTTATACAGGACAATGTTCATCTGTTGCAGGAGATGGACACGCTAGACATGGTGTCTTTGCTGGACAACTTCGAGAGCGCAGGCTTTCTCAAAGGAATGGACAGGTTTCTAGGCCGTCTCAAGATATACAAGGACTCTCTTTCCGTAAGTCTTTCCCAAATCCCTGCACACTCAGAGAGCATAGACCACGTAAGCCCTGAAAATATTGCAAATTTGAAAAAGTTTACTCTTGTCCAGGACATGATCAAAACAGTGAACAAAACAGCCGAGACTATACACATGAAATACAACACAATGTGGTTTGAGCTTGTGGTGCGCGACACGTGTCTGCCCATCATTCTGTTTCTTCTTTTTTTTGGCGCACAGTCTGCATACTGGGCAGGCAGCACTGCTGTTTCAATGATGCATACACACAGTGCTAACAATGAGCCCAACACCCTGGAAGCAACCTTTGTAACGCTTTCTATCCTTGCAACTATTCTTGGCTTCTTTCTCTCTGTGATATATCTTGAGGAGTTTGTGCCGAAGAGAAAGTACGTGTTCTTGCTCTCCAGCCTTCTACTAGTGCTTTTATACGGTGGGTCAGCCTTTCTGATGTCTCTTGTTTTCTCCAACAAGAGCGTTGGCGCATTCTTTTTGTGGTTTGACAACCTAGCTCTATTTTTGTTTGTGCTTGCATCGCTGGGCAACATATACTCCTCAATGAAGCTCAACCGCCATATACACGCATGGAGTCTGTTTATATTCACAGCTCTAGTTTGCATTTTCTGGGAGACACTCTTTGTGTGGCAGATATGCGATGCCCAAATTTTAGTTAAGGCGTAGTTTCTATTATACTTTGAATAAATCTACTTTACTACTTCTTGTTACTCTTACCTATCCACTGCTCCGCAGCTATTCCTTGCTTCTTAGCAGCTGAGCCTCATTCTTTGTATTGTCTATTTCTCTGCATTTAGCAAGTAAAATAAAAGAGAGAGCAGATTTCACTGAATTTACTGCAGTTCTGTACTCTCTGGAAATAATAAAAATAGTAGAGTTTGTCCACAGTCCTGTAGAGTTTTATTTAAAATAAAACTGTTTTAGTTTTCGGCTGGAGCCTCCCAGAAAACAGTATGTAAACAGAAAGTGTGTGCAGATGGTGTGGCTGCTGTAGTTTAGCACTCTCTTGCAGTCTACAGTTTGGGAATCGATGTTTACGATTTATTATAGAGTGGTAAAGAAGAACAGATAATAGACTGGTTTATTTTTAGATCTTTTTTGTTTAGCTCTCTTTACAGAAAGCTTTGCATTTACAGCTGGTGGTACTTCTCTTTTTGCTTTTGGAAGAGAGGAGATGCTTCTAGATCATTGAACACTTTAGAAAGCTGTGCGACCTCTGGTGAAGCTTCAGCGCTTTCTTTCTTTTTTTCTCTTTCCTGGGCATCTTCAGAATACGCGGGCGGCACTGGGTCTTCCAAAGTGGCTTCTATAGTCTCAGCACTAGCCAGCACTTCTTCAGCAGCTTGAATGCTGGGGGGCTGTGGCTCTTCCAATATAATTTCAGTGATCTCACTGCTTCCAACTCTCTCTATGGTTTCATCACGTGGGAAGATCGCAGGGCAGAGCTCTATGCACTCAGACACTTCTGTGGTGCAGTGCTCTTCATTTAAGCCTTCTATCTCTTTGGTAATGCCTGCATAGAAAGACTTAAAATTATCACTGACTTCTACTCTCTCATCCACTCCCATCATAGACTCAACAATATCATCGCTCTCCTCTTCTTCTGTCTCTACGACCACTGTATACTCGCTGTCGTCTTTGTTCTCTATGTCCTGCATCTCCTGGTATTCAAGATAGTTTATAGTGTAGTTGAGGCTCTCTATCATGTCCTCAGTTAAATTGCGGCTTATTTTTTCTGGGTGTAGGGCATCTCTTAAAACTCTGTTGTTTTTGTTCTCTGTTTCTTCTGCGGGGATGCAGTCATCTTCACTCGATGTAAACTCTTTGTCTTCAATGGAAGGGGTGCTGCTCTCTTCATCTTCCTGTTCATCGAGTGTGTACGCGCTCTGCATGCTGTTTCCAAAGTCAAACGGCACAGTGTGCGTTATGAACTCAATCACTTTTTTTGATAGCATGATCTTTTCCACGGCATCGGTGAATATTTCTGATTTTCTGAACTCAGGGTTTTCCAGCTTTTCCATCTGTGCGAGCTTTACGGATACGATGTTCCTAATGCCCTTCAGCACAGCGTTGTAGAATACGATGGTTTTATGTGTTCTTGTGCCTGCTTTAGTGCTGTCCAGCAAAGAGCCTAAAACTGTTCTGTACAAGGACCCGTATGCATGCTCCAGCGTGTTTATACAGGATATCCAGTAGCTTATGCATATTGTGGGCTCCAGTCCCTCTGCAACAAGATACTCAATTACTTCGTCTTCCAGATCGCTTGTTTTTTCTGCACTGTCTTCCACGGGAGCATGGAAAACAATTTCAGCAAGCTCTAGCTCGCACGTAATTGCGTATTGTTCTTTCTTCAGGTAGAAAAGGAGGAGTATGGGAGTGAACGATGCATCTGCCATGAAAGATTCATCTTGTACAATGGCTTCTACGTCTTTTATAAACCGTATTGTCTCTTCAAGTGTTTTTTCGTCTTTTTTACTCGCTCTATTCTTTTTCAAAGTTGTAGCTCTACCTCCCATTATTTCTTGCACTATTTTTTCTACAGCTTCAGCAGAAACTGCCGCTTTTTTGGAGCTGCTGGGCGCGCCGTTCTCTTTCTTGCTCTTTTCATTCTTGAGTGCTTCTGCTAGCTCTTTAGATGATACTATTCTGGGCTGTCCTGTGCTGGCAGCTTCTTCTGTCTTTGTGGCTCCAAAATCACCAGATTTCATACTAGAAATGTTTTCTGTTTCTCTAATGTGCGCTGTCTCTATCTCTCTGGTAGAGGAAGTGTATTTTGCTCGCATAATTGCAAATTGCTGCTCTTCCTTTGCATCTTCTCCAGACTGGTCTGTCTGGCACACAGTCACAATGGCAAATACCCCGCTGGCCATCTTTTTTCCTGCTTTTTTGACTGATTTTAAGCAGCCTGTGATCCTGGATCCAAACGACCTTGATCCTGGTGCTACTCTCTCCTGCTGTGCTAGATTTGCCATTTACTGTGATTACAATAAACAATTTATATCATTTTCTATTTATATTAATTAAATGCTACCTACATTAATATTGGATTTTACATGTTGGCTCTTTGAACAGAACAGAAATAATAGCTGCTTCTCTTTTACCCTTAGTAACAATGAGGAGATGAAGAGCAGCAGCAGAGAGCAGAAGGTATGATGTACTATGCGTTCTCTGTGTACTCAGAAACAATATACTCACCAGATACATACAATGCCCATCTTCCTTTCTTTATTCCTAGATGGGCATTGACACTGTCCGTATAGCGTATATTAGTATCCTAATCCTGTGCAGACATTTTGTAAAATAAAATAGAGCAGCGTTATATTAGCATAGCTCTCAAGAACGGAAAAGAAAATAAAGCAAAAGTGTATAGTATTTTTTAAAATAAATTCTCAAATCCAAATTTATCTTCAGGACACTAAAACCATTCGATTTATTTACATAGATAGAAGATAGGAGAATGTACATTGATGTGTGTTATGTTTCATGCACTGAGCTTACACAGATACACATAGCCGAGGATTAGACTAAGGTATTCTAGTTCACATGGGAAGCAGAGAAAAACAAAGTGTATGGCAGTGCAATGGAAGTGAAGTTTAGTGCAAATAGCTTTATAACTCAGCCAAAGAGAAAGAGTAGATGCTACACACTAAACATGCCAGCATATACACAGTAGCACTGTTCGCTACAAATGATCAAAGTAAAAATGTCTGCGCATAAACACTGTACATAAGTCACCACTCTGTGTGTTTACACAGCAAAATAAAAACTGATCTGCAAATAAAAAATAAATCACCACACAAGGAGAGAGGAAGAAGGAAAAGGCGTGCGGCCATATGCTCGCGTTCACACCAGATCCCGTTTGATCTCTGAAGTTAAGCGCGTGACAGCTTTGATAGTACTGCGATGGGAGACCGCGTGGGAACACAGAGTGCTGCACTTTTTGTCCGGCTCTGCACAAGAAGAACACTGAGCTTGGATGCGGTGTAGTAGTGCTGTCTATTGCTAAGTGTTTATTGGAGCGAGGGCGTGTGCATACCAACTAAGAAGTACGCGAACAAGTAAACTATTTCCCATCTGAGCCACTAGTTTTTATTGCATTCCGATAGTCTGGCATAGAAACAATAAATGATTCACATAAAGGGTGTGAAAGGTATCCATCCTATATTGAAGACGTTCTCTCGTGTTTTCTTCCTGTAACTGCCGAAAGTCTAGGCTCTGCTCTCTCAGACTCTTTTTTCAGAACGGTCAATGAGTGTGTTTTCATGCTTTTCGCCTGTGCATCTGTTTTTCTTGGCCTTTTTGGCCTCTTTTGCTTATCCATGTACGAAAGGTGTACTGTTTCTTTTACGTCTGAAGAGTCTATTTTGATGTGCTGCACCATGCGCTTTATGGCCTGGAAGTTTTTCAGGTGCTCTTTGTGCACGCGCCATACGACCATGGTGTTGCCGATTGTGTCTGAAATGCTGATTTTAATGAAACACTTTGAAAAAGAAAGAAGAGTCTGGTAGTGCTCTCTGGACTTGATCTTGCTTTTTCTTATTTTTTTTCGAAGCTGTTTGTACAGATCCTCAAAAGTAACAAGCCGATCCTTCGCGTCCAGGACAATCTGTGCCAGGTTTTCTATTTCAAACAGGTACTCGTCGGACAGAGGAGGCAGGTTGAGGAAGAAGTGCATGCCTCCCGCTGAAATCTGCATGTTCTGTGCCGTCAGCACTTTATTGTCTATTTTCCATGCAGATTTGTAGTGGCTGTAGCGGATGTACCATGTTTCATTCTCCGAGCCTTTCTTCAGGGTTATCTCAACGCGCGGAGAGCGTATTGGAAATGTCCACTCCTGGTTGAAAACTCTTCCAATATTCTGCATGGAGAGCTCTCTCTGCAAACAATAAATATATAGTAGTGCAGATCAACAAGATATAATGGGCAATAGATGGCATACAAGTGTATAAAAGAGCTAAGGACGGAAAGTTAATTGCTCTTTATGCGACTAGCTGTTGAAATTTAAATATGCTCTGTCTATGTGTGTAATCCTTTATGCAGTGAAGATGTACGCAGAGCAAATAAACTATGAATTTATTGTCTTATTCTACGTAGCAACAAAGAAGTGTTTACATGTACGCCAAAAATATTTTTTATTTAAAGACTTTTTCACAGAGCAATGTGCTGGCTGGTGGATGTGTGTATGAATTTCTGTGAGGTTACTGTATTCTTTCGAGGCTAAATTACAAGCATTTTAATGCAGTCTAGTTTTAGCTTGCTGTATAGATGCAATGGGATGCTATCTGTATAGTTAATGATAGTTCATTGCATAGCACTGGAATATTCAACTGTTTAGCTTGAACTTCTTGAGAATCAGTGTGTTATTAGTACGAGTACATGGCAGGTGAATGTGCATGGCACGATATGGACAGTAAAAATTGCCAGTTTTAACTGAATCCCATAAGTATCAAAAAATAATTTTTTAGGTACATGAAAAACAAGAAACTGATGAAAATATTGGCAGGCACCACAGCGTTCACTCTTTTTCTTGCAGGGTGCAAAGGGAGCAGCAGTGGCTCTAGTGAAGACGAGCAGAATAGAGCTGGGCCATCTAGAAGTGGAGGAGGCAAAATAGTCGATGATTTTGTTTGCAATGGAGGGCACACTGGTGCAATAGATGGAGCAAAAAATCAGAGCAGTGAATTTGAGCAGTGCATAGCAAGGCTTAGCGTGATCACGCATACCAGATTTGAACACTCCATAGGGAGTGGCATGCTGTCTATAGGGGAAAAAAGAAGAGAGAGCGAGATGGCCAACGCAGTGAGTGCGTGTGCAGACCAGTTTGTACCAAAAAATAAGAGACAAAAAAGAGATAGCCCATTAAAAGATGAGGGCGCTAATCAGCAGGACGAGATTGAAATCACAACAGAGGATAAAAAGCAGATAACTCAGAACAGTCAGGCACAGCAGTGTGTAGTAAAAAAAAGAGAAAAGAAAAGCATAGCCCAGCTTGAACTAGGCCTGTGGGACGACATGGATGTGCGGCTGGCAAATAGAAGGAGAAAAGCCTACAAAGAGAGCCACAAAACAATATACATAAACACCGATCTCAAGTGGTACAAAAAACGCGAAATAAAAAAAGAGTCGTACAAACAACGGCTTAGAAGCAGCATTGAGGAGTTTGCTGCAAAAATAGCTTCACTAATAAAGAACAACCCAATGTGGTACTTCATTGCAAGCAAGTCCACAAATATAAACGGCAAGTACAAAGACCTCTTGGGGCTGCAGGAGCTCTTTAGAGAGGAGGAGAAAACACACAGAAACATGCTAGAAAGCATTCAAGGATACTACCCTGGCATAATTGAGGATGTAATCGCGTACATAGAGAAGCACCAGCCGCTGAAAACCGACAAAAACAACCCAGAAACTGAGTGGAAAGAAACACTCGGGGACATTTACATGCGAAAATCTCTTCCGCTGAACTACTCTATGCTAGAGGATTCGAACAGCGCCTGTCAGCTCGAAAGTAAGTATCGTGCGCTGGTGTGTGCTGTTCGCATGGCTCTGGTGCTGCCCGAGGTGCACCAGGACTTCTCCAATATTACTGAAGATCTTATAAAAGAAACTAAAATTTCCAAATCCTTGAGTAAAAACACAAACTATCAAGAAATTCTCCTAAGAATACAAAAAATAGCACAGCTGAACGCAAAAGGAGAAAAAGACGATAAATTGTATGAGGAGATGTACAGCTATCTTGAGAAGACGTGTGCCAAGGGAAACAAGCTGGAAGAGCTAAGAGCTGTTGAGCTGTACAAAGTGATATACACAATTCTTGGAAAGTTCTATGAGAGCGTAGCAGTGATCGATGCAAAAAAAGAATATGTTCTTGCAGGAAAGTGCATAATAACGAACCAGAAGTACATAAAATGCGAGAAAGTGGTAGATATGTCTGGTGGAGAAGAGAAAGAGCTCCCAAACTCTGCATATGTGTTGGAAGAGAACAAGTGGCATGTTTCTTCTGATATAAAGCCGCACTACCACGTGTACTACGTGGACAATACTGCAAACCAGCTCAGAATGCTGTGCATGCCCATGTGCATAGGCAAAGATAGAAAAAAGCACTGCCTGCACACAATTGACGAGATCGTAAGGTACATCAAGAGCCTATACAAGATAAAACTAAGGCTAGAACATGTGCACCCGTTCAAAGTAAAGAAGGGAACCAGAGAATGGTCGTACATCAAAGAGAAAGAGAGGGGCCTGACAGTGAAAGACTTAGCGGAGTACGAAGTGGTGTTCTACTATATTGAAGAAAATCTAGCAAAAACAAAGTTTACCTTTGCAGAGTTCAGGCCTCTCAGCGCACATGAAAACCACAGTATTTGTGTGCCGCTCTTTCTCTCTCCTCTGATGCAGTCTGCTGTGGAGTTTGGGCCTTTTGCCAAAACAGAAGAGCATACAGAGCTAGACTCGGTGTATTTTGAAAAAAAAGTGCCTGATGTATACGAATATAGGGAGGAATACACAAATAATAACTACACGGATGTGCAAAAGTACTACAAAAACCTGTACATACTGAAAGATGCGGTAGCGAGCATGGACTGCTACATCATGGACTACAAAACCACTAGAAAAGAAGATGGCACTGTTGAGGCTGTGTGGTATGTGAGAATGCCCGACAGCATAGACGCGTACACGCACTGTGTGCTGGACAAAGACTTTGTGCAGGAAGAAAATTTAGAAAACTTCACTGATACACTGGAGCTGAGAGAACACAACAAAAACAGCGATATCCAGGGATTTTGGCTGCAAAACAGCAATCCAAAAGATAGCGAGCTGGCCGATCAGGAGTACACGGTATGCAGTTGGCATGTGTGCAGCGACCCTTACAATATGCCGATATCTAGAAACGACGTGGGAAAGATTGGCTTGAAGATAGATAAAGCAAGAAAAAGATATGTAGAGGTAGAGAAAAAACATAAAGAGCTAGAAAAAGATAGTGAAACCCATTCTCGGGAGATAAAGCTAAAAAAGAACTCGCTGGCTGCCATAAAATACAAACAGAAGATTATTCTGGAGGGCTTATACAGAGAGCTACACATAAAACACTCTCGGACACCAGATTCAAAGGCAGAGTTTTTAGTTTTTAGGAACGTAAACAAGAGCAAGTCTAATCTCGGAGCACACAACGAAATTCTTAACGCTTTAATCTCGTGCTTTAAGCGAGAAAAGAGCAAGAAACAAGAGTAATAAATAGTGTTCATTTATCTGAGTATTTTCTATTGTGCAGTTTTTCTTGCGCTGGTGCTGGCAGGAACAGAGCAGAAAAGTTGGAAATAAATTAGGTGCTCGCAAAAGACAATAAAAAGGTGCTTTCGCAACTATCAGCCATAAGCAGGAAAAATGATTTTTTTATATGAAAAAACAGGAATTAAGGAGAATATTAGGTACAGGCGCTGTGCTTCTTTCTCTTTTGGCCACGAAAAGCAGGGAGGGCTGGTGCACGTTTGATAAGGAGGCTGTGCAAGGGGACAGTCTGTATAGAGACAGCAGTGCACTAATGAGTGAGTTGGATGATATGGAAATGTCTTCTTTTCTTGGTATACCTGCAGATAGTCCTTATCAGGCTGGATCCTCTGCTAGCGGAGTGGATGAAATGAGTTATCAGTTTGAACAGCCGGCACAGTACATGGCAGGCCCTATGCCAAGTGATACCCCTTTTGATCAGACATACAGTATGCCCAGCACATCACACGGCCAGTATAGACCTATGGATGGGAACAACAATTTGCACTTTTCTTCCGCTGTGCAAGCTCCCTTAGACGATGCATTCTACAATGGATACAACCACCATAATTTTAGCACAGTTGATGGAGGATATCAGTACAGCCAATCAGCACAGTTCTTAGAAGAGCCTGGTGTAGATGAGAGTGTGTTTATACAACCACATTACGATATGCCCAGTACGTCAAGAGAAACTGCACCGGTAGATCAGATGGGTAATTCAGATTTTGCTTCCAATGGATCCATGCATAATCCAGTCTGGGATGGGTACACGCCCTTTGAGGAGCACTGGGGGATGGCAGAGCAGGATGGGCAGCTAGATCAGAAAACAGCAGAGTTTGGATCAGATGGCTTCCAAGGGTCTAACAGAGAGAATGATGTTATTATTGGTCTGTATGTAGATAAAGATGACATAAAGAAAGAGGTAGAAGCCATTTCTTCTGCAAATGACTCTCCTACACCACTTGACGAGTTGGTAGGCGAGTCTAGTAAAAAACATAGCAGACCCAGTGCCCCGCAGAAAAAAAAGAGGAAGGCTGAGCCAATGGATGCATCTGCTCTCCAGTGCTCTCCAGAGAATATCAAGAGAAGAAAAAAGAAAGAAATAGACGAAATTAACATTAAAATTTGGGATGAAAGCAAAAGACTGGCCAACAGGAGAAGAAGAAGCTCTAGGCTGAACCACAGAACAATATACACCCACCACAGTTCATCCAGCAGCTACATAAACTGGAATATGAGGTCAGACGAAGCTCAGGAAAGTATCGAAAAAAGCATTATGGACTTTTCTGTAAAGATTGCTCCTCTGCTGAAAAACACTGCAATATGGTACTTCATTGCAACCTTGTCCACATGCATATACACCAAGTACAAAGACCTTTTGTGGCTGCTTGCGATGTTCAAAAGCAGGAAGAACATCGAGTACAAAGAAATAGTGGAGAGCTTTGGAGGGTCCTATCCCGGACTGATCGAAGATGTAACAGACTATGTGGTGAGGAACGAGCCGAAGAGGTGCAGCCGGTCTGCTCCTACAAACGAGTGGGAGGAGACACTGGGCGACATTTACATGAGGGAGTACAAGCCTCTAAACTACTATGTAGAAGAAAAACAGAAAGAACTTGGACAAACTGACAAGGCGTACCGCGCACTAGCCTATGCTCTGCACATGATTGTGATGATTCCCGAGGTGCATCAGGACTTCTCCAACATCACCGAGGAGTTTATAAGAGAGACAAACATCACGGAAAAAGAGCACAAAAATAAGTGCATCAAAATCGTTCTCTTGGGGATATACAGGCTGGTAAACATGGATATATTTGGAAAAGAGGATCTTACTGTGTATGGCGATATCTACAGTGCCCTTAGAAACATATATGGTGGGAGCGTACTGAAAGACCCAACGGCTATTGACCTGTACAGAGAAATATACGTGGTCCTTGCAGAGTTCTACGAAAAGGCAATAATGTTCGACAAGACAAACGAGTATGTTCTGGTAGGAAAGTGCATAATAACGAACCAGAAGTACATAAAATGCGAGAAAGTGGTAAATCTAGCAGCAAAGAGCGGCGAGAAGAGGGTTTCAAACTGCAGCTACTCTGTAGAGGAGAACATGTGGAGTCTTTCCTCTGCCATTAAAACACACTATTATGTGAGGTATGTGGACAGCATAAAAAATACCATGAGAATGCTGTGCATGCCTGTTTACGAAAACAAAAAAAAGCAGGAGTACTTCTACTTACACACAATCGATGAGATAATAGAGCACATAAAGGCACTCCATCAGATAGAGGTGACTTCCAATGCTGTCCACCCTTTCAAAGTGAGAAAAGGAACTAGAAAGTGGTCGTACATCAAGAAAGAAGAGAGGATGCTTACTGTAGAAGGTCTGAAAGAGTACGAAGTGGTGTTCTATCGCATGGAGGAAAACACAGGAAAAGAAAAGTTTGCGTTTGCAGAGTTTTGGCCTTTGATTATGGACAGCGGCATCTGCATACCGCTATTCCTTACGCCTCTGATGCAGTCTGCCGTGGAGCTGGGGCCTTTCGTCAGCATGTGGAAGAACACACAGATAAGCTCGATAGAGTTTGAGAATAGGATGCCTGACTCGTATGAGTACAACAACGAGTATGGCGGACAAGAGTACTCGGATATACACGACTACTACAGCAATCTGTGGATACCAAACAAACAAGAGAAGATCATAGACAGCTACATCATGAACTGCCAAATGACTCTGCAAGAGGATAACACTCTTAAGGCAGTGTGGTATGTGAGAATGCCAGGCAGTATAGACGCGTACACGCACTGCATTCTCGACGATACTTTTAAAGGAAAAGAAAAGTTTAACAGTTTTACTGCAGCAGTAGAGTCAAGGACGTACAACAAGGGCAGCGATCTGCAGGGATTCTGGCTGCACAGTAACTACAAGCTAGACAGTAGATGTGAAAAACACACGCAATTACTGAACATATGGATTACTAGCACGGATAGTGTAAGAACCTTGGCCAAAAAGACGCTAAAGCAGCTCAATATTGAGGTTGCCAAAACAAAGGAAAGATTGGAGGGCATAGAAGAGTGCCAAATACTCACAGGGCCAATAGACCTGAAAAATGACGAAAAAGAAGAAATTCTGCAAAAAAAGTCTCTAATTGCTTCAAAGTCTGCCGCAAACAGCAAGATGGCCTCTCTGACCAGGGAGATATACATAAAGCACTCGAAAAGGCCGGAGTATCCCGAGACAGAGTTTATAGTGTTTAGGAACACAAACCACAGCAAGTCCAATCTGCACGCACACAACGAGCTGCTTGATGTTTTGATCTCGCGCTATAACCGCTAGAGAGTGAGAGTGGACAATAAAGAGTGTTTTGATAAGATACTAGATTTACAGTTGTTTTTGCTATTCTATAGTTGTTATACGTATATTAATCGTATTCTCGGGTTATATTGGCATTGCTCTTTAATTATTTATCTGTGTGTATATCAGCTGTTTTCTTCATGAACTATAAAAAAGTGCCAGACAATTTGTTGGGTTGTAAATTCTCTTATTCTTTGGTGCAATGGTATGTCTATATGTTGTGTGTTAATAGGACAAACACCTGTTGGATCAATCAACATGCAAATAAATAGGCCAGTAAAAAAGATTTACTCCATAGTAGACCAACAACTATAAATAAAAAAGTGATTTTTTTAGCATGAAGGATCAGAAATTAAGGAAAATGCTAAGTATTAGCGCAGTAATCCTTGTTCTTCTTACGGCAGCGTGCCAGGGGAGCAGGGGTGAGTTTGATGAGAAGGATGCTGGCAGCGTTGATCTGTGTGTGGGAGAAAAAAGAAAGGCAGCTGGAACAGGTAGTTCTATGAATCCGTCTTCTACTGGCCAATTTATAGTAGGCACTAAAAAACAAAAAAAAGAATGCAGTGCATCGCAGAAAGAGTCCAATGCTTCTGATTCAGAGGAAGAGATTGACATTATGACAGTGGACGATGTGCAGCCAATGCAGGTCGATCAGCAAGTTTTGCCGAGTGAAAACAAACAAGAAGAAGAAACAATGGAACAGATAAGACAGAGAAGGCGAGAAGAAGCAGAGGCGAGAAGGCAGAAGGAGCAAGAGAAGAAAGAGGAAAGAGAGAGAAAACAAGAAGAATTAAGGATACAGATACAAGATAGACAAAGGAAACTAGAAGAGGCAAAGATGGAGAGACAGAAGAAGCAAGAGGAAAAAGAAAAGAAAATGGAGAAAAAAGAGTTAAAAAACATGAGCAATATCAATGCTAGTCTATGGAACAACAGAAGACTGGAGAACAAAAGAAGAAGAGGGTACAAAACAAAACACGAGGCAGTTCATGTCACCAAAATTTCCGATGAAAGCGAATTTAAAGCCACAAGAACTGCGGCATATCAAAGAGCGTTTAGAAACTATATCAAGAACTTTTCTGAAATAATTTCCGAAGAGGTAGAAAAGAATAAGCTGTGGTACTGCATTGCATGTGAGTCCACGTACATAAGAGGTAGGTATAAGGCTCTTTTGACACTGCGAGATCTATTTAAAAATGGCAATAATAAGGAAGATGCTGAATGCACGGAAAAAGTGAGAAAGCTGGAGGGATACTACCCGAGTGTGTTTGACGAGATGATAAAATACAAAAACAAACACCAGCCTATGTTAACAGATACAATCAAGCCTCTAACAGAGTGGAAGGAGACCCTGGGAGATGTGTACCTTCGAAAAAATCTCCAGCCAAACTATCATCTGATAGACAAGAACAGTGATGTCAGGAAGTACGACGAGAAGTACCATGAGACAGTGCGCGCAGTGTGCATGGTTCTGGTGCTGCCTGAGGTGTACGAGGACTTCTCGACGATGGATATAGACTATGTGTCCGCTGTCCAGACATCAGACAATACACTCAGAGAGAGCAAAAATAAGAAAATCCTTCTACCACTGCACAGAATAATTGAAAAGGTTAAAAATGAACAGGAGGTCACAGAAGACATGTACAAAAACCTCTACGATGCCTTTGTGCTGGTATACAGCGCAGAAGAAATGCTAGGACTGACAGCTGCGTGTCTGTACAGGGATATGTACATCTCTCTTGCAGACTTCTATGAGAATGCAAAAGTCTATTACGAAATCCCAAGGACTTCCAATAACAAACCAAAGGCTTCTAATAGCAAACCAAAGGCTTCTGATGACAAACCAAAAGCTTCTACTAGAAAATCAAAGGCTTCTGATGATAAACCAAGACCTTCCGATGACAATAAATACATTCTGCTGGGTAAACCCGTGATAAAACACCAAAAGCATGCGGTGTACACAGTAGAAGCAGACATAGAGTCAAAGGAGGTATACACAAGAGCAAAGATCGTAAAACGTTCAATTGACGAGAACAACTGGACAGTCTCAGCGAATGTATGCGACCACTACCATGTGTACTATCTGGACAACGACACAAACTATCTTAGGCTGCTGTGCATGCCCATCTATGAAGACAAAAGAGGAGTGAAGCACTACCTGCACACTATCGACGACATAGTAGAGTACATAAAAGACCTGCACGGGATAGAGCCAGAGAAAGACCACGTGCATCCGTTTAAAGTGGACAGAGAAACCAGTGTGTGGTCGTACGTTAAAGAGGATGAAGAAAGAAGGCAGACAGTCAAGGACTTTGCAGGGCACGAGGTGGTGTTCTACCGCATCGAAGAGGACC